ACCTAAGTATCCTGCTATACAAATAAGTGAACATTTAGTTTTGGTAGGATTTTATATGCCTATATATATTTTTAATATACCAAAATGTCGTGCCGTAGTGGTTTACTGTCCTGACTATAAAGTCAGGGATCAGGAGTTTTAATCAAGCCCACATGAATCTCTGTGTACTAAATTAATCCTGTAAGATTGATGTCTGTATTTTTGTGTAAAATAAATTATATAATGTAATACATATTATATCTAATTACGATATCTTAATAACTAAAGCGTGAACAGTTTATAAATAAAAACAATAGAGTTATTTTAACGAAGTAGTATATTTCTGTAACTACACGTCTGGTGAAAACGAAACAAGCAGGTCACCGGGTCAGTTCCTGGCTGAGCTTTTTACTTTTTCACAAATTTATTGGTCTTGTTTCAACAGCCCCGGGGAATTGTAATGAGCGGATCTCACTTCATTAAAATACTTCTATTTGTCGAGTTGACAGCCCGCAGTGATTTGTTCCCGCTCTTTTGTTCTTTTTACACGCACTTCTTGTGACGCTTCATTTGTTTCACAGATTTGTGTACGTAAACAAAGTTTTTATTGAAATTTCTTACCTTTCTTTTATGCATTACATTCCAAGGGCATAGTAGCGATGTGTCTAAGGAGGTATATGGCTAATCTCAAAGGATAGGAATACTACTAAAGCCAATATACTCCTTTCTCTTTCGACATAATTAGGTATGCCTTGCTCAAAGACAAGTCGAAAATGGATATTATTTTTAAAACGTTCATACAACCTGTCCGGTCACGTGATCAATTCTGTATGAAAATATCGTATTATAATATTCTTATTACGGCAGATGTGGTTGTTTCATAATTTCCTTGTTAATTGTAAACACTATTATATTTTAAAGAAGCTATACATACAATAGATTTTTTTTTTAATATTGTAGGCTCTACAGCTGTAAATTTTAAAGACAGCGATTCCTAATATATTCTATAATGTAATATGTCTGTAAAAATATAAGTTTAAAAATAGAGGAGAACAGAAAATAGTACTTAGATATAGAGAAAAGTAGGTATAGTTAATTTATTTAAAAAGGAAATATTTGCTTTTCGAATAAAATAAATGTATTATTTATGTGGTTAATGCTGTCGTTAAATGAATGATTAATAATATACTTATAAGTTAAAATAATCTTTTGATATTAATGGTTACTATAACATTTAATTAAAGTACTTAGGTACTAAATAAACCTATTTTATCTAAGTACAAACTTTCTCTTATATATGTAAATGATGCTTTCTAGTCCCTTTATGGAATGATTTCTGTTTTATGAGTACATAATCACTCTGTCTTTCATCTTAGTACCTATAGGTACTAAGTTGAAAGACAGACAGACTTTACGATTAGGTACCCCTGATACCTACTTATAACCTTGTAGGGGAGAGGGAGGTAAGACGGGGTAGTGGGTAAGACGGGGTACCCAGCGAAATTCACTTTTCTAATTGACCAATCACACTCGTTCATTCATCGTGCGACGCGCCGCCATGACCGTTAATAGTCGCCCGGTGATTAGTGGTTCACAAGTGCACAGTGTCGAAAAAAATTCAAAATAAGTATTTTACTGCATGTTGCTTATCATATTTTCTTCTGGCTTGACACGTGACTGTGGTTTATTAAATAACGTTAGCTGGTGAGGTGTTGCTGTGACTGACGTTTAAACTAACCTATAATAAGGTATGCATTATGTTTCCTAAAGATTGTTGGCTGTTTTGCTTTTGTTTTTATTTTTATATAAAAGGGCTCTGCAGGTAAGATGGGGTAGCTTTGTTTTGACTTCTCCAAAAGAACTATATCCACTTCCGCTTACTAAAAAGTCCTCTCGTGTTGTTAAAAAGCGTGGAAAAACAGAAATTATCACGTCGTCTCCTTACAAACAAGAATTAGAAGTAATCGCTCGCAAAAAAAAAAAGTTGTTGAACAGAAAAAAATAGAGAAAATAGAGATAAAAAAGAGAAAAGATGAATTAAAACAACAGAAGAAAACTACTACAAAAACTCAAAATAAAAAATTAAAGAAGAACAGCCCATCACCCAAAAGAGCAATACGACGAGGAGTTTCATCATATGAAGATGAAAGTCAAGAAGAGGGGAACACACCGTGTATGTATTGCGAGGAAATATATTCCGTTTCCATTGAAGGGTGGATATCATGCTCATTATGTGGCAGATGGGCTCATAATAGTTGCGCAGGAATAGATGATGATGATGACAAAGCCATACATGTCTGCGAGTTTTGCCAGCTCGAATAATCATCTTTCTCTATGATCATTCTCATCACCCCATCTTACCTTAGGGGGTACCCCATCTTACCAGCACCATGGGGCAAGACGGGGCAAAACACTTCTTTTTTATTTTTTATTTTTTCTCTTAAACGTGTTACTTAAACCTACTAATGACACCAAATATTAGAATTATATTAATTAGTTGTTAATTATAAAATAAATATATTTGTTTCACTACGGTATTTTTTATGCTATTGACCTTGAAAGCTTAAGTACCCCATCTTGCCACCCTCTCCCCTAGTAGGCATTTATTTTTCTTTCTTTCGTATTTTTGTAAATAGTTGTATAGTACAACTGTAATAATGTCACAAAAAATACAGTCTATACCAGAATATTCTCTTCATGGAAGTTAGCATACTGTGCTTTTGATAAATTTGGGACAAAACAATGTCCCTTAATTTTACTGCCTAATCCCATCCAACAAACGAAACACAAACATACAAAGCAAGCTACTTGGCAACTGAAATAAGTGAGGCTGACGCGATAGACGATTTTTTACAGTCTACCTTATTATTCATAATCATACAAACACTGGACATCAACGGAGTGTCCGCCACGCAGTGGTCACCTATCACAATGGCGCGATTACTGACCCCGTTGCGTGTACATACATACATATGTATCTATAGGTCATGTCATTATATTACACACTACTGAACAGCCAGTAGGGTTGCCATTCTAAAAATACATTAACTCTATTCTACCGAGATAAACCATGTAAAAATGGCGTCTGTGTGAGTAAATATCTTTATCTCAACTATTTCATCCATTAACTTATTATTTAACTATTTCATCCGCTTACTATATTAGTGATCAATGTTTCGATTTAATATGGCAGTGAAATTACAGAGTTTGGACTACGAGGCTAATACCTTAGTCCTCAGGATGATATTCCAATAGACAGTCATCTTCATCTGCTTCTTCCTTATCTCATTCATTTAAGGTCGGAGTAATATCTTTTTCTTTTCCATTCATCCTTATTAGCATCATTCATCTCGTTAGTTAGATATTCCCTTTTTTGTTATATCATCTTTCACACATGAAGACCAAGACCATATTGTTTCGTAGAGTAATAGGAGTTCAAGCAGTAGTCTTGGACACTAGTCGTTACTGTCATTTGTGTAGATATCTACGTAGGTACTGCACGTTTTATTGTTTGTACCTATCATACTGCCCGTCTGTCTATACACAGAGTAATGCACATAGCTTAACACAACCATAAGTTTTTACTAAAATTAAAATGTAATAATTTCCATATAATCGTATGTGTCATTTAATTAAACTCTTAACTACGTAGGTACTTACATTATTTTTATATTTGTATTATATTTTATAATTTAAATTCTTTAATTAAATAAATTTATATTTTTACTCATCAAGTTAATTGTGTCGTGACACTAAAGAATTATCATAAAACTGTAAAAGTTCAAATGCATTGCATTGTGGTTGAGAATAGCTATAGGACTATAGATATCTACTTACTAGATACCTAACTTTTTGCAATAAGTTACCCAGGTGACCGTGAAATAAGAAGGGTATCACATTCTAGAAACAATAAAATAAAGGTATCATCATATTAATAATATAGTATTGTAAATATGATGACATCTTTAACTTATTTAATAATATAGATATAAATAAACTTAACAAAAACCGGTTTGTATATATACCTATATGGTGATACGATGTAAATATCTAGATGTTATAATTGAAAAGAACCATGTAAAATGACACAACATTGGTTCAATTGCCATGATTAAAATAGAATTAAGAATTTCATTAAGATAGTAGGTACCTATTACTGGTAAATACATACCAAGTTAGTGAAATATTACTAAAAACTGATTGAGTGACAGTATAGTAGATAGGTATATAAATTGTTTGCACCACACGTTTCTTTCTGTCCAGCAGAAAGAAACTGTAGATAACGATTGGATCTAGTCTAGTGGATTGCAATTGATTTCAAAAAGGATTAACCAAAAAAAAATGGCGTTTAACCAAAGTTCGCAAAATCAGATTAATAGTGATACATAGAAATTAAAATCGATGTCTGCTATGCCAACACGATATCGTGCACGCACGACGCCGCAGCGGTTGCTGTCAAGTGGCGGGGTAAGCGGAGGGGGAGGGGGCGCGGTACGTGTGGGTCCGGCAGCGCACGCGCAGAACAAAGGGCGCGCCGTGAACCGCGACCGTCGCGCTTCGGTACGCCGAGCCTCGCACACACCTCGACATGCACCGCGTCCTGATTTTTTTCTAGTCATTCTTCTGACCCTGAACATGCAAATACGAATACCAATCAAGTTTTCGGGGTGAACTTTTATTCTGCAGTTAGCGAAACTTTAGGAATATCCTGGATCCTGGGCGGGGAGGAGATTGACAGTAATGGGGACCAGTAACCCAATTGCTAGTATCTTTTATTGGATGATAATGAAATGGTGCACGTGCCTGTGTCTACTGACTGATTTCATCTGAACATCCTATCATCCGCCACTGGTGGGCACCGCCAGTGTATATCGTTATCGGCGGATGCACTATACCATTTTCAAACATAAAAAAACACTGGATCCTTGTCATCAATGCATGATTTTGCACAAGCAACAACGACCGCCATATTTCATAAGGAACGAAACGAAATGCTAATAGAAATTTATGTTTATTTTCAGGAGGCTACACAACAGGAGGGCCTCGCGAAACAAACGCATATGGATATACGGAGGCTACAGGAGGCGCGGCAGCACCGGCGTCAGCGCCCGCGCCCGCGGCGGCGTCCCCTCTCGACGAGTACTACCAGCCGGAGTACTCGCCCGCGCCCCCCGCGGCCCCCTCCCAGCCCTACCTCGAGGACTACTACCACCACGCACACACGCATACGCAGCCCCTGCTCACACACGAGCCCAAGTACCAACCACATACGTACACCAAACCATATCCCAGAGGCAAGTCCATTAATCTTACTAATATTTTAAACGCGAAAGTATGTGAATATTGATGGATGGATGGATGTTTGTTAAGACTTCTTACATAAACTACTGAACGAGCGATGAAACTTTATAGTAATAGCTATAGTTTATACATCAGCATAAACCATAAGCTATAATTTAAAAATGTTATTTGCATATTAGGCGAAATATAGTGGTAACTGTCAAGTAAGTGTGATGCAGACAGGGTTGTACGAGACAACTAGTTTTACATATTTGTATTTGTAAGCAGCTAATCGTATTTAGCAAATTATAAATTCAATGCTCTATCAATCAAACTTTGGCATTTAGAGTCCTTTGATGAAATTAAATTTCCGTTTTATGTGCAAGTGAAGTAGAGTAGTATAAAGTTTCTCGCTTAGAATCTGGAACAGCCCGACTGGTGAAGTACTCTTCTTTTATAACTGGAAGACCCAGAATGCATTATTAAATTATGTTTTGAACACTGAAACTTGTTATTCTCATTACTCAAGCAAATCGAACGATTAATTTTAAACCAGATTATCCAAATGCCTTAGTTGCCTTAGTTGAAGAAAACGCTAATGATAACTACTGGATTTATTGACTACAATAACCACTAATCATGAAACAGTATACCATAATGTGATTTTTCGCAATATATGTGTGCACATTATAAAAAAATTATCGTTATTATAAAAGTGATCTCAAATGAAAAATTTTTAATTCAGACCAGATTGCTACCATCAAGTTTATAAAACTTCTTTTTATGTGCGAGTTGCATTTACGAGTACACAGATTACATTCAATAAAGAACCGGAGTTACGACACTAAATTGTCACAATATAACTAATGTCCTCAACAAATTCTAGACGTGAGATGCTTAAATGATCTTATTAAGGCATCATGAAACTAAGACGATTCAGTTATAAAATTTAATGATGCCAAAACAATGTTACTTGGACCGAAATAACATCAATTAAGCGGTACCAATTAGTAACCGGTCGGGTCTTGAAAAAAGCTGTGTGAGAAACATGACACGAAAGATTCCACTCAACTCAACAACTGCGTATCTTGAAATTGTATACCTTCACCGATTTAGCAATGCCACGGGCATCCTTATAATAATTATTGTAGCGTCATACAGTATATTAAAACATTTAATATGTCTTACATTTTGTGAATAATAAGTTTTGTTTTTGATGTTAGTCTATTTTAATATTAGGACCAAGCAAATCACGTACATTAGGACAGAATAGTATAATAGTCGATCCCATATAAACAAGCACACTATACGCTGAGCTGCTGCCAGATAGAGTTTCCATACTTTATCATGTAATATCGGGGAAGTCTATCGGTAAATATTCATTAGTAAAGGATGAATATATTGAAATATTTAAACTATATAATATAGGTATAAAATAAATAAATATATTCAACGAGGATCTGTTATTACAGGTGCTGGCGGAAGGTACGGTGGCGAGGGCTACGGCGAAAGCTACGCACCGGAGTACGGTGGCGGTTGCGCCGAATGGGGCGAATGGCCCGGCGAGCAGCACGTGCTCATACCGCAGGACAAGCTCGCGTACCCCGCATCAGGGCCCTGTTTCACCGGTACGTCCACGTCTTTCTTGAAGTACCACAAGTGGACTCAAAGTCGTCTGCAAAATTATCTGTAGCTTTATGCTGAGTCCTCTTCATCTTTGCGACACATAAAGCCAGATCTAGTTTTTTAATTTGTACAATTTCTTTTTCTGTATCTTGTAATTGATGAGTAAATAATTTATCTATTTAAAACAAAAAAGAATCTTCTTAGAAAAGGAATTTGACATATGCAATGTGACGGTATATTGATGAAGTCTCTAATTAGGAATTGTTAGGTTAGGTTAATTAGTTAGGTGATTCTCACTAGACTTATATTCGATATCAAATCCCATACATATATGGAGATAGAGATAATATTAGAGGTATTGGCGTATGTACACATTAAGTTTTCAAACAAAATGTATTTATGTCATTTATCTACATATCTCAATCTATGGACAGCCAATCCTTATCAAATGAACTACAGCAAAATCGTTGCAGGGAATTTATAAATGCATTCATACAATTATATTTCCAGTATCAAACCTAAAAAAACTAAAACATTGAAGTTCTGTGTTAAGAATATGTCGTATATCGTAAAGCAACTGTGTGCTATATGTGCAGGTTCAGGCCCCATCCAGCTGTGGCAGTTCCTGCTAGAGCTCCTCACCGACAAAAGCTGCCAGGGGTTCATCTCGTGGACCGGAGATGGATGGGAATTCAAACTCACCGACCCAGATGAAGTAAGTGTCTTGTTTTACTTCTCACTTTAATGTATTTTTTGCAATCTATACTAATATTAAGAAATTTCTGTATAATTATAGATTAGTTCCTATTTAGAATACCCGTCCCAATTATAATTCGCATATTGAGCAACGCACACCCATAAGGCTAAAACGCAACGCATATAATAGATAAAACCAACGATAAGACTCGAACATAGACCATGTCCCATATTTTTAAACAATTAATAATAATGGAGAGTTACATCCGCCTACGTATACGCTGGTGGGGCACCAGTAAAGAATTATATGTTTAGACGTACTATCCCTAGGTACATTACGGGCCTGTATTAAGTTTGTCTGAATTTATTAAAAATAAATACTATGTATATATAATATTTATAATAAGCTGTTTTATTGCTCAGGTGGCGAGACGCTGGGGCATTCGCAAAAACAAGCCGAAAATGAACTATGAGAAACTGTCACGTGGTCTACGTTACTACTATGACAAGAATATAATCCACAAGACAGCCGGCAAGCGCTACGTCTACCGCTTCGTCTGCGACCTGCAGAGCTTGCTCGGGTAATTGTTTTAGTTTTCTATATGTACCATACCTTGTAGACTTAACCTAAATAGGCCGTCAGGTTAGGTTGCCATCCTGATGGCAAGACTAAAGATTACTAAAGATTGCCTTTGTCAGAGTTAGACAAAAGGTTAAAAGAAAGAACACCTTGGGGTTTTTAGCCGGTAGCCGGACCCCCGTCCGGCGGTACCTGTCAACCGACACGGGCGGGTCTCAATGAGGATTTTCTCATATTAAAAAAAGGGTGAGGTAGTTAGAGGCATTATTGTCTCTCGACGTCGACGTTTTACGTTTGTCTATACTTCGCCAAGTGTAACTGAATCCAACGCGGCAGAGCTGAGCCTATCTTGTCTGGTTGATTACCGATGTTTCCATTACCAGAGAGTCAGTCAAAATAAATACACAAAATATTTTTTGTCGGCGAGATTAGAACTCACGACTCGATCTATATCTTAGTTGTAAATGACTACCACGACGCTCTTTTTGTGTAATTTTTTAGTTTTTTACCTCTTCAACTTTAATGTTTTTTACCGATCATATATTTGACCTACCTACTAAATAGATATATTATTATATAGATTGCTAGATTTAACATTGCATCTTCATGTACAAAAGCATGATAAGAATTGTAAAAATATTATATAAATATTCTGATTTCATTTTTTTTACTGATTTTAATTTATTTTTTCACAAATGTTTAAGTTATTTATTTAACGGAAATATGTGCCTACTTATAACTTATGTTTCTATTCTGTTACAGAATATCGCCGGAGCAGTTACACGCAATGTATGAACCCAAAATGGAAAAGAAAGATGACGACTGAGCGACTCTTGTGCGCCTCGATCGCAATACACTTCAAACCTACAGCGATCAACACTCACAGATATACCACACGAGCTCAGCCAACGAGCTTAAAACTCTGATGTCATGAAAATACCCTTCAGTTAGCTCGACCGATGTCCGCATTGCGTTCCTTTATCTTTATACAGATATATTTTATAATTGAGCATACATTGAAACTATATGGTACTCGCTAATATTGTAATGAAGGCTGCTTTATAGAAAAGTGAAAAGTCATCATGTGATAAATTTTATTATACACTTATAGACAATGACAGAATTAAAGTACTCGTACATTTCTTTCCATAAACATTATCTTATTGAGATTCCATTATTGAAAAAAATGTTTTATAATTTATATTTTCAGTCACTCAACAATTTATGGATAAAAACCTTAGTTCGTTTCGCATGATAGTTCGTGCCAAAAAACTTGAAAATTTATTAGATATAAATTTTCTAGTTTTTTGGCACTTCGATAACAAGAATGTGAATAAAAATTTGTGACAAATGCTTTTAATACTTCTTTTAGGGGTGTTATTCTAGAACTGAAGTCGTATTATATTGTGTCTCATAACGATGTCGGATTTGATCTCATACACAACCACCAGTTGAATTGTTATTAATACTTACTAACTACAGCCAAATCAATATCCATATTATGCCTTTTATATGGAAAGTCTATGCTATACCTACTCACATTTTATATTGATGTATAAATAAGTACCAAAAAGACCAATGGTGCCTTATCACAAATGATTGTTATTCAATTATTAAATAAAATATAAATATTATTTACGTCTCGTTAGAATCACCCAGTATTGAGCACTAACTTATTTAATAATTTCTAATCCAACAGTAATTACTGATGTACCGATATTAGATAGGGTACTATACGAAATTTTTAAATTATCGAAAAAAGTCAACGGGCGAAACTATTTACCTAGTGCTAAAATAGTAAAATTCTGCTATAATTTTAACAATAACTGTAAATATAAGTTAATTTTGTTACTTTATAAAAATAATTAGGTATTATATTATAATAGGTATTAAGTGTTGTATGTTTGATTGGCAGATTGTTGCAATATGCGGTTTAATAAAAACATAGATGATGACGGACATGGAAATTTCTAAACAAACAATTAGTTCTGTAAAGTCCAAAGATTTTCAAAACTTATTTTATAACTTCCCACCAATTGGAAAAATATCGTGAAATATTAACTAAAGGACTTCGTCACTGTGCAAATTCTGTACACCAATATATTACAATATACACAAACAAGGTTTTCAACTCAACCCGAATTACTTAATGATAATTATATAGACAATTTTAACTGTGTCATGATGCATATAAGAAAAATCGAAATTTAAAGCAACACCGGGTGACGTCATTAGTCGCTGATCTCGTGGTAAGGGATTGTAATGTCTTACTAGTTATGAAATTAATTAGTTGTATTATTTTCAATTTTTGTAGATCCTAGCATACACCGAAGATATTTCGATAAGTTTATTTTGTAAAGTATTTCTCCATCAATATCATACTCCATTTCTTTTCAAGTGCAATGCTTTCGGTAGGACATATTTACGGAATTTTTACATTGTTTATTAATGGTGCTCGATGTTTCTGAACACAACTAAATTAAGTATATTATAACGTCTTCCCTGTCTATTATACTATATTGTTTAGTCGCCACTTAGTACATATTTTCAATCCTGTATTCGTTGGTACCTATAGACTACTGAATTCTGACATCTGTTTTATTAATTTAATATAAACATTAGTCGAGCTGTAAAGCGAGAAAGAATTATAGATATTATGGCATAAACGATGTAGGTATATGCTGAACTTTCAAGCTGTATTTTTATTAGGCGTTGTATGCTATCAATGTATGTAAACTTGAATTCCAAACACACGCCATTACCAAGTGATACCCATTGTAGTTACGGCCAAATTTTGAATGTATAAGTGTCGTTGTATGTATTGATGGAAGATATAAATTTAAATATATATATATTTACGAAATGACTTGTTGTTTCTTTTAGAGCATTCATTTCATTCTCAATAGATACCCTAGATACAGAAACCTAATTCGGGAAGTCTGCTGACATTCCATACATTTAACAGTAGAAAAACTGTATTTATTGATATTCCTGGTATCAATAATTGATCTGAGTAGTCCTTTTAACTATCAATGCCCTTTAATCAAAAATGGTCTTGTGATTTGTAAATCTATCACTATCTGCATTACTATGTAACTCGCGGATTGTAAGTTCTTATTTATACTTAAGTAGTTACATTGTAATATGCCCACATTATCAATAAATAGTGTTTACAACTCATGTGCCAACAGATATGTCACTAGACAACTTGCAGCCTGTCTGTGATGGTGACCGTCGAATCGATTGTAAACTGATATGGATATCTATAGACTACCTTAGACACTATATAGTACCCAGACAAAATATCATGCCTACTCATGGCCATGAATAAAAATATTTGTGCGTGAAATGAAACTCGAGATTATCGGAATTAAGGCGGTATGCTTCAACGTAGTAAACTCATATTGTCAGGTATTCCTCACATTTTTCATGATGTTCTGACTTCACCTCGGCCATAGATATTATTATAGAGTCACGTGGGGCAAGTGTGCGCAGCGGGTAAGTGTACGCACTCGAAGTATTTCAAAAACGGTTTATAGGTACGAACTGATAACACCCCTCCTCATTAGCGCACAAAAGGCTATACTTAGTGCAACTTTTTCACTGTCCGCCGGTGAACCATTTTGTTTCCGTAAGTGAGTATTGTTTTTTGCTTGAAATATTGCGATTTTTGTCTTAAATGAGAGACTCATTCCTTTGTAATATATTTATATTTTGAAATCATGCTTTATACCATCGAACAGTACATTTTATGTAATATAAGCCGTGTTTAATCTTTTGGTGATGACGATTACGTAATATTGCTCAGTTCTGGTTAAATTTTATTTTGATGGTTTGGGGTAAGTGTGCGCATACGAATGTCGGGTAAGTGTGCGCATGCGAATACTTACCCCGCTCCGCTTTGGCTTTGTATTTATGATGCAATTTGTTATTTCAGAGTTTAATTATACATAAAAAATGCCTCGATTATAAAAGAAATGCCGGATAGACGTGTTGTCACAGAGGAACAGCTAGAAGCTGTTAAAATATTAATTTCGGAGGTTGGTAGCAAACGACAGTGTGGCACCCGCAATAATGAGTGTACCTTCGTCTAGGAATGAATATGTACGACTGTCATCCATCCAAGAAATACCGATGTTGGCCTTTTGCATTTCTTGGATGAATGACTGTGATTCAAAATCGGCGAAAGAAAGGCAAAAAGTCAATCATTGATACTGTAAGTCCTTATAAAGTAGAATTGGAAAAACAAAAAACAAGAGGAAGAATAAATTGCCAAAAAAGAAGATACGACTTGATCTGAAAATAAATAAAATGATGAGCAGGAATTATTTTGCCCACTGTGTGGAGAAAAATACATATTTCCACCGAATGAAGACTGGATCCAATACAGCATCTGTAAGAGCTGGTGGCATGAACAATGCAATAACTTTGAAAAGGAATTATTTGAACTGATGTATTATTAGGTTGAGGATGTCTATTTTCTGGTTTATCGTATGAGTCTGACTCTATTTACTGTATGTTACATGTTGCGTACACTTACCCGCACTACTGCGCACACTTACCCCTATACTTGGGTAAGTGTGCGCATTTAAACAGTTTTGATTTTGTTGATTTCCAAAGAATTTGTGTAAATGATAATTATTTATTTTGCGTTTAAGTTGTTGATTATTAAATATTTTATATAATAAACCTTGTTTTGTTCCAGTTAACTTCAAATATTTTATTATATGATACTTCAAACCTTAAGTGCGCACACTTGCCCCACGTGACTCTACATATGTGGCATCAAGAGGGGATGTAAAATGCCATGGTCAGTATTAACGTTGGGACCAGTTGGAACATCATTCCATTGTCAAAACCTAAAAATAAAATAAAATATTGGGATTTTATGACAAAATGGGCAAATAAGGAAACACCATTTTATTCGCAGTCGTCTTTTTATTAATATGTTTTCTCTTTTTATATACAAATAATAGGTATATGTCAATATAACAAAGGAGTTTTATGTCCAACATCCCCCCTCAATTTCTAATCTAGTAAATTTGAAATTGTTACTATGATACGTACGAACATACATCGAACATCACCGTATATAATATCGATAGATGGTGTCACAACACTAATCTTAATTTGAAATTTATACAATACATTAGAAGTCGAGTTTACATTATATTCACTTTGAAAGTTAAATAAGAATGTTGGTTGAAAGATTGAGCTTTAGCAAATACATCGGAAATATTTTTTACTTTCTACATAGGATAAATTAATGATTTTCTTAGCAATAATATCTTTTACGGAATGAGATTTAATATCTATGTGATTTGATCTTTTACTATTTTCGTAGCTTTCAATTAATCTCAGACAATGGAATGCAAATGAATAAATAAATAAAAGGCCCCGCAGGTGAGTGCGTGTACCCACACGCCTTGTGAAGAAGTATACATACTTCTTAGCGAGCTGTTACTTAGCAACAAACATTATAAATACTATCATTATTCTATGTATAAAAATTCTCTCAATAAAAAATAGTGTCTTTTAAGCTTTTTAATATATTTCTTATAAATAACAAAACATTCCACTACGCTCAACACTAATTTACTTAATATGGTAGCAGAGCGATAAACAGTAACGATTTTATGAGAATTCCTATAAAATGTCGGTTACAAAAATTGAGCCCTTAACAAAAGAGAATTACGACACTTGGGTAATTCAAGCTGAAGCTATCCTTGTAAGACATAAATTATGGAAATATATTGAAGCGCCCTTGACTGCTGATAGCACTTCAGATGAAATAGAAGGAGATAGACAGGCAAAATCGGAACTTGTATTAATAATCTCGCCTTCTGAACTGAAGCAAATAAAAAATTGCATCACAGCAAAAACATTATGGGACAAACTAAAAGACATTTATGCTAGTAGAGGTCCTGCAAGAAAAGCAACTCTATTAAAGAAATTAATCTTGACAAAACTTGAAGGAGACGATGTTCGCAGTCAGCTAAACAATTTTATGGATACTGTCGAAAAACTGGCTGATATGGACATATCAGAATAAATGAAGATTTGTTAACATTTATGATGTTATACAGTCTGTCGTCAGAATATAACAATTTCAGAGTCGCTATCGAATCACGCGACGCACTTCCAAAGCCTGATGTACTTAAAACGAAAATAATAGAAGAATGTGAAGCACGTCATCATCAAATTACAAATAATAATGAACCTGAATGTTCTTTTAATGAAGAAGCACATTACGCTTCCTGTAAAATTTGTAAACGAAAGGGGAGCATTTTTAAACGCAAAGGTCACAAAATTTGTACAAATTGTTGGAAGAAAAATAATGAGAGTAAGCTCAATAAACTTAATAATAGTTATGGCTGTACATCTCATATGACTTATCAACGCGATCTTTTTAAGAATTTAGAAAAAACCTCCAAGAAATTAAACTTTGCGACAGCAGAACTCACTGCTGATATTAAAGGAAAAGGCACAGTAACCTTTTTATCTAAGAATGGTAAGAATTATGCAGTTACTAACTTGCAAAACACGCTGTATGTACCAAGCCTGTGTACTAATTTAATGTCAGTTAGCAAGATGACAGATGCTGGTTGCTCTGTTGTATTTAATAAGAATAAAGCAACAGTTAATAATCCTAAAGATGGAATAACTATCACGGCATTCAAACATGAAGATGGTCTATATTATATTAAACCTATTAATCAAGAACGCAACAATCTGGTCGATGATAATGATGACAATGTTTCAAGCAAGACTAAAAAGGAAACATCATCAAACATCTATGAGTGGCACAGAAAACTTGGTCACATGAATGCCAAGGATCTTAAATTTGCACTTACAAATAAAAAGTTAATAGGCTTGAACTTCGATACTTCTGAAATGCTGAATGATTGTGAAACTTGCATCCAAGCAAAACTTCATCGAGTACCTGCTCCTCGTGAGAAAACGACATTACATACTACAGAACATTTGGAAATCGTTCACAGCGATGTATGCGGTCCAATAAGAACGCCTACAGTAAGTGGAAACAAGTACTTTGTTACGTTTATTGACGACTACAGTAGATATAGTAGAGTCTACATAATTAAAAACAAGAGCGAAGTCTTTGAAAAGTTTAAAGAGTATAAAGAATTAGCAGAAACATACACTGGAAATAAAATCAAGTTCTTACAGTCCGATAATGGCACTGAATATGTAAATAAAGAGTTTGATACTTATCTAAAACAATGTGGTATACAACGAAGGCTGACTGCACCTTATACTCCAAACCAAAACGGTATAGCTGAAAGGAAAAATCGTACACTGGTGGAAAAAGCAAGAGCAATGATGATTGATGGAAATACACCTTTAAAACTTTGGGGCGAAGCTATAGTTACAGCAAACTATCTATCTAATAGGAGTATTAATAGCGCTATTGAGAACCAAACGCCATTTGAACGGTGGGTTGGAAGAATACCATGCATTAATCATTTGTACGTGTTCGGCTGCAAGACTTTTGTTCTTCTCAAAGGTATTAATGGTCACAAATTTGCACCCAAAGCAATACCTGGTATGTTTGCGGGATACTCTGAAACATGCAAAGCATTTCGAATATTTATACCTTCGAAAAACAAAATACTTACTTCAAAAGATATTAAAGTCATGAAGATCATATTCTATGATAAATCAAATAATAAAGAAGTCCTTAGTATTAATGGTATTAACAAACCTGAATTGAAAAATGAACACCGTAAACAAACTTCATTTCAAGAAACACCTCGTAAACAAATTAGTATTAAACTTGATGGAGTTGACGAGGAAGAATTTCGACAATCAGAAACAGTTGATGGGGGCGATAATGAATTGTTGCAACAAAATTTAATTAATAGTACTAATAGTAATGATAACTATCAATTATTGGAACATGAAATGAATGATGGTAATGATATATCTATTAATAATTCATTTGATGAAGATGAATCAGAATTGTCAGAAAACGTTATACAAACAAGAACTTTACGAGACAGATCAAATATAAATCTTCCTAAGCGTTATGATGATTTCATTATGGCCGCAGTTGAAGATATTGAAAACAAACCCAAAGAACCTGTAACATTTAAAGAAGCAATTCAGTCATCAGATAGGGAAAAATGGCAAGAAGCTATGTTGAGTGAAATAATGTCACTTGAACAGAATGAAACCTGGGATTTGGTGGATCTACCTAAAGGTCGAAAAGCCTTACCCTGCAAATGGGTTTACAAAATAAAAATGAACCCTGATGGTTCTGTCGAAAGGTACAAAGCCAGAATGGTGATCAAAGGTTATTCCCAGAAACCTGGTCTAGATTAGGGCAAAACATTTAGTCCAGTAGTTCGTCTGAGCACAGTCAGAACACTTTTAGCCATAGCTGTCCAAGAAAATCTGAAACTATATCAGTTTGATGTATCTACTGCCTTTTTAAACGGTACAGTAAGCGAAGAGCTATATATGAAACAGCCAGAAGGCTACCAAGATGGTACGAAGAGAGTCTGTAAACTAAAGCGCAGCCTCTATGGGTTAAAACAAGCGCCTCGGTGCTGGAATACATGCATTGGAAAGTTTTTAGAAGAAAGCGGATTCAAACAGAGCGAATATCCATGCTTGAACAGAGCGCAGATCCATGCTTGTACATCCGAGTTAGAGAGAATTCCAAAATATTCCTTGGTCTTTATGTTGATGATGGACTGGTAGTATACGATGAAGCTACAGCAGGAACGGAATTTATAAATGAATTAAAAGCGCGATTTAAAATCACAACAAAGCCTGCAACATATTTCCTAGGGATGGAAATTAATGTACAGAAAGATAATACTATAACACTATGTCAAAATGCGTATTTAAAGAAAATTTTAGAGAGATTTGGAATGACTAATTGTAAATCTGCACCAACGCCGATTATTAAAGAAAATTTAGTTAAAGACAGAGACAATGTTATGCCAAATTTTCCATATAGACAGGCTGTGGGTGCATTATCATATCTTTCAGTAGGCACACGGCCTGACATATCATATGCAGTAGGTGTCGTGTCCAGAAACCTTGAAACACCTACTAATAATGACGTAATGTTGGTAAAGCGCATTTTACGTTATTTGAAAGGTACACAAGAAAAAGGACTCAGATTTGAGTCACTATCGTCATCCAAACGTTTAATCTGTTACAGTGATGCAGATCATGCAGGAGATCAGACTACTGGTAGATCGACATCTGGAATGGTTTGCTTACTTTCTGGAGCTGCTATTAGTTGGAGAAGCCAAAAACAACCAACGGTATCTATTTCCTCAACTGAAGCGGATATTATAGCAGCAAGTGAATCAACACAAGAGATTTTATGGTTAAAGAGTCTGCTCAATAGTCTGATTACAACTGAAAAAACGTTGTTGTATCTAGATAATGAATCAGCTGTGAAACTTGCACATAACCCAAAATACGAATATCACAAGCGCACTAAACACATTAAACTAAAACATTTCTTTGTAAGAGAATGTGTTAGCAATGGAGATTTCGATGTGCAGCAAGTTTCATCAGAAGAACAGCTAGCCGATATGTTAACGAAACCCTTGTTCGGTCCCAGGCTAGAAAAGCTAAGTTCCAAAATAGGATTAAAGAATTTAACTTTAAATTCTTAAAACTTCCGAGGATGTGAAGAAGTATACATACTTCTTAGCGAGCTGTTACTTAGCAACAAACATTATAAATACTATCATTATTCTATGTATAAAAATTATCCCAATAAAAAATAGTGTCTTTTAAGCTTTTTAATATATTTCTTATAAATAACAAAACATTCCACTGCGCTCAATACTACGCCTCCACTATGAAGTAGGACGAAATAGGTCGCCATAAGCACCGTGAAATGGGACCTACTCAACAACACCTACAGGGCAGGCCGTCGCCGTTGGGGTCGGGGTAGAATGCATATGCGAATCCCGTGGCTCCGGCATAGCCGCTTGCAGGTACACCATGTGGTTTTTAGTGTCTAAAAATGCCACGCACTGCCTCGCCATCCCTCCAGTGGGGCGACGTCTTTGAAGATTTTCCAGAATTTATTAAAAAGGGGGCAAGACGTCTCAGGTATTAATTTTTGTATAATCTTGTTTCCTGTTTCCTTCATCAGCCAGTCAAAAATATAAATTTACAAACATTTGTTTTTTTGGTATCTGTCTGAGATTCAGGTGCTTTTTTTCTTCCATTATCATGCATTAAGAATGTTGACTACGGTTAGTAAGTGTACCTACCTACATAATGTATCTATATGCGCAATTTCTCCATGTAGGTATGTATGATGTGACAAGAATAAACAAGATAACGAATGTTATGTATGAACATTAGAATAATTATGAGAGTGACAGTGTCAAGGAATTTTAAGAATAATCCTAAGTATTCATATATAATAATGCGTAGGAACTACTAAATTAAAATAATTACATAATATTAAAAAAACGCGTTGTATATGAACGTGAGGATAGTGATTAAATGCTCAATACAGATACCTTAGATGCCAATAACAAATTAATGACGTCTGAACGTCAATCACTCCCATCTAAAATGTCAAACGAGTAGTCACTAATCTGTACAATCCGTACAGATGTTAAAATTGTTAAAATTATATATTATTTTTTTCAGCTCATACCTATGTAACCAAATGAATATTCTGTGAAATAAATTAAACATATAGCCCTTAACCAATTAATAAAGTAACTATGAAGTTGTCCCAAGTTTTAAATCGACAACATATTGGTTTTATGTTTAAAAAACATTGGCTCGTACAGGGTAAACGTGTACCTATAGAAACCGGAGTTGAAGAAGTGTTACGAGCAAAAGGCATTCCTGTACAAGATGCGCGTGATTTTATTAAAGAAAAACCTGGACGAAAACAACAGTAATTGTGTTTTATAGCCTTATAGTTTGAGCTAAATATTTACTTATAGATTCATAACCTATTATACACAAACAGGGTAGGAGATCGTTAGTAAAGGGAATTAGTGGCCCCATTTTTGGCATTGTACTGTGTCAGGTCACGGTCTTCCCTGGAAACGATCGCGGTTAATTCCTGATGAATTTGCCATAATGGATTAACTGACTTCAGTATACCCTTTAATGGGGCACCATTGAAGCCAGTGTATATCGTTAGAGCAGGCGGGTGCACTATCATCATACTAAAAATACCACTAGTAGTCAGTTTTATATTTATGAAAATGCTTCTTTTACTCTGTATTATTATTCAAACTTCAAATATCTTTTTATAATCAGAATTTTGAATAATAATACCATAATATAATTTCTTTTAGTATCAATGTAGTAGGAAACTATGAAGCACCTTTACCACTAAATGAAAATCATCCCGACTATAAAGAAAAACCTTGCTATACCCTCAAAAATACAAATGTTCTATTAGAAGGGATAGCTCAAGCACAAGTCATCACTAAAACAGTTTTAGTTGAAGATAAGCTCCCACATAGAATTGAAGAGCTAGCTGAAATAGTGGCACCAAAAGCTGTTCATGATGGTGTTAAAAAAGCCATATTATCTGCTAATGTATTTGATGCTGAACAGACAAAACTTCCTAAAATAAAAGATCCAGAAAGACCAGCATACAATTTCCCTAGAATATTAGGAATCAGTGATAGAAGACGCAAGTAAGTTATTTTTGTTCATTTCATATATCAAAGATTTCCTTTGAATGACAATAAAACTATAGTAGTCCAATAACATTATGAGAGTCTTATTAATGTGTACATATGATAAAAAAAGTAACCCATTGCTGTACATGAAAGATATATAAGAATAACTATGAGGGAACTTGATCAATATAATATAAACCAAAATAATGATTCTTTCAATCTTTGTCTGTACATGTTGTGTGTTCATCTCAGAAAAATCAACCAATTTGAGTGTGACTTATACTTGCATGTTGCAGTAAGTTTCAGAGTAAATGTAGCAGTTTATATACAAAAAAGTTAGCCTCTTAGTTAACTTTTAAGTTTGTAATAATATTTAATGGTGATTACTCTCTAAATTTTGGAAAAATAGAAACTGGAAACTTTTACACATATATGTGTGTAATGAATTTCATAATAACTGTTCACAACAGAACATAGTGTTGTGAACAGTTATTATGAAAATCTTTTTATTTCATACCTATTTCTTTTTTTGGTCCATTTTATGCATGATTATATTTTATTTCTATACAAAGAAAACTTATAATATGTTAGCACCACATATTATTTTTATTTATATAATAATATTTTATACTATGTACATTTGATGTTTAAAACCACTACATCCTTGTGAAACAATCTTCATATCTGTAAACAATTTCTAAACCAGTTTTGTACATTTTGTTATTGGCAAATGCGACTCATGCTCAGCCAAAAAAGAATACAGACTGATCACTATTTTTTTAATTGTATACTTTTTTGCAGCCAAATTTTAACAAATAAAATACTTCAGCTTGTTGAAAAAAGCAGTGATATAGAAGTTAGTCTATCGAAATATGTTGTAAATGATGTTGAATGCAGAACTATTTTTGACAAGGAGGATGATTTGATACAGTTTCATGAAGTTTCAAATATATTAGTGACAAGCAACAAACCTCTCAGTCATGACACAGAGAAAGATATACCATTTGTTGGGATACCAGACCTATATCCTGTTAAACATACCATTACTATACCTCAAGAGCATTTTTATAGTGACAGCAGTATATACCGTATGTATTAGATATTTAGTTTATAAAAAGTTGTTATTAATGTTAAAGTGTGTCTTAAGTTTATTTACTTGTTTAGTTCAGAAATTTCCTAATAAATATTTAGATTCTACTATTGCATCCATCTTTGCTTACTTTTTATATACCATATTGGTTACAAATTGTCAACTAAATCATGTTTACAGTAAGTTAACCTAAGTACTGCTTGTAACATTTTGTATATCCTAAAATATGTATAAATAAGTAAAATATATCATCATGAAGGCCTTAAAGATGGTTTAGTTGAGTCTAGACTACTCTTGAAATATTATTTGTAAATGAATATATTTTTTTCTCAGCAATTCGACCCAGCGTGACCATGAGGCATCCTCACACGACATGGTTGCATTTCAACAGTACTGAAGTCAGTAACATATATGAAACTCCAGTGACACTACCACAAATCTTGGGAAGGTCGCTCACACATGCTTTTGCTCTAGCCGCATCCTATGCTAAACAATTATATGGGGTTTGTAATTTTCCTTACTTAGAATATATATAAGCAAATATTTTTTTATTTATTTATTCAATCGAATCAAGCATGTGAGTTCAAAGAAATAATAAATATAGATCTTTATTACCCTTATTATTCCGGTTATACACCTCTAAAGTTATAGTATTCTACACATACCTTTGTAGTTGTGATCTTTATCTTTTTATTTAATTTATTATTCTTATTTATATGTAATAAAGTTTTAAAATGGTGACAAAGAGAAAACTGTTTGTTAATATTTACGCAAAAATGGATGGCGGAAGAAATATGAAAGTTTCACAATGAATATTGTTAAGTATGGGACAACATTAGAGGTACTTGAGAAATAGAGCCCTGAAGGGGGTAATAATTTATTCATTTTATGAACATTATCAGTACGCCATCTATAATTTTTAAAATTAATTAATCAAATAATATATCAGTTTATCACCATCAATAAATGATGATTTATTAATATACATGTGCACGAAGTCTCGGACACCAATTGGCACAAATGCTATAAAATAAAAACACTTAGTAATCTACACAACTGAAGAATCTAACATCATAATGGAAGTTGTAAATATATTAGCATTTATTTTTAAATATTATTTCAGGAAGATGTTAAAGATCTACCAGAACCTGTTTACATTAACTGCATACAAACAGATGGGCAGAACTATCACTTTGGCGTGTTGGAATTGAACACTCTCAATGTAGACGGCAAAGAAGGAACTACTAACGTGTGGTACTGTAAAAATAATTTGACACTATATGACTCCAGCAGATACTTTAGTGGTATGCCAGTACTTGAAAATTACAATCCAAAAGTGTATGGATACATCAATGCATTTTACAACTGTTAATTAACGTAAATCTATTATGTAAATTGAAATTTTATTAGTCTAATAAAAATATGTACAAATTAATTCGTCTTTGTAACATTTAATGTATGTACTCAACACCTACAAATTCCAAAGCCTAACCTAACCTAAAAATTCAAATCACAAATTGTAGTACAATCAAATACTATGTAGTTGTTCACCTATATATATAGGTAGCTAGTAGTAAAAGTCATCACATAATTTTCATATCAAGTTAACTACAATACAACACCAGCATAATGCTGAACTGAACAATAAAACTAGTCAAAAAGTGGGAAGACAAGCTATGACGTCTGCAAGGCATGGAGTAGAAGATATCGGATGTAAGAATACACCTGCCCATGTTACATAAGATATAAGATTCAAAAATTGGAATTAATATAAAAAAGTAAAGGACTATGTTATGTATTCATGTATATATCCCATTATATTTACAAGAACATAAATACATTCACTTGATTAGAATACATAATGCTTACGAGTACCAAAACACTTTGTACATTAAATAATGGTAAGTTAGGAAAGGAACGAAAATTATATCCATAACGAACAAGCTCATTTATCGACAGTAAATTTCTGCAGTCGACGTCTTCTCAGTTCCTCAGTGTCGGCATCAGTCTTGTCTCTGAGGAAGAGAATATATTGATAAAAAATCTATATAGAACAAATTAAAATCCATTTGAGAACTATTTAATGTCAGTGAGAAGAATTGTTAATACAACACAATCTATTTGTGTTATAGTCTCTATAGACTGACAAAGAACGGTTCTAACCTTCTGGTATAATTGATGTTGACTCATCAAAAGGGCGCACACTATGGTGTGTTTTTACATCTAAGAACCTTTATTGTATTGAAATAGAAAATTTTACCATCATATTTTACTAACCTACTAGAACTAGAAGGGGCTGCGCTCTCAGGTATGTATTCATCCGGCTGCAGAGTGGTCTGTGGTGACGTAGGAGTTGGCTTTTGACTGGTGGATGTGGTCGGCACCACATCTGGCTCCACCTTCACGTTTGACGGCGATGGTTCTGAAGTCGACTCTGATTTACTGTAATTTAAAAATACATATATTTAGGAGTAAAATTTACGATTAGGATATTAAGTGTTGCGCTCACTACGACGTTGAATTGATAAAGCATACACATAAAATTAACACAACATAATAAAATGTTGCGCCCGTGAAATTAGTCTTACAGTGTTGTTTATACCTAACTAGCTATAAACAACTATGTAAGACTAATTTCTATACATATGAAACTTCCTCTTAAATCACTATCTACTGTTATCAACTGAATTAAAATCCGTTGCGTAGCTTAAAAAATCTAAGCGAAAAGACAACAGAAGCGACTTCATTTTCTACTTTGTAAAGATACTATAAAAGTATGACGGGAGCAAGTGCCTACATACCAAGTAGTCCTATGTCCAAGTTCACAATACTTTTTTTACAGCTCAACCCAATTAAAGCAAATATGAATTTTATATAAAATCTATAATCTATTATTACGAAGTCTATGGTTTTCTTTGCCGTATTATAAAGTTTGTTATAAATAGTATTTATAATGTCAAACTTCGTAAGATAAACGATGACTAAGAAATAACTGTCTCAACTGTAGAAATTGAAACAATGAAATTATGGGATTACATAATATTATATAGCGATTCTGCCATCTGGGAGTAATAATACACAATATTCGGTACTTTACTCTTAACAGATACAAGTAAAGCCTGAATGAATATGTTTTGTACACAACTAATATACTGGGAAGTGTTCTAATTGTGATTTGATAAAAAAATAAGTAATTGTAGCTCACACTGCTTCTGTCTGGGTCCCGATAGTAATGCTGTTCTGTGGTAGGTTCGCCACCACAGCCGAGTACTGTTGCATGAGGAGTACGGACGCGTCCAACATAGCTTCAATCTCACGGAGCAACTGTAACAATCAAACGAAGACATCTTGCAGATCATTTTTGGAATAATTTGTAGATATTAGTATTTGTTTATGTCATATTAAAAATGGTGTTTTATATTTGGTGATTGTAGTATATTATACATATAGACAAAATTTTGTGACATGGTTTGTCCGTTAGTTTAAAGGGCGCAGACACCTCTGTACGATGAATTATCTTTGAATGTTAAAAGAGTAAATAAATAATATTTTACATATATACTAGTAGCAGTAATATATTTATATGTAAAATCCAATGAAATAACTATAATTTAATTAAAATACATACATTATTTGGTGGAATTAATACAGTTTATACAAGTTGGAGAAAATATCAAATTTTACACTGATTTAAATTTGACGCGGTCATTATTTATACGGACTCTTCAGTTTAGCCGTGATCATGGCGGTTGAAACACTGCTGAAATATCGGAAACTTAATAATTTAAGCGTATTAAGATCCTGTGACTATTCCTAGGATCCAATTTAGTTCTATCATTAAATTATTACAAGGTTTACCTGCAGTCGGGCCTCGATGTTCCTGCGTTCGTTTCCTTCCATGCGCTGCAGCTCGGCGGTGGAGAGGTTGGCCAGCGACGCGGGCCGCGGGGGCGGCGGCGGAGGCATGCCCCACGCCATCATCGCTGACAAATATATATGCACCGATATTAACTGAGCCGACAGACGTCCTACCACAACTATGACATTTTGACTTATCACAGGGCATAGGCTATAACTTAAAAATATATTATGTTAATTGATTGAAATATAATGATAAATGTCAAGTAAGCGCGATGCAGACGAAGTTCCGCGGAGCAGCTAGTAATAAACAAATGTGATACTAACGTGGTGGCGGCATGTTAGGGAAGGGCGGCGGCACCGCGGTCCCGACGCCGGGCGCGGGCGGCGGCTGGGGCGGCGCGGCGGGCGCCCGGGCCGCCCCCGCGGCCGCGCCGGGCCCGGGGCCGGCGGGGGCGGGGGCGGCGCCCGCGGGGGCGGCGGCGGCGGCGGCGGGGGCGGGGGCGGGCGCGCGCAGCACGTTGAGGCGGCACGTGGGGCACGTCTGCTGCCGCTGGAACCACAGCCGCAGGCACGCCGCGTGGAATATGTGGTTGCATGGAAGCTTCTTCGCACCTTAACAATATTACGAGTGTTCATCAGTCCATATTCTATTTATTTATGTATCATTTTTTAATTGTAAATATGCTTGAGTTTATCCATTATAAACAAAACATCAGGTCTATATATATATATATATATATATATATATATATATATCTTATATTTACCAGTGTGCATTTCCTCGCGACATATAATACACTCGTTGTCGGCGGCTGCAAGTTCGGCGGCAGTCGCGTCGGGGTACAACGTGTTCATGTTACGTATAGCGCGTCGAGACAAAACCACGTCATTGTATGCCTTTTTGAAACTCCTGAAACAAAATAATTATACTTTCCAACACGATAAGAGCAATTAAATATTTTATAACATCACCAAAATTGTCTAGAGTCGCAAATAAGCTAACAGTCCACCTGATAATACATGTGGTTAATTACCTTAGATACTTTCGCCAACGATTTTAACTACTGATGTCATATCAGTGATAACTTTTATATGTATGACGCCTGCATTCTGTGTTTTTGCCAAAGGAAAATTTACTATTATTTTTCTAAACGTAACAATTACATGAAATAAAAGACATAGCTACTTAGTTCATCTTAGTAGTAAACTAAATGATGATGCACACACAAAATTTCCTGCGCAGTTAACTACTTTGTTAATAAGTAAGCATTAAAGTTAACAGATCAATACTATCAAATGAAAATTTAAAACAAAAATAATATCATTAGAATGTTATGTTAGTTTAAAATGAAATACCTCATAGTCTCATACATGGGACGGAACGCAAATAGTGGCAAGGTGTAAATTCGAACCATTACAGCCACAAATCCCATGTACAGAAGCACTTTGAGGAAGTTTATGGCTAGTTCTGTGTAAAGTAGAACAGCTGCTTTGCTCTCCCATGGTGCCTCCCATCTTGAGTCAATAGCATGTAGAACATACTAGAACAAAATATATATTCATGTATATAAGAATATAAGCATCAATTAATATTTTGTTCTATCATAAAGTATTATAAATATAAATTATTCAAGTATTTATCTACATTAATAGAAATTCTTACAACTGATAGTTACAATAGCAATACTATATGATAGAACACAACATTCAATAAAGCTTAGTAAATAACATTATTGAAATCTATGTTGCAAAACAGTTAAGCTCTTTCTGAGGTTGATACTCAAAAAAAAAACAGACAAACAAAAGTTCTAACAATCATTATTTAGGGTTCTTTTAGGATGATACATACATACATACATTACATTTTTTAGTAACTTTAATAGACAGACAAACAATTATACAGTTAACATAATAAAAAATACAGTCAATTAGTTACCTTTATCAGTATATTCACAATCATTATAATAAGAATGCTGTATTCAAATCCAAACACTAGTTGAACAGATGGCCCTTTTGATGCTGTGAATTGGTATGCATGGTAAATAAAGTAGAAGTCAGCATGTGCCAACAGCTTCAGCAAGCTCAGAATCCTGATGTGAAATATCCAGCCAATTACTGGACTACGTTCCATCTAAAAATATAATAATGAAAATAATAATAAAAGTTTCACTGAGGTTTTAAGTAATACAATAAAATGGCAAGATAATATAATAATATGTGTGATTATTACAACTTTGTTTTTGCTGCTTTGTAAAAGATTCTGTACATATTTATTATAAATTTAATGTCAGCAATAGTAATACAAATGGCTAGTAAAAAAAATCTTTACATATAAAAATTATGTGTCATGTTGTTTATCCGTGATGGACTCTCTAAACTGCTGAATTGATCACACATTGTGTGCAATTTGATCCAACTTGAAAGACAGCATAGCTTACATCTCAATTTATAGTTGCAATATTATTTTATTGCAAATTATTTAATATGACAAGAACCTTAGCTACAGCAAAGTGTGGCAGGGTCTGCTAGTATTATATATGTAATACATGTAATATTTAGTAAATACTATGTCACAAAGAAAATTCCATACATTTAATGAATTTACACAATGATATTCAATTTTAATTAATAATTGCTTTCTATATCTATCACAGATTAAAAAGCTTACATAAATTTGTTTTAAACTAAATTTAAATTAATAATAGAAAAGTCAACACTCACATAGTCTACTCTATCTTCTGCAAGCCAGTGGAATGCTTTCAAAAACAGTAGCAATGTAAACAAGGCTATGAATTTTGGATTAAAATCATCTCTAAATACTGTAAATGCCAGGCAAGTCTCTGTGATTGCATACCAAGATCTTTCTATTAAATGCTGAAAGTAAACAAGGATATATTGCAATTAAACATATTATATACAATAACATTATCATTACTACATTTGAATTTAATTTACAAAAAATGTAAACAAACAATTTATCATCAAAATTAATCCAATTCTTCCAGATTAATTTTCAAGTATAACAAATACCTTGTTTTAATTAACTATATAGTGTGTGCTGTAGCATGGTGCGGGTGACAGTTACTATTTTTACATTTAACAATTGCTATATTTAAGATACTACAGTTATTAATGATTATATATATATTACGAATGTAGTACAGCTGAAATACTAAGTCATAATTTAAATTGCTGCAAATTTTAAGAATGAAACAATACAATAATGAAACTGTCACCAGCACTATGCTACAGCGCACATGGTATACTATAAAATATTTAATAGTTGTCTATAGTCAGGTTAGAGATCATGTTGATTACCATTTTATAAATTTCTAGAGTATAATTTTATGTAGAATGTATTATTTATTAGCAGATATAAAATTAAAATGGAAATAAAAATAATAATTATATAATAAAAAATCACAACAATAAAAAGAAACTTATTTCCTTATTTCTCCTTCATGAATATACCAAATATGTTTCATTAAGCCATTAAAGATGGAATGGAATTTGAATAGACTAGAAAACCCACTCAACATTAATAATTATTACAAATAAGTATAAATTGTAATATGATTATGTTAAGTTATGATTAACACAAATAGGGCTGTACTTAGTTTGGTATTACATAGTATTGTGTGATATGTCGAGAGTTTACTCAATAGTTTATATTTAGAAACAACATATGTTTGAGCTATATAACCACAAAACTAAATAATTGTTGACTGCTTAATTAATCTCACAATAATAATATAGTATATACTCACCTCAAACTCTGCAGGACGCAGTTGTCCAAAGAATATCTTTCTTAACAGTTTACCTACCAATAAAACTAAAATAAAAGCTTGCAAGTACATTACCTGTAAAAACAAAACAATCTAGTCATTAAAAAACGATCCAAAAATTTGCGTGCATCTTTATATGCAGCTGTCAACTTAATAGAATGGCGGATTTGAAAATCTAGATTTAAGCCACCAACCAACAAGCAATTATAAAATAGATACTTACAGCCATGCTTGGATTCGAATTTGTTAAGTAAACTATTGAAGGATAGAATTGTTTCTTTTGATAATAGGCATTTCCGATAACGATAGTAGTGAGCGCAAGACTAATCACAGTTGCAAGTATTGCCTTCATTTTGGCGTCTTTTTAAAACTCCACGCACTAAAATTTACACATTTATTAATCAAAAAATGTACTAAGCACTCCAAAATCGCAATAATATCAACAAATTCATTTTCAAAACATAGTATTATTAGCTGGGAAAAAACTAATTTTGACGTGTTCAATGTTCATTTGTGTCACAGATCAGACCACAGATCAAACAGATTTCTTTTTTTTGGTTCGGTTTTTCTAATCTCAGGGAAAGGCAAAAAGACTCAGCCCACACAGCCAAATTAGCTATACTGGCTTTACAACCTTCACAGAAAATTATTTCTTTCACATACAAAACCAAATGCTTATACCCGTCCATAATCATTATACTCTTATACGTAAATCTGTATAAGAAGTAAAATAGTTTAAATGTCATTTATGAGAAGAGAATAAACACGCGCTTTGCAAGATTCTAACGCACCGACACGGCAGACTCATCCCTACTTTTGTTACGCTACAGTTCGAAATATATTTAAATGTACAACAATTTGCCTTATTTTATAGTCTTTATGAGAATTTATGTTTTGCGTAATAATTTTAAATTACTTTGCTTACGTAATTTAAAATGTAATGCTAAATTACTTAAAAACTTTTTAACTTTAACTAGTTTTAATTTTCCAATCGTATATTTAAAATTCTCGTGTCACAATGTTAGTTACTCCTCCGAAACGGCTTGACCGATTTACATTAAATTTTATATGCATATTCACTAGGTTTTTTTATACTCCTAGAGAATCGGCTAAATATTTTTGGACAATTTTTTCTATTATTTTTCACAATGTGGCATTAAAAATACTCATCAACATTTTCACCCTCCTAGCCCCTAACTTTTTAATAACGTTTTGGATTCATATGGCAAAACAGCGTTTGCTGGGTCAACTAATATATATAAATAAAATGTCATCACGTTGACGTCACTATCAATTTTCTACTGTCATTTCATAGTACCCATAAGTCGATGATCTGATCTGTGCTATCAGTCACAGTTAAATCCTGTTTTGTCCGCTACTGCTGTCACAGGTATTAGGAAAAATAAAAGATGGAAATGTAATTTACTTCGTGAAAATGGCTGTTTGTTCACCTATGAAATGTTAATTGTATTTTTCTGTGACTACACTGGCAGAGCCTTAATAAACAAAAGCATATAAAAGTCATTCAATAAGTGAGTAATTTAATCATATTTTCTTTCTAATGCTGCTACTCTAAGGCTTCCTACTTGCCGCGCATTCTTCATCATAACAATGATCACTTTGTTTTCTGCGATTGATTCTCTAAAATATGTACTTTTAGTTTATTTGTATTGAAGTCATATATTTGTAAGCATACTCTTGCATATTATTATATTACTTGGATTACTCTTTTTCCAGTATTAATGTTTTCTTTCGATTACCTGACTTAATTATTCTGATGATGTCTATGTAAACATTTATTTTAACCTACATAATGATGATATATGTATTCTTATTCAAATTCTCTAATAGGTGTAACTAGTAACCTCTCAATGTAACATAATAGCTATATGTGGCAATGAGTAATGGCCATGATCATGTCTACCTAATATATTACCACTCTTGGGTAGTACCTTATTATGCCTCTAGTGAAAGAGATATGTATATTGTAAATGATTGTAGTAGTAAATTATTGTAGGTAGGCATGCAGCTGGCTTAAAAAACCAAATAAGTATAACATACATTTAATTTATTAATAAAATACTGTATTTTAAATTACTAACTATAACTAAAAAATAGTAATTGTTCGATGCTAGTCAGCATTTTACAGAAATAATATGAAATTAACAATAGTCTAACTGAAACTGTTCACTACTACTGTACTGAAATTGTGACATTGCTGCCTCATACCATTCCCTGAACATGTTAATTTTGATTTTCAACACTTATCAATAGGGTTGTGCACTGTATATATAACAACCATATTTATTCTATTTAATTTTTTACAGATTATTTTCCTTTGAAGATAAATATTGAAATTGTACACTATTGTTTTCACAAATATGGTAAGTGATGAAATACTGAATTGTAATGTTATTTTGACTTTGTTTTATGTAATTAAATATAATTCTTTCTCAAAAGCAGGGAGACGACCCACCATTTTTACCAGTGGGAACTGATGTTAGTGCTAAATATAAAGGTGCTTTCTGTGAAGCTAAAATAAAGAAAGTTGTTCGCAATATTAAATGCAAGGTAAAGTAAAGTTAACTATATATCAAATATCATAATTTACTTATTGTTGGTTATATTTTAATATATAAATAATATTGTTTATTATGTATTTTACTTTCAGTAGAGGAGAGTATTAAATACATGTTATAAAAAGTATATTCATAGAATTAAAATTGTTGTGCAAAATACCTGTTACAAACAAATCAATTTAGTATTAATTACATCAATCCATTTTTACCTGAAATATCTAATAATCTTCCCAAACCATAATTGAAGTTGCATGCACAATTCCATTATCATCAATAAAAAACATCCTTCATTTTATTTCTCTGCAATATTCTTATTTTTTATAATATTATTCATAATGATTGTAGGTAACTTTAAAAGCTGGTGGGGGCAGCATTACAGTAAATGATGATGTCATAAAAGGTACATTGAGAGTTGGCAGTACAGTGGAAGTTAAACAGGATGCCAAGAAAGATGCAATGGAAGCAGTAATCAGTAAGATACAGGACTGTAGCCAGTACACAGTTGGTATGTGTTCAATAGTTAAAACTTATTTATATTATAAATTCAAAAGTTTGTGAGTATGAATGGATGTATGGTTGTTACTCTTTCATGCAAAAACTACTGAAGGGATTTTGATGAAACTTTATAGTTAATAACACATAGGCCAAAAATGTCATGCAGGTGAAATCATACTAGTGTATTTAATATTTTGTATATAATTAGTAACTACTTACTATAATTAATTATAATTACAACATAACCACACATAAATCAATTGCAAATAAGTAATATTGTGTTCTCATTCAATATTTGTTTATGTAGGCTTTGAATTTTTCTAATTGTATTGTTATACTTTATCTTTTAGAAAAGTACTATAACTAATTCTGTCTTGAAGAGGAATAAAAAAATTCCTTTTAGAAAACAAAAATATTAAACATTCTTTTAGTAAACACATTATTATTAAATTTATTTTAGCAATACAAACTTAATATTTATGATTTTTGCTTTATATTTTATATTCAATGATTTTTTTAGTGTTCGATGATGGTGACATAACAACACTGCGACGGTCAGCGTTGTGTCTTAAAAGCGGACGACACTTCAATGAGAGTGAAACATTGGATCAGTTGCCACTTACTCATCCTGAGCACTTCTCAACACCAGTCATATCAGGCCGAAGGGGACGCAGAGGAAGAGCTCAGTAAATATGCTTTGCTCTCTAATTTTGTATAACACAATTAACCATGTTATTTTGTTACTGTGTTGTTATGTGCTGAGCTGAAATATATGATACAGGAACCATAAAGAGAACACTGTACAAAGGTTTTATATACTATAATGATTTAGAGATGCTTTGTCCATTTTATAATAATACAAATCTATACTAATATGTAAAGAGGTATAGTTTGTGAGTTTGAATGTTTAGAGGTAATGGCAGTAATCAATCCGAATTTGTAAAATTATAGTAAATATAAATTTTATAGTTCAATACCCATTTCGAGTAGGGCCATAAAGTATATAACATCATGCTATGACTGATTGCAGCAGAGTTGCAAATAAAAAAAGATTCCATAATGCGCAAATTGTGATACACCAAAACTAGTAATTTATATTGTTATAATATAATATAATGTACAAAATATGACGATAATTATGTCAATTAACATTTAGTATTTTATCCTCTTCATTTTCAATTACATAAACGACCGGAGATAGATGGAGGGGAGTGGATGTAGTGAAGTGTTTAGAGAAGTTGCGTGCGTGTGCAGGTCAGAAGAGAGCGAGGGCGAAGGCGCGAGCGCGGGCGCTGCGCGTGCGGCGGTGGCGGAGCCCCACGCGGGCCGCGTGGTGCTGGTGGAGGCGGCGGGAGCAGCCGAGCGCCGCCGTCCGCACCAGCCCGCCTTCCCCGCGCTCGTAGTCGCGCCCACCGCGCAGATCAAGGTCAAGGAGGACTACCTAGTGCGCTCCTTCAAGGATGGCCGATAGTCAGTACTGCATCTTACCCTACACTTTGCTAATACGACCTTAATTGACAATTTTAAACATCAGAGGGGGAATGGTAAATGTTTTTAGTTCAAATTTTCCAATGAGCTTTCATTGACATTCAAATGTCAAAATACCATTTCCATTACGTATTTTCTTTCTCCGATCCAATATATTTCTAAAAATAGAAACCTGATTTATGTATGATATATATATTGTATATAATGTATATGAATAAATTCGCCCTGCAAGATTTCTGTTCATCATTTTTATTTAAAACATTACAAAAGATTTTTTTTATATATTCTTTATTGCACTCAGAAACGACAGTAATAATCTAATTTAGAAACAGGTGTTACTTAAGGTGGACTTATCCCTAAGAGAGATCTTTTCTTTTCAACCCAAACAGGAATAGATGGTAGGTAGTAATTAGAGCAAAAAATAAATACATAATTTTTTAATAAGTTGTTTTTCCTATTCTGTCCTTACTTCAATTAATGGCAGTACATGTAGGTCAGAATTTTCAGAGATGTTTTAAGGTGATGTTTATTTGGTCGACAGTTACACGGTGCCCAAGAAGGAGGCCCGCGAGTTCCGCAAGGGCAGCGCGCCACTGGAGTGGGCGGGCGTGGACGCGGCGCTGCAGTACCTCAACAACGGCGTGCTGCCGCCGCACTGGGACCGAGACTCGCTCTTCAACGAACCCAGGAACACCTCCGATGACGTAAGTCTATTTAACTTGTATCAGTGTGGAATGACAGTAAAGATCTCTAAAATTATATCTCACTAAACATTATTATCTTCCCGTACTTTTATACAACAAAATATCTTTTTCTATACTTTTTATAAAAAAAAATACTAATATCATATAATATTCTATATGTATAATTCCTAAAAAAATTGACATTATAAATAACTATTCCAGAGTTCAGACGACGAACCTCGGGAGGAAAAGGATCATTTCGTAGCACAGTTGTATAAGTTCATGGATGACCGCGGCACACCTCTTAATCGTAACCCTACCATAGCCAATCGAGACATTGATTTATATAGATTGTTTAGAGTGAGTATACTATAGTAGAAAACATATCTATTCTTCTAAAAATATAAATATAAATGGTCCGGGAAAATCAACCAGGAATTCTTAGCACCCCCTTCCCTGCCGTTACTGCGACCGCCACTTTGGCTAGGAATAGCTGGGCTGCCAGGTACTGAGGGCCACACATTTTGGGTCCTTTTCATTGGGAAGTTGGGAAGAAGCTCAAATAATAAATCCTTGTAAATAAAATGAAAAATCATAATTAATATATATTAATTTTACATACGAAATGTCTGCCAGCCGTGATTTAATTAATTATATATTTTCCATGGAAGTCTTGAATTTATAATATCATTTTTCACTACAGGTTGTCCAAAAATTAGGTGGATATAACAGAGTGACTAATCAGAATCAGTGGAAATCAATAGCCGATAAAATGGGTTTCCATCCTGTTACAACCAATATAACAAATCTTTGCAAACAGGCATATAAAAAGTAAGTATTCTTTTATTGCTAATATTTTTCCCCCTTTTTATGTTTTATTTAACTTATGAAAGTCTCATATGCGAAATGTAAGTATTGTGAAGAAATAATTGAAGAATCTTTAGAATCAGTATACTTTTTCTATCAATCTCTTTAGTTGTTGATACAATATGACTTTTTCTTTGATCTCGTGTCATATCAAGTGCCCCAACATTTTTCGCCATCTATTCTCAATAATATTTAAGATCTGTTCTCGTTTTTAACCCTTCGCAGTAACATTTTCATTTTTATTTTATCTTTACAATATTCACCGCACTTCAAAAGCTTCCAGACCATTATAAAACGTTTATTTGCTATAAAATTATCCGTCTAACAATACGATTAAAGTGTTGCGTCGCCGGCAGGTTCCTGCACAGCTTCGAGGACTTCTACCGCAAGCTGGGCGTGACGCTGGTGGCGCACCCGCGCGGGGCCCGCACGCCGCCCGCGGGCCGCTCCCTGATCCGCGACCGCGACCGCCTGCCGCCCGCGCCCTCGTCCGCCACGTCCGCCACGTCCGCCACGTCCGCCACGTCCGCCACGTCCGCCACGTCCGCCACGTCCGCCGCCTCCTCCGCCGCCTCGGCCTCCTCCGCGCCCTCCACGCCGACCTCCACGCCCGCCGGCACCCCGCCCCAGGTGACTTCGCTGAACATATAGCCCCTACTTTCTGTTTTGTACGTACAATAGGGTAGATTTGCATTTATTCTGAAATGCAAATCTACCTTATTCTACATCATTCTACATTACATACATCTCAGAATACATACATTTGTTTTGAGGAATTGGTTCGTCCTTGTTCCTAGTAAGTTTAAGATATTGATATATTTTTTTATTAGTAGTTAATCTGAGTCAGACTAAAACTGTATGAAAAAATATTATGATTTCATAAAAATGTGGATGTGTTGTTTTTCAGCGTGTAAAAGACAAAGACTCAGATAAAAGCGAAACAGAGAAAAGCGAAAAGGGTGAAAAAGAAGACAAAGTAGAGAAAGTAGAAAAAACAAAAGAAAAATCTATCGCTAGCGACGAAGACGATAGTGCCGATAACCAACCGCTAATTACCGCTGCTCCCAAGTAAGTGTAAACTTGTATTTTTAGTATACACAAATAGACTAAATAAACCAAACATGAAAAACATAAGGTACTTTTTTTATAAAAAGATCTGCTTTAGGACACTTTCTTTTCTTGTATTTTTAATAAAATAACTGAACATTACTTTTGCTAGTCTTAATAGATCCTATATCTGTCAGCATTGGAAATACATGCAGTTATATGATGCTGAAGTAGGTAACATGCAATTAGAGATTACCCGACTTCAAAAAAGTCTTCACGAAACATCGCTGAAATATGAAATATCAAAAAAGCAAATAGTAGAACATATATTAGCTGCAAATAAACTCGTTGATATGTGTACATGTAGTGTAAGAAAGACACAAGTCACTTGTAAATAACGACTACACTTGTAGTAAGTTACCTTTACCTTCTAATTGTAAGTCGGTTCCACTTTCTCCAATTATAACAGAGAATAAAATTTCAACTTTACGAAATTCTGAAGTATCCCAAGATTGTGTTATAGTATTTTCAGATAAAGTTGGAAAAGGTGTGGGTACTTACTTAAACTACAAATTAAACCAAAAAGTTATTAATTATTGCATGCCGGGTGCCACTTTCACTCAAGTTATAAATAAAATTTTAGAAATGTCATTTACCAAAAATACAACAATTATAATATTAGTTGGAAATAGTCTGGGAGTACACAAAAAACAAATAAATAAATCCTTTGAAATACTTTTAAGTCTTACTGTAAAAAATATAATATTTTGTGCACTTCCTTATTCTGTTTACTTTACGGCGGAGCAAAATAATTATATTCATAAATTGAACAATTTAATATATAATATGACATATTACAATAATTATGTTATCAGTTTTTTTGATATTAATAAATTTATAAAAGGTTTTTATTTAAATAAGAATATATGTCATATGCCTAGGAAATGTAGAAATATATTAATAGATTTACTGACTTTTAGAATTAATTCTGTTTGTTAGCAAAAATATAATAATTATAATTACTTGTAAGTACTAATATATAAATGACTTGTAAATATTAATTATCTGTTTATTGGACAAAAGTTGTGTTTCATTATGTATACCCTAGATATGAATAATTTAATTATAATCATGAGGTAAAAAGATTAAAAAGCTTATTTTATTATGTTTATTACTAATTATTATTATATTAGATTCTAATGTCTAACAGGATACAATGAAGCACAGCCTGCCACAATTTAATTTATTGTTTATTTTATTTGTTTTGTTTATTGTTTTTGTGATGTAAGACTAGGCTAAGATTTGTTCCTGGATGTATAAGATATTATATTAATATGTTCTCTAAGTAGTAGTGTAATTGTTACACTATCTCGTATATACAATATATATTGATTATAATTAGACTTGTCATAAGTGTGTGTTACGGATCTACATGAATGATAATGATAAAAAAAAACAAACACATATATGTTTGTGGAGTATGGTACTCCACATATACCTATAAACCAATTTTATATTTTTATAGAATAGAAAAAGATAAAGACAAGGAGAAAGAGAAAGAAAAGGACAAAGAGAAGGAAAAGGAAAAAGAAAAAGAAAAGCCTACTACTTCGACGACACCGATAAACGAAGAAAAATCTATCGTCAAACCGCGCTCCCAATCTAAAAGTCGCAGTATTCTCCCAATCAAGAATGAATTACATGAGAAGAGAACTCCTAAACGTAGGCCATTATCTTCTAAAAGTAAGTGATGGATTACTATCGATTATTCAAATGTATGATTCGGAATTAGTCTAGGAATCTTTTTTATTTTTATTTTAGTTGAAACGAACGGCGTGACAAATTGTTATAATATATATATAGGCTATAGCCTATATATATATTATAAGTTTAAATGAAACCTATAACCTATAGGTTATAATAGGTTATAGGTTTCATTTAAATGACATATGGTTAGTACATCTTATTGTAAATAGATATTTGTATGTATGGTAAATTAAAACATTACAATTAAAGATACTAAGAAAAATATTTTTATTTAATATGTTAGGTATAATGTACTTATAAAAATCCGTTGACAATATGGTTTTGATTTTTAAAAAACACAATATTACTGTTTTATTAGTTGGTGAAAGCGCGAATCCGGGGACGTCGAGGGCATCCCGGCGACCTCATGTTTCTACAGACAGTGATAGTTCAGGAAGGGCTTCCAGGTAACTGTTAAACCTACTAGCTATGTAGTTGTCTTTTAGATATAACTTGTTTTTCTTTCTTATTGTATCTGTATTTATTATTAATATTTTTATACTTTAGTTTTTAATTTATAAGGTTCACATAAAAAATTCAATCAAAGTAATAATATTATAACATATCAGAATTAGTGTATTATTATGAAATATGTATGATGATAATGAATATCGAATAATAAACTACGTAGTCTTTGTTACTTAATATGAAACAATTTCGACACTCACAAACGTCCCGCTCACCTGTCGACTGTGAAATTATTAATATGTAAACACATAAAAATGTTATTTTACAACAATAATGCACACATAGAACTTGAAAAAAAATATTGCTACCCTTAATCCTATGAACAAATTACATTTAAATAATATATACTAATTCTTATTTTATATGAATTATTTAAACAATAAATTAATACTAATAATCTGAGGGTATGTGACCTCATAGATGCGGACCCACGAAGAAGATGCAGAGTCGCCGTAGTCAGAGCGCTAACTCGGCCAGTAGCGGGAACACTATTGCCTCCAACAGTAGCAAACGACCACGGAAGAGGAAGAATACAGAGTGAGTAAGACATACTATATGTGGTGTCTATGTGTACCCTCAATGTTTTTATGCATATATACAGTTGTCCCAGAAGTCGACGTTAGGCCACCACCTGCTAAACAGAACAGTAGTAGCACAGATAATATAATATTACATACAGATACCCCATCCCATACAAGAAAATGGTTCCTTCCTAACTCGGGCTATTCTTCGGGCTATTTTATTTCGCCGCCGTAGGCGCTAGATGTCGCTATATCTGAAGCAGTTCGGATTACTAGTGGGTGATTAGTAATAAAGCATGAAAATAGATGGCAGAGAATTCGGTCTACATGACATCTGTTTTGCAAAGATACGTACATAATAGATATATAACTGTATCGAACTCCTGATTGGGTACAATCGAAAATTCAATGTAGGTATAATATTGTTCGCTGACAGTCTACAGACACGGCTAATGTACCTATGTATCTATGTACTATGTTACAGTTACTTTTTTACATGCCTACTTTTTTTCTCCCGACGAAGATATGTCGTAACGCGTCTGCACTAAAATCGGGCTATCGGTTAAGGAGCAATAGCTCCTTAACGAATAACCCGATTTTAATACGGTTTTTTTTTATTTAAATTGTTATGTGATAGTGATAGATTTTAGCTATAATCAATTGATGTGCATATGGGTACCTCATATAATTTTCAGTGTATAATTATTTCTCAATATGTAGTTAATTATGGTAAACTGGCAATTTGTAAAACTGAAAATAATATCTGCAAACCATCAATCTGTTATATGTAGGTTCTTTCAGGGATACTACATCGGTGCTAATGACATGTAGGTACTTATTTTGATGTTATACCTATTTGTAGAACCTTCGATATCTACAAACTACGCCTTTACTGCTAGTTTTTTGGTATTCATGTAAGTTGTTATTCAGTTGAAATTAAGCTGCGAAATTACAGGATATTTGGACATAACATCTATGTTCTCCGGAATGATAACGTATGCGGGATATAGCGGGCACGACATGATGACGTAATGCTGTTTAATAATATATGTGTATGTATGTACGTCGGATAGCGTCGTGGTTGGATGGATCGTCAGCTTATTTACCATTTCAGTTCATAATAGTAGGTAGTAACTTTTGACAATATGGATGAAGGAGGGTAACGGTGATGATGATGAGATCAATAATGACTGTTGACGATAGTGACGGTGGTATTTATTTATGACCACCATAAAATTCATCATTGGCAGTATTCTCAACATTATCATCATTGTTCATCATGATGATTGAGATCAAATTAATTAATTGATTAAAAAAGTAGCAAGTATTAGGTAGGTACTAAGTCCTTATATGACTTAAATACAAGGTTCTGGGATGCTGTGATATACTACAGTCTCTTGATTTTGTTTCTTATTAGTATTCCACAACCAAAGTCTATAGACAGAGAAATATAGATTTACACAAAGTTTTTTGATGTAAATGGGAATTATTATACACATTGCATTAAAAAATATATATGATTACCATCTAATACAAAATCATTATGTAGTAAATAATTCCTGACATTTTAAATCGAATGAGGTGAAACTAACATTGCATGAACACAACACTTGAAGATCATAAAATTTTTATTTCAGGTAATAAAACACTTTTAAATAATTTATTAATCACAGAATAAACAATTGTTAATAATTTACAATAATATTTCTTTCACTGCTTGTCTGTTATACCACTAAAACTTCAAACACTTCTGTTATTTTTATATTATATTCCAAATAAATCAATATCAAGACATATTTCATCAAAATCATTTCATAATTAATTCCTGGTACACAAAATATTCCTGGATTTGTTGATGAAGCAATATAATAATAATCATGAGCTTAAATCATAAACTTATTTGCAGTCGGTTACACATAATATAATTACTTGGAATTTCTTCTCATCACTAGTCCGTTGCTTTCTTACTTATTTAATTATATTATTAATTGCATTGTGATTAATAATTTCCAGATTTTTCTTCTGCTTTTTTCTCTTATTTTTACTTGCATTATTATTTTATACAGTAAAATGTTCATATATATATATATATTTCTTATTCTTTTGAACTCCTGTTCTTTACAGTAAAAATGTTATTTATCTTCATCTGAATGACTAGGAGATTTAGAATATCATCTCTTATTTGTTTAAACTTTGTTCAGTATTAAGTTGTTGATGTCAGGAAAATTTGAAAACAATATCATATACCATGTTACATTTTCATGAACTTACATGAATGAATTTACATGAAAGTAACTAAACTGTAACCTTATTAGCACAATAAACATATTATTCATACATCATATTCATTCAGTTCTAATAAAATATAAAAATAATACTACTGTTTAGTACTTTATTTTGATTAATAATTTTCAGTATTTTCTCAATCAATCAAAAATTATAAAATCAGTGTTAGTTTTTTGAAGTTACATTCATAACAATAATAAAAACATAATAATACCACATTAAAGCGGTCACCAAGTACCTATGTTTATTATATTTTAATATGAAAGATACACACGCATACATATGCAAGTTTTTAACAACTTATAGTTATACCTGGTATGAGATAATCCTCAAAGACACGATAGTTTACTAAATATTTGTAGTAGTCCTTAGACACATTTAAATTATTGAGTTTGACAAAAAATAAGAAGTTCAATGAACTCTGAACAGGAACAATTCAAAAGTTGAAGTACCTACTTAACTTAAATCATGAAAAAAGAGAAAAAATCCAATGCTAGTGAAAATATGTTTTAAGCATTTGACTTAAAGTCGTTTATCCTATTCTTTTATTCCCATATTTTATATTTTTAATATTTCATTTATGTTGCCAGTACTCGTTGTCATTTCGATATAATAAAAAAATATGGACCAACCTACGATTTTAAATCGATATTTTTATTTGTGATGAAATCTAATAATATAAATTATGAATAACCTACCCTCGAATGGAGATATTAAAAAACTAATTATCATGAATAGTAGGTACTAGGATCAGTAATATATCATAGTATTATGAATGATTATCGTTTCAAAACCTTGTACAATTTAGTAAGGTTGAAAATATCCTTCTACAAAAGCAAAATTCGAGTATTTGTAAAGTTTCTTATGAGTATTTTTAAAAATTCGAGGACACTCATATTTAGCTACCAATGTCAGTAATTTAGATACCATATAACACTTGTTTATTGAGGTTTCATAAAAGTATAGCTGACCTTATATACTCTATACCACATTAAATTCTCATTCATTAAATTACAATAAGTAGGTATTTATTTTTTTTAATAGAAGAACTATGTCACTAATGTCATTAATTGCTATAATTACCAGGGTGACCGCGTGGAGGTTGATATAATAGAGTACACTTGTATCAGATCAATCTAATTAATATTTCCCTCTTCAAGTTTCGAAGTTATGAGCGAACAGATAAATATATAGTACTTGCATACCTGTCAAAATCTCTCTATTTTGCCGTCGTCGAGTAAAAATTATGCATTGCAATTCGTTCCAAATAAGAGTATAATACAAAATGATGAAATTTTACTGTTTGCAAAGACTAATTAAAAGCACCATCGAATAATGCGTTGTAATATCTTGTTATCGATTATTCGAAAAAATCGATAAATCTATGCATTTATTTTTAATAAGGCAACACTTTCTAAATAAGTATTACTGGAATAATATGGTTTTCTTGTTTAGCTGTTTTATATTTACTTAAACTTTTTTTATGTTTAATTTATCATAATAATATAGTAAGTACTTATTATTTGAAAATATAAAATAAACATTTAAAATACGGTGATACAAATGAAAACAGCGCCATCTATGAAAGTATTTTGGAAACAATAAGCCCCAATTAGCAATGATTAAATTGTAAACAAATACAGGGCAACAACAAAATGAGTAAATATATGAAAATTACTTTTCAAAACGCATTATTTCATTTTAACATCTATATATGACTTTTTAAAAATAGATTAAACCTTTTTAAAAACATAGTTTTGGGTTTTAAACGATTACAAAACAATGTTGAATTCCATTCGATACCAATGACGCCATCTGAATCCGTTTTTCGAACTAAAAATGGCTACTATGCCATTGATCCCCACTGGTAGTAGTAACAGAAGTGGAAAGACCATCACAAAGTGTATAACTAAACCTACCTATAACTAAACTACCCCAACTATCCCTACGTTTAAATAAAATGAGAATATAATTTTATTTAAACGTAGGGATAGTTGGGGCACAATGGTACTAAAAAAATATTTTTATTTTTAGAAAAATCAGTATTAATTTTTTATATAACTTTTGCTCACAAACATCAACAATACACCTTAACTTAATAATTGCACAGCAGAACAGATATCAATAATCAAACTTAAGCCTATTTATCTTTGATTTTGTGAACCTCTTCCTGTGTTCCATTGTGCCCCATGTCTGGGGCACATTGGAACACGACTTGTATTCATACCAAAAGATTAACCAATGGTATCAAATCTTTCTAATACCTTGTCAGGAAATGAGTAGATGCTTTTTTAACGTTTAGTTTTTCCACATAAGAACGGCTTTGGCAAAACTAGTTCAATATCCGAAGCTGAAATGAAACCATTGCCATGTCCGTTTCTAACGAAAAATAGAAACTATTGTCAAGTTATTTTTGCACCTCGTCGCAAATAATTTATCTCAAATTCATTGTTCTCATCTATATCAGACAGTATTTTAGTCAGTGGAATAGTGTTCCACTGTGCCCAGTTCCATACTGCCCCATAGCGTGTATAAAATTTAAAACATGTGTTTAAAAAAGTTAGGCTTTGTTTTTAACTTAACATATAGCGATCTCAAATAGACAAAAGTATTAATATTTATGAAAAAATTATATCACTTATTGTTTAAACTTTTTTACTAAAAACGAAAATACTTTGAAAATAAATCTCAACGTTTGAACATAAAAACCAATATTTTTTTATTCACACATGCTATATTGTTGTCGCGTCCCCATATTTCACTACGTCCTTGTATGGCGCAGGAGGCGTTGCGATTGGTCGAAGCGGTAGCACGCTAATTAGTTTGAAATTAATTTTTTTATCGACATTGTTCCATAGTGCCCCGTTTTCCACTGTTCCCCAACTGTCCCTATAGCTATTTAAAAATACATTTATTTATTTTTAGATAACTATTGTGACTTACCCTGTTACCCGGTTCCGGCTTGACGTCGACTTCTGGGACAGTCTGTATATTATTACGTGTCTTTTTTTATGTAAATGTATTGTAATGTCCAATTTTTAATATATACAATCTCTTTCCAACTTAAAAGTTGTATCCTTTTTGGATTCTTGTTTATGGGTGCAACATGCTACTTATAAATGTCATAACTTTTTTGTCGATGGTAATCTTGCGCGAATACAAACATTGTTGTGATTAAATTTATTTTCCTAAATGTTTCATATCGAATCTTTGCAGACCGTCAACAAATGAATCGACTAGATCGCGAGCGGGTCCGCCCGGCAACAAAGCTCAGGTGGGCGACAAGCTTAAGGTATACTACGGGCCGACACAATCCGAATCCAAGGTCACGTACGAGGCGAAGGTGATCGAGATCTCAGCAGAGGGACTGTTGCGAGTTCACTACACCGGCTGGAATACACGCTACGATGAGTGGATCAAGCCGCAGCGCATCGCACTCAACGTTACGCAACACGATGCCAGGAACAAGAAGGTACTAAACGAGCTCCCATTACATAACGGCATTGATGATTATATACATACAGAGGTTCTTTGTGTGCTTTATTTTAAAAATTGGTGTTAGTCCCCTAATAAGATGCATAAATGCAAAATATTATGTTTATCACAACTTTAAGGATACATAATCATATTGCCTATGATTCATGATTACGCAACGGTTACCTACATCTTTTTACTGACCAATTTATTTTTTATAGCTCCGACCTATAACTTTGATAAATGAAGAATAAACATTGTTATATAGTTACATGTATACAATTTTCAGAATACGAGTATCAACAGGCGCTCCAGATCTAAAAGACTCGAAGGTAAGAATGTTCGCGTTGTACGATTAGATGTAAGAGAATAAAGTGTATATAGATTCTACTATTCTTTTTCTTGTTACAGAATCTTCAGTTCAATCTGAGAGCGATAGCGACTCAGACTCTGATGACGATCTCAAGAGACCCTCGAAAAAATCAGACGATAAAACAAACACTAAGCGTAAGTATGGGTTTGTTTTCATTCCTAATATCACACTCAGTTATGTAAATTTTATTTCATTTATGTGATTTTAACTGATTTAACAATATTATAATTAATAATTAACTATATATAAATGTACCTTTAACAGCTCCGTCCAGATCAAAAGATGCAAAATCTAGCGACAGCAGTAGTTCAAGTAAACCACGCAAGAGGCCCGTAAGGACGGTATCTACTCCAACAACAACAACAACGTTGCCTGCGAAGAAACCTCGGCCTAATATCACAGAGCACCAGGGACGTGACTATGATCTAAACGAAATCAGATCTGAACTCAAAGGGTTACATACTGTTAAACAAGAAGCAGAAGAAACTAAACAAGAAATCTCAGAGAAAGAAACTACAATTGCGCCACAAATAATAGCGCCGCCAATCGAGAAAAAACCTGAACCAGAGAAACAAGCCGAGGATGTATATGAGTTTAAAGAACCCGAACCATTCGAAATAGAACTGCATGATGAGAAAAAGAAACGGACTCATCGTATTTTTGATGACATCTCACCAAGCAAATATACATCAACATTGTCAAAATCTTTAAGTGAAGAAATATCTGAGGATCCCTTACGACCTCGTACATCGACATTGAGATCTCCCTCTTTATCACCATTTAGAGACTTTGGATCTTCCCGGGATGTTCCAGGAAGACAAAGCCCTGAAGAGGATTCTAAAGATGATTTCTTTTCTATGGATGATGATTCGTTCCCGGGTGACGGTAGTTCTGGACCAATATTTGAAGGATTTACTCCGGCCAAAAATCAAGAAACATATTCGAAAAAAAATAAAGTTTCTAAACTTAGACAGCTCATAGACGACGATTCCCCAGATAGCCCCGCTGATGATGAACAATCCTCTGAAGATGAATCTGAAGATATAATAATGAAAGAGGAAGAACGAGAACCAAGTCCAGTTTTACCAAGTATAGAACTGTCAAAAATCCCTGAACTCAGTTGTAAAGAAGAAAGTAAAGAACTTGAACCTGTGAAGGAAATAAAAGAAGTAGTAGAAATAAAAAATGAAAAAATAGAAATACCTAAACCGAAGGAGGTTTCACCTGAACCTACAGAAGCACCACCTTCGCCAAAGAAACTTGAACTTCCTAGTACAAGTATTATTACACCCATACCGACTGCTACTCCACTTATCGTTCTTCCGGAACTTCCTAAAGAAGAACCTGTAAAAATGGAACCTAAAAAGGAAGAACCTATAAAACTACTTTCTATTCCTCTTCCTATATTAGAGCTTAAAAAAGAGAATGTACTTAAAGTAATTATAGAAAAGAAAATGGATCCAGATCCAGTACCGTCGAAATTGGATCTTCCAGGCAGTCCTTTAGTAGACACAGAAGAAGATAAATCGGAACCTGATAGTCCAGCGCGGATTGACGTGCTACCAGAACCGCCACCAGGTTTTCTACTGCAATCCGAGGGACCCAAGATAGCTGAGAAACTTCTCAAGGCCATCAATAGCGCGAAACGACTATCGATGTCACCATCGCCTGTCGAAGAACGTCCTATTACTCCCAAGAAGGATATTACTAAACAGACTAAGCCGGATGGTAAATCGTCACCCACAACATCAGATTTTAAAGCGACCACGAATAAAGTGGAGCCTGCAAAACCTATTATAAAAACAGATTCTCTTAGAAAGTTCAGTCCTTTAAACATCAGCGACTCTATATTTGGAGAGCCGTCAAATGTAACGGCCGTAAAGCGTGAACCGACGGACATAAAAAAGGTTAAACCTAAAGAATCCACTCCACCTAGGCTCCAGAGTCCTCTAAATATTCTAGAGCGGCGGAAGAGTGTAGCGGAATTACCGTTGAGCACGCCAGGCAAGAATAATAAAGTGCTCAGCGATACCATACAAAAGCTGTCCAGTCAGATCAATCAGTCGGCGGCTACGACCGCAATACCGCTGCCATCTTTCCCTGCAGACGACCGGAGCGAATCCAGTGATTCTGACGACTCGGAAGGTAGAAGGTATGTACATATTTCATATTAGGGATATTCTATTGTTATACGTAACTACCGATTTATACAAATGTCATTCTTTTCAATTGTAAACGGCCATTTACGCATTTGTTGTGCTGAGTATAATGAAAAAAGTGCATTCCTAGTGCAAGAAAATTTAAATATAAAATTAATATTCTATAACTAGCTATGCCCGCGATTTCACCCACGTGAAATATATTTTATATTGTTTTTCTGATGTATAAGATATAGTAAAATTTCATTAAAATCCATTTTTTGGGTCAAAGAGTGACATACATTCATCCATGCAACCATCGGTACCCACTAACTTGTGCGTTTATATTATTACTAAGACTATTAGGACACATTATTTTATGTTTTCGTATATAGCCTGTCCTATTTGCTCTATTGTATAGTATGTTTTAGGTTTTAACATGACAATTTGTTTTTTCGGGTGATAATGGAATGGTGCACCCGCCTGCGCTAACGGTTTACGCTGGCGGGACACCACTGGAAGATGACAAAATGAACATGAGGTCATCGTGACAAATTCACCAGGAATTTATCACGACGATTTCCAGGGGAAACCGTGTGGAGGTCAACCTGAAGTTACATTACTAGTAATGGGTCACGAGTCCAGAATACTAACAATCCCCTTTCCCCCAATAGGATAATTAAGAACTTAATGTAATTGAAAGTTGAACAACGTTTTCGTGGACAGGCTGATAATCGACAAGGTATCGATGGAGGAGTGGGGCAGCGGCAGCGGCAGCTCGGAGGCAGCGGCGGCGAGTGCGGCGAGTGCGGCGAGTGCGGCGAGTGCGACGAGTGCGGCGAGTGCGGCGACCGCCGCTGCTGCGGGCGGGCTGGCGGCGCGGCTGCACGCCGGCAAGTCGCCTGGGGAGTGGAGCGCCGGCGAGTCGCTGCTCATGCTCGAGGACGCCTGCAAGAACGAGAGGAAACACAGTATGTGCACCACACACGCCCATCTCACTAATATATGTACATGTTAAAATAGGTATAACGCACAACACACAACTATTGATTGTTTTAATCTGTTACAAATGTTCTATTTGAAACTATTTCCCTTGGACCATACGACGTCTATTGTCACTACAAACACATTATTACCAAAGTATAGTTTTCTAGCACTTTCAAATAATTTTTTCGCAACCGTATAACAATTAAGCAACAGAAAATAAAAGACGAGTAGGTTTCAAATTCAGTAAAAAAGTCAAAGTAAGTAAGTAAGTGTCATTACGGATAAACAGCACTACGAACATCATGCTACCTCTTACTATGTAATTTCATTGCATTATCTCACGATTCAACTGAAGCAAATCTTGGCAGCTAAAATAGACACTGACTTATCCATGCAGACAACTTTTTACGAAGTTTCTATTAAACTTCCATCGACCGTCGTAATTCCTATCCCCGTTTGTATTGGACCCCGTCCAATGCATACGCTCCATAAGTCCTTCCGCGGGTTTGAAGTGCCATATGCACTCGCCCCCCTATCGTCCGGTGAATCTGTAAAGGCCAGCTGCGGCCAACAGCATTAGGGTAGTAAAAAAAAAAGTTTTCCTTGGTATGTGAATAAAATATCAGGTGCGAGCGTAGTGGTAGCGGGCAGCGGTCGCGGGCCTGCGGCTCCGGTGGCTGCGCCTGCTGCGTCGGGGGCGGCGGGGGCGGGGGCGGGGGCGGCGGCGGCGGCGGCGGCGGCGGCGGGGGCGGCGGCGTGCGAGGAGGACAGCAACATCTCGCTGCTGCTGTGCGAGGAGACGATCCCCGGGTCGCCGGCGCCCGACGCCGAGCCCGCGCCGCCGCGTCTTCGCCCACACATGCCGTTCGCTTGCGCTCCACAGCACCACGCCCACTCCAAAGGTACCGAACATACCAAACAGTGCGGCGACCATTGACACGTGCTCTCGTGCTACTATAGACATGTATATTTTATATTTATCTGGCGTAACGGATTTTTTTTTTTTCAATGGTTAATAATGTAATGATGTCACATGCTCGTGTTAGTAGGAACTGTAAGGGTACCGGTTTTTAATGTAGATTCGAAGAAAGAAAATACGTTTATTTGATACACATAACATATACAACAAAAATAATTCAAAATATTATCTATAAATATTTAGAATTGTGCATATTTTTCTTATTATCATATATATTCAATTATTGTTCTATGTTTTCAATTCTTGGTGTAATATTCTTTCAACTTATAAAAAAGTAATTAGTGTCATTGACACATTAGGCCCAGGAATTGGCCTGGCAACCAATGTGCTAGTTCTAAATCTACATATAAATGTTGTCATTATCAAAATAACAGATGAATGACTCTTAGGACGTATATTAGATTATTACAATAGTTTATTGTCGCCACAAAGGATGGCAAAGGAGATAATTGGAACGCTAACTACTTCCATTTTTTTGCATTTTGCATTGCATTTAAATGAGTATATTTTGACTTAGAAATATTTTCGGTAATTAAATTATACATAGTAACAGTACATTTAGCGGACCTAACAGTTTACGCTATTTTCTACCAGTCCACCAGATAATAAATGCTGGCGATGCTAATATAATTCTAAAAAAAATAAAAAACAAATGTCAATAAATTGTTAATATAAACGGAGAAATTATTAATATATATACTACTAATATATTTAATTATGTATTGTATTGTAACAGATGAGAGTCAGGGCGAGTGCAGTTCGGGGTTGGGCAGGGGCGGTGCGGGCGGCGCGCCGGGGGGTGGCGGGGTGGAGGGCGCGGGCGCGGGGCGGGCGGAGGGCGCGGGGCCGGCGGCGGGGGCGGGGGCGGCAGGCGCGGGCTGGCCGCGCCGCCACGCGCTGCTCGACAACACGCCGCCCACCACGCCCGACAGCAGCCTCGACATGTCGCCGCACAGGTACCCAGTCTGTTCATTACGGGGCGGGAGGCGCGGGCGGGGCGGCGGGCGCGGGCTGCCGCCGCGCGCTGCTCGACAACACGCGCTGCTCGCCGCACAGGTACCCAGTCTGTTCATTACGGGGCGGGAACACGCCGCCCACCACGCCCGACAGCAGCCTCGACATGTCGCCGCACAGGTACCCAGTCTGTTCATTACGGGGGGCGGCGGGCGCGGGCCTGGCCGCGCCGCCACGCGCTGCTCGACAACACGCCGCCCACCACGCCCGACAGCAGCCTCGACATGTCGCCGCACAGGTACCCAGTCTGTTCATTACGGGGCGGGAGGCGCGGGCGGGGCGGCGGGCGCGGGCTGGCCGCGCCGCCACGCGCTGCTCGACAACACGCCGCCCACCACGCCCGACAGCAGCCTCGACATGTCGCCGCACAGGTACCCAGTCTGTTCATTACGGGGCGGGAGGCGCGGGCGGGGCGGCGGGCGCGGGCTGGCCGCGCCGCCACGCGCTGCTCGACAACACGCCGCCCACCACGCCCGACAGCAGCCTCGACATGTCGCCGCACAGGTACCCAGTCTGTTCATTACGGGGCGGGAGGCGCGGGCTGGGCGGCGGGCGCGGGCTGGCCGCACGCGCTGCTCGACAACACGCCGCCCACCACGCCCGACAGCAGCCTCGACATGTCGCCGCACAGGTACCCAGTCTGTTCATCACTACGGGGCGGGAGGCGCGGGCGGGGCGGCGGGCGCGGGCTGGCCGCGCCGCCACGCGCTGCTCGACAACACGCCGCCCACCACGCCCGACAGCAGCCTCGACATGTCGCCGCACAGGTACCCAGTCTGTTCATTACGGGGCGGGAGGCGCGGGCGGGGCGGCGCGCGCGGGCTGGCCGCGCCGCCACGCGCTGCTCGACAACACGCCGCCCACCACGCCCGACAGCAGCCTCGACATGTCGCCGCACAGGTACCCAGTCTGTTCATTACGGGGCGGGAGGCGCGGGCGGGGTGGCGGGCGCGGGCTGGCCGCGCCGCCACGCGCTGCTCGACAACACGCCGCCCACCACGCCCGACAGCAGCCTCGACATGTCGCCGCACAGGTACCCAGTCTGTTCATTACGGGGCGGGAGGCGCGGGCGGGGTGGCGGGGTGGCGGGCGCGGGCTGGCCGCGCCGCCACGCGCTGCTCGACAACACGCCGCCCACCACGCCCGACAGCAGCCTCGACATGTCGCCGCACAGGTACCCAGTCTGTTCATTACGGGGCGGGAGGCGCGGGCGGGGCGGCGGGCTCGGGCTGGCGCGCCGCCACGCGCTGCTCGACAACACGCCGCCCACCACGCCCGACAGCAGCCTCGACATGTCGCCGCACAGGTACCCAGTCTGTTCATTACGGGGCGGGAGGCGCGGGCGGGGCGGCGGGCGCGGGCTGGCCGCGCCGCCACGCGCTGCTCGACAACACGCCGCCCACCACGCCCGACAGCAGCCTCGACATGTCGCCGCACAGGTACCCAGTCTGTTCATTACGGGGCGGCGGGCGCGGGCTGGCCGCGCCGCCACGCGCTGCTCGACAACACGCCGCCCACCACGCCCGACAGCAGCCTCGACATGTCGCCGCACAGGTACCCAGTCTGTTCATTACGGGGCGGGAGGCGCGGGCGGGGCGGCGGGCGCGGGCTGGCCGCGCCGCCACGCGCTGCTCGACAACACGCCGCCCACCACGCCCGACAGCAGCCTCGACATGTCGCCGCACAGGTACCCAGTCTGACACTACCCCACCACGTTCATACCTCACATAACTTCAATATTTAGAAGAGCTCCTATGAATATTCGTGTTAATTTTAGTCTGTCTTTCTTTGTTGTATGCTGTAACATGTCTATACTGCATGCATGTATATGAGGTACCACAAATGTGATTGATTAATTGTAATGAACGTCATGTGATATTAAATTAAATTCACCTATATTTGTATTTGTTCTAAACAAATACTACATAAAACATTCTTCACAAATCTTATAGCTAAGACAAGTTGTATATAAAAAACAGTGCAAAACCGTTCTGAATTTCTATTTGAGTCTATTTTATCATCACTTTTAAAAAACAATGAAACGATACTTTTTTTTCTGAACTGGAAAACACTCGCGATAACAGTCTTTGTCGGTTGGCTGAATTAATTAATTAATTTTGTATTATTTATTAGTATAATTTTATATGTACTGAACAACTTTCTTGATGATATTGTATTTCTTGGTATCACATTAGCTCCAAACTGCAATGGAGTGCTCATATTTCTAAATTAACGAATAGACTTAGTTCTGCCTCTTTGCGGTAAGAAGAATTAGACAATTAACGGACGTGGCAATGGCTAAACTCGTGTATTTTAGCTATTTTCATAGCATTATGTCATACGCTATTTTATTATGGGGCAAAGCAACTGATATAAATATAGTATTTATTTTGCAAAAGAGGGCCATCCGCTCCATTTACGGTATAGGTTCCAGGGAGTCTGCGTGAATGTTTTAAACAATCAAATATCCTCACCGTTGCTTCTCAATATATCTACGAAAATATTATGTATGTCAGGAAAAATATTAACAGTTCTAAAAAAGTAGGTGATTAAAAGCTTATAGAGCAAGTGCCCACGACGGCCAGACGTCATTTTAGTAAACGTGAAAGTTCTTGTATGTCTGTCCCCAACACAGGTAAGAACGATCCCCAAACATGAAACTTGGATCGTGGTTCCTTTGGCAGGTAACAACGGTGTATACAATTTCATATCAAATTCGTTATTTTAAGATGCTCCATTTTTTTCACATATTGCTCATAACAGTATTATAACTTGCTTTGCTCATTGCCAGACACTTAGTGTGGTTCCAACCCCCCGCCGGGCCCCCCTAAATTATACTATTTTATAAAAAACTTACGTCATTTTAATAAAGGTGAACTTTATATATATTATTGAGAGAACTATTAAACTGAGTTTCCTAAATTGCCAGACAGTTTTCTTGGTTCCTTATCCTACCAGACTCATTGAAACCGTATATTGGGTAACAACGGTGTATACAATTTCATATCAAATTCGTTATTTTAAGATGCTCCATTTTTTCACATATTGCTCGTAACAGTATTATAACTTGCTCTGCTCGTTGCCAGACCCTTAGTGTGGTTCCAACCCCCTGCCGGACCCCCCTAAACTATACTATTTTATAAATAAATTTACGTTATTTTAATAAAGCTGAACTTTATATATATTATTGAGAGAACTATTAATCTGAGTTTCCTAAATTGCCAGACAGTTTTCTTGGTTCCTTATTTCTCTCGGTTTCTATGTTGATTGTCGCATGCCTAATCCTTGTTGTTAATTAAATATAAGTAAATCAATATTTATTTAAAAGAGCAACACACAAGTTTCTTGCTTATTCTTCTTGTGATGAATCAGCATTCCGAATAAGCGGTAGAATAAAAAAAACTTGACTATTCAAAAGTGCTTATAATGTATAATATATAATAATTAAGTTTATTTAAATAAAGATTATTTCTATTTCTATACTAACATTATAAAAGTGAAATTTTTTTTACAACTAAACAATTGAAAAATTTTCAAGAATCCTAATGAGCTTTGTTATGGAGATATTATGAGAATAAACATAGACTATCTTTCATGAAAACAAAAAGCAGATGAATGAAATTAATTCATGGAAAACGTCTAGTAATAAAAAAATCTTTTGAATAATTTTCATTGTTTATTATTTAAATTAAATAATAACATGAGATAACAACTAGATATATTCTGTATACGGAATACTAACTATTTTATCTTCTGCGATTATAGTTTTGATATAATTATCACAGAGAACGCAGAATATCGGAGCGTGATAGTCCTTTAGAGCGCAAGGATGACGACGATGACAACCATGACGCACTACTGGATTTGGATAAATCTCTCGGTGAGTTTAATGTATACGCTTCTTTTGATTCCGTCGTACCAGAGGTGAAATAGTACTTTATGATACCTTCTACTGTCAACGATGGGGCAGTAGTTCCTATTACTAACATTTCTCTCTATTTTACTAGAATTGTTTGTGAAAATAAATGGACTACAAACCTTTTTTAGTATTAATGAAAATGGTCTGGTGCATCCGCCTGTACTAAAGGTTTACGCTAGCGGGCCACCAGAGGAGGATGATAAGATGAGCATGAGGCCAGGTCAGTTAGCTCCTTGTGGCAACTCACCAGAATTTGATCACAATGGTTTAAGAGGTTATTCTGACTGAATTTGGACTAATGATCGCACTGTTAGCAATGTACCATACATTGCTAACAGTGCGATCATTAGTCCATCGCACGACGACAAACATTACCAACCTGCATGTGTATATGAACTGACCATATTTACAAAATACAACATGACTTCGTTATGCTATCCTGCGCTGCCTTCGAAACTTTTAGTGTCATGTGTATTGCGGTACGCGCGAAGCAGCAGCGGGCAGCCGGTCCCGTAACACGTTATCGTTCTGTCCCGCCGCCGTGACGTTGAGTATGTGTGACACGTGTGGTGTGTGAAGCAGCAGCGGGCAGTCGGTCCCGCAACACGTTATCGTTCTGTCCCGCCGCCGTGACGTTGAGTATGTGTGACACGTGTGGTGTGTGAAGCAGCAGCGGGCAGCCGGTCCCGCAACACGTTATCGTTCTGTCCCGCCGCCGTGACGTTGAGTATGTGTGACACGTGTGGTGTGTGAAGCAGCAGCGGGCAGCCGGTCCCGCAACACGTTATCGTTCTGTCCCGCCGCCGTGACGTTGAGTATGTGTGACACGTGTGGTGTGTGAAGCAGCAGCGGGCAGCCGGTCCCGCAACACGTTATCGTTCTGTCCCGCCGCCGTGACGTTGAGTATGTGTGACACGTGTGGTGTGTGAAGCAGCAGCGGGCAGCCGGTCCCGTAACACGTTATCGTTCTGTCCCGCCGCCGTGACGTTGAGTATGTGTGACACGTGTGGTGTGTGAAGCAGCAGCGGGCAGCCGGTCCCGCAACACGTTATCGTTCTGTCCCGCCGCCGTGACGTTGAGTATGTGTGACACGTGTGGTGTGTGAAGCAGCAGCGGGCAGCCGGTCCCGTAACACGTTATCGTTCTGTCCCGCCGCCGTGACGTTGAGTATGTGTGACACGTGTGGTGTGTGAAGCAGCAGCGGGCAGCCGGTCCCGTAACACGTTATCGTTCTGTCCCGCCGCCGTGACGTTGAGTATGTGTGACACGTGTGGTGTGTGAAGCAGCAGCAGGCAGCCGGTCCCGCAAGGCGTCCGAGAGCTCGGCGGGCGGGGGGCGCGGCCGGGCGCGGCGCCGTCGCGACACGGACGACACGCACCCGCACCACCACCCGCACCCGCTCGCCACACACGCCTCGCCCAAGTACAACTTCTACGTCGATCTAGGTATCGCTCTATATACTACTAGTTTTCACGGCCTCTGGACTTCAATTTTTCGATAAAAACAATCGTTTTCATAAGTATGATTGTTTGTTTTCTGTCTGGGTGTTTTTTACTACGTATATAATAAATGTATTTACAAAAAATAAATATATCTAAGTATTTATATCAATTATCTAGTACCCATAACACAAGCTCTCTTTACCTAGTAACTAGATGACGTTATGTGAATTATCCCGTGGCGTTGCTCTTAGTTTTGTGTGTGATCACTTTAGTATAATAAAGGAAAACAAAATTAATTGTCCTATTTGCCAAAATCAAATAATAAGAGGGGTTGACTTTGTATAAAATCGTCTGCAACTTAAAGGTACTTCTTTGCCAGTTGTAAGATGAGGTATGGTAAATAAATTACAGGGTATGGATGCTGTAAAATGTGTGTGTGATGTGCGTGACCAAAAAGGCACCGGTGTTCTTTACCGACTAATAGAATTAGCTACATAAAATTATCATATATATTACAGATCCATCATGGGATTGTCAAACTCGTATAAATGTGCTGACATCGCGTCTCGCAGATTTAAGAAAAGCTTATCACTCTGTAAAGGCCGAGCTCGCAGCCATCGACAGGCGCCGCAAGAAACTGCGACGCAAAGAGAGAGAGGGTAAGTACACTTCAAGGCAAAATCTGACTATTGCTTAGAATAACTCATTATAAAAAATAATGTATCTCAGACGGGTTAGCTCTAAGTATGTGACATGACATGACCACATTACTTGTGTTGTATATTATATTTAAATCGAAAAGAGTCAGTCAGAAAGATATGTTGACACTCAGTTCTTTTTGTGCCGAGCAGATTTGAACCTCCAATCTTGGGGCCGAATGAAAGCTGTATGCTGTATGCTATGAATCTAATATTTTTTGAGTTAATCATCAGTGACTAAAAGAACGAATCCAATGGTTTTTTTAGATATTAGGCATATTAGATATACTTTAATAACAGCAGTAGCTATATAACATATCTGGTAAACTTATTCAGTTTGTATTATTGTTACAGCTGTGAAGGCCGCAAAAGCTGCATGTTCGTGATGAAAGTTCTTCCAAAAGGACCCAAGATGTCCAATGACATGAAAACAGATATTAGGCTAATGTGGTTCAAGATCACGTTAAGAAACAGTGTTTGACAGATGCTGCAAATTTTATTAAGTGTATAAAGTGATTTGAACAATGATGTAATAATGTACTGTTCAAAAAAATAACCTTGTAGGTATATGAAATTGCAATAGATACAATTTAATCTCGAGTGAACTATAGGCAATAAAAATAATATTATGGGACACAGTCACCTAGATACATCAAAATAATAATTGCATTTAATAATGTCTAGTAAGACAATTTCAATATTGTCTACTAGGCACTGCTGTACCTAAACTATGTCACCCCACCTTACATTTTCCTACTGTTATTTAGTATATAAGATCATTATTTCTATGTACACATTATCAGTTTATCATCATATGTAATATACATCGTCTCGACCAGCAACATCTTATTATTTACCCGCAACAGTGGTGACCCGGCCGACGTGATCTGCCCGACGTGATCTGCCGACGTGATCTGGCCGACGTGGTCGAGACGATACCTGGGAAAACGACGAGATCAAACAAGAGATCTCTGTCTGACGGCATCCTGCGCACCACCAACGATTGCACATTTCCACCGGCTTCCCAGAAGCGGGTCTCACTCGGAAATTCAAGAGGCATAAAAGTCGTTGGCAATACTGCGCAACAAGGATCCTGCCGTGCTACTGACCCCCAGTAAACACAACTGCCTGCTGGATATAATCTCTGGACGAAAAATTGTGTGTGACTGGAAAAATAAAGCAAAAATGCTGTCTACAAAAGTACAGCCAACAGTCACCGCCGACGTCATTGCACACCTGTCGTCACTAATTGCGACACTGCGATCAGAAATTGCTGATATACGCGAAAAGCGCTCGCCACACACAAACAGACGCAGCAACTACCGATCTAGGTCAAATTCGCACCTACGGTCATTGCATAGTCAGAAAAATGACTATTATTTATATTATATCATCGCAAATATAAAGAAAAGGCATACAAACGTTACATGCCGCGCTCCTATAGACAACCGTCGGAAAACTAGATTCGACGCAGAATAAGACGGAACGCTGTGCTGTTCATCCGTCTAACCGCCTAGCTATAACCGACTCTAACAGTGGCTATAGAATTTTGGTGGACACCGGAGCAAAAATCTCGATGAATAAAAAAACAAGCACAGACCAAAAAGAGCACTAGCGAAATCAAATTATTCGTCGCAAACAATTAATATGAGCAAATGCGAGTTCTTCACAAAGGAGTTAGATTTTCTTGGTTATCATATAACGAGCCAAGGGATGAAACCAACGCAAGAAAAATGGCAAGCAATCGACGAGTGCCCTAAACCCACGACAGTCGAAGATTTACGTCGTTATTTGGGTATAATGAATTTTTATTGTTACTAAAGTGCATAATATCTTAAATTTTACAGTTAACTTTTATAATTTTTTTGTGTGTAATATATTTTTTTTTCTCTCAAGGGGGGAATATCTATGGGACACAGTCACCTAGATACATCAAAATAATAATTGCATTTAATAATGTCTAGTAAGACAATTTCAATATTGTCTACTAGGCACTGCTGTATCTAAACTATGTCACCCCACCTTACATTTTCCTACTGTTATTTAGTATATAAGATCATTATTTCTATGTACACATTGTCAGTTTATCATCATCTGTACAATACATCGTCTCGACCAGCAACATCTTATTATTCACCCGCAACAAATATCAAGAATTTTTATCGCCGAATTGAATAAATCTATTATATATAATTACTAATTTATTATTGTCATGATGCAATGAATATGTAATGTAGTGTATAAACTTATTACCTATTTATATTTATTTTGATTTTGTAATGCATTTACGAAAACGTTGAGAACTTGTTACCTTTACAATAGTTTTTAGAGATTTACTATAATAAAGATTATAGAATACGTCATTAGTATATGCATTACATAATATTAAGCATATAAATAAGAGTTTGCACTAGTGCCCGCAGTATTAGAACGAGCGCTGGGCGCAACCTGTTATCTACTGTCCTTTCTATAGCTTTCGATAGATTTATTGTCCTCTGTAAACCTGTTGTAAATAAATGTACCTCTGCATCACACTTATTTATATTTAAAGACTGAAGGATGGAAATGAGATACCATGATTATAGTGACAATCATTTACTTCTCAAATTATACAGAACTTTTAGATTGTAAAATTTACTTTTAATAAAGATTCTTCAAGGAAAACTGACTTTGTGTTCTCTAGAATATGCTGCACGCTCGCCAAGTACTTGTACAAATCACATAATATCAGTCAAGCAAAAAATATTATATATAGTACATACATCATTCTATTATAATTCTATATTACTATCGTACGAAAGGCATCAGCCATGTGGGTGCGCTAGTAATAGTTGGGGTACTGCGGCCAAGTGTGCGGATGGTGCTGGTAGGGCCCGGCCGCCTGCTGGTAGCCCCAGGGCGGTTGGTAGGGCTGCGCGTACGACTGCTCGTAGGACTGCGCGGTGGCGGCCGACGTCGGGTAGTACGAGTTGCTGCTCGCGGTGGTCGTAGGCGTTGTCGCCGCGCTGTTCTCTTTCTTCTTTGTTGCGTCCGTAGAAGCACTGCGGTTAAATTACTTTACTTATAGCCGCCATCCACACCATATAAAGGTTAAAAATAACAGTATTAAATTCAATAAAAGCGACTTATACAAGCAATATTGATTGAAAACTGATTATAGAATGGACAGAATAATATAATCTGACGATAATAAAAATAAAGTTTGTTTAATTTTACGAATTCAATGCGAGATTAATGCAAGCAACGTCGCTGGCTGGGTACATATTCTTCTTAAGGTAAGATACGTGTGGGATATTGTTTAAGATTATAGATTATTTCTTCCACGTGGGCTAACTCGACTTTATGCCGTTAGCGCGGCGGTTGCACTGCTTTTCTTTTAATTGGTGATAATGGTATGGTGCACTCGCATGCGCTAACGGTTTAAGCGGGTGGGGCACCAGTGGAGGATAATAATATGAGCGTGAGGTCAAGCCAGTTAGCCTATTCGGACAAATTCACTAGGAATTTATTATGTTTCCAGGGTAAACTTGACACGGTTCATTGGTAGCAATGGGTCAACAGTCCACATTAGTAAGGATCGCTTCCATAATAACGGATGGTGGTGTACCTGGGCGGCGGCGGCGGGTCGTGCTTGTCCTTGCGGGCTCGCTTGCGCAGGTGTCGGGCCAGCTGCCGCGCGTGGGCGGCGGCGGCGCGCGCGTGCTGCGCCGAGCCCAGCTCCTCGGCCAGCTCGCGGCGCCGCCACGCCATGCCGGCGCTCACCTCCGCCTCCGCGCCCTCCTGCCGCTCGTACGACTGCACCAGCTCTGCGGGAAGGGGGGACTACTGTCACTAATGCTGATGTATAAATATCACCCCACGTTGTGATGGTGGAGAGTGGTGTACTGTTACTAATACTGATGTATAAATTACGTCCCACGTCGAGGTGGGGAGGTCGACAAATGCAACATTGTATAATATAGTAATTAGTTTTTATGACCACACTAAAATGTAATCTGTGACACTATTTTTTTTAACCCCCCTACATGGAGGGGAGGTTAAAAATAATAGTGCCATTTAAAGACGAATGCACCGTTCCCAATTCGTCCAATAAAAATAGAACTAAGCAGGACTACCATTGCAATATCATTACACAAAAGATCCTACCGATTCTAATAATTTTGATATTCTAAGTAGAAAACCAGTAAAAACAATAATATATAACACACCTTCTAAAACTTCGTAAGGTGTACCAGGAGTATGCAAGGCCAAGTCGAGCCTCTGCATGTGTAGCCTGTGATTAAGCGGGTCCTTAGTAATGGCTTCGTCGAGTGCTTTAGCTGCCGCCGCGGGGTCGTGCCTCGTGTGGAACAGAAACCGCGCATATTTGATAGCGAGGGCCGATGCCACCGCTTTATTCTTCGCTGCTGTTATATAACCTTCGTACAGCTGGCAGCATTTCTCGTAGTCGCCCCGTCGTCGTTCCAAATTTACACGTCTGTAATTGTTGTTAGATAATTTATTTTACTAATGGTATCGTTAATTAATATATTGATAATAGGACTTTAAGGTATGTAGAGCTGAATACTTTAAGGTATGTAGTTTTCCTATATACTAAACAATATTCAAAAATATTTTTATAGTTAGTTTTATTAAAGAATTTTAATATTAGCCGTAGTATATTTAGTGCTATTATTTTTTACTCACATATACTTAAAAATTCCAAATTCCTTTGCTTTTAATGTAATTTACTCTTGGTCTCGAAGAAGTATGTATCTTTCCAAAAATATATTCAATTTTAATATTATTTTCGGTGTACCAAAATTGAACATGTAATTATGTAATTAAAATGCGGGTAGCCTTCCCTACAGTGACTAAACAGTAACTGATGCCCACTCTAAATTGAATATTATCTTATGTTTTAATGGTGTGACACTTCGCGAGGCGTAAATGAGTGTATAGAACATAGAGCCGTGCCTGTATTGTATCTGCACGAGGTGAGGGCAGGTCTTCTCGATGCGGTCGAGGATGTCTGCAGCGCGCGCGGGATTCCCGTGCGCTTCCTCGAAGTGCGCCCAGTGCAGGTGCAGCTCGGGCTTGTCGAGGTGGTGCACCGTGCACGCCCGCTCCAGCACCTCTCGCTCCACGCTCACCAGCTCCGGGTTACTCTCCAGGCGTTCCTCCAGGAACTTTATCAGCTATAATATAACCAAACATCTCACTTATAACCGCAAAAATAAACCGCCTTAGGTAATTTAATTAAAGTTACGAGTGAAAACTCAAAAGCAGTGTAAGTGTGTAAATACACATATTATTAATAATGCTACTTTATAGTAGCACTATTAATAATATTGCTGCAGCATAAAATCTTAACATTATATTGTTTATTAAGGAATAGTTGTTAGTTTATATAGATAGTATTTGTGTAAAATATTATTGATTAATGCAATGCCAATATCGCTGTAACGAAATTACAACACGCTTCTGTTTACTATTGTTGAAATGTCATATGTTATATACATAATTAAGTATTTTTGTACCTACATTAAGGCTGAACACGCTACAATCGTGTAATTAAAATTTGTTACTTTATATACACGATTGTAGTGTTTTGGATTACCCTTGGAACCATATTATGTTTTTCATATTTGAATGTTCAGATATTTTACACACGCCAAAACGTCTTATAAATATTTGATACCCGCATCCAAAACTCTTCATAAAGCGCGCAGGCTATAAGGCACCGTTCGTGCAACACGAGCGCCCGCTTCAGTGACCCGTGCTGCTTCTCCCATTCTAGATACGCCTTCCAATTTTTCAGCTGACATCTTTCTAATGGTTTCACGTGGAAATATGGACGCTTGATCTGTGTTATAATCAAACAAATTAATATTTAAATAATTAAATATATATTATTTTTAAATACTACTAATTGACAATGTTTTTTTCTTAAAGTGGTGGTCCAATGAGACAAAATCAAATTCTAAACAACTTTGATAGTTTTGAGTGAAAATCTCGTCAAAATCAATCCAGCTGGTTTAGAGATTAGTAAGAATAAAAAGATTTTTTTTTCAAATATATGTTTATGTAAATATCGTATATATTTAGCGAAAAGCATTAATATACATATTTAGAAATACACTATTTATTTCTATAGATAATCTTTATAAAAATAATTATATGAATTTAAATATGTACATGTACATATTTAAATTCATATAATTATTTTTGAAATAAGTAAAATCGCGTAAGAAACTTTAGTTCCTTATGATTAATAGAATAAGTAAATAGATATAAATAAAGTTGGAGTGTCAGTTTGTAATATTGAAATAACCATTTTTTACTGCATGCATATGAATATAAATACGCTACATACCCCAAAGATCCACTTTTTAAAATTTTTGTCTGTCTGTCTGTCGTTCTGTTTGTTCCGGCTAATCTCTGAAATGGCTGAACCGATTTTAACGGGACTTTTTTTGACAGGTAGCTGATGTAATTGGGAGTAACTTAGGCTACTTTTATTTTAGAAAAACTCTTTTTATTTTATAGATAAATAAAGTAATGTTGTAAGTAATACCGCGCGCTCAGGCGCATGCACCGCGCTGGGCCGATACCTCGGGGGCCTCTCGCCACGTCTCACACCAATGAATCAATATCACAAAGGCTACCTGTCGCGCGGGCTCACATCGCGCGAGCGGGCTGTAGTTGATGGTTGTCTCGACGACTTTATTTAAAAATTGATATCCAGTTCTTATGTCATACTTTTGATTGATAGGTATATTTTATAATTACACCGATCCATTCTTCTTATCTTAATTCAAAATATTTTGTAACATTTTTACTGCTTTCCTTTTTTACCTTCAAGTAATTAGGTATTATAAATTAGGTACATTTGTGTACAATATTCAGATTTACATTGAAATTTATAAATTATTTATAGGTTATTTTATTTAGTTAGTAACGTAGATAGTTGTTTTTTCCTAAAATAAATATTGTTACGTTAGATTTTTCGTTTTTTAAATGCACACTATACATACACACATACATATAAATAAAATCGGAGTGTCTGTTTGTAATCCTTAGATACTAATATTAAAAAAGCGAAAGTAACTCTGTCTGTCTGTCTCGCTTTCACAGAAAAACTACTGAACAGATTAAATGATAATTGGTACACAGATAGTTTAGACCCCTAGAAAGGACATGGCTACTTTTTAATGCGAAAAAAGAGTAGGAAGGGCTTGAAAGGGGGAATGAAAGATTGTATGGAAGAATCGCCATTTTTGAAGCTAAACACTTGAAATTTATTTTTGGGGCTGTTAATTAACTATAAATAAATATGACATTTAAAGTTTGTAAAAAAATACCCTTATGGGGGTAAAATAAAATAGGGGATGAAAGTTTTTATGTTTTTGAAGCTAGCAGTTTGAAACTTATTTTTGAGGCTGTTAATTACCTATAAATAAATATGATGTTCAAAGTTTGTATAAAATTACCATTAAAGAGATGAAATAAAAAAGGTGATTAAAGTTTTTATAGAAATTCGTCATTTTTGAAGCTAGAACGATTACAATTTTTCTTTATCTTCTTTGGTTTGTTAAATATCTTACTAATATTATAAATGTGAAAGTAACTCTGTCTGTCTATTTGTCTTGCTTGCACGCCAAAACGACTAAACCGATTTAAATGAAATTTGGTAGGTAGATAGTCTAGACCCTGAGAAAGGACATAAATTATTTTATAATGTGAAAAAGGATTATAAGTTGGTTGAAAGGGAAAATGAAAGTTCAAACAACTTTTTGAACTTTCATTTTCCCTGCAAGGTTGTATGGATGTCATTTTTAAGGCTAGAAGCTTAGAACGTATTTTTTTATGCTGTTGATGAAATATGACATTTAAATTTTGTAAAATTTTTACCCTAAAGGATGGTAAAATAAAATAGGAGATGAAAGTTTTTATGGAAATTCATTATTTTTGATGTTAGAATGATGGAACTTTTTTCTTTGGGTTTTTTGGGTTAGTTTATTAAATAGCTTCCTAATATTACAATTGTGAATGTCTGTCTATCGCGCTTACATGCCAAAATTACTAAATCGATTCAAATGAAATTTGGAACACAGAAAGACGAGACCCTGAGAAAGAACATAGGTTGATTTTTAATGTGAAAAAGGGTTGAAAAGGTGCAAGGTTGTATGGATGTATCGTCATCTATACATATAAATAAAATTGGAGTGTCTGGTTGTAATATTGAAATAACCGTTTTTTCCTACATGCATATGAATATAAATACGGTAGATACACCAAAATAACTATTGTTGTCTATTTGTTCCTGCTAATCTCTGAAATGGCTGGGCCGATTTTGACGGGATATTTTTGGCAGGTAGTTAATGTAATAAGTAGTAACTGAAGCTACTTTTATTTTAGAAATATTATTTTATTTTAGAAAAATAAAGTACTTATAACACCACGCGGACGAAGTCGCGGGTACAGCTAGTAATAAATATTTTCAATATACTTACACCCTCTTCAAAGGACCACCGGGCAGCGACTTGTTCACCAGTAGCTTTGTGCACTTTCCGGCGAGCGGCGATTATTCGTTCCTTGATCGCTTGCGCTTCTTCCTCGGATGCCTAAAGAAAGACAACAATTCTCTCATCATAACATAACAGCATATAGATTAAATTATTTAAAATTAATCACCACCTTGGTACATTTTTTACAGCCTAAAATCTAAATCGAGATCTGTTTAACTTTTCAAAAAGGGTAAGGACTTCAAAAAACTAGGTAAGTAGCGGAGAGTGTGTGGGGAGGAGGGGGGTGTAGGTATACTCACCACGTGGTCGAGGGGCTCGTCCTCGCCGGGCGGCAGGTCTAGCTGCGGGAGCGCGGGCGCGGCGTGGCGCACATCCGCCCGCACGCGCACCAGCTCCGCGCTGCTCACCGCTCCCGTCACCGGCTCCGACATCACGTGCTCCTGGAAGCTGCATCCCACCACATCAACACATTTTGTCATATAAATATATCGACAGACAAATAAAACTGCCAATACAATGAAGTTCTAATTTCGAATAGTGTGATATCTTCCATTCAACACTGCTCCTGTTCCGGAGTCAGTTGAAGTTCCACGGTATACAATAATGTAATGCGCTGTTAAATTATATTTAATACTAGCTGTTCCCGCGATTTCGTCCGCATAGACTAATGGTTTTTCTAAACCCAAATATTTTTTTAAATAAAAGTCGCCTAAGTTACTCCTTATTACGTTAGCTACCAAAAAAAGTCCCGTCAAAATCGGTCCAGCTATTTCAAAGATTAACCGAAACAAACAAACAAAAATTGTTAAAAATGTTATTTTTGTGTATGTACCGTATTTATATTCATATGCATGTAATAAAAAACGGTTATTTCAATATTATAAACAGACACTCGCAATTTTATTTAAATGTATAGATTGCACCAATTTTTTTTTATAAATAAATTCCTGTTAATTAAATCATTCATAGTATTATGTTCTAAATTACTTTAATTATCTAGCGTATATTACATGCATTTATTTAATTTAGCTTTCATAGAGGCTTTATGGTATTGGATTACAATCCACGTGTGTACCAAAGTACAAGCGCCTAATCAAATTCTTGTAATGATTGTCTGAATCTGTTTTGTAGGCTAATCAGTAAATATACAAAGCTACTAACGCACTGACGTATAATATTACACAAATGCATGGCACAGCATGCTTGCATATAGAATGCTTATATAACACATTAACTGTATAGAACTTGATTTAATATGGTACAAAAGGCGGATCTGCCCTATTTATAATTTTTATTTTTACAGAAATCTAATTTGAACAAAGGCTGACTAACTGGGTACCTATGCTTCTGTCGTAATAGCTTGCTTTAACACTATTCTTGTTTGAAAGTATGTATACATGGCAGTAAAAACGCAGGTTATAGAAATATGTACATGACAAGCGCTGTTTGCCACTTTCCATCAGATAAGCCGGTGATTCGATTGACGTACCAATTAAATAAAAATGAGGAGACAGATAAACTCGACATAGATTAGCAAGCTATGTCGAGTTTCTCTTTCATCTATCATCTAAAGTTTTAAACACATATATAAAACACAGTACTAACTTGTCAAAATGCGAAGTGTATCCCAGTGTGGGCGTAGCCAACAAACGATCGTAAATATTGGTGACATTAAGCGCTGATCCATTCTCCGCTTCCCACTTGATATACGATTCCCAAAGTCGATCCGAACGAAATTCCAAACCACATGCATCTGAATCATCATAATAATAATAACATTAACATTTCGTTATTACCAGCAAGAATTATATTTATATAAAATATCGTTGTTCTTACCTATAGCTCTCTCGTATTGGGATCTTATAAAACTATGATCCTCAGTTCGTGTGGCCTTAATGTGATTAAGATAATGTACCCACAAATCAACTGATAATGGTATAGCTTTAAGTCCTCTTTCCAAAACCTGAAATACAAGTTCAATCATCAAACATGCTCCATGAGGGGCCAAGCATTGTCGTTGTACGACAACACTATGAAGCAAGGGAATAATAAATAGCATTGTATGTCTCATGTAATTTAGAATAGAAATAAGCGGGAGGTTGAGCATGTGAAGGCACAGAATAGCGGCCAGCGAGCTGACAACCTCTCGCTTGCATCTATTGAATATAAAATGTTTGTCTGGGCATATTACACCTGTTCGCACCCGGCGGCTGATGGAGCAGTCTTCATCCCGGTGTCTTCACTTCCTAACGCCATCAACTATGGCTAAATATGAAGATCGGCTGCGCTCCATGTGCCATGGATTATTAGTTAATGTTATCTTAAATATATTCACCATTATTCACGTACTTAAATAATATACATGATAAAGTATTACAATAAATCATGCGTGTACATAGTATCATAAATATATGCACTAGAATATAATGTATACACCACAAACAATGAACCACTACAAGGAAAACTATGTGATGGTAATAACTCTCCGGTGCGAACGGACGACTTTGCCTTACGAACATCGTGGACCTCGACGCACTGTTGGGAAAAAAAATAATTGCAAAATACCAGTTATGACCAAATAATTCAATATCCAAGTGATAAGACACATAATGTAAATCATCATTCAGATTATTAAGCATTTGCCAACTCACCATTTCATTATTTAAATAATTAATTAATAATGTATCGACTTGACTCGGGCGGTACTCACCTCCAGGCACTTCTTTTTACTTCCTTTACGTTTTTCATAGTCGGCGTATTTCCGCCAATACCCATAGCAATACGGGTAATGAGATAAAAACGCATCGTATGCCTCGCGCGCAGCCTCTACGTCGCTCTGCAAGCAAACATCGTAATTGCGTCAATCAAGATTTTCAGACACCTTTTATCATCATTCATTATACCATTAATATCAGTTGGCCCTTGCTGATCGACATTTAAGATTCAGTTCCCATTGTTTCATAAAACTAATGAGATTAGCAATATTTTTCATCATATTTTAATAGGCAAAGGGAAGTGATACAAATGTAAAATAAGCATGATTTTGTACAATCGTTGTCCATGTAATTTGGAGCACGGCGCTGACAGATTTGAACTCAGTTAACACAGTGTACCCAAATATATACGATAGAATAAGATAGATATACATTGTCTGCTCCATTTTCATATTTTAGGTAAATATGGCTTTGTATGACTTCCATCAGGCTTAAACTATAATACAATTATTTTATAAATTATTGAAATGTAACAATGTAGACATTTTTATTACCTCTTGGTCGACATACTGCAATAAATATGTCCAGCCAGTGAAATCTGTTGGGTCCTCATTGACGACCTTCCAATACTTGTCAAGTTCAGGTAGAGTTTTCTTCTTGGGCTTTTCATCAATTGATGATCGCTTTTCAGCGGGAATAGGTTTGCTCTCACCATTCTAAAAATTATCATTGTTTTAATACTTTTACAGAATAGATCAGTGTTATTTCGAATACTACAAAACTTGTATCAATTCCTATATATATATATAAAGGTAGATACATATTGTTAAGGAAGGAAGGAAGGAAGGAAGGAAGGACTGTATTAGGGCTGGTTAAAAATGAGACACGTTCCTAGGTGAGGTAAAATAGATGTAATTTTTGCTAGCGAGCTGATTACATCAGCTCGCTAGCAAAAATATAAAGCCAATATGGCATAAGAAAACAAACGGTATATAAAAACAGAACGTCAAAATATAAAATTCAAATATATATAAAAAACATAAAAACTATCAAAAAGGTTGCCATCGGCAACACATATATTTATAAAAGCTACAAGAAAAGACAAATTAAAAAACCACAGTCTCAGGTCTCACCTTAGCAATAGCTTGTTTCTTGCTAGCAGATTCATTCTCTGATGTAGGAGATCCAGGGTCATATCCACTTCTTTCCTCATCTGGTTTGCGTTTACGTGACTCTTTTGAGTCTTTCTTAGATGCTGGCAGTTCATCTTCAGAGACAACCTACATCAGAAATAAATATAATACTATAATATAATAAAATTATTATTATTAAAAACATAAAATTCAAGGCATTTACTTCAGTATCGGCAGGTAACTCTGCAGGTTTTGGACCAGGTAGTTCGTCATCTGAAACATTCTCAGCATCCTTCACACTTGGTTTCTGTACTGTGGGCAATTCATCTTCAGAAACCACTTCAGTTTCTTCAGCACCACCAACCTTAATTCAAAATAATAATACAAATTAATATTTTGCCATATTGCTATTAATTTACACAATTATGTTTTGATTGTATATTTCACTTCCAATGTTTTACAGAGGTTTGATCCCAGAAGAATACAAATGTATACATGAATATCCTAGTGCTGGTTTTTGCTAACTACTTGTAACATAGTATAAAATATTAATATCACTATACATGTAGGTAATTTAATATTGAAGACCTCGGTGGTCTAGTGGTCTAGCACATCGCTTTACGTCCGATGGTCGCGGGTTCTATTCCTCGCACGGCACAAACAGTTGTATTCATGAGTATGATTGTTTGTATCGGTCTGGGTGTTTTCTATGTATAATATGTATATATTTACGAAAAAAAATAATTATCTATGTACTTGTACCTATCAGTTATCTAGTACCCGTAACACAAGCTTTAGTTAGCTTAACTTGGGACTATTTGGCGCTGTGTGAATTGTCATGAGATTATTATTATTATTATTAAATATATGCCATTGTAGGAACATGCTATAATTTTTATGGGATCATAAACATAAAGCTATGTAATGTCATGCACAATCATTAGATACAACTATGTACACTTACAATATAATCTATGGTAACATAGATAAATTATAAGAACTACCAAAAGGGTTCAATCAGGGATGTGTATTATTTTAATTAAAATGGAATTCTACATCTGAAAACAAACAAGTATCATTGTGAAATGTTGTATAATACCTAAAAATATAATTATAGTAATTAAATTTTGCTTATAATTAATATATCTATATTTGATGACATAAATTTATATTAAAGTATCAGAATTATTGTAAATAGCAATTAATCTTACTATTGTTACAAATGTGAAAGTATGTGAGAATGGATGGATGGATCACACAAATACAACTGAACAGATTTTGATGAAACTTTACAGTAATATAGCTTATACATCACCATAATACATAGGCTATCAATTTTATGAGTGTGAAACCACAGGCATAGCCAGGAGATTGATATATTAAAGAACATAATTATTACCTTCTCATCTTTCTTCAGCGATTCAGTATATTCCAATGAATTTTCATCCACAGGTTGTGCACTGTTGTCTAGCTTTATAGACTCTCTTGCAATGATTGATGGACTTTCTTCTGCAACTAGTGATGCATTTTCTTTTGGCGTCACTAGAGCACTTTCCTGTACAGGTACTGAACTTTCTTCTGCATTTAGTAAATCACTTTTTTCTGCCACTAGTAGAGTTTTTTCTACAGCAATTTTAACCTAATATTTTGAAATAATTTATATGAGTGACAGTGTCTTAAATATGATATAAAAAGTACTTCTAATAATATTTTGTTTTGTTTATGGTTGACAATGATATGGTGCTCTCCTGTGCTAACAGTGTACACTGCGGAACCAGTGAAGGATAAGAAGATGAGGATGAAGTCAGGTCAGATAGCCGATTGTGACTAATTCACCAGCAATTCATTACAATGGGCAACACATGGAGGTTAACTGGACAAACCTACTAACAAAAAACATATCGTTTTTCAACAAAAACATTTCGTCAAAAGAATGGACAAGACAGACAATGAAATGGTAAAACAGATTCTGTCATCAAAGAGTACAATTTTTTTTTTTTATACCACAAAGTTGGCAAACAAGCTTACTGCCCATCCAATGGTAACCTACCTTTACAATAACAATATAAGGTATGTAAGAGGGTTGCACTACATTTGTATATATATTTGAGAACCTTTCCTATTATGAATAGTAAACTAAGGAATATGCTACCTGCTTGTTGTCTTAATTCACTTGCCGAATTATTAATATGATGTGGATTTATTTAGGTGTGACATTAAACATAACTTAGATAGGGCTATAAATTCAACTGATTACAACTGAACTGAAGAACATACCTTGTTAATTTGTAACTGTTCTGTTTTCTCAGTAGTATTTGATTCACAACTCTTTTCATTAGTAGTTGCCTCACACCCCTTCGATTGTGCAGGATTACTCTCCATCATTGAAAAAGCATCACCTGATATTTCACTAGGATTCTCCCTTTCATAGACAGTGTCCATCTTCACCGTCTGACTCTCTGTAACATCACCATCAGTATCAGAGCCCACTTTATACACATTTTCACAAAGTAAAGAGTCGCCGTCGGAGAGTACATTCAGAGACTCGCTCGGAAAAGTGACCGCATTGTCACCCACGTCAAAAGAATCCGTGTTAAATCCTTCCGTATTCTGTTCCAAATAGTCCCCCACGCTACCCGCAGACAGCTCGACAGCATTAAGGAAACCTTGGTTAGACGCCGACGACTCGTCCACCACGACCGCATCCACGCTGTTGAACTCTCCTTCCGTTAACAAATGAGACAATCCATTCGAGTTTTCGTTGATCAGTGGCCCTTCATCAGTATCAATTGGGTCCTCTGAAAGACATTTCTGAAAGAATTTCATAATATCTCAAAAACAAAAATGAAATAGTTAAGAAATATCTTAATCTAAACATTTTCTAACCTAATAAACTGGAATTTGTCTAATTAAGCACTGTATCTACTCACCTGTATATCTGAGCTGGATTCATCATCCATTTTAATCAAATGTCTAAGTACACTACAGATTTATTTGCAAAATAATAATGAAAATTACAAATTAACACATAAAAATAAATATGTAGCTATCGATTCTATATTATTGCCACAGAGTTCACAGACTATATAGGAGAACTAAAGTTTTTTTTTTTTCCCATTTTCGTCTATCTCCTTTTCAGTGATGGAACAGGCAAAGATCCTTAGACCGTACAGCCTAGACTACGTTTAAACTTCTTCATATTTGAAGAACTAAAGTTACAGAACCCAAGCATTCATTGACCACAGACTAATTGAAGATTTGAGATAAATAAGTTCTCTAAAACTTTTTATTGTAATCTGTGGCTTTCATCTTTTATTATCAATCTCTTGATTAGTATATTCTTTGTTATCAATTATTTTGAAATTTAAATTATATATTTTTATTTCTAGCTTATTTGCTTGCAATATTTTCTTTATTTGTTTAAAAATCACTACGTAAAGTGATTATATATATGCAATGTATATAATCTGAAATAAAAAGAATACAGTACATGTATCCGTAACATATATAAACATTAAAAATGATTGGTATATCCTCTTTTATCTCTAAAGCTGTTGCATCAGGACAACAATTATTCAAACAACAGGCGAGGGTGAGATTATTATATTTATTTGTTACAACTTATAGTAACATAATTTAAACATCCGAAGTTATTTTATAGGTTAACTTATACACGACTGACTGTTTAACGAGTAAAGAATAATATGTTATATCAGTTATAAAAAAAAAAAAATTCCATAAGAATGCCATTTTCCTATTTTATCTTCATCTTGTATTTGTTTGGGTGACTACATATTGTAGGATTTAGTCAGTATTATTTTAAACTGTATCTGTATGTGCCGTTACTAAATATAATCTTTCCTCTGTCTTCTACTTCCCATCGCTAAGTCATCTCATCTCAATAATAAAAAATGATGTACATAAAATGTTAAAAAAGGTTCATTCCTTTCATGTCTACTATACTTTAATTACCAATGCCCATTTTTAAATTAATATTTTAAAAATAGTCACTTATAGATGCTGTATTAGTTTTGCTTGTTTGTTCTGTTCTTTAATATGTTATTATTTTTATTGAAATGTATTGCTATAATCATTATATTTTATACTCCGTATTGGATATCAACTGACCAAGCAACATAGTCAATCAGTTAACTATGTATACCTACCTGCAGTACTACACATAATTGAAAACAAATTTAATTTCTAATTGTTCAGATATCAGTGTCTTCATAAAAGTTGTGAAATTATTATAATGTACAGTTATTTTTATATATTGTATTATATATATGTTTATAGCTGAGTATGGAAATGGATTCCATACTTAGCTGTAAACAAGAAACACTTACCACTACGCAGTACCATAGTATAAATTTATTACTTAGTCAATACTTTGAATTGTATTGTAATTGTGTCTTCCATCCATACAGAACACATTTATTTTGAAAAGAAAATGGCCACCAGCCTTGCATAAAAAAGGTGGTAAAATACCTAAAATGAAAGCCAGACATTTTGTATATGATTTAGTTGAAGATACAAATGTCCAAAAACAGCCTAATGTGAAGGTGATCTTAAAGCACTTTGTAGATGGTAAGCCAATTTTCTTAAAATTTACGTTTTTAATACTTTTATTACTTTGTAACAATGACATAACTGTGTACCAATGTTTTAGGATTTCATGCCAAAAAGGTAAAAAGGAAGAACAGTCATATTAATGAAACCTTATAGTGTAATTTTTTTCTATTTGTATGCAGGGGAGGATCTTCTTAAGGGCTTTTTGGGGTGCAACCCTGGGACTCAATACAAAGGGCCCCTAGTCCCTTAAAAAATATCTAGAATGTTAAAAAATCTGTCATGAGGTTGGCAACCCTGAGATTGAATCGATCAACCCATGCAAATGCGCATGTATCGAAAGGAACGGGGAATTTCTGGTTGCTTCATTTTGGACAGTGTATTGTTTTAGTTGAGTAATATAATTAGGTAGGGTCATAAGCAGATTTAACCCAGGGCCCCACAAATTCACGATCCGACCTTGTCTGTATGTGTATTAAGTCACAGTAGTTTTAGAATTTACTAATATTGTACATGATTTGTACATTCCAATATAGAGGTTTGATATTTTAAACTAAACCTATCATGAGTTTGTATCAAGATGGTTATCATTAATGTATTTGTTCATTGCATAACCATTTTTTTTGTAGGTTAATATAATTTTTTTATATCAGATAGTTGTCTACTTATTATACCCCCTATATGGTTCTTTACAAGACAAAATAATAAACAGATCATTTATATTCATGAAGAATGCAAAGAATAGTAATCCAAAAAAGTGTTTCAGAAATATAGTTATAGAAAAGTTAAGTAATTTACTGTTGTGCATTAAAACTTCTTGATTGAAATAAAGAGTAATGTTCATTTATAGGTGTTGGGAATAAGGGTGATGTACTGAATCTAAAACCTATGATAGCCTACCGAGATTTTCTTGTGCCTGGACTGGCAGTTTATGCAAGCCCTAAAAATTTGGCAAAATATGAAACGACAGAAATAAAGACAACAGAAGAGGAGAAGTTTAGTTCCCCATATGTGCAAAGAGTAAGTGTTTTGTATTATCTATATGAACATATATTAGTGCTACTCTTCAGAATTTGTCCTTTGCGATTGTATGATTAGAACTAAATAACTGTTACCAAAAAAAATTTTAATGTGTAAATAATTTTGAAATAATTTACATATTTTAATGTGTAAGTAATTTAAAAGTAACATAGTATAGTACAATTAATATGAAAATACTAATTTAAAGAGTCAGGTCCTAGTGGTTTTACCTGATTTATACCATAGTCTTGCATTCTAATATATATGTAGTTCTGTTCTTAATCCTTGGGTGTGATACAAATAACAAATCAAAAATGATATCAGACAGCAATAAGAATTTAATTGTATACTAGCAACAACAATAAACAAATATAAATTAATTATAGAAAGTGGGCATTTCAATTGTTTTATTCACCATGATGTCAATAGTTCCCAATGCCACAGACTGAGTAGCTACTTCCCATGAGGTGGGCCACATAAGCTTAAATGCTAAGATATTATTTACACTCAATAAATCAAAATAATTTAGTTTCTTTCATGTTATGAAAACCATAATTATTTTTTAGATTTAAGTGTTATTTGTACATTACTTAATGATGGAATGAAAAGTGAAGGTACCATAGAGTTGTGGTCTTACAGATGCTAATGGTAGCTGAACTGAACAAAATAAAACAAATCCATTGAGTAAATATAATTATTATTATATTCACAGACAATGAGTTGTTTGTCTCGTCTCGTCCTGAATGTTACCATGAGTAAACTGCAACCCTGGACTCTAGAACCATGGCATATCAAAGCCTGCTTTCGTAAAACAGGATTTGTAGTACCTGAATATGCCATAGAAATGCCCCCAGTGGCTATAAAAGGTCCAGATTTAAAGCTACAGGAAAAGGAATTCTTCATTACAGTTACAGTATGTATAATTAATCTATATCTATATATTCAACACGAAAATATATGATTTTATATATGTAAATAGTTAAATAGATAATAATGTTAATAAAAGTACACAAATAAAAATACTATAGGGTTTATTAAAAAATATTTGGAACTTATTTATACATATAAATAAAATTGGAGTGTCTATTTCTAATATTGATATAAACGTTTTTTACTACATGCATATGAATATAAATACGGTACATACACCAAAATAACATTGTTTATAATTTTTTTTCTGTTTGTTCTGGCTAATCTCTGAAATGGCTGGACCTATTTTGACGGTACTTTTTTTTGGCAGGTAGCTGATGTAATAAGGAGTAACTTTGCCTAATTTACTCCTTATCCTACTTTTATTTTAGAAAAATATAGTTAGAGTCCACGCGGGCGAAGTCACGGGTACAGCTAGTATATTATAATTTAAATATGTTGGTGGAAAGGAGAGGGCCAAACATAAGTAGTTTATTAATCTGGAATATTTGACATTCCTTTGTCTCTGTCTACCCTAATGCCAATTGTAGCATAGAATAACTACTAGTACTAGTTTATTGGGTTCAGAGTAGGTATATCATGAATAAACATTGTGCCATAATATTTTCATCATTGTATTTTAGGTATTAAATAATATGTAGTTATTAGTATTACAGTGTTGTTGCATATTTAAATATATTTTTAATTATTAAAATATAGTGTTGTTCAAAATATAGAGGAACCCACAAGACAGATGAGTTGCATCATAATGACTCTCATTTTATCTTTTTGTTTTACCCTAAATCAGATTTTATACTGCTATATGTATAAAAAAATCTGTAAATATGTATACAATGAGAATGATCTTAGACAATGCTAGGTCATCACTGACGGAAATTCACTGTATAAAGCTGATGTGTTAATTATTTTCAGATTAACAAAACTGAAAAAGTTAATGTTAGATGCAGAATTCATCACTGGGCTACAGGCCTAGACAGGCTCCCATGGGAAGAGTTTCATTGGAAAAAACCTTTAGAGGCCCTTATTCCAGAACAAGCACCAATTTTGGAGAAAATGCCATTACCTCAGTGAGGGAACTTTGTTTTGCAGTTATAGTAAGAAAGTAATTTTTTATAGTGCAATAAAAATAGTTGCACATAGAATTAAAAATTATATCTATTTGTTGTAAAATTGTTTAAATAATATAGATTTATGAGTGATCTATACAAACAGTATTTTAATTTGATTATCTTGTATATAATTTTATTTGGCCTCGGTGGTCTTGAGTGTCGTGGGTTCGATTTCTTGAACGATACATTCATGGGTATGATTCTTTGTCTGGGTGTTTTCTGTGTATTTGCAAAAAATATATAAGTATTTGTCATCAGTTCTTTATTACCCACATACCCTGCTTAGCTTGGGACTAGGTGGCTATATGTAAATTATACTGGATTATTATTTTTATCGAATTTATAGCGTAGCGTGATCTTATAAGCATCATCATCTGCTTCTTCCTTATCCCATTTATTTGGGGTCGGCGTAATATGTTTTTCTCTTCCATTCATCCCTGTTCGCAGTCATTTCGTTAATTACTTCCTTTCTTACCATATCATCTTTCACACAGTCCATCCATCTCTTTTTCAGCCTTCCTCTGCCCTTATAACCATCCACATTTATATGTAACACCTTCCTTAAAATATTATCCTCATTCTTACGCATTACATGTCCATACCACGATAGACGATTACTCTTCAACCCCTCGGACACCAGCGCCACTTTCATATGTGATCTTATATAGCCTTCCTCGATAAATGGAAAATTCTCCTCCTCGGAAAATTGTCCAACACTAAAAGGATATGTACAGGCATTCAATCGGTACTCATATTTACAATAATGTTTACTATATAACTTAAAATACTGGTCACACTGAATGTGCCTATATACACGAATGGAATGAAGTACCATGGACATCACATTACAATGTGACAACTGTATGAATTAGCAAGGCATGATTTCTTAGAGGACTCTAGAGACTCTTTCTTAGAGTTATCATGTGTTTCTTAGAGGACTAAAATGTCATGCCTCTTATCCTTATAATTTCACTGCCTAATCTCACCCTACAAAAGTAACACTGTTTAACAGCAAAGAAAACAGCTGAAATAAGTGAGACCAAGGTACCCACGCAGAAGACTTAACAATCTACCTCTGGTCAATATTTTGCAGGTAAACACTATCTTACTAATATTATAAAAGTGGAAATTTATGAGTGTGGATGTGTTACTCTTTCACGTAAAAACTACTGAATGAATTTTAATAAAACTTTACAATAAATAAAATATATAAATTACACCCATGTGAAACCGCGGGCACAGGTAGTCTAAATACGCTATGAATTTAGCATCTGTTGGACATTTGGAGAAATTATTTTTTTAAATCAAACCGAATTAAATCTCTTATTTAATTACGATTAAAAGTTTAAATAGATTCAAAATGATAAACTTACGCATTTCTAAAATCGACATACTTATCATTGTCCTCTCATAATTTATTTTCACATAATACCTTTGTATTCACGGTCTCGGTGGAACAGCGATTTAGTACGCCGCACCGCGCCGCCTTGCTTCCGATTCTGGTGGTTGCGGCTTGTATCTTGTATATTATTGTTTCTATCGGTCTGATTGTTTTTCCATGCATGTTATGTATGTATTTACAAAAATAATATATTTGAGTATATCTACCAGTTGGTATTATTGTTATTTTATACCCTTAAAATACGCTCTCCTTACCTTGAGCCATGATGGCGCTATGGGAATTGATCTATTATTATTACTATTATTTACTTTATATAAAAACAAAACAATGCAAATGAAAAAGTAAAAAAATAAGGAAATGTGGAAGATGTTGTATAACCAATTAGCAGAAAAATACCTACTGCTAAAGCTAAGTAGTAAAATTTTAAAGTGATGCTAAAAATAAAATGAATAATTTTCAACTATATTACATCTATAAATCTTCAGTTCGTATGTGATATGAATAGCCTACCTATTTTCATTACGAAGATAGTAATAATGTACAGACCCCATAAATGTTCGACTACCCGAAGCCTAACTTGGTCTTGTTCGCTATACGTTTTTCGTGAGGATTACGATCACTCAGTTCTTTACAAAGTATATAAATTTATAAATAGCTTTTTACTCTGTATATATGTTGCTATGACACGGTTTAACCGATCAAGCGAGTGAAAATAAAGTAAAGAAAATTGTTGAACCACCTCAAAAACCTTTATTCCTAGCATAGACAATACAAAATCGCAGGCCTTCCGGGTGGAATTATCATTAGCATAATTAGGTACATATTTTTGTCTACCAGAATTAGAAACAAATAGAAACTTAAACGAATCGGTTCGTAGGTAAAAATCAAGTAATTGTTATTTATTCTGCCATAACGTGTACCATATAAAACACTGTAGAATAAATAATCATGGACATTGGAATATGAAAAAAGTGAAAGTAATCCATCTGGATTAGGTTAGGTTAAATGCTTTGTATTACTAAGCTGTTATAATTAATATTCTTTGCGTGATTGTATGTATAACAGCGTATATAATTATTATTACTTGGTTGATTCACCCGCTTTACAAATATTTACTGTGGAATTTATTTTGATAAAAATAATTAGTTTATTTCAGATAAATGATTGACTTACGGGTCTTCAGGTTTTTCAATATTGCTTATTTCAACATACTCATTTTGTTTTTCTACAAACTCTTGTTCATTGTCCAATTGCTGTTCTATTGCCTCTTGAGTTTCATTATGTTGTTCTTCAAATTGTTGCTGATAATATTCTTGTGGCATATTTTCGTATTCTTGTGCAACGTACTCCTGTGGTTCAACATACTGTTGTTCGTATCCTTGTTCTTCTTGTGTTGCTTCATAAGCCCCATATTGCTGTTCATAATTTGGATCATACTGTTGAGAGGTCTCTTCACGCTCGTTCACTTCAGTAGAATATACTTGTTCAGTTCCTTCAGCAGCATATACTTGATCAGCACCTTCAGCGGAATATACTTGATCGGCACCTTCAGTAGAATATACTTGATCAGCACCTTCAGTAGAATGTACTTGTTCAGAACCTTCATAGTAAACATTATCCTGATGTTCTTGATAATTTTCAGTTTGCGGTATATAATTTTGATGATATACATTAGCCTCGTCGTTTAGGTTATAGACATAATTTTCATGCGACTGTTCTGTATAGAACGATTCTTTTTGTTCTGCGTCAAAAGCTTCAATACCCGATGAGTCAACAGGATTCTTCATATTCTCGGCAATTGTTCCTGAATTAGAATCGTATTGATATGATGGATCGTAATTAATTGTATTTATAGTATCATTATTTTCTTGTGGATTTATAGTTATTCCATCTTGTAATACTACATCGCTGTTGGGTGTAAAGTCTTGAACGTTCATGACTTCAGTTGGGTACTCAGTAACTCCTTGTACTTTATCATGATCGAGCACGAAACTATCATTGCTGGTCTTGTTTATTGAGTCATCATTATTTATAATTAGTAACTCTGCGTCACCCTTATTTGAATTTATAACATTTTCTGCATCAGACTTAGAAATCATTTCTTGCGTTGGTGAATATTGTTCGTATACTAAGTTCTCCACTTGTGTGGGGTAGTTACTCTTTAAATTTGTGTTTTTATATTCATCATCCCTTTCCAAACGCCTTTCTTCGTTATTGTCAAGGTTAGCGATCAACGAAGGATGTATTTCTGTATTTCTTTTATATGATACTTCATTATGATCTTCCTTAAGGGGTATCTGATCTGATTTTATTTCATTAATTTCTTCATTAGGTTTGTTCTTGGTTTCTTTTATTAGATTTTTTTTGGCACGATGGCTAACTATTGTTGTAATATTCTGTTTATCATGCTTATATTCGCTGAAATTTATTGACCCGTCTCGATGTAAATCAGGCGTATTGTTCCAATCTTTTTCTGGCTCTTGTTTATATTTTGAATTGTTCATTTCATGATTTAGATCGGTAAAATCATATGGAGTGTTTTCTTGAACAATATTATTTGGCGACTGATAATTCTCTCCTTTGGGTGAAGATGTTTTTGATTCCTTTTCGTCGTTTTTTAGTTGGTCTAAAATATCATATTTACTTTTCCAATCATCCTCGGCACACAATTTTGTAACTTGAATGTAATCACTGTCAAAGCTGGGTGTGTTCTTTGGAATCAATATATATTTTTTGCTAATTTCTTGAAGTAATGTTTTTTCAATGAGATCAGTTTTGGGTATATTTAATGGTAGGCAATCTCGATTTATAGGAGATTGTTTCATTTGTTTTGATGGTTTAACATAGATTTCCCTGTTTGAGTCTATAGCAGACTGAAAATAAAAAATAATATGAAACACTTATATGAAAATGAAGACACAATCATCTTAATTAAAAAATCCCAACTTACTTTAGGACGAAGCTGTACCATCGCCGTACGATATCGCATATTATCCAATTTTCCAAGAATATATTCATTTCTCTCTTTTCGTTTCTTGTCCTCTTCGAGAAAAGCATCATATTGTTTCCTAATAGCATTAATGCGATTAGATATTATTCTGAAAGTACACATCAGTATTTTATAAAATTTGAAGTTATAAGTAGGTGTCATTACGTAATGTATATTAATTAAGTCCTAAAATACGGAATAAAATGATGGCAATAACCGTACTTTTTATTAGATTTCCTCATATGTGCAAATCTAATTTTAGCAACTATAAGAAGACTAGAACTGCTCCAATGTAAACAAAGTAATGCCGCTCCGACCTTTGCGAAGGTTTTGCGAGTTTGCGCAGATCTCGTAATAAAACTATCTTTAGACGAACAGTGTACAGACTTAACTAAGTTTTTATACATAATTATATTATTATTTTAATATGATCAAATATGGAAAATAGACTTTTATTGATATTGCTAGTTCGTACTAACATCAATCATACCTTACAGTAGATTATAAGTCTGTAGTAATCTATAGTAGATACTAATATAAAAAGAGGTAAAGTTTGTATGTTTGTCTGCAAATCCGCATTTAAAAATTATTTTATTGTTAGAAAGGCATTATGCCAGAGTTTTAGAGGCTATAGGTATAACAGCACGCTACGACCATCAGGAGCGGAGCAGCAATGAAAAAAATTCCGTTACATAATTTGCTTTCAACAAACACTTTTGGATATATCTTAGTTTTTATAGAAGAAGAACGTTACTGACTAACTGATGTCAACGCAGTTTACAAATTCTTATAAAACCATATAGCTAAATAAAAACGGAAGTTTTGTGGAGATAAAGTTACTTTTTACAGCATATTAGAGAAAATAATGCTAAGTAAAAACATTATGAATCCGTTCATTTTAAAATCTTAGAGAATATTAGTGCAATACTTTAACCACGCCAATATACCAGTCCTAATGAAATGTGTCGAGCGAAACGAACGAAAAGTTAAATATTGGACCCGAGCGAAGCCGGGGCGGGTTGCTAATGTAATATATATTAAAATGCAGTAGATCATAAATTTCTTTATAATATAGTATTTAGGTACGGTAATTTGGGGACTGGATAGGGGAGAGTGTTATATGATAGCCATAAGTTTTGATATAATGGATGAATATGGAAGGGTATGCCGTTAGCGCAGGTGAGTGCACCTGCGCTAACGGCATACGCTGCCGGGGTACAAGTGAAGAATGATGGAATAATAAAGTCAGACCAGATAAATCATCGAAGCGAATTCACCAGGAATGAACAACGGTGATATGACGACGATATGACATGACATGGTACATTGTCAGCAATACTAGTCCCCATTACGAACAATTCTCTCCCCCTCTTTTTATAGGAGTAGGTACGAAATCTACTGTTTACTGCTATGTTGATCCAATGAGTTTATAAAGGAAACAAAGTATGTACGTTTGAAATTAATATGTTTAATATTGACATAATACGGTAGCTATATATGTAAGTTGTGCGGTGGTGCCAGGCATTAAGTGGTACACCGTAACGTCAGCCAGCTGTATGGTACAATAACAAAGCAAAATGACCTTCATCCTTGCTTATAATCTCGTGACACGATAGTCACGAAAGAATGTTTCTATCACTATAAATTCAGATACATATATACAATATATACAACATTGTATATATACAACTACGTAGTCCTAGCCTATCTCATATAAAGTAGGTACATACTGAATTATTGACCTTCCCTGCGAACATAACAGGACATTCAATAGATAAATTTACCACCTATGTAAACATAAATATCGTAATCACAAAAAAAACAAATGCTCTATTAACATTGACATGAAAACCATGCTTCGCGATTTTTTTTATTAAACGTGTCATTAAAATCTACTCATTATTAGGAAAGACATCGTCGATGAAGATATTTATAAAAAAAACAAATATACAAGTATACGATAGTAAACTCTACATTCAACATTAGAATGCATAGATTGACTAAACATATTCTTAATTAAAGAAGTAGGTACCTATATTTTTTTGTAAATACAACCATACATATAGACCTACTGTCTATATGTAAAACATTCCAATACAGACAATCGTATGAGTACAAAATAAATGTTTTTATCGATTCCAATCCGCTATACCACCGAGTATGTCTATAATAAGACAATTTGACATTGCGTATAAATGAATAGTCATGTGGATTATGGGGTTACGCTGATACAGGTATCAGCGTTATATTGGTATCAGGATACCAATATGATTTTCAAATTTTAAAACAGTAGGTGATGTGACATTTCGTCATAAATATTACAAAGAAGTAAAGTTAAGTTTCCGAAACAACTTACATATGAGATTGCAAAAATTCTTTCATCGATTAAAATATACCTTTAATAAGGTATCTAAATATTCCAGGTAAGCGAAGCCACGAACATGATACTTTTTATAGCGAAATAGAAAAAAAAAAAGAGACTGCATGGTCGAACTGGGGAGTAGTATAGTAGTGTATATACTAGGTGGGATATTATCGGAAAATAATAATTATATCAACGAACTTTTTCATCTAATTTACTTTTAGTCGAAAGAGCTAATCAATACCTAGCTATCCTCCTCAGCCAGCTAGGCCTGGGTAAGTTGGGGCTAAGACCCAGCTAGCAAGCGCCTAGTCCGATGCTGACTGTACACATGGTTGAATGAACGAAAGTTTGGCACAGACTATATATCATGACATAAATAGTTAAAATATTTAGGTAAATTCAAAATTTCATGTTTCCAGCACGATCATTCTAGTTGATGTAGTATGTTGATGTGTTGATACTACCTAGGTACCGACGTTTGTTTCTATACATTGATACAGAAAACAGAATCTGATTATATTACAGCAGAACTTACAATGAGGAAATTATCTGATAATTATTGGTATATTCTATGGTTCTACGCCGTAGCAACATGATGACTTGTTTCCGTGTTATTCACGTTGCTGTTTTTCTTATTATCTTAGTTTTGACATCTTTGGCGTTGCCAATACTTCTTTTGTTTATGAAAATCGATATCATCGATTTCTAGCAAACAAGTATTTGAAGAACATCTCTGTAATTGTTGGCTTAATGGTCTTATACACGACAGGATATTTCATTTTTAATTTAAGTAATTCCTATCTACAAAACCTAATAATAACAAATAAACCTAACCTAACCTAAAAAATAACATATAATAAATTAATAACAAATAATATTATACCGAAAAACATTCTTGCTAAAGGTAGGTACCTACGTAGTTACCTGCATTTCACCCCCCATTGCTAGTATTTTTAAATGGATGCATGATAACCAAACCCGCTTGCACAGTGCAAGATAATAGAACGCACATCGTGGAAAATTCACTAGGAAATAATAACGATTGTTTCTAGGTGGACCACGTGCAGGTTGCACGTGGTCCAACAATAGTGGTAGAAACAATCATCACCAGACACGAACACATTGCCAGCAATCGATCCACCAGTCCCCATAATTAACAATCCTCTCCCCTCATACTGCTGGTGTTGTACCCACCCTCTTATGAAACCATTCTAGTTAATTTCTGGTGAATTAGCCGCAACCCCTTTGCGGCTTGCTTTGCCTTTGCTTTGTTTTATGGTTGATAATGGATTGGTAGTATCCGCCTAAACTAACGGTATAAGATGTGCTGTGTGCGTGTTACCACTGGTTGATGACAGGATAGCATCGAGACAGATCATCATGACTAATTTATCAGGGATTAACCAACAATGATTTCCAGAAGAGATCGCGTGGAGGTCGGTCTGACTATCATACCTACCGCTACATTGCTAGCAATGGGGCTACCATACTAACTGACTTGACTTCGACATCTCATCATCCTCTACTAGAGCTCCGCCACCACATGTACGTCGTTAACAGAGGCGAGTGGGGGGAAGGGGATTGTTAGTAATGTGGATTGATAACCCCATTGCTAGCAATGTACCATGTTAGGTCGACCTCTACGTGGTTCCCCCTGGAAACCATCGTGTTAAATTCCTGGTGAATGTCACGATGGTCTAACTGACTTGACCTCATGCTCATCTTATCATCCTCCACTGATGCCCCGCCAGCGTAAACCGTTAGCGCAGCCGGGTGCACCATTCCATTATCATCCATAAAAAAAAAAACAGACTATAGAATATTTCCTTACGGAACGGCCGCTCAGAGTGTGCATTCTAACAATGGATGGGATGGAGATGTAACTTTGAACTGACGTACAATAAAATTTTAAAAATCTTTTATTAGGTTTATTAACGAGTAATAACATTAAAATTTAATCATTAATCCAATTTACATTAAACGTATTAATTTTGGGCTAAAATTATTCTACTTAATAAATATAAATTCAAAAGCTTTTTTAAAATTCAAATCACATCAAACTGCGCTGTTTCAAGGTTATATCAACTGTTTGTTCTTGTAGTGATGTGACCAAATAAAAAGGGACTATACATGTATTATAGTTTTTGTGATCTCTGTTGCTGTAGGATGATCAATATTGTAAAATATCGACGTTAAATATCGAATAAGAATGAACGCTGTCTCGCCTTGACTTATCAACGTTCTATTTTTTACCGCTAATAATTAGTATGATACTGATGAAATGGCTATATTATTTATTTTGACTAACCATAAGTCATAAGTTCACAATAATAATATTATACTATAGACGACTTAACATATTTTCCAACTAAGAGTTCAGCTCCTATTTATGGCTCCGTATAAAATGGATGTGTAATAAATATCGATCATCTTTCTCCCATCTCTCATTCTCATCCCTAAATACCGGACATTTAACAAACGAAAATTGTACTGTTTTGACACATGAGAGTTCAATTGAGTCCATAATAGTACTTCCTTAAAATTTAAAATACAATACACTAAAATTGCGAATAAAAAATAACATAATTATGTTGTAATACATTGACAAAAGGTAACAATAAATGTATATTAGTCTGTTTTCAGTATTTAGTTTCACATTTGGACTGTTTATGTAGCCGAAACTAATATAAATTAGTGAATATTAAAAACTAACCAATATTAAATATAAATCAAATTTGTAGCATATGTGAACACTAGCAGAAAATATGAACTCACCTCCTCTGCCTTCCTGTTGTAAATAAGTTTTTCAAATTTCTGAACTGTGTGAAATATGTAGGAAACATAACCTTTTTTTATTTCAGATTTTTTATTTTCATAATGATATATAAATGGTGGCATAGATTTGTACGTCGCAGGACTAAACCTATACCTGTTGATCAGGCTATTTTATGGAAACGTCGGCTAAGCATTGCTTATGGATTTGTAGCATGGAATGCCTTCGGTTTTGTTGTTTATAGTGCCTATAAAGGTAAAGCAGACTGGGCACATTATTACGGTTTGAAGACAGACGAAGAGAAGTCTCTTCCTCCAGGTAACTACCAAAAACTTCTTTAAATACTCTAATAGGTTAAGAGAGAAGGAGTGAGGACTTCCTATTTTTGTGTATGATAATGGTTTCGTAGATCCATTTTCTGCAGGCACCAGCGGAAGATTATTATATATACATCATATATTATTAACTCTACACAAGCGAAACTATCAAAGTGGAATGGATATAATGCATTGCTAGCTCTTGCGATACTGCCCTCTATTAGGAGCTTAGTAGTAGTGGAGACTAATGGTACAGTTACCTTTCAGCAAATCTGTCCTATTAGTAATATTCCTACCAACATGTCTTATAATTTTAGATCATCATAAACATTTGTTATTCTCTAAACATTAAAATAGACAACTACAGTCCTAACTATACAGTATACTCAATTACATAGATTGATGTATACTATAACATCAGGAAGTTTTAATGTTATTTACAGTTATTAAATATATTGAATGTCTTCAGGTCAAGCATGGGCTAATACTTTAGGTATAAAAAATGCCAAGGTATATAGAATATCAGGATTCCAAAAGGTGGATGAATATGACATTGTTGATGGAGAGCACAGGTCAGTAAAACCAGTAGCGATTGACGAAAATGATGAAGACCTAGTAGAATGAAATAGACAATATTAATGTAACACTGTTTATAAACTGTAAATAATATTGAATTAAGTAGATGTAAATAAAATATTATTGTTACAAATTTCTTTTTTATTTAGTAAGCTATTATAACATATGCATGGGTGAAGCTCCAGCACAAGATGATAAGATGAGTATGAACCCAGTTCATATAAATAATTTCAATAGGAATTAAGCAAGATGGTTTCCAAGGCCAGTCACCCTTCCCCATTATATCTGGTCTTTCCTTAATTTCCACAAGTTAGATCGGATGAAATCATGTGGTTTCAGTTGCTTATTTGAAAAGAATAAGAGCTAAGTTTCTTGTAACTGACAAGAAACTTAGCTCTTATTCTTCTCATCTCAAAATCATTCCGAACCGATGGTAGATTTGATATATAATAGGAGTTTGTAATAGACCTACATGAATATTTTGAATTTGTATTAGCTAATAAGGGTTTTAAACAGAAATAATATTATAAACTTGTATAAATAATATATTTTTATTATAAGGCACATTAAGTACGTAATACAGAACTGCATGAAGTATAAAATATTTATCAAAATACATCTTACAACACCTATGGTCGGTTTTATTTCGAAATTATCTGACCAAGTACCACATATTCAGAATCTTTTAATTTTTTTAGTCTCCTATATTGCGAATCTTTATGTATATAGGGTTACTCATAATGGTTTACACAAGACTAATGTACTGATCATAGATCTAGTAATTAACAATTGGTTCAGTGAACTTCCACTTCCCCTGAACAAAATTCTGACTATGTCCATGATAATAATGTTGTTGTCCACTGCCTGCAAAATCCTCTTGAAAATCTTCCCAACCAGCCTTTCCTACCTTATCCAACCCATATACGTGGATAAACCAATACTACTCTGATAAAAGTGAATGATAATACTAAAAGGATTTTAGAAGTCCTAAATTATTTGATGTCTTGTCCATACAAACCAGAGCTTTTTGCTTTGATTTTTGCGAAAGTAATTGGTTTATTATAGCTGCATATGGGGTAGTAACATCTATTATTCCTAACCATGTAAACCTTCAATTAGAAGTATTGTAAATATTAATCTACAACAAAGACCTTTTTTGGCCATTACATAATATCAAATATTAATACATAATTATAATTAAAATAAGAAATATTCCATAAGACATTTGTGAGATTTAAAAGCTTACAATAAAATATACTTTTACGTCCTCGGACATTAAATACTAATAAATCTATTATATATCTGATAAAGATCACAGCTCAATAAGGCAATCAATTGGTTTTCTTTCAACAATTTGGGCGCGTATGATATGTTACTGCGTGCCGCCTTCTCTCTATTTCTTGGAGTAACGCAGATCTGAGAATAAATAATAGATTATAAATTTCATAGCATATAGGGGTACCGCTAGAAAGACGCCATAACAAATGTATTTTTTTATGAATTACAATTTCATCACAGGAGTTGATAACTATATACAATCATAAATATTCCAATATATCCACTTGTTTCAACCTTACCTATATTGTTCATACTTCATGACGATCAACTGCAATTCTTGCTTGTAAAGTCTCGTCAACATATCAGAGTAACAGTCCAGTTCACTCAACCGAAACATATTCCAACGTAGTTTGTGGTCTAACTCTTGATCGGCTAGAAAAATAAATTAATTAAAATTAAAATTTTCACCTTTCGATTAAGGCTTTTGTAAGACGGACTAATTTACAACGAACGTTAGGATATTGACATGTAAACATATATTTCGGTTTCGTATCGTGTAGTGATTCGTAACAACAAAATAGCTATATCCAGCAGTGGTAGTAGTGCGATGGTAAATTATAAAACCATACTGTTGCAACTGCATACCTACTTCTATTTTGTAAGTACGTGACTTATTAATAATTAAGAAATTTTTGACATATTGTGGCCACTTATACTGAATTCCAAGAGATCGTTTATGTTTATAGACGACGCATGCCACTTTTCATAAGGTTTCTGGCGGCATCAGTTTAGCATACACGGCATATGAACTGCTAATTCTTGTAGTTTTAATTTAGTTTGTTATCGGTGATTCCATAATCGAGAGTCAATTAACAATATATACCTACATATTAACATGTCAGTGGTTTAGTGTCTGACAGATTTAAACTCATGACCCTTGCGTTTTTATAATTTAGATGTAAGGGATCCTGCCGCCAATATACATATATAAGTAAAATGTATAAATTAATTGGTTTTCTAAAATAATACCTTTGAAATAAACAGCAAGCCAGTGTGGTATTTCCTCCATGAGATAAGGCGGCACAAGCGTTGGCACATATGGACTAACTACGTAGCAACCACCTACTAGACACGGGTGCGCGTACGTCGTTTGGTGAGTTATTTCACTGCAAAAATATATAATATGACCAATAAATTTATCTCCTTCATAAATGTCATGTCTTATTTCAACAGTTGATTGATGCGATGTCCACTAGCGGTGTCAATCTGCATATCTATACTTGACAAAAAAATGTAACAGATTACTGCCTGTACATGAAAGATATACGAGAAAAACTATTATTGGGGGATTTTAATAACGTAACAGAACCAAAAAACAAAAATTGGTATAGTTATAACCTGTATGGTTGTGCATCTTAGAAATTGTATAAAAATTGTGTGTAGTTTTCACTGATCAATTATTATTATGGTAAGTTTTAATTATAATGTAGTGTTTGTTTTATTACAATCGGTTTATAAACGAAAAAAACTGATTACAGCTAGTATTACTAAGTCTTACGTGTGCCCAGTTTTTTTTATCACGATAAAAAGCAGCTGAATAATAATTTTATTAGATTTTTTAATTTATACGTACTTAAAATAATACACGCCGTGGTGTGGCGTGGAGATTCTCTGCCAGGGTCGCGGCACGCTCTCCAGAGGGTGCGTCCAGTGCGTGGTCTGCGTGTTGTGATCCATGTAGTAGCGGCGACCGCGCAACGTGCGGTCTTCCGACCAGCCCGGCGGCAGCGGCAGGTCACACTCCTCGGACGCTACCAAAAAACATTCTTTGTTTGATTCACTTCAAATATTCTATAACAGACTGTGTTAACTGTAGACAGGTCATTTTAGACCCGTAGAATCTGCATTTTTCGTGTAAAAAGAAACAAACTATTCAATGATTTCAAAAGAGGGACTTTTGACATCAAACCTGTTAATACAAACTCTGCACATACTCTTTTAAAAAATATTTATGCTCTACCCAACAAGTTGTTTCACATAATAAATTTAGAATTTACTGTTCCATTTAGAATAACTTAATGTGAACATTTGTGATTGCCGAATAGGTACCCTTATTCTTAATTCTGATTATTACCCTCCACAATAACCCATTAACATACCATTGCAAAGAACAGGTCTCTCCCCATAACATATCTAATACCCTCCATTAGCCATCTATTATCACGCTGGTCAAGTGGTTTTGGATAGGATTGCATTTCAAGTTTATGAGAGTGTTTGATGCACTTTTGTTTGTAAAGTCGGCCTTTAAGGCATCCTGGAGACGAAAGGTAGTGGTAATATTAGTCTTAATTTGTAACTAAGTACACCTCAGTAATTTAGAAGTTAGTACCTTGATTACTGGAAATGATGTTATTCGCATGAGCTTTGTTGGGGTAAGGCAGTGCTGATGTACTAACGTAATTGGAGTAAATAGGTGATGATTGATTTCCTGTGGAATATGCTGTAACAAAATTAATAATAATATAATTACTGCTATGTTTGCTTATATGATTATATATAATATATAAAGATAACACTATGTTTTCTCTTTGTTGTTGGATTTTGAAGACAGACGAGAGTCACAGAAATCACACAGATCTGTCAAAAATGAAGATTATTGTAATGAAATCACTTAAAAACTATTACAATTTTTAATATACTTTAAATAGGGATGGACAATACTACATAGTAACAATAATACTATAAGCTATATAGTTTTTAATTTTAACTCATAACAAGTTTTATCAAACTTATTATGAGTTCGTGTACACTTACTATCACTGTGAAGGCGTATGGAATGTGGCGATTGTGGATGCAGTCTTGGTGTTAGACTTAAATTTGATGATAGCCGTGGTATACTGGACTCCCTAGAGCCATATTGTTGTTGCTTCTGTTGTTGTACCTGAATAAGGGAATTTAAATTATTTGAATTATCAAAATTTTCAATTTCTTCTTACTAGAGTCCTTCATGGTAATACAAAATTTTCAAAACTCCTGTTAACTGAATTCTATGCTACAATTTAATACACATATGGACTGTAGTTAGAAATATTCTTTTTTTTTTCTATAATACTTACACAGCTAAGGAACATAATTAATTAAAATATCTGATTCTTTCGAAAGTAGTAGAGAAAGAAATTTATTTGAAGTATATTTTCACATGACAGTGATAAACTAGAAAACGCGGTGTAATAAAAATAAAATGGATTTGCAATAAGAAAATGAACTTCTTTCATATTATACCTAAACTTAAGTTATTGACCTACTTTGAAATTTCCACCTAACTTTTGTACTAATAAATGTATAGAATTTTATTTCACAATAATTAAAAGAAAGTATTTTCAGAATTCGCATAAATAACATAAGACAAAATAAATACAAGTGTGACTAAAAACTTTTCCGTTTAAAAGTGAACTAAATGTATAAAAACATTAATTTACAATAATCTTATCCAGTAGACCCTCAGTTATCTGACAATCGTTTTGCAGTGCAGTGTCGGATAATCGAATTTCCTTGATTATAGAGGGGGCCTAAGGAGTCCCCTATAGACCGGAATTTTTTACAAAAGAGAACCTTGTGATTTGACAAATTACAGATCCAGTGATAAGATTCTGTTATATATGTCTGTATGTATATGCACACTGAAGGACAAATCTTACTTCATTATGTACATATAACAATGAACACATGCTATACCGCACCGCTATCTTCATAACATGTAAGTAGTCAAATTCAAATAATACAAGTTCAAATTTGTCCAATCAGGCATTAGCGAAAATTGTGAAAAAAATAATAAATAATAGATCATGTCGGATTAAAAGGGGGGCCGGATTACCGCGGGTCCACTGTAATTCACTGTTAATTATTTAATCAGTAGACATACCTGCTGCTGATTTTGATAAATTGGATCCTCTTGTTGCTGTTGCCTATAGTATCTATAACTGGGCTGTCTGCTGAATGAGTCATCAATTTCATTTAATGTTGAATGTGAAGCCTACAACCATATTTATAAATTCAAATCGTTGTGAAATAGTAACTGGGAACAATTTACAGGAAAAGAGGCATCACAACTTATCCAGACGACTTGTATTAATATCTTTGTGGCGAAAACTGAATACAGTATCTATGTGGCATACATGTGAACTGCTCTTTCTAATATCTGAGAAAGTTGTCTTAGAGATTTAATCTTGGTGTCATTTAAGGCCAAGTCAATATCCTTATACTTCTTTGTTGTTGTCAAATAGCACATGCCATGGGATGTTTCATTCATTTGGTCAGATTATTTGTTTACATATGTTTTGACTATTTAAAACTATGGAGTATAATTACCATGTTTGAATCTAAGAGGTACTGAGAGTTATAATTAGTGGATGTACTTGCTGAATCACTTGTAGATAAACTGCCAAATCTATAATATAAAACAAAACAATTCCATATTAATTAATTTCAGCCTATGTAACAAATAGAAAAATAAAACTTAAAATGTTGTAATTATTATATCTGTTTTATTTTCATATTAATATACCATTTATTTTAGTGACCACAAATATTCCAGTAAATTTCTCAACTATTATTTTCATTTTGGAACCAAACTACTGAACTAATTTCTATGATATTTCAATGGGACTTTTTTGATAGCATTATCATACTATCTAATAAAAGATATAAATAAAAAATGATTTCTAACTGAGAGATTTCTGAGCTAACAAATACAATATCCAAAAAATAAGTACTTTTTCTTACTATAAAAAAGTTAAATACATAAAACTGGTGCCTGAACAGTATAGACATAAGAATGAATCCTATCTGTTATAGTCATCAGTCGGCTCCTCCATGACTATAATATATCTTAGCTTAAAAATACTTTCTAACACTGTGTGAATACACACACTCAGCAACTTTAAAATTCTGCAAGAAATTAAATTAATCTATATTTAGCAAATACAATTATCAGACGATGCTTTCTAATTTATACTTAATGTTTGCACTCTCTAGAATTACTCTCAACATGTTTCTAGTCTAGATTACACAAAACAAAATTTGTCATCAGATTGGCTGTGTTGATGTAAATAATGAAGATAACAAATTAACATGTGAGTCAGACTGATGTCAGCGATTAAAACCAACAGGGCCACTAACCAAGAACACAAAGTTCTTGTCAATTAATAGTCCTTGCAAGTTATTATCTTAAAGGGCAAATAAGATGGAATGACCATTTCTTAAGCAAAAAGCATACCATCATGTTATGTTTGCATAATATTTTATTCAACATAGTTGCAAATATAAATGTCTAAATTATTATTACTTGTTTAGTTTAGAGACAATTTTAATTACATTTTGAGATTATAATCAAAACACCAACTTGATATTGGCAGCCATAGGATCTGCACATTTTTATTTGAAAAATGAGAAAAAAAATCTTAATCAGAATTTAACAAGAAAACTTAAATTTTCAACAAAACTCAATTTAATTTGCCATAATGCTCCACCTGTACATTAAAGCACTGTGTAAGAATTTTCCATATTTCCCATAGGAACAGGATATAATAGATTATATCCTGTTTCTGTATATAGGTGTACTAGAAGTAAGTTAAGTGTAAGTATGAAATGTAAAATGTAAGTACATATGAAACTATAATCAACATAAGAACCAATTACTTTACTCATTTTATTACCTGTGTGCTAAATTAGGTACTGATTCACTGGGAGTATACTTTCCAGCATGTCCACTCATTGTTTGTGCTTTTCCAAATTTATTCTCGTGACTCTGTGAATTCCCATCAGTAGTACCAAAAGGTTGACTGCGAGGTCTTCTATTATGACCAGTTGTCCAAACATTTATAACTGTAATAACACAAATTATATTACAACAATAAAGTTGTAGATGTATTTGATATATATCAATTTTTGTGAGATCAACAATAAAAATGTGTATTTTAGACATACTAGGTAAATCTGGTGGTGTATCTTTTTTTATGTATTTTCCGACTACACCTTCATTAACACCTTTTTGTCCTTTCCGTGAAATCATTATTATTAGTATTTAAAATAATTAACAACACAACAGAAATAAATAATAAATAATTTAGATACACAGATTAGAAATTCTGTAGAAGGGTAGAGATTAGTATAGTTATACACTAGCACAGATCGGAAAAAGGAACGAAAGTCATTTTCTAATAAATTTAAAAAGTTCTTTAAATAGTCTGTGTTAGAACATATTGCACAGAGTATATTTATTCTCAGAAAAATAATTAAGCATGCTTATTTAGAAGTTATTTCATTATTGCTTTGAGTTTTGTTGTTGATTTTATATATTGGAATTCGAATTTTGTTATATCCAATAAGTTGCTAAAATTTTAGGTTAGTTGTGTGTGCTGGTCTATAAATTTTTCTTTCTTTATGTTCAAATGTTTTAATGGGTTAGGTACATTAGGTATTTAAATCGTAAAACATATTACTGTTTCGAAGTCAAACATGTTTTACTTAATAGGATTGGGTTTAGGAGATGCAAAAGATATCACAGTTAAAGGTTTAGATATTGTTAAGAAATGTGATAAAGTTTTATTGGAAGCCTATACTTCAATCTTAACAGTTGGAAAGGATGCCTTGGTAAATTGTTTCTTATTTATTTAATTGTGAAATATAATGAAATAAAAATGCTCTCATTATGGAGAATATAATTGCTTTGTTTACATATTTACTTTATTAAAATTAAAAACATTTTATGCATTATACAATAAACCTAAAAAAATATTTATTATATAGTTTTAGTTTAATATCTATACCCTTAGAAAATGCAAAATGTTTAATGTTTTAAAATGCCACAGTATCCCATTATGAACTTTTTTTTTAGTAGCCTTTAAATCTTTATAGTAGCCATGGTACTTGGCATAGAGATCAACAAAAATATGCTAGTTTTACCAATAAAATGTAATTTTATAATGTATAAACCACACAATATATATTAGGTATATAATTATTTTATTTTACTCAGTAATAGCGTCATATTTATTTATGGTGAAGTTTATTTAAAATTCTGCAAATGAAAGAGAATTCTCGCCTTAGTATTGTAAGAGTTTAGTGATACTTTATGTTGCTTATATTCTTAAATTATCTTCAGGAAGAGTTCTATGGACGGCCTTTAATAATAGCAGACAGAGAATTATGTGAAAGTAATATTGATGACATACTGAAAGAAGCAAAAGATAAGGATGTGGCATTACTGGTGGTTGGAGATCCACTTGGTGCTACAACACATACAGATATGCTATTACGTGCAAAACAATTCAATGTCGAAACTCAGGTATTTTATTAATAAATTTTAAACACTAGTATGTAGAAGTTATGTATAATTCTATTAAACATTATTTCCTTATACTGATTCTCAATTTTATAAGAATAAAATTGACTTTAGATAATAATATATATTTGATGATATATATTATAGAATTATACTAATACTTACAATTTAATGCTAGATCAAACTACTAATATTGGCAGGTAAGAAATAATCCAATTATGTTGTTTATCATACAATAATAACTATTTAAGGTGAATATGATCTGTTTCCTGTAATTATTCTTGAACTTATACAAAAAACATGTTTTCTGGTTTGTGTTGATAAATAAATATTTAAAAAAACGCTATCTTATATTCATAGGAAACAATTTTCAGTTTTTTTTATTAAGACTTGACCTGATGGAAAGAGCACATACAGCACAGCACAGACATCACTTGGCCTGATGCCTATATTACCCAAAATACATCATAATTTTTGAGGATATTTTTTTTTACCATAACCTGATAACTATATGATAGAAGTACCTATGCAGACTATTATACTTTATAAAAGGATACCTCAGTAAAATATTGGTACATATATCTACATGTTATTGTAGTATGTATATATATTTCGATTGTAAAAATACTATCAAAATTAGATAAGACTTTTCATGAAAATTAACAGAAAAAATCACTGTCATGTTTCTATAAACATGATAGTGATTATTTTATGTAACTAGAATAGTGAACAAAATTGCTGGCAATATTTGATGGGCGACCTACACTCTTGGAGTAATTTAATGTTATAAGACTTGAGAGGTATAAATTCACCTCCCTAGGGAGGTGCTGATGAGCAATAATTGAGATTGATAAATCAGTATCAATCTTAGTATATCAAATCATCATTGAGTTGACATCACTCAAATCATTAAGTTGACATAAATTTCTTGGTGCAGGTCTGATTCGAAATCTCCACATCAATTCAGGGTTTAATTCAGAGTACTAAAAATTATCATCAATTACAATATATATTGCGTTACCTGAGCCCGAGACTCATATAACTCTTATTGGTGAACCAATTGAAAAACCATAATAAAAGCATACTCAAATGAATTAGACAAAAACTATAAAAGCCTTTTTCTTTATCACAATTTACAGACTTATACAATTCTATGTATGACATTTGTAATATTCATTTCAATTGGTTCTGACATACCTATATAGAATCAAGTGTAAGTTAAATAAAGCAGATTGTGTGCACTATTTATATGGTTAATGGCCATAGTGTAAAATAAAACATGGAGATTTTTATAATTTATTATAATATTTGTCATTAAATTATGAGACATTTCAATTGAAATGCAAAGGTACTACATAATAGCTCAACAACATTCAAAATACATTGGTTATTGCTCTTTACAGATAGTTCACAATGCATCTATTATAAATGCCGTTAGTTGCTGTGGATTGCAGCTCTACAATTTCGGTGAAACCATTTCAATTCCCTACTGGACAGAAACATGGCAACCAGACAGTTTTTATGATAGGATCATTCAAAATTTTTCAAGAAATTTACATACTCTTTGTTTACTGGGCAAGTGTCTATTGCATATTATTATCTTTTTGCGTCAATATGTATATATACTTCAATAACATAGGTCAAATGTAATGTGATCGTTACTTATAATTAAATTCTTGCAGTGTGATTACACTTTGCATTAGAATTTAACATATTATATGATAATTAACAACCAATGTCATTTCAAATGAAATTAAAATATATGTAAATGTTTTCACTTCGACTGTACTTTTTGTTGTAAACGAGATATCTTAGCAAACTTTGCACTGATTTTGAATAAGTATTGTTTTTTTTTGTTGATATGATTACCATCGTCTCAACTCTGCATTAATTTTATTGCAATTACACAATCAAGGACTTCATTATTTAACAATATTATTAACAATTCTCAAATGTAACAGATTTTAATTAGTGAGTTAACGATTTTTTATGAACCTTTTGAGAGTTATAGATGCAAAATAAGTTTTATGGTTGACAATTGCAACAGTAAATGGTCCCGACATAATTGCAAAATTGTAGATTTAGAATCCACTACAATAGAGAATTGTTAATAACATTTTTACTTGATTATACCCAGTCTTTTTGACCAGAAGTAAATCTTAATATGACTTGTCAGAAAGAATATTAAAACTATACACTAATTTGAAGAAATACAAATTCACAATAAATGAGTTCAAAGATAACACTTAGAGTTATAGTGCCATTTCTGATGTATTAGTAATATTATATTAAAATCAAATAATTGTGACAGAAAGCAAATTTAATTCTATACTCACAGCTAGGCAAAATGGAATCCTTTAAACATGTAAAGCAGTATTTATTAATTTGTTATCATTGAGACAAATATATGCTAAACCTTTATAGCTTATTAGCTATATAAATTCTGGACTTTGTTACATTTCGATAGAAATCTTAGTACTAATACAGCAGAATCGACATTCAGTAATTATTGTTTAGATTACAATTATGGTAGGTAGGTACATAGACATTATGATCATAATTAATTAATAATTGTCTCAGATCAAAAATTTATACTTATCATATTATAAATACATATTAAGTGTATTAACTAATTAATTATATTTTTAGATATCAAGGTCAAGGAACCAACAGAAGAGTCACTAACAAAAAAAGTTCGCCAATATATGGACCCTAAGTTCATGTCAGTTAAGGAGGCCGCATCACAACTGGTGCAAATAATCAAAACTAAGCCTGATACAGGTTAGCAACTTATGTAATAAGGACAAAAGAAAATAATGTGATTTATAGAGGGTTAATAGTAACTTCGTGTTTCGGCCAAAACAGGTACATCTAGTACACTTCTTTGCAATATGTGTTTTGGTGGAAACATGACAATAGGTATACCAATCCAAAATCTGACTGACTGTAAAAACCATAGTAGTTATTTTTAGTTATATAGATTTATTAACTTAAAAATATTAATAAAAAAGATTAATAGTGCAATATTTCAGTTATTTTAGTTTGGTATCGGTTACTCTTAACAACAAACCTCATATAAATTAGTTACAACACGATTCATATAACAATCGAAACTTTTTACCAGGCTTAACGTCAAACCCTCTTTAGCAAATAAAGTCGTAAGTGCCAGGGAGAGGGATGCCGATGCCAACTAATTGGCTGAGAAATCGTTCATGTTTACTTCCTCATAAAGCAAACATGTGATGTTTTTGTAAAGTCTGGTAGTCAAAACGTATCCTAATGAATGCAGTCCAAATATATATATAAACGGATTTTTAATAGAGAATTTGAGAAGAATTCCCGTTGAATGTCAAATGTCTATTGTTTTTCATTTTAGCCTAGTTGTAATTTATATTTTGTTATAAAAATTGAGCTATATTATTTGTGGCGATATTCGTATATATAATATTATCGATATGAACAGCAACCATTTGGATACATCTTAAATCCCATGTGAGAAAAGTTCGATGCTATTGTGAAAGCTAAGAAACTATGTCTAGAGCTTCACGTGCCTTTCCATAACTGGCATAATTCGTTCAAAATTTCCACGTTTTACGTCTTTATAAAGTTACAGACTTTCATATCTCGCAGCCGATGCGTCTGATACGTGGGTGCCATCAGTGCCGATGTCATCTGTAGCATTTGCTACTAGCAAATGCTACAGAATTGCTCTTAAACTGTCTGAACATAATACGACATAACAATGACAAAAAATCTAAGTTAATTTGTTTGTTCAAAATCGTTTACTCGGTTTAGTTTATGAACATAATCTAAACCCAGTATAAGTTGCAATATGTAAGATTTGTCATTTGTTATTTATTAACGCCTAAACCCAACCATTGGCCATTGGAAAGTTTTTGATACTGGCTGCTCGTTGGTTTATTGTTAATCCGGCACTGGGTGCCATACAATTTCCATATCTAGTCTTAATCAGTATTTTTTGTTCTAAAAGTCAATTTTACCACACAGCAAAGACTGTTGTAACATGATAAAAAAAAACGAAGAAGCTAGATATGAAAATGTATCGCGTCGCGAATTAGGTGCATAGGCTGCGGGGAGCCTCAAATGAGGTCGATTATTACACAAGTCTTAGGTACTTGAAATATAATTGTGATAGTGATAATTTTAGCAATCTTTTGTTGTTTATTACCATAAATTGTTAACTGAGCAAAAATCTGTCAATAGCTGCATTAGACCTAATTAATACTATAAAATCAATTATTATGAAATGAAGCATGACATAAGTTATCTTGTCTTTTTAAGCAATTGCAAATTTAACTACATCCTAAAGCTACTTTTAAAAGGATGTCAAATATTTAATGTACCTAATATATTATAAACTGTAAATTTAAAATAAGTATGTGCCTAAACTATTTCTCATCTAAACAAATTCATTGTGCTCTAATATTCAATTCAATTTCAATTTAACAATTATTTTTGCAATGTATGAAAAATATAAGGGGACTACAATATACATGTTTTAAATATGTTGTATATTAATTAACACACTTCATCACACAGGGTTTACAATAGACAGCATCGCCGTTGGACTTTCAAGAGTTGGCGCACCAGATCAGACAATAGCTGTAAAATCATTATGTGCAATGCAACAGTGTGATCTCGGACCGCCGCTGCACAGCCTGGTCATTCCCGCTCCCAATCTACATCCGCTTGAACTCGATTACCTGGCTCAGTTTAGATAATATTTTACGTTGTTGATTTTATAAATTAATTAATGAATTATTTTCTGTAAGAAATCAATAAATGTCTATGAAGTATGTCATTAATATTTTATTTACAATATTTATCAAATTAATCATAAAAACTTAAGAATTCGAGCTGCTATCGCGAAATAACATTCAAACTCATTGTTGGTCCACAGAGCTACCACAAAATACTACAACATAATATATTTGAATCATTGAAATATATAAATTTATATTTAAAGGTACATTCATTATTATTTGGTCTAAGTTTCAAAATATAAATAATGAAAATTATTTTAATATTTTACAAATAACGGAATGTAGAGATACCAAAATTGGATACTCTAGATCACAATTGGTATACATCAAACATCTCTAGACGAAACTGGAAAATGGTGGGTCACATCATAATAATAATAATAATTAATTAATAGAGGCATAGCTTATCATGAAATTTTACATTATATAACACTAGGATTAACTTAATTATACAGTCTTTAGACTTACTTGTATAGGGTACATACATGATATTAGTATTAGAAATTTATAAAATTGTGCCTTCTATCCTTAAGTGAGATTACAGAACAGTGAATTGTTTAAATAGACATTGATTTAGAGTATTAAAATTTAAACGGCAGACACTTGTTGATCATCGTCATCGTCGTCTGGTGTGTCATGATAAAACTCATAAGGACGAGTAACACCCTCATGAGAATGGGCTCGACTGAGACGTTCGAGCCGAGCCACTTGTGCAGCGAGCGAGTAGGGTTGCGGCATACGTGGCGGTGGCACAGGCCGCACACAGGTCGCCGCCGTACAAGAACCGTGTCCGCTGTCACTCGATGTCGCTGAACTGGTCTTTCTTAACGGCAAGTTTACTAATGATGTGACACTACTGCTTTCTGCAGATAAATCTACAGGTAAAGGTGTAGGTGTGTCCGAGTGAGACCTTTCATGTGCAGTTCGTGGACAACAAATACCAGGACCTGGTCCATCACGTCGGTGCGAACACGGTGAAGGGCCCGGAGGTGGTGGTCTAGGTTGATGAGGTCTAGTTTTTGCTGGCTCAGATAATGCCAACAACTTTCTCACTGCTTGGGGTGAAGCAGTGCCGAATTTGTTGCCTGCAAAACTCTTTTTACTTTCACTGGCAGATGAGGCACTACTAGTAGTAGACAAAGAAGGCGATGGATGTCGACGACGAGGCATAACAGGGGCCGGCCCGGCTCCCTCGCATTCCAGTGACAGTGCATGCAGTCGCTCCTCATCAGTTTCTACATGCATACGGTTTAAATAAGCTTTAACTCTTCGAACCATTTGTGCTTCTTCAAACATCTTTTTAGGGTTTGGAACATTTGAAGATTTTTTCCTTCTTTTTACAGTAACTTGACCTTGTTGGACACCTCCAGTAGTAAGTTGATTCAAAGCTACCATAGCAGTTGATGGTGGTTGTTTACCTAGTTCTAACAAAGTCAGAAGGTCATGCGGAGAACTACACATATTAGTGAGCGTTCGAACTTCTTTAGCAATCATTCTCAATTTCTCAAAGTTTACCATTCCTTCGACTTTAGTATCATTGCCAAGATGAATAAATGTAAGATCTTTTTTAACAACAGGATAAAATGGAATAACAGGTGACCTACCTTGTTCTGTTGTTACCAATTGTCTATATTTAGACATGTTTCTAGAAGGGTCCATCAACAACTGTAAATCTGTGAACAGTTTATAATATTTGGTAGGTAATTTATCCCAAGTCATCCTTAACCTAGATACTGCACCGTGACCTAATCCAGATATGATAGCAAACATAGAATTAAAATTTTTGCATTCCTTACAATGTCGAGCTACTTTGATAAATTGTTTTACAATTTTTGACCGCCGAACTAAATTTTGCTCATTAACAACTTCAGTCACAACCCAAAACATTTCTTTATTTACAAGTTCAGCAAACTGTGATAACATAGGTGTTCCATATCTACTTTTTAATTCAAACAGATCATCAACATATTCAGTGCTCTCTATTTGTCGAAAAATACAAAAATCTTGCAAAGTTAACTGAACAGCAACTTCAACAGCATTTAACTGCAAAAAATGGACAACACTTTCTCTAAGTAGTTCTGGGGCCATCTCATCAGGTACTAAAGTTTCACTGACACCATTTGTTTTTAAATAATAACGAGAACTCAGTCCAATGCGTTCAGCTAGGTTTTGCAATTGATCTGGTAAACGATGCTGCTTAATAATACCACCCTGTGCAACAGATACTTCACAAAGGGAAAAATTTGAACTGGACTCAGTTATGCCAAACTCCTGCAATGTTAGCATTACAACTTCTCTAGCTGTAGTTTCTTTGTGCACTAAAAGATACTTGCAAGTCTGGTCTCCTCTATAGACTTTTAATACATGTTCAGGATAGTCTGATGATTGATATTCATCATAACAGATTGATATTAAATCAGGATTACTATGAGAATTATAGAATGATGTACTACTATTAGCTTTATTTAAAGATTCAGAATTTGAGATTATACTATCATCAGTGTGCAAACCATCTGTAATTGTATTTTTAGGCAAAATATTCATTTTCATTAATGCTTTTTGTAGTCTTCTTTTTGGTCCAAGGGTCATGAATCCTTTTTGAGGTTCTTTTTTAATATTCAGTTGCTGTGACTTTTTAGTAGGAGATTGAAAAACATTTAACATATGATCGTCACTTAAGAATTCAGCTGTAGATAATCTAGCTCTAGGATCTGACTGCCACCGTGCCATGTTAGCAGCACCTCTTTGTCTTGGTGAGTTTTCAGGCATTAATAGCATTTGTTTAAAGGCTAACAAATTGCTTTTTACTGTAATACTTAAATGTGTGGAACCAGTGATTATTTCTATAGCTTTTGCAAGACTAACATGTTGGAAGGATTGACCATTAACTTCTATAACTTGATCTCCTCTTTTCAATCCTACTTCCTCTGCTTTCGAATGTTTCTCTACTTTTAATATAAAGATTCCATATCCTCTTTCATAACCACCAAAAACAGTAAAATTTAAAGGTTCATCCCTTGATGGCCGTGATAAAGTGACACTCCTAGTTCTTGCTTTAGCAGAACAGGCTATATTTAATAGTCTTAATTGGCTTTCCATCTTGTCATGTTCTAAAGCAGTCTCAAAACTCTCTAGAAACTCCATCATATTTGGGTCTGTCTCAAAATCTGTAAAGTGGTTATTAACCCATAACAATACTACTCTTGTTACTCTGTCACGAACTGTTGGTTCAGAGAACCAGGCAAGTAGCTGTTTTGCAACAACTAGAGGGCTTTCTATAAAAGTTCTATGGGTTAATAAGAAATCTTCTACATATGTAGAATCTCGAATATTATCTTCTATAAGTTGCAACATTAGCCGTTCAGCAGTGCCTCTTATAACCACATGCCCTTGCTGATGCCCTGAGTCACCAGCAATACCCCTATATTCAGTAACTAACACAATTACACCATTATCATTTTCATGCCGCTTTATGTTTTCCTCACCTTGATGGAGAATACGATAGTAATCAGTTTGTGTAATGCACACAAACTGACAATCATCACATCGAGTAGTCATTATGCCTCTATGGTATAATTTCTCAAGTGTCGCTTCTGCCATTCCAAAACTATCTCCAACATTCAAATGTTCAATTTCTCCATTTGAATGTTCAATACCAACTTGTCCATTGATAAGGACAGACCATGAATCATGTTCCTCTCCATCATTCATAACTACAGTTCCAGCCTTTTCTACAACAGCAAAGACCATAACAGCACATAATGCTTTTCTTACAGTCAAAGTCATATTAGTAAAAGCCTTTAGGTGTTGAGTAAATTCCAAGAGGATTTCTACATCGTCATCGGTTCTTTCATTTGGATCTTTTTCAAGGCATTCCCGAACAGCATCACGTACAAGAAGACTGTCCATGCTCTCCTCCAAATCCTCTTCCTCGTCTGAATCAACTATGGACTCAAGGAGACCAGATAGGTCTACCTCCATGTCCATATCCAGTGAACTGTGGACAGAGGTCATTGTATCACTACCACTATATGCCGAGCTTGTGTCACTTGCGTTGGAGCACTTCAGTGTATGAGGGTACAGCTCCGGACTGTGACGACCTCCACGCCCACCTCTCAACATTGTGAAGTTTCTAACGTATCCTTGCTGGCTTCCACCCCCTGGAATAGATATTCAATTTAATATTCCAAAAGACATTAACTTTATTCATTATATGACCTAAACAAAAATATACATATATAAAATCTAATTAATAATGAACTTGTAATAGGTACTTGAAAAGTGTATAAACTTAGTAAAATTAGTGATAATGATTATTTACTATCGATTATTTTTTTGACGTATAGCAAGAACATTAGTATCACACTATCTAAACATCTAATGTTTCGATATAATTAATTGGATACTGGGCATAAATCTGCATTGGATTTACACGACTTCCTTTATCAAGAAAATAGATACGCAAATTAGGTGTGCAGCAACTATGCTCCCATGAAGTTAACATTATATACATCTTACGTCACGCTTTTTGTTATTCCTGACAAAGAAAAACAACAGGACCATGCGATATAAACAACGGACAAATAAACACTTTAAAGAACCTTCAGAATTTCTATTTATTTTGCATTCATGGCGGAACTGTCAGTGCTTCCATGTTGCTTTCTAAAACGAATTAATCCTTTTCACACGTAAATTTCGGGTTCAAATTCGTTTCACTGCACAATTAACGAATTACCACACGTTTAGTCTCTATGTCAAATTATTTTTCCATTAAAATAGTCAAACTACTTAATTTCCACAAAAATATTAGAAAGCCACTTTCTCAAAAAAGCTAAATAGAATAGATAAAACCATAATGTTATAGATCGCAACTCGCAATCTACTCCACAGCTATAACAGACCATAGATGAACAAGCAAGTAACAAAAACATAATGGTAGTGATTACTTGCTCAATGACAATTATATCCGTTATTATAATATTATCATTACTAATATTACGCATACATCAGTCAAAATTCTGATGTTTATATAGGTTTACGTCGAACATATTATGAACTCACAAATGTACCATGTCTGTGCATATTATACTAGGACTATACGCTATATAACTCCAATACAATTAATAGCAGCAAAGTAATGAAAAATGTTGCAAAAACGAGAAATATGTGATAAAACTTAAATAATGCAGTATGTATGCTGTAGTAATTAAATTAATTAACGGCTTGACCTATGTAAACATATCATTCTTAAAAAAAAATCAAGTTGGTTGTATTTGTTTGTGGTTAATATTGTATTATTGAGATAATGTACACTAAACGATTATACGTATAAATTGATTCAGTTCATTGAGAATGTTTGGCAGTTAATTAATAAGTTCGAATACAATTGTATAATTCGTAAGGTATTTTATTTATCTTGTAACTGAACGCAACGTTAAATAAGTCATAGACTTCTTAAAATCTATATTATGAACGTTACTTCATGTTTTAGCGGAAAATCATTTTTAGTCATTTATCTAATAAGTTTCTATTCAATATATTCGTATAATTATATATTGGGAGCTGTGCAATAAAGAAATAATTTTCTTTTAGTAATTTTCAAGTTGAATTTCTTTAAAAATATTGCGTCTTAATAATAAAAGTAATGATACTGGGCATCTGAACATTTCTATCTCCATCTATTTTCAGAAATAGGTACTTTTGTTGAGTGTAGTTTCGAGTGTAGCGTTTTCGCAGCAGATCAGTGATGATATTCTTTTAGTTTAATTTTGTAAATTGATCGTTTCCCATAGTTGCAAAAGACGAAGAAACGCATTATTATTATTGTGGAAGTGAAACTTCTCATAACAATCTTGCGTTTGACGTTAAAATGCGTTCAGTTTTAGAGTCGAAACGAATGGTGAACGATGGCGAGAATACGGTGATAGATTTTTGGTGTTAAATTTTGCTCCGTGTCATCACCGCTTTACTTTTCGTCTGCTTTCCAGAAGCATAGTATAGTTTTGAATAGTCGTTTCAAATGTTAATACAGTTAAATATTTAATTAATTTGGACGATTATTGTGAAAAAATATATTGTGATTGACGACCGGCTGATATTACACGAGGCTTGTATGTATATGTGACTTTTGCCTTCTGAATCGTGACACGCCTCAGAAAATACACCCAAACTTGTGATTCAAATTAATCCTTTTTGTTATTGTAGCATTTTGGTGTTATAGACGTTTAAAAATTACGTAACTGTTGTGGAATCTGGAAGTGTATAAAGAATGGCTTGAGTGTGACCACTCCATTACCGTCATGTGTGACGAAGGAATGTTTGTTTAGGCTCTAAGATTGTGCTACTATTTTACGAGAAGTGCGCGTTCATATCGTGAATTGGGCCAGATCATGAATCTGCCTGAATCAAAACAAGCTTCGCATTGATCGCACTTGACCCATTGTCATTCAGGACACTTTTTAATTGCCAAAATGTCTTCGGGAACGTTTGTGGACAGGATTGATCCTTTCGCGAAACGGTCGCTGAAGAAAAAGACTAAGAAGTCTCAAGGTTCATCCCGGTATCGTAATACGCAAGATGTAGAACTCCAAGCACTACCATTACTGAAGGGTGAGTAGATACCAGTATACAGCTTCTGAGTATTGCTTGCATATATTCTCATTAAAATAAACAGTGATATTTTGTTTACATGCTCTAAAATTATATATATTTTTTTAATTTAGTTTTCCACTTGACTATATATAACTATGTTTTGAAGTACAAAAATAATTTTGTGAGACTTTCCTAAAAAAATATTTTATCTATATCTAATGTCTTTGTTAATACCCATTTGTTTGTACCCCTTATAAAAACATATGCTCATTTTGCTTTCAGGCACAGATTAATAGTGTTAATTATAGTTATTAACTCACTGTTGATATATTTTTTAGATAGAATCCTAAGTAGATATTTTTTTATAGATGCCATATAGCTAATCCATAATAATAAAGAAACTATGCATATATTTATATAAAACAAGTGAATGTTTATATTTATAAATATTATATCTTAGTTATCTGACTTAATAACCAAACATACATATCCCATATCCATTGGACTGGCCAGCATTTAGAAAATTCTGTAATAATGTCAATAGTACAACCCCTGACTGTTAAATAATAAATGTCTTTAACCAGTACTTATGCTTTATTTATGCTATGAATAATAGTATAGATATCTAAAATATAAACTAAGTATAATGTATGGTTATGAAATTAAATTGTATAATTTCATAACCATACATTATAATTAGTTTACAATTAAACATACATGTTACTTAATGAATGATATTATATTTTTTTTTCTATATAATAAAAAATGAGGTTTCTCAATATTGTAGACCATATCAACCATAGGTCTGTAATGATAGTTGCAGAAAACAAGTTGTTGCATAAATATGTAAAAAAATCATGATGTTATGACAGTACAATGTAGATCTTATAGAGTGCATTTTTAACACTAGGATTGCTTACCACCATGGGACCACCATTGCTAATAAGCTCCGCCTTTACACCTATTATTTTGTGTGAGCTGGTTTATTTAATAAAAATATTACAAACTCTTTACATACTCTTATAATGGATAGTGTTTTTACTGATTTAAATTATCTAATTAGTTCTATGCAATGTATATAATTTTATTTATATATAATTTACAATCATTCATTTTCATTGACATTATAATCTGACTATTTACATATATTTTAATTTATATATTATAGACATAAGGGTATTTAAACATACAAAAGGAAAGAATCATTTATATATAATATTAGTACTAATTCACTGTTCATATTTTACTAATTAAATTATCACAAACACATAAGAGAAAACTTCTATCACAGTGTATTTGCTGATATTTCTGGTATTTCTTGCATGTATAGCAGACAATTAGCACTTTTAAGCAGTTATCTTGTTTGCTATTTCATTTAAATAAAATATGTAAGTTCATTCATGTCCAAAAACCCCTCTGCTTTTCCAAAAAAAAAAAACAAATGTTGCAAAATTGGATGGGCCAATTGTTTTTTTCAATAGTGGATCACAGCTATAATTAAAATCATAATTGCTGACTATTAACTTTGGGAGTTAGAAATATTTTAAAGAAATTGTATTTATTTATGATTTTACTTAGGTCAAAATACTTATTTTGACCATCTACAAAAAGCAAAAATTATCAATCATCAATCAAAATCAAACTTCAAATTCAGATATGTTTGCCAGTAATTTCTGCAATAATTTTTTTTTTATTTTCTAGTGCTTGGTATAAAAAGATGCAAGCAGGATAAAAGTGTACTGTTGGCAGTTTCATAATTATGTTGTATATCACTAAATATGTATTATTTATTTATTTTCAGATGTCCCCAGCAGTGAACAAGAAGAGTTGTTCATACGCAAGCTGCGACAATGCTGTGTTGCTTTCGACTTCATGGATCCTGTTGCCGACCTGAAGGGGAAGGAAATCAAACGTGCCACCCTTAATGAGCTTGTTGAGTATATCACTGGTGGTCGCGGAGTGCTTACTGAGCCTGTCTATCCAGAGATTATTAAAATGGTACTTATTTTATATATTTTTAGTGACTAAATAAGAATGGCATGTTTCTTTTGATGTTGTTCAAATTAGATATTTTTATATGCTAATGGAATGGCAAAAAAGCTGAGAACCTCCTGATTATAAGTTGTAACCACTGTATATGTACTCCTAAGAGACCTGAGATGTATATAGGTGACAGTGACCACTTATCATCAGGTGGGCTGTCAGTTTGTTTGCCATTTAAATAACATAAAAAAACACATGAACAGTACTATGTTATAATGATACTGCTCAAATATTGCTATTTCGGTGTACTATGATGTCATGATTCTTATCCTGTAAGTTCACTGCCTTATCTCAAATCGGATGAAGCAGCTTACAAAACAAGGTGCTTGACGGGGCTAAAATTGGTGAGGTTGAGGTATTTTTTTATTATTTTCTTGCTGATTTTTAGTATATCATAACATATGGACAGTCTCATCATGACCAGTTTTTATTTATGGTATGTAATCATGTCCACTATGAATATTGATTTTACATTGCTATGCTTGTTATTATTGTTCTCATTTTGGGTTAATTGTATTCACTACAAGAATATCATTGTAATCTTTCAAATATTATATTATTGAGTTACAGTCTTGTCTACTGTCTAGTGAACTTTGAAACAAGGGCAAGCATAATAGATCTATGAAGGTCGCAAAGCTACAGGTTGTACCTGACAATAACCCTAAACCCTCCATAAAAAAATACAATTTTTAAAATTCTCTTAAGTTTGTACTATGTATATATGTATCTTTGCAGCAGGTACCAAAAACTATTACACAAAACTCTTGCCTCATCCACCATTATAACTTACAAAATTGTTTTTCTAATATATTTCTAATATTATTCTAACAGGTTTTGGTGTTGCATTACACAATTACAAAAAAAATGTCTAGAAAACTTAGACAGAAGACATTCATTGGTATTATAGATTATTAACAGTAACACTACTATAATAATCTTGTAAAATGCCTAGTGACCTTTTTTTCACCTACAATAACCCTGTTTAACTTGATTCTACACTATTATATGCTATTGACTGCTAGTAATAGTTATTATGGGTAAAAGGAAAGTTGTAATTTTACCTTTTGCAAAGCAATTTTACCATTTTAGATACAATAGAATAACTTATTTGATTGTAGTCTGATTGGAATTAAACAGTACTAAATGTTATAGTTTTTTAAAAGACGAAAAAGAGAAAACCACATCCAAATCGGTGAAGTCGTTTGCCTGCGATAAGCATGTACAAATGCACAGATAAACATACAAAAATGATAAAATCTTTATGTTCGATACCTATAGTATATATAAATATTTTCTGTCTTTCTTTAAGTTTGAATTATTGCTTTTGATAAGGGAGTACATTTAAAAATATTATATACTCATTATAGACTGTTTTACAGAAATCCATTCATTAACTAATATTTGTATGTAAGATTTAATCAAAGTTTTATTTTAATTATGTACATTTATAAAACTATTTTTATATAGAAAGAAAGTGACAGACTATACTTAATAGTTTAAATTCGTTTGTAGGAGGTTTGCAGTTGAAATGAATACTGTGGTTAATGTCTACAATTAAAGTAATAAGCAAACATGATTGGTTTTCGTTGTTTGTAATAGGTATGAATTCCATCTTTATACATATATGTAGATATTTACTGCAGTTATGTATTTGTCAGTCTCAGATTCGTCACAGAATCGTCGCTGTTCAAATTGTTTACCGAGGTAGACTTTGGAAAATATCGTCTGTGTGGATACCTCAAGCTCACCTATTTAAAGCAGCTTGCTTAGTAAGCTGTATTCTCTTGGGTTGTGCAAAATTGTTATAATTTTGGCAACAATACAAGACATATTTGAGGCATATGTCCATTTTTAACAGACTGCTATTGAGATGGCACTTTCTATGCAGCTGTATTTATCTAGTGTGTATAAATATACGCCTATGTACGTTAAAAGGAATACGATTTTGATACAATAGGGCGTTCATTCCTATATTGTATCATCAAAACGTGAAGTATGATTGTGCAAAATAATGTAGTGATGTTACAAACATCTCTGTACCAACATTACTTAAGTTATATAAACTAAAACTTTAAAAATATACGAAGAATTCACCAGTAGCTTTATAATGATGAATTCTTATATGTATTATAGCCGTCCATAAAATTAATTATTTCATGTTTTTAGGGTTATTTTCCATTGTTTCTTTAGCCGGTATGTTGACTCATATTTAATAACTTATTCTGTGAAAATTTGAGTACTAATTAGTCTACCCGTAAATGTGAAAACTTAACACACCAGCAGACGGTATTTCGTCTCATCATAATATGTATATATACATCTGAATATACATCAGGGTACAAGAACATTAATAATTTGTAAGGGTTTTAATAACATTTGACGTGGTCTAACCATATGTATTGTCTGTGTTGGGGTTATTAATGATTTTTATAGTTATTAATGATTCTCCCATAAAAGTTTCAAATGTTGTTTCTTGTGTTTACTATCTAGATCTCGGCCAACTTATTCCGCACTCTGCCGCCAAGTGAAAATCCTGATTTTGATCCTGAGGAAGATGATCCTACTTTGGAGGCTTCGTGGCCGCATCTTCAAATAGTCTACGAGTTCTTCTTGCGCTTCCTCGAGTCAACTGATTTTCAACCCACTATTGGAAAAAAAGTTATTGATCAAAAATTTGTACTGCAGGTAAATATCACTTTGTAGTTTTTTTATATACCTGTTATTTTTTATTCATAAATATTATGTAATACTGTAGAAAATTAAAGGATCAAAGTCACCTGACTCTCTTTCCTAAATAAATAACCTATGAGAAATGTATAGATATTTGTCTAAGAAGAAATCTGTAAAAGAATATTTATTGAATGAAATATATTAAGCATATTCTGCACCTATTAGTAAGAATTTATGGAAGCGAAGTCGACGGTCCTTTGTGATATTGTTTCGCAACATTGATTAAATAATTTTATTTGACTTTCTTGACAACAAATTGGACTGTTTTCAGAAAGATAAACATTCGTAAGATTTACAATGAATTAATAATTATTTAAACTTCATAAAACTCACCGTGTTGGTTATAGAGGCTTGTGAAGAGTTCATTCATTCGATGTATTATGCTTTGTTTTCCACACAAATGGGGTCACATGTATTTTCACTTCGTCTCCTATACCTACAACTTTTACAAGCTTTTAATGAATTTATATTTCAATGTATGTATTAATATGACACTGCTGTGAGAGGTATATATATAAATAAAATTCTAATACTCGTATTGTTTTTAAAAGCTTTTAGATTTGTTTGATTCGGAAGATCCACGAGAGCGCGACTTTTTGAAAACGGTGCTCCATCGCATATATGGAAAGTTCTTGGGGTTGCGCGCTTTCATACGAAAACAAATAAACAACATATTCCTTCGATTTGTTTATGAAACTGAACATTTCAATGGCGTAGGGGAGTTGCTAGAAATATTGGGAAGGTGAGTAGATTTACACTAATACTTCTATCTCATGACTTTGCATTTCAAATTTAAAAATGTTTTGCATTATTGGCTCATATTTAAATTAATATATCTTGAAATTGATAAAGCTATCAATTTAAAGAAATATTAATTTAATTATATAAATTAATTAAAAAATTTATACATATAATATTTCTTTAAATTGATAAATGATATTCATGACAGGAAATTAAATTAATTTCAAATATACTGGTGCATCGCATATCTATAATTTGGCAAGACCTATATAGATTTCGTTTATGACAATAAGGGCAAGTGATTTTAACTACCTATCTTTTACTATTATCTGGTTCCAATTCATTTGTGATTGCGCATACCATAAGATAAGAAAATACGTTGTACAAGATACAAAGATATAAAGTGTTAATCGGATGTGATTTGTGATGTTTAGTATATTACATTATTTACCCCGGCCACACATTTCCGATAAGAGTCGGACGTCTCGTGCTTACGACGCCGTTCGCATGGCGGATTGCTCACCGTCTTCTTTGGAAATGCGCCAATGCCATACGGTACAGTTCAGTACGGTTCGTTCGGAGATAACCTAATAATGTGAGCAAGGATTTGCCTCATTTTATAAATACTAAAAGTAATTACGTAGAAATCTCGCAATTGCCGTTTGTTCACCCCTACGAGGACAGTTAACAATGTCTCTGTATACTTTCTGAGATGACAGTCATGAGACAATGAGGTCATGTTTTTATTTGCCTTACAAATTAAATTGCCTTAAAATTGCTTAACAATTTTTATGTGATTCAATTGATACTTTATACTAATAAGGAAAATAAGAATATGTTTACATTATTTCCTCGGAATTCCCACTTCGCCCTTTTTATTTTTCAATATATCGTGAAATGGAGTTTTGTAGAAATAATAGTCATTTAATAGATGTCCTTCCATCTTACCTTTGCAGTATAATAAACGGCTTCGCTCTGCCTCTGAAGAGTGAGCACAAACAATTTCTGGTGAAAGTACTGTTACCACTGCACAAGGTGAAGTGCCTCTCCCTGTACCATGCGCAGCTCGCATACTGTGTGGTGCAATTCTTAGAGAAGGATGCCACACTCACCGAGCCCGTGGTACGCGGTCTTCTCAAGTTTTGGCCCAAAACGTGCTCGCAAAAAGAGGTACAGTATCATAAATATTATACTTACTATGTACAGGGAGACTTACAAGGTTCATTGAATACATACCGTAGTTTGCCTGACCAATTTTGCTGTCATATTAGTAAATTGATTGCTGTGTTTCAATTTGGTGACTAAGGTATATCAGTGTAATTATTGGCTTCAAACCTCCGGAGGTATAGAGAATATAGAGAACTATATCAGTCTTATAAAAAGCATCACAGACTTTTCAATTTATTCTGAGAAATCTGTGATGCTGTTTACTTTATTTGGAGAAGATTATTATTATTCAGGAGGTGGGACCACTTCTAAAAGAATTAATCTTAGAAATGCTTACGTTAAGTGTTATTGCTATATGCGATTATTTATTAATTTTTTTTAGGTGAAAGAGTTTTTAAATAATAAAAACAGGGTTTTAAATGAAAATATATTTTCATACAGATTGTATTATAATTAATTTTACCCAGAATGAAGTCAGTTTTTTATCAAAATTAAACAGTTTGAATTATAAATAGCTGTTGATGAATTGTCAATCATTATAGAAATAGAATATATTAATAGGAAAATAAATATAAATTACGTATGAAATCCGGTAGGCTGTATCATTGCTAATAGTTTTCATATTTGATATTGTACTTGATGACAATTATATATATTGTCAGACTCGTGTTTTAAATCACGTATACAGCGTTAGCGATATGATTTCAGACTGTATTTAATTGATCGTTTTTTTTTGTTAAATATCTCCTTACTAAGTATTGTATATGTATTGACTAGGTACAAATTAAATTCAGTGCATAATAAATAAATTATTAGCACCATAGTATTTAAATGCGTTGTATGCGTTAAATTAAAGTTTATTTAAAAATAAATTGTCATGTTCCTTAGGTAATGTTCCTGGGTGAAATTGAGGAAATCTTGGACGTGATTGAGCCGGCTCAGTTCGCGAAAATTCAAGAGCCTCTATTCAGGCAAATAGCGAAATGTGTTTCCAGTCCACATTTTCAGGTAATTATGGGATTTCAACTATAACGAAGTTTTACTTTTATTAAATTTTTCTAAGTAATTAAAACTATAAAATATTGGTTGGTTAAGGGGGTCTTCCTATGTGACGGCCTGTTTTTTAGGGATATTTTAGGATTTTTTTTCTACGACCAGTAAATATTTAGAGCTTCAAGTTTTTTATCACTTATTAACACATATTTGGACGGTATAAATAAAATTTCAGCTAAAAATATTCAGTCAAACTAGAGTTACAGCGCTCTGAACACCCCCGCCTCGAAAAAAAGAGCTCCCACTTCCTCCACGATTCCGGCTGATCGGCTGATTTTAATTTGTAGGCTTAAAAGCAAATGTATAATCAAATGAATATAAAAAAAATTGGATTTTTTATAGACATTTGAAATAAAAGTTGCAAATTAGGCGTTTTTTTTTTTGTTTTTTGCTATAAAAAAATCGAAGTTTTGAAAATTTTCGATTGATAATAGTTCATTCCATGCGTTTACATATATTGAGTGTGCCCTGTAAATTTCAAGTAATTCGGTCCAGCCGTTTCTGAGATACAATGGAGGAAAGTTTGAAAAACACAGTTTTGAGAAAAACGCGTTTAAAGTTTCAAGTCCGTTAAAAACTATTAAAATATCAACTTACTCTCAATCGGCGATGCCTGGTCCATAGAGTATTCCTTCCTCTTCCTCGTGAAACTCTTTTAAAGCAGATTGTTCAGCTCTTGAGTCAATCCTGGCTTGTTTAACGACATCACTTACGCGCCGCTCAGAGCGTAAGATTCGCTTTTCATCCCGTTTCTCAACATACGCTTGGGCTTCACGACCAACAGGGCATCCCATAATCGACATAACTTTTAAAATACCTTGAAAACCTTCATTAAAGATAATAACTGCTAAGTATAGCAATTTCAACAACTTTGGGACCAGAATGAAGATGTTTAGGAGCGAAAGTGTTCAAAGATTCGTTATTGTTTTGTGTCTCTGCTCCAAACAACGAATTTAATTCATAAATCTTCGAAAACCGGTATAGCTTACTTGCGGAATTAGAGGTAGTTTATCGTGATGAAATTGGTCTTCATAACGAATTTACACCAACTGTCTTCGTTGATTGAGGGTTTTCATCAGAAGAACATTTGTGATAGTAAATTTTTCTAATCTTCAAGTCTGGATGGCGTCGATTAAAACTTGGATAACTTTATCAGTAAGTTTACCTGCTCCTTTTCTGTTTAAGTCTGTAGAAACGTGTCTAAACTAAAATATATTAATAAAAGGGAGGCCAGGTATAAAGCCGACGGTACACAATAGGCCCGGTCTCTAACTGTTCCGAACCGCTCTTTCTTTTACTGCTGTATCTTTAAAACGACTTCGAATTTTCTAAAATCGCTTTACTACCGTATTCTAGACATGTTAAGGGAGCAATTTATGAAAAAAAAAAATCGATTTTTTCAACCCATCACATAGGAAGACCCCCTTAATTTTCTGATTGAAACTGTCAGTTTTATATCAGTTTAATATTCGCAAACTATATTGGTATATTTTGGCGTAAAATGTTCATTATCATAGACGTAGATCACATAATGCCGTCATCAGTGACATGGCATAGATTAACTTCAGTTATCTTTATTCTATATTATCTTTTATTATCTTACTAATATTAGCGAATTACCATAATTCCGTGTATGTATTTGCAATACTGTGTCTAATACATCTGTCTGATAAGTACTTTCGAATAAATAAATTTTGCTATGATTATTAAACAACCTACTACTACCTAATTAGGTTTGTCATGGATCAAAACCCTAATAAAAAAAATTCAAATTTTAAATATATCGTGAATATTTTTATTTTTATGTGCAGTGCAAATATGCATATGACACATATTAATCGTTTCATAATATTCGTGTAATAGTTGGAAACAATTATTTTTATGCAGTTTAGAAAAGATTTTTTATCAACATTCCATTTTGTGTCAAAATTTGTGGCCAGTAGAGCTTGACTATGTACTGATAGCAGATGTCCACTTTGTGGGTCCGGTGCTAAACAATTTAGCGGCTTGGAATTCACATGCACTCGCGTCGTTCAACCCAGAACAATTTAAGCACTAAAATATTTCGTCCATATTTGGTGGACGAAAAATAATTACGAGACAACAGGAAATATCCATTAATTTGTTTAATATTTTAGATTCCTTAGTTTACATAAAAATCGTAATATAAAGTATTTTAAGAAGTAGTTAAATAGCTTAAAAATATCTAATTCAACTGAGCAATGTATACAGTCGCTTATTTAAAGCGATGGTGTGACGCCATACTCAATAATAAAATCAAAACCGATGCAGAGATTACAAAATTTTGTGGTCGATCGAGTTATTACTTTGTCTTCCTGATCATCATTGTGATTCATAATCAACTTCTCCAGGTGGCAGAGAGGGCGCTCTACTTTTGGAACAACGAATACATTATGTCCTTGATGGAGGAGAACAACCACGTGATTATGCCTATAATGTTCCCTGCGTTGTACCGGATTAGCAAGGAACACTGGAATCAGACAATCGTTGCGCTCGTGTACAACGTGTTGAAAACTTTCATGGAGATGAATTCGAAACTTTTCGATGAACTCACTGCTAGTTATAAAGCAGAAAGGCAGAAGTAAGTTAATTATAATTACTATGAACTCATATTTGACAAGTGGTTCGTTCTCATACACTCTACATACAAGCATTCAAAAATAATTTCATATTATAATGAAACATCTATCAAATCTGTTGAATTATTTAGAATTAATAAATGGAAAAAATAACATACGAATAACTACATAATTTTATTCTAATTATCTATATAAAATTTAGATGAACAGAAATTTTACAAGGTTTACTAGATTTGTAGTTATATTTATTTCGTTATTTAATATACATAGCAAGATACAAAAGATTTCAAATGATTTTGAAATGCTTTTCTTGTCTAATGTCAATTCTGAATCTTATGGTCTAATTAATAAAATATTGTATTATATATACCCGCGGCTTCGCTCGCATTAAATGTTTATAAAATATTTTGTTTTTTTTTAAATAAAAAGTATCCTATGTTCATTCTAATACTTTCGAGAACAAAAATGTGTACAAAATTTCATGATGAACAAAATTTCGATTCAGTAGTTTTTACGTGAATGCGTAACAAACATCCCTACTTTCACATTAATAACAATATTAAGGATTTTTTATTTTATTGTATAATTATATGCACTATATTTGTGGAGGTGCGTTATTTTTTGACATTTGATTTGACAGATTGAACTGAAGTGGGTTAAGAAATTTATGAAAAAGTTTCCTAAATTAACTTCAGTTTTATACTCAGAATTGTTTCCTTAGTTTGCTTGTAATACACAAGTGTTACTTACCCCTATCTGAGAATAAATACATTGTTTATCTTGTTTTCCGCATATCTGCAATCATTAAAAGTATACTAAAGCTGATTGGTAATTTTAAATGATTGGAAATAATGGTGTTGCGTTTGTTCTTTAGAGAGAAGAAACGCGAGAAGGAGCGTGATGAGCTGTGGAAGCGTCTGGGCGAGTTGGAGATCAACCACAAGCGGCAGCAGGCGGCGGGCGGCGTCGCCAAGTGATGCTCCCCGTCCACTCTCCATCCCATCCGCCACCTAGACTAATATACGCGCTATTTTATTTTCAGTTATGTATTCATATTTTCTATTCGATTACATCTTTGTTAACGACGTTATTAATTTTTTATACCTCTAATGATTCTTGGTTAGCGTATACGTACCTTGGTCTGTGTTTGTTTGTAGATTCGGTTCGCTCGCGAGCTCCCGTCAGGCCGCGGCCCGGCCCGGTCTTGTCGGCGTACCTTAACATTAAAGATTACTGATAGTGCTACGATGTGTCCGCGACCCTTGTGCACCGTTCTCCTCTATTTAATATTATCATATGTTTACGTAACGTACCACCATTTACTTTAGGGTTTTTAATATTGTTAAATTGTTTAAATAAGTTAAAGTTGTATGTATTATTGATGCATGATCGATTGTACTGCATTACTGATCACCGATAATTGTATTAATCGGGCACCCAGCTTCTGGCTGAATATAATTGTACAAAAAAATAATAGAGAAATTGATGATGTTATTTGTTTAGGCTGACGGGCCGAGACGGCACCCCCGGGATGTACTGTGTCGGCTCGTCCTGTAGATCGTTGTATGAACTTTCATTTCAAAATTAGATGCTCGATTCTAAAATGTAATTTCGTCCTACTATCATTTTGTATAGTTACATAGTGTAAATAGGCATTTATTTATTATAAATTTATAGCGATGTGATTTTTATACATAGCTGCGGGAGTGGGACACTACTAATTGAACGATCGACCAGAGCGAACTGGAGACTATTCATGTATCGTGCATACAGTATCCAACTAAAATGTTAATTTGATAATATTGGAGTAGACGATTCTGTAAAAGTAGTTATAATAATTTGTAAGGGAATAGTCATTAATTTGTATGATATTACTGTAGCCAGACATTTAATTTTTATCCTCACTTTTGTAGAGCGCGGCGGGCGACCGCGCCCGCGCCTCTGTATATACCATACGCGCCGCAACACTGCGTATGTATGTACACTGTGCAGATATTTGTTATGTAAAATGTATTAACATTGCAAAAATTATATATGATCTTATATATAAATTACTATTATAGAACACAGTATGGAAATAAAAAAGTTGACTCACATGAATTGAATTCTTTAAGTACATGTAAGCCTAGGCGCCCCGCGGCGGTTTGTAGTGAGCGCCGGCCTCGCTCGTCCGACTCTCACCCACTGTCCTCCGGAGCTAACGTTCCCCCTAGTGGTTACTCAGCGCAAACGCCATTGGAAATACACAAAAAATTTTCACATTACTCGGTTTTTCATTTCTCTATCAAGGCCTGATTCTATATTGTGTTTTATATATATGCAGTAAGTAAAGAATTATCTTATAAATATTTTTCATTACACCTATCCTCAAAAAAATTCAAATTTGGAAGTCTATATTCTGAAGAATAATAGTGGTGCATTTGATTTTGGACGCCTTTTATTACCATATTTACCCTAAGGTATTACGATGGACAGCGGCGGTTCCATAAAAATTTAAATGTATTCATGTTTTGCTTAACCATTATATTTTAAAAATAAAAACATGCGATGTGCTGTTTGACGGAAAATTATAAAAGCTGCTAGTGAATTGTAATAATAGAAAGGCGTAATAACCTCGAACTCGGCCTTACGGCAACGGGAAACGGTGAGTACGTTGAACTTGCAGATGATAATGGGATCAATACGTACCAATAGACTCAAGTTCAAGTTGGCGCATCACCATGACTACCGCCACCAAACATTACCAGCTCTACACCACACCTTTAGTATACTTTTCTAGTAGCCCATGTAGTACGGTCAAGTTTCATGGTAGTGAAACACATATAATAATATTAATAAATACTGCTAATCCAATGCAAATTGTATAGTAACTCTCGGGTATTAATTGTCAAACAGTTGTACTGCGTGATTTTCATTTTGGTTTGTATTAGTACTTAATGAAATATATAGATATATTTTAGTTTCAAATTTCATCATAGATTTTTATTCTAGTTTTAGCTAAAATGAGGCTTACTGGTTCTCGGGCGTATACCAGCCCCACTGCAGTTCCAAAGATGCCTGTGGGACTAGTGGAGTTGATGGAAGGTTTAACGAAGGATGTATTGAAACAAAACCCTCCAGATATTTATGAATATTGTGCTAATCATATGCAGACATTATTGACTATAAGAGATGGTCCAAGTAAGTCTCCAAATTATGTGTAAATTAGTATGCGGCTATATCAAGAGATAAAATAACGATTTTTTTTATATTAAGCTTTGGATTTAAAGTCACAAGAAAATACCCTACAAAAGTCTTGTGGACTTTTATAGGATATTTTCTTGTGAATTTATTTTTATCTAACATCTAAGACAATGTAAGTATACTATTCTTTTCTAAGAAAGAGTCATGCTGAAGCTGATATAAGACTGATTTACACGGGAATATAGAGATATCAGTAGCCCGCATCATTTACGGATCAATATCTTCAATTTTCGCTTGACAACAAGGGCTTTTGTTCTGGTTGGTATGATACGGATTTATACCAACAAACTATATAAGGTCATGAGCTTGGTGGTCTAGCGGATTAGCACACCGCTAGACTACCAAGGCTTAATTCCGATGATAACGGGTTCGATTCCTCGCACAAAACAATCATTTGTATTCATGAGTATGATTGTTTGTATTGTTCTCAGTGTTTTCTACGTGTATTGCGTATATTAAAAAAAAAGTTTTAAGTATTTCTAGTAGTCTATTAGTTGTCTAGTAGTACCCATAACACAAGCTCTGCTTAACATGGGACTACGTGGCGCTGTGTGAATGTCCTGAAATAATATATTAATATCTACTAAGGTAAAGGGCCATATTATGAAACACCTTTTGAGTAGGAGTTGAATATTTTACATTGTTTAAAAAAAAATAGAGTTGAAACATTGAATTTTTCTAAGTTAATAGTTTGCCTGATATCTACTGAAGTGATAATAATTATTATCAAGTGAGTTTTAGTTGAAAATGCTAATAAATTGAATAAAATAACAGACAAGTACATACGGCCGTATTTATGAAACAGTCTAAAGCAACACGTACGGGTGTTCCATCGGGAATGTCCCAAATTATGGAACTCAAAATGAACGGAAGTACTCGCATTAAAAACATTTTTCAGTTACTAATTTATTTATTCATAGTATCAAAAGTTTTATTACTAATTATTAATACAGTTAGATTTAAAAATTATACGAATAAACAAGCAATAAATAAATATTCACTTACAAAGTAAGTATGACAAAAACAGTTTCAAATCTTAGCATTAATAAACAAGATATAAAAACCAAATATACATTAAATTAAACCAAAAATTCAACTATTTCATTTCTTCTTTGATCCTTTGTAGTAATGCGTTATCTAGCAGCTTTTCCGTTCATCAGCTATCACTTTTTTCTCATTTAGTAATTGTGTTCTTTTATGTATCTTTTCTTCTTTAGTTTTACGATCAGTTTCTTTTTTTAGTCATATTCATCATCAGATGCATCCATCGATCAGATGTGCCAGCAGAAGGTAGTTTGAGTTTACCTGATGACTCAGCTTTAATCTATTTTTTCTTAACTTCAAATTCAACTCAAATATTAATTCATCACCAACATTACGCTTCAAAATATTAGTTAAATTTAGTCAATTTAAATTACTACTTTCATAAATACCAGAATGAGCTTCAGTAACCATATCTAAGGTTCATTTTATACTATAATTTCATACAGTAATTACCTCAGGAATGGCTGCTTTGTTGAGACTGGGTACTGGTATTTATCAGAGGAGAATATTTATTAGAAGAATGACAATCATTGTTAAGTGTCATGTAATCATTAGTTTTATCATTCGACTTGATTATTAATCAAATTATTTTCTTACTGTTCTGTTCTTTCACTAAAAATTCAAATTTACCAACGTCACTTCTTTGACAGTTAGTTTATTTATTTCAGGAAAACCAACCAATATCAAATTATAAAAATTATACCAAACAATCAAAAATAAAAATAACAATATAAAATAAATCTATAGAATAAAGATATCAAATTCTATAAAAAAAAATGTATCTACCTAATTTTTTTAAATTATTAATCATCATAAACATCTATAAAAATGTGATATGTAGGTGCTTCGTAAAAATTTTGAATTAAATAAAGTGTTATTAATTTTTTCAGGCAGGTTTTCCACTTAAGTATATGTTTTAATTAATATAAAACAATATTTATCATCCAGCTTATTCATTTTTGAGGTTAGTTTTTCATTTTCATAGAATTTTACAATCTATGTACATATCTAAATGCAAATTTTTAGAAATATAAACTGTTCTAACGTAAATTGCTTTGTTGTAATTAATTAACAATGATTAACACGAAATTAACTAAATATTGTCCACTTTTTGCTGTTTCATAATTACGGACAACTAAGAAAATCGAATGTGAGGGGGATGTGGAACACTGAATATACTGTTCCATAAATACGGTCTGTTTAGAAATTTTTGCGGCAATTATGAAACACCTAAATAAAAAATAAATACCTTATTAAAGTACTTTAAATTCATTATCAATCAATAGATAATAAGTCAAACTTTTGATTGACATGTTTCAAGTATTTTTGTATCATTGACAAATATTTCAAATTGTTAAAACAATTGTGATGACACGTGTCATTCTCTAACTCTAAAAGACAGTCTTTTTTCATGCAACCTGACACGGGCATTTCAACTATTTTTTTTTCTATATATTTTAAGGTGTTTACAAAAATAAATTAATTTAATCAATAAATAGGTTATTAAAGATCATAAAGATAATATTATAAATACAGAATACGTTAGAACTTATTTGTAATTCGGATTTTTATCACTTGTTTCATAAACTAGTACAATGTTCCATAATATGGCCCTTTACCTTATATACGCAACTTTTGACATGTCTCCATTTCGCGATATATTTGTATCTAACGTGGCTGAGGACGCTTACCCCCATCTTTTGGATTAATTATAGATTTTGTTATCAGTGCTTCCCATGCAGGTCAGAGATATAAAGTGAAATATATTTTTTTGGTGACAAGTTTTCAATTTATGGCCCTTTAGGTGTAAGTCGCGCTAGCAAACTACTAGGCTATTCGTGCCAATTAATATCTTGCTATTAGAAAGTATCCTTTAACTCCGTTATGGGCATTATTAAGTTTACGCAACTATGTCCATAACACAGTCTTTGTTGTTGTCACTATAATAAGTGTACAGCTATGTTTGTACCTGTAATATATGTAAATAAATTTTATTTTAAATAATTTTTGTATAGTAAATATTATTGTCATATCTTAGGTATATAAATATATTTATTGTAATTGTCATGAAGTAATATTTCAGTTTCGAAACCAACATTGGAACAAAAAATAATGCGAGCCCAACAAAAAGTAAGAAGAAGGGCTGAGGAACGTTGGGAAAAATACATTAAAGAAATGCCTCGATTGACTGCAGATGGTGATCTCCAATCACATAGCGAAGAACTTGTAATAAAAAAAGTACAAAATTTAAAGCCGCCCGTACACCCTGAGCTTAATATAAGAAATGTTTCTGAAGTAGAAATCTTTCACGAGATTAATAATTTTGAGAAAGACAGCTACGATCAATCGAAAACAGTCGCAAATCCAAATTATACAGTTAAAGAACATGATGATATTGACGCTGGTAAAGTTTTTTCTGGGGAAAATTTTGACAACTTAGAACAATCGGGGACAATTAATAATTCAGAAAATGAAATAAAACAAAATAATATTGATGATGTCAATAATGATGTACGAAATAAAGGAAATGTTGATTCTTTTGTTAATGTAGGCAATATTCTACCAAATAACCTTGATCGAACTAAGACAATTATTAATTCGGATACTGGAAGTAAACAAGACAATATCGATAATGTCGTACTCAATAAACTAAAAGTTGAGTGTACAGAGTTCATTCTGAATGAACAAAATAATCACCTAGAAATAAACAAAAAAGAAGTAATATTAAAAGGCGATGTATATGCTCCCAATGGTTCAAATATTCTCACTACTATGGGTGACACAAACGATAGTGCAGAGCAAAACAAAGAAAATACTAATCAAGTTTTAGATCATAAAGTCGCTGATGGAAATTCATTATGCGAACTGGATCTTATAGATCAAGATAATAAAGAAACAGCAGAGCATAATAATGTTAATTCAGATAAAGCCTTGTCATTTAATACTAACGAAGATGCCCTAGAGACTATTGCTATCTCTAGATATGAACAAATTGCAATTATTAATCAAAACAATGATTTTTTTTCTACGGAAACTGAAAATACTGGTGTAATGAATTGTTATCCTCCCGAAGAAATAGATGATAAAGATAAATCAGACAAAAATAGTAGTTTAACATTAAATACAGAACAATATAATTTTGATGATGATATCAAGAAAATCGGCCATAAAACTGTGATAACTGAAAAAGAAATCGAAGATGTTAAAGAAGAACAGAAAAATATTACAAAAATAAACGTCATAGATCTCAGTGACAACAGTATAATTGATCCAATTTTATCAGAGGATATCAATAAAGTGTCTATTGATACTATAATTACAGAAGTCAAAGAAAAATTAAATGATATTCAAGCGACAAATCAGTTCCTTGAATCCAATAATAAATCATTTGATAATTTATCACAAGAATTTATAAAAGAAAACATTACAGAAAGTGAAAATATAAAACTAGGTGATATTGGTCGCGAGGTAAAGGAAATGGAAATATTAAGTGAAAATAAATATGATATAGCTAACGATAACAAGTTAAAAGAAGAAACTGAAATTGATTATGATACAAAGGATAATACTAAATTGGAAAACAATTTGGAGAAAGATAATAATAATATAGAGGAAAAATATGAACAAAGTACAAACTATGTGATTAATGAGAATATTCTTAAAGAACAAATTGATAACATTTATGAGACCAGTAACAACGTAATAAAAAGTGATATAAATAATCGAAGAGAAAAACCTGATATACATATTATTACTGACTCCAAACCACTGGTTGAGAATGATATTAATAATGATGAGAAATTTACCTCGGTCGCCAAAAACAAGGACATTAGTATAACCACCACACAAATACCAATTGAATATCTTTCATTAAAAGAAGAAAACAAACAAGATGACATTCCAACTAGCAGAAATGCCGATTCACTTCAAAAGGAATTTAATATTTTAATCGTAAATGCCGATAATAAAAATGAAATTAAATCCATAACTTCAGGTGACAGTACAGACAAAAATAACAGTAATATTGATTTAAAACCTGCGGTTTCCCAAAATGGTGACAACTTAAATGAAAACATTGCAAATCCTTCTGGCATGGACTTAGAAACGGCGGCTATTACCATCCAGAAAGTGTTTAGATCTTTTCTTTTTAAAAGTAGAACATCAACCTTGGATGACACCAACGATGAGAATAATTCTTTGGAAGAAGACGATAATAAAACGGTAGGTACATAGTTAAATATAAAAGATGGAACTAATGTCTATAGTGTTATCGTTATCCAATTCATTCATCTTTTCTTTTCATTAAAATCAAAATTAAAGGTTGCTTTTATAAATTAGCTCGTCATAAATAATCGAAAAATAAATTTTATAATCGCTGATCATCATTTCGGCCTATAATAAATTAAGATATAATGCTCCACTAATGCTAGATAATGACAATTTGAAATTAAACCGTACACCAAAGCCGGTCTATAATAGTAGGCACAGCTTTGCCAATATTATTTTTAACTAATATTTATATATAAACAGTAATATTTTAAACTAAAGTTCCTTCTCATATTTTAATGATGTTAATCTAAACAGTATGAATGAAATTATGAAAATACGATAAATTAAAATATAGAGAATTTCAAATCACGTAGCTTAACCCAAAAGTAATTAAATAACGCAGCAAGCAAATCATCAATAGTGTAATAAGACAATGTTAATAGATCCAGTTAATAACATTTCAGGAACAATTAGATTATCAGGTAATAAATGGCAATAAAGAAAGAAGAGGGATTACAAGAATGGATACTGTATTACAGACAGTTAACGAAGAAAAATCGTTATCATTGTCTACTGACGATTCTTCTTTATCTAGTGCTGCCACCACTATCCAAGCACATGTCAGAGGTTTTTTAGTCAGAAATAGATTACATTCAAACAAAACATCTACTAACTCGTTAGCTAACTCGGACGGCACATCCACTATCTCATTGGATGGTGATGTTGAAAATAATAAAAATAAAACCATTCTTAATATTCATATTGTGCCCGAAGGAGGTAATTTCCTCAGTAGAGACGAAACAATCCTCACATCTATGGATATATCGCTAGATAGTAGCCCGCCTTCTTCTTTAAATTTACATCCTTTGGGTTATGATAGAAATGAAAGAAAACAGCTAAAAAGAGAAGATGCTATACAATCAATTTCGCCTCCTAGTAACAATAGTGGCAAATTAAGTGAAGATGTTGATTCTGTGAAAGAAATGATAATTAATGTCGGTGAACTATCGTTAACTCAGAATAACTTGCAGAAAAACATGACACACTCTGAGGAAAATAAAATTCAATCTCAAGCCTCTGATATTTCACCGATTGATAGTACAATTATTGAAACTTTAGTGGGTACCCAAAATCCCCGTAATATAGATAACGCGGATAGTCCGCAATTAAAATCGCAAATCACTGTTGAGAAACCTAGAGGAATCCTAACAAAAATGAGTTCTGACGAAATGGATGTAGTTACTCCATTTCAAGAAAATCCTGAAGGTAATCCTTTTGCGGATTCTAGTGCCTCCCCGAAATTGATTAAAAATTCTGAGGACAGTCCGTTAACGGATACTAACGCTGCTTCAAAATTAATGCATTCTAGTGAATTTCATGATATAGTCCTACCTACCAAGGTGTCGAGGAGTGACACATCAGTCGTCAGTGGTGAGTGAAGACATCTATTATCAGGTGATAAACCTTTCCATTCTATCAAGGCCATCGCATGAACTGCTTTTATTAGGTGCGTGTGGACCTAGGTAGTTCGTGGTAGATTATTTTGAGCCTTGGCAATTGTAGTTTTTTTTTAAAGTCGTTCTTTATTTAGAAGTTATTGTTGATATATAATTTTATAATATTAACTTTTAAATTGGCAGCAGGCGTATTAGTAGCATATTTTTGAAGCTACTGTGTGAAGCTTTTTTTTAATTGCCTGAAATATAGTACGTTCTCATGATAAATTACAAACGGCTTGGTATGCATTTGTTTCAGAATTCAAGAGCGTGTTGGTTTACTTCTTACTGTGGAATAACAACTAAAAGAGAAATCGGCAGCACATTTTATTTGTAGTGGGTATATATATATAAAAGAAAAACAATATTTTGAACACATATTAATTTCGGGAAACCAATAACTATTGGTTGTGTATAATTAAATTAATTAATTATCAATGAAAATTCATTGTATTGAGTTTGCAATATATATAAAAGAAAAACTACTAACAGAACTTTTTGTTAATACTATTAGAAAAATTGTAATGTAAATATTTTAATTCTAATATATGTACACGAAGTTCACACTGTAAATTACATTACATTACATCCTAATTCGTCTAATGAATTTTCACTTGAAATGAATGAATGAATCTTCCTCAATATTGACTCCCTGGATTCTGATCTTGCGGGTTAACGAGAAATCAGATTAATATTAGGTCCTTTCCTTACATATGAAATTGGCGTTTTGTTATACTGGCCACTTTGACTCATATATCTCCTCTTTGGTTAGCAATTCCAATTTAAAATTATATAGCTATTTACTCATGCATTTGTTTTTCTAAAACCGTAATCCAAGTTTTTCTCATGTTTGGTTTTTTCTTTGAGTCACTCAGTTTACAAAATAGAAAACTTATAATATCGCGTTACTAGTACGAGTTCCGCCATGGCACCAGTGCTGCAGAAACGGTTCCTTAAACTGTTTTAATCCACTTGAAGCAAATTGGGAAGGTGAAAAAGCTTGAAAGGCGGGTCCCTCATGATAGAGTAAATCGACAAACTCGCGTAAACTGCTGCGTTACTTTCAACCGCCATAATAATAAAGGGATTTTAAATCGAATCATTACCTGTGATGAAAAGTGGATCTTTTACGATAATTGGAAACGCTCATCACAATGGTTGAACCTGAACCCGCCAAGTCTTGACCCAAGCGAAAATTGATCCAAAAAAGGTTACTTGTGAGCGTTTAGTGGATTCGTGCCGGTGTTGTTCACTTCAGTTTTCTTAAATTTGGCTAGACGATTATGGCAGATATGTATTGTCAGCAATTGCAGACCACGATGGAAAAGCTAGCTGCTAAACGACCGAGGCTGGTCAATCGTCGTAGACCACTGCTGCTTCAGAACAACGCTAGACCACAGACTGCACGACAGACAGTTACCAAATTAGAAGAGCTTCAATTTGAATGTCTAAGGCATCCACCGTATTCCCCGGATCTTACTCCAACAGATTACAATTTCTTTCGAAATTTGGATATCTTCTAGAAGGGAAAATATTCACCTTTCGCTCCGATGGAGCAGTCCAAAGCGCCTTCAAAGATTTTATTGATTCCCGTCCGAATGGTTTTTTTAGTAAAGGGATCAATAAACTACCTGTGAGATGGCAAAAGTGCATAAATATCAATGGTACATACTTTGATTAAATAAATATATTATATTTTGAAGAAATCGAATTTAGCTTACTCCCTTACAAAACGCCAATTTCATATGTTAGGACCTAATAGAATAGCAGTTAATAAATAATTGATCAACACTTAATAATTCAAAGTTTTATCTATTTTCTCTCACAAATTTCGAACTATTTGATATTTCAAACACTCGATAATTCGTAATATTTTAAGAGTCCCTCGAGTTTCGAATTAACGAGAGTCGACTTTATATGAATAAATAAATTAACAGTTATGATGTATTGGCTTCCTAAATGAAGGATGAAGCTTGTATCTCTATGTGCATTATAATTCAATAGCGCCATCTACAAGCCCTCTGTATATTAGCAGCCAATACTCTATATGATATTGCCAATACATTTCAAATAGTAAAAGCACCAACTAAATTGCACAAGTAAATGCTCCAACATTTACATATATATGTTGTATATAAGAACTTTATTTACAATAAATTACGTTATTCGGGACGGAATCCGCGCGAAGTCCGCTTTGTAACTATCTAACGGTGTTTCTGCGCAATGTAAATTCGTTATACATTGATAGCGGTACTGCAATTTGAAACACATTTTTTAATACAATAATTAACTAATACAAATTTTAGGCCAATTTAGTAGAGTATACTACTGCAGCATGGTAATAATATTCTTTGATAACCAGTCATGATAAATTAACTTAAAATCTTTGTAAAAAATAATCCATTAATATCAGATGGGCCATATGCTTGTTAGCCACGATCATAGTATAAAAAATAAATAAAATCGCAGAGTAGACATGTTATTTCTGTTTATTTACTATAGACTTTTTGGCGGGAAGTCAAATAGAGCGGGTGTTTTAAATATTTTTCCTTTATTTTATATTTTATTTATATTCAATAATTTGTATATATAGGTACAACTAACATAATTTGTAGTTAATTACAGTCCTAAAATGGGAAGTAAGCGCAAAAAGCGCAAAGCCGATGATAATTGCTCCCCAGAAAATTCGAGGGATGTCGACAGTCCAGATTCTGACTCCTCAATGGATGAGGATAAGTATAAAGTTTTTAAAATCGATAATTACTGTCGCCAATATCCTGAGGATGGAGGAAATTTTGAATATATAGTTATTTATGAAAGTACCGATACGAGGCCTTTAGGCGACAGAGACCTTATGTCCCTTGGCGCCTGTCTTAAGCGCCAAAGCAAGGGTATAAAACGTTTCAAGAGAATTAATAAATATAAAGTTGGAGCCATTTTTGAAAGGCCAGGTTTAGCCAACATAGCATTAAATAACACCAAAGTACAAAAAGATTTACATGTTAAAGCCACAATACCTGCAACATTAACAGAAATAACAGGGGTCATAAAAAACGTACCTATATACATGTCAAACAAAAGTATTTACAATGGTATTTCCAGCTCCAGAGACGTCGTCTCGGTGCGCCGGTTTATGCGAAGAAGTCGTGATGAAGATGGTAACACAAGTTTTCTGCCCACCCAATCAGTCGCCATTACCTTTGCCTGTCCCACACTCCCTACGAATGTCGATATCAACTCATGGTATTTCGAGGTAAGCGCTTACACCCCACCAGTAACACAATGTTTAAAGTGCCTGAGATATGGCCACATTGGTAAATTTTGCAAAAATACTCAACGTTGCTCAATATGTGGAGAAAACCATCATTTTAAAGATTGCACTAAAAATAGCACAGAAGCTGTATGTCTTCACTGTAATGGTAACCATATAGCTATCTCAGCTGAATGCCCAATTAAAAAGAAGAAAATACAAGAAAACAAAATAAAACACAAGACTGTTCCTTTCTCTAGTTTATTTAATGAAAAATCTTTTCCATCTTTAAACACTAAAACTAAACCTACTGACAATATTAACACATTATTGCAAAATGATGACTTTTTAAAACTAATCATTGCATCAGTTATTAAAATTATTTCTGTTAATAAAACAGATGACTCTCCCTTAAACTCAGAAGGCATAAAAAACATAATTTTAGATACTTTTAAGATTTCCAGTACTAACACTAATTAATAGTATCTCTTTAATGGATAATATTTTAAATATTATCGAGTGGAATGCCCAGAGCTTGATAAATAATAGACTTGCTTTTACTTATTTTTTATATAACAACAATATACATATCGCCCTTCTTTCTGAAACTTGGCTAAAGCCTTTCAAAAACTTTAATATCAAAGGTTACAATATAGAAAGATTAGACATTGGTAATAATCATAATGGTGTAGCCATTCTAATACAAAACAAATTGAATTATGACAGATTAAATACATATCACGATGATTCTTTGCAAAATATCGCTTTAAAATTATATTTGAAAAATGAAACAATTTCTTTTGTTAGTTTTTACAGCCCTACATCCGCAACGTCACGTAACTTTACACATTTACATTTAGATAACTTATTTAAATCTATCCCGTCACCTATGATAATAGCGGGTGACTTTAACGCCCACAATACCACTTGGGGTTGCTCTAGAACCGATTCTAGAGGCACTATTCTTCTTAATACTATTGAAGACAATGATCTTTGTATAATTAATAATGGTCAACCCACTACTGTAGGCTCTGATATATGGAGTCCAAGTGCTCTGGATCTTACAATTGTTTCTGCCTCTCTGTCACTCCGATGCAATTGGTCTGTACATGATAATCCTTTAGGGAGCTATCATCTTCCAACCATCACCCACCTTTTATGTAACACTGTAAATACAAATAACATTTCCATTAATCATAGTAATTTTTTTAGGCCAAATTACAATAATGTAAACTGGCTTGTATACCAAGAGACTGTTGATAATAAATTATGTAATGAATTTAATTACGATCCTTCCACCCCTTTAGACTCCTATAAACAAATGTGCAATATTTTAATAGAAAGCATTAACACAGCTAATAATTCACATGGAAATTTAAAACATTCTTTAGTCTGTAATCACAAGACAAGACTTTCTTTGCCATGGTGGAACAATACTTGTTCTCAAGCAATAGAATTATGTAAGAAAACTTACATAGATTTTAAAAATAATCCCAATCAAGAAAATTACATAAGATTTAAAAGACAACAGGCAATCAAAAAACTTACTCTCAAAAACGAAAGAAATGCCAGTTGGTTAAAATTCTGTGAGTCGATCAATCGGCAAACTCCTCTATCAGTTATCTGGAATAAAATGAAAAAATTTAATAAAACATTTAATAACAACTGTTCACTTATATCTTCAGACACTGATTGGATTTCTCCTTTCTTAAGTAAATTTACATCCAAACCGTCAGCCAAAAGTAGACCCAACATACAGGTATCATTAAATAATAATAACAGCTTCATTATAAACCCTTTTACTATAACAGAATTTTACAGTGCCTTAAACAGCAGACGTAACACAGCTTTCGGTCTTGACAATATCTCTTACAAAATGTTAAAGACATTATCATCCAATTCTAAAAACACTTTGTTAATGTTACTTAACTCTCTTTGGAATACTTCAGAAATACCACCCGATTGGAAAACAGATTGTCTGATTCCTATTCTTAAACCAGGCAAATTGATAAATCATTCAGACTCCTATAGACCTATAGCATTAACATCTTGTATGAGTAAACTTTTCGAACAAATGATTAAACAAAGGTTAGAATTTTATATAGAATCAAATAAGTTATTACCTTCAAATCAGTTTGGCTTCAGGAAAGGTTTTTCAGCTACAGAGAGCTTAAATCATTTAAACCTAGATATTCATCGTGCTTTTTCTAGTAACAATATACTGGTTTCTGTCTTCTTTGATATAGTTGGTGCTTTTAACAATGTTAATCATCATATTCTAACTAATGAACTGCAAACACTAGGAATACCAGATAAGTTGATTAACTGGATTTTTAATTTCCTACATAATAGACAAGTCTATGTTAAGTACAATAATAATTTATATGGTCCACAATCTTCATATATAGGTGTATGTCAAGGGGGAATATTGAGTCCACTGTTATTTATTTTGTATATTCATAAAATTAATATTATTCTTGGTAATGAAGTCAGCAATTTACAGTTTGCTGATGATTTAGCAGTTTACTGTTCAGGCTCAAATATTCATATAGTAGAAAATAAAATAAACAAAGCTCTAAAGAAATTAAATGTTTATTTTAAATATTTACAATTAGATATTAGTTTAGATAAAACTAAAGTTGTTATATTCAGTAGATCAAGAACTTTGCATGCTAATATTAATTATAATGGTAGCATACTGCCTGTAGTAGCTGAAGCCAAGTTTCTTGGTGTAACATTAACAAAAAATCTATCTTGGAATAAGCATGTCTGTAATATATCTGATAAAGCTTCTAGAGCTTTTAATATTTTAAAATGCCTTTCCAAAACATTTTGGGGGGCTGATCCAAAGATTTTACTTATGTTGTACAAATCCATAGTCCGTTCTCACTTTGAGTACAGTTACCTTTGCTTTGCTTCCAACCCCACACTCTTAAAAAAATTAGAGACAATCCAAAATAATAATTTGCGTCTAATCACTGGTGCAATGAAAACAACTCCAATAGTCTCTCTCCAAGTAGAATGCAACATTCCATCTCTGTCATTAAGATTCAAATTTCTTAAATTTAAATTCTTGCTAAAATTACATAGCTTTTCCAATAATTCACTGTTACAAAAAATTACAGATTCTCAAACCATTGCTTCTTCTTCTAATTCCATAAAATTCCCATACATTCTCCTTGATTTCTCTGCAATGAAATCTATAATTGAGCAAAATAATATTCATGTGGCAAATAATAAGTGGGCATGTTATGAAGGGACATATGACAGTAAATTTTGCAATATGACAATAGAAACAGATAAGAACTTAAAATGTAAAGAAGAAGTTTATGAACATCTTTCTCAATGGCCTTCATTTAACACAATATATACAGATGGTTCAAAAAATGACCAAGGTGTGTCATTAGGTTTTTACCATAGCGACATAAAAACTGGTTATGGATTTCGATTACCTACCATTACTAGTATATTCACTGCCGAAGCCTTGGCTATTTTGCAAGCTTTGCATTATATTAACGAAGACATATGCGCTAAACCTCATAATCAGTGGCTTATCATTAGTGACAGCATGTCAGTCTTATCAGCGTTGCAAAATCATTCATTTAGTGCCAAAACAAGCTATATTATTTACCAAATTAAAGAACTATGGACTGTTTTGTTTAATAAAGGAAAAGAAATTATATTTACTTGGATACCGGCACACAAAGGTGTGACAGGTAATGAAGAAGTAGATTACCTTGTCAAAACTGTCAATAGATTGGGTGGCGAGTCTAAAAAAATTTTCTTACCTTGGCAAGATTTAATTCCTGAAATTAGGAAAAACTTATTAAAAAATTGGGAAGAAGATTGGAAACGTACTACCAAAGATAAAGGTACTTGGTATGCAGGTATAAACAGTACTATTGGCAAAAAACCCTGGTTTATTCAGGGAAAAATATTTTTAGAGAGAAGATTTTATACTCAAATTTGTCGACTGCGATTTGGACATTGTAAATTCAATGCACATTTACACCGAATGAAGATCATTAATTCTCCGATTTGTCTTTTATGCTCTAGTAACGAAAATCAAACATTAGAACATATATTTTTTTATTGCCCGGCCTTCAATTTAAACAGAATTTTGCTCATTGCCAAGCTTCAAGAACTATATAAGATTATTCCGCCATCGCTTCAAGAACTATTCAAATGCACTGCAACTTTTAAACCAATTTACGACTTTATCATAGCAACTATCGGAGAATTATAAACATTTCAATTATGGACACTTACAAGGACTTAACACAAACTTATAATTAATGAAAAGATTTGGCGATATCGCCTTGAAGAATTTTTGAATTTCATGGAAATACTACTGAAGATTAGGCTGTATGGTCTCGTACCTTTGCCTATCCACTTGTGGATAAAATATACCACTACTACTACTTTACCGCCTGGGTGGGAAGAAGTCTATGACGAAGGATGTGGTCAACATTACTTTTGGAATGTTCACAACAATCTAGTGTCTTGGTTGCCACCAACCCATCCTCGAGCATTTCCTAGTGAGAGTGCTGCACATTTACGGGAGGAGCGTTTGCTAAAAGAAGGTGATGAAAGTGATAATTCAAGTGAAGATTCTGACCAAGAAGTACCCCAACAACCTGTTAAAGAAAAACGACGAGATCGTCATCAAGAAAAAGAAGTACATAGAAGGGATAGAAAAAGAACTAAAACTAAGGATAATGATTTAGATCCAATGGATCCTGCTGCATATTCTGATATACCTAGAGGTAATTGGGCAGCTGGGTTAGACAATGGAACCAAAACAGGAGTCGATACCACAGCTTCTGGTTCAATATATCAAATGAGACCATATCCAGCACCAGGAGCTATATTGGCAGCCAATGCTAGACAGAAGTCTCCACCTCCTTCACCTTAATATTTATAATACAGATATGCCTACAATGTTTAGATCTACAAAAGTGCAATGGATTATGTGCACTAATTGAAAGCAGTGTAATGAAACTGTAAATAAATGTTATTTTACATATAATGATTTATGCATTCACATTTTTATTTAGATAAATATGAATCATCATGTTTTTAGTATTTAATTTAGGACATGTTAAACATATTAACCCATTAGGAATTTCTTCATCTATGATCTATTAATATAAGGATAGTGGTTGAACTAAAAGTTTGATGCTTATGTCTAAAAGAATTCCTCTGCTCACTATCACAGAACAAATATCAATATAAGTCTTTATATAAAAGTAATTTCTCTATGGCTCTGTGTGAGTAGCAATTCTGTATTATAATTAATGACAATTATGTATTTTGTGGATTCACTTGGAGAGGTTGTAATAGTCGTAACCATATACTTTCGGCCTTTCAGAGAAAATTAAATTCAAGTACTATGTTTCAAGTATGCATAGTCAAATGACAATTACGAACAATACTAGTTGATATGGATCTTCGCACAGAACAGTAAAATTTTTATTAAAGTTGGGCCCAGTCAGGTCAGTGTAACAATGGTTTCGATTAGCCTTCTTTGTGCGTCTTCGTTTTTGTAACATGACATAACAGTCATTGATACATTTAGTAGAGTTAACCTTTTTTAAACTCAAGTCATTACATATGGTGAAAAGCAACAGGAAAGTAGAGGAAATTATTGGATGTACAGTCAAGGATGGCCAGCCGGTTAAGGTTCTTGTTATAAATTTAAACAATTTATACTTCTCAAGTCATTTATTAGCGATATCTCTTCACTTCTAAAATAATTGAATAACAAATGTAATAAATAATATACTCCAATTGTCAAAGGTACATTACTGCAGTAGTCAAATTATACAGCTTTACATCAATATTTTTCTACAGTATTTTAGAAATACCTAGGAAGATCTATATCTCTAGGAGCAATTTTAATGAAACACTTAAAAAAAAACTAATAGCTACTAGGCATTATTTTACAATCACTATGAGGGAAGAAAAATGTTTTACAGTTTCACTAATGCCTATTTAGTTATTATTATTAATGATCTGTACCTATTTCATTACACCCTATATATAATTATATAGCATTTACATACATTCCTTCTGAAGCATGGCTTTACTTTTATGATGATTCTTTAATACGTTCTTTTGTTTACATCAGTCTTCTATTTACCATTCAAATGTTTACTATCTGTTGTATATGTAAGGAGGTCGTCCGATGTCGCCACACCGACAGGTCTTTGAACCTGTGATGTCGTCTCTGTGAACATGCAATAAAGGTGTATTCTTGTAAATCTATCCATAATAATATTAGTACGAAAATGTGTGTATATACTATGTCATGACGACGGAGATACAAAGTCGTGGAGTACATATAAATTAATATATAGTTCCAGAAAAATCTACTTTTATTATAAAATACTAGTATTTAGTTAGTTACTAGTTATTCTAGGGTTTTAATATTAATAGGAATTATCATTACTCTTACTTAAAATATAGCAGTTCCGTAAATATATTAATGCTTTAAAGATGGAAAATTTATACGAAAATACGTAACTACCTGATTTTACAACAATGACATATGGTGCGATATCGAGCATTCTTGAGACATGTCCCAGGGTAGGTTTCAAGGAGAGGTCTACTTTGTAAAATTTCTTCACTGTGAACTTGTCGAGGTTATCTGTCGTCGAGCCAGATAAGTTGGCCAACCTTTGTCGCGCATTGTCTGCCGTGAACACTCCGACTACAGATCTAGACATATTACATTTTTTAATTTGTGTTGTGTAAATAATTATTAATCTAACTAGAATCTGTTATGAGAAAACAGATAAGGAACATGCACATAATGCTGTCAGCTTACACTTATTGTAATTTGTTATTATTTCATTATATTGTCAAGAAAGTGTACTATTACAATTACAATTTTGTATCAGCGATAAGAAATGAGGGATATTAAAACAATTCCTAAAAATTTTCATGTTTTTAGAATTTACATTAATAGTAACTAAAATAATATAAATCATCAAACACTATAAATAATAAAAATCTATTTATTTCTCTACATTACTACGATATTCGGTACTATGATACATTTATTACGTAGACTTACAGCAATTGGCTTAGCTGAGAATCGAACTTGCAACTTCTTTTTTGCAAAAATAACGGCACTACAGCCGTAATGCCGGGATCAATATACAAGTAGATGGTAGTTTTTGTTAGAATCTATTCCGGATCAAATTGTCGAACATATGTATATATATGGTAGATGTCATAATTGTATTGTATTTATTTCATAATTAAGAATATAATATTCATATAGATATATTAAACAGTCTGGAGCCAGCCGAGGCTTCAATCTTGACAGTTGGAGTTTCTTGATAAATGATTTGCTTATATATTTTATCGAATAAGCAATTTAATCTCAGACAGGAGATCTAAGCTTGATTAAAATACAAAATATTTTAGTTTTAGGAATTATTATTTGGTTTCTGGAATTCTCTCTCTTAATAACACCTAGTACATAATCGCAATGAACTGTTATTCAAATTCAAATTCAAAAATCATTTATTCATGAAGGACATTTTAGCCGCTTATGAACGTCAAATTTTTACATTATAATTTTATTTTTTCCCTACCGTCCAGTTCGGTATATAGATCCAATTGAGAAGAACTGGCAAGAAACTCAATTGAATTACTTTTTTTTTAAAGCCAGTTTATTTACAATGTATTTTTATATAGGTGTCTATGTCTAACATTAAATGAAAATTCAGTGCATGAACAACTATTGTCATTGCCACAACACTCGTCATTCAAGTAATCGTTTAGTGAGTAATAGGCTTTGCTCAGTAAATATGATTTAACAGATGTTTTGAATTTATTTAAGGGTAATTCCAACATATCCTTTGGTATCTTATTGTAAATTTTTATACCTATTCCCATAAAAGACCTATTAACCTTTTCTAAACGATACTTGGGGACAGCAATTTTGTCTTTAAATATAGTATTAATATTATGAATATTGCTGTTTTTTGGAAATAAGTCAAGATTTTTATGAACATATAGGATATTTGAATATATAAATTGTGAAGCAACGGTGAGAATATTTGCCTCTTTGAATTTCTCTCTTAATGAGTCACGACTCTTCATACAGTAGATCGCTCGAACGGCACGTTTTTGTAATATGAATATATTTTTAATATCTGCCGCTTTTCCCCATAGTTATTGATGATATAAATGTAACATTCCTCTTCCCACTACTTAGCCAGAAAACAGACTTTCCATAAGTTTTAATGTCAGGTTCATATCAATTTACGAAGTTTGTGACACGTGGTACACGCCGGCGCCGTGACAAAATATATGTTCTGATGTTTCTGTTGGTATATCTACTGTATGTATTTCCTCTTGTTTAATACTGTAATAATGTTTTATAATAAATCATCTCGTAATAAAAATTAAAAACCACTTACCCCGCATCATTCACAATGGTTAAAAGAGGCGCCTTTGTTTGTTTTAGTTTCTCGAGAGCTTGTAATGGCGTACTTTTATCAGATATGGTAACGGCAGGCTGAAATATGTCGTCTATTACTAAGTGTTCCCACCACCTAAAAATAAGTGCAATTAAATTTGAGTTTTATTAAATTAGTTCATTTTCATACGAATTAATATTAAATATATATTATTATTATATGTTAGCAATTCTAAATACAATATCCTTTACGGCCTACGGGATACATGAAAATTGAATGACAAACATCCATACAATTAATAGATAGTGTCTTCATTCCTAAGAAGTTAATACTCCCTGGTTCCAAAGATTCTACTTTAACCTTAAAATTGTTTATTATATATTCAATGCTGACGGTACGTATTTAATGAGTTTAAATATTATATTACTGTTTAATGTATTGATAGCCAACAATTATTAATTAAAACGTCTAACAGTTAATAAATATGTTTTAGCTGCTATGCAATTTATTAATTTCGAGAAACGTGACTAAATAGCCTAACATATAAATTATTTCTTTAGGACTTTTTAGTATTTATTTATTTTAAATTACTAAATTATTTATGTATCATGTTTTTTATAAGCAAAGTTACTCTTTTAAACAAAATCAGTATGAATTAATCTATTCATCATCATATAACATAATATTAAAAATGTTGCCACTTATTAACTTTATTAGTCAATAAATTTTACTAGTAAAATTATGTATCCAGTTACCATACTGTCTCGTTTTTGGCAACTTTTTTGAAGTTGCGCGCTTCTAACCACTGGTCAGAGATGAATTTGGTCATATAATTTCGTATATTGTCGGGGAGTAGTACAACGCATTTCTGGCCTGCCTTTAGGGTTTTGGCAGCTTGAATCGCACCCCACATGGCAGATCCGCTGCTGCCGCCTATAAATAAATCATACACTTATTCTGCAATCTTACGAAAATGCGTACAAACAATTCTATAAAACCAACTACACAGTTATTAATCATCAATTCACCACTATCAGGACATTCATCGACGACAATTTTAACGTCAAGACAAATAGGGATATTATCAAATTATAAATAATCATATTTTTTTTATCGGAACTCAAAAATAATATTCTAAAAGTAGGTAAAGACAATTGTAAATAATTATTGAGGGATGCTAAACCGCTAAACCACTGATACTTTCATAATAATAAAGATCCAGTAAGAGAATTTAAGTCTATATTTGAAGAATTATAAACAAATTGGTAAACTAGGTATGGACCATGCAGAGATCAGGAATCCAACCTAAAACATAATTGAAATTCTGTAAGTAACCAAGCTGATTGTAATGGGTAATAAAATAATTACATACCGCAAAGTAATCCCTCGTCTCTTATGAGTCTGCGAGCCATTTGTAATGAGTTATGGTCGTCGGTTTTTACCCATTTATCGATCACTGTTCTGTCGAGAGAGCGCGGCAAGAAATCGTAGCCGATGCCTTCCACCTTGCAATAAATAAAACTTTAAAGTTGTATTTGAAATTTTGTAACACAAGACTCTCTTAGTAATGTATGTAACTAAGTAATTATTTTGCAGAAGATAAAATGCAAACTTGCAATTAAAAATATGTAGTGCAAAAGCCAGTACCTGTTCTCAAACCAATCAATATACATACATAAAAATAATAAACATTTGATTGTTAATATAGTTGTAATAAATAAACTCGAAAAATATTTATCCTCTCACCTATAAGTACCCACGTTATCAGCTAGTAACAGACTATATTCTACGCGTACAGGGCTACTGTATCCCAGCTATTTTTGAATATTTTTTTCCCGTACTTTAGGGTTCTTGTACAAAATATAAAATTCCGGAATAAGTTTTCTTAAATAATTAAAAATGTCATTTTATCCAAATTCATTCTGATTATACCTTTAACTATAGACCTGACTAGTTATCAATCAACATTGTGAATTATATCAATAAAATCTCTTTTACTTCATTATTATAAATTTGGTTATTTACTATGAAGAAAACTGTGACTCAGCTGCAGCTATATTATTATAGGCATTTTTGACATTAATTTGATTTTGGACGGCTGCCGTATGTAGAAAAAAAATACAAGGTCACGTCACAGTGGAGCAATTGTACAGTGTGTCGACTTATTTATATAGTAGGAAACACTCAACAGGTTTCCATGGAACAAAATGTTGGTTGTAGTGGTTAGAGCGGTTGGTTATGGCTATTATGATAATTTAAGTCTATCCTGAAAAAAAAGCTATAAAAACACTTCAGGTTGTCTCATTTATAAAAGTGATTGAGAACAAGAAACGTTATGTATCTTTTATTCAGCCATAATTTATATAAAATTTGCATTTGTTTCATTAGGTTCTGTGACAATGGCGTGATAAACAATATCGACCGCCAAGTCGTTTCGTTAATCTCTACACTGGCCGAGTGGCAATGTTACTGAAATCATTATCCTGTATGCTTCAAGGAAATTTATTACAAATAGACCTTATTGTATACCTAACGAACATTAATAATTTTATTCAATACATAAATGAAATATTAAATGTCTACGAGTTTTTAAACTAATACCAAATTCAAAGTTTTATGAGGTTTTACATGATTAACATAGAAATGATGACTGATTTCGATATGGAAAAACAATATTTACTACGTACGAACAATATCTATCCAAACTTTAATTAATTTCATTTATTTTTAAAAATAATGTGACTGCGGTAACGTCGTTTATAAATTAATAACGCCAAGATGTTAGATTAGATAATGAACTATTAAAAGTTTTGGGTTGTTATCGATTCATTTGAAAGTTGTTATCAATAACAATACAATTTACCTCATAAACTTGCACATCACTCTTGTTAAGGTCTTCTGGTTGTGCCAGAATGGAACCGTAGGGATCTACACCGACTATAACGCACTTGGGGCAGCGCTCCTTGATTTTGTGCGCGACACCAGAGATAGTGCCGCAGGTGCCTGCACCAATCACCACCATGTCCACGTTGTCATCCAATGACCACAGGATCTCCTCTGCAGTCCCGTCGTAATGTGCCAGTGGGTTGCATGGATTATTGTACTGTAATAAAAAAATATACTTAATAATAAAATTAACATATTGCATACAATCAATATATTTAGATAAGCTCTAAATAACAACTCGCCTCTGTGGATACATCATCATCATATGTGGATCATAGTTATATACCAGATAATCACAACTACTTCAGCTGCCGAGCAGTTTGAAGCAGTGTTTCGGTTAGAAGTTGAAACATGGCAGTTAAATTATGGTTACGAGTGAATATCTCAGTGGTGCTATTCATACACCTGTGCTGTGTATAAACGCCACTTTCCATCTACTGGGCCATCACCAGCTTATGGACACCTTACCTATTATGTACTATTAAAAACCTTATGCTATTAGGAAGGAATTGACTCCTCACGCTAGTTCGGGAGTCAAGACTGCATAAAATTGTACACTGGTAAATGTTTAAATAAATATTATTATTATATATTACTGTTATTCGGAATGTATTTGACAACATATCCATAAAATATGATAGTTAACTGTAAACATATTATGATTAAGACTCATATTGTAGGTTGACGTAATAGAAGGCGTTATAAATGTTATTATTGTATTCACCTTCCAAAACTTACCTAAACCTATTAAGTAAAAATGTAACGATTTAAAAAAATATATCATTGTGATGTAATAAATTACTAAATTATAATAATATTCGTATTTATGAACGTTTATATGTGTATAAAAATTAATCCCTATCTCCCTATCTTTGGGGGTTACGGCATTATAAGTGAATGGTTGGATTGATTTCGCTTATTCTTTTAATTGTATTATTTTTTTGTGAATTCAATATTCACAGTTAATACAGAATAGCATTTGTCGAGTTAGCTAGTAATATATAAATTTTAAGAGTACGTTCAATACCTGTACGATAAAAAAAACATGTCACAAAGAAAACAATATACAGGTTACAGGGAATATACTCGTAGTAGGAAAGAATTACTATTACGAATAAGTTCCCACTGATTCGTAATGGAATTTCTTTCCTAGTATGAAAACCTTTTCATGAGTACTGTTATGATTATTACTATTTACTTATTAAAGATAGAACAAATGAATAACCTGATCGAGTACAACAGCGTCGGGTATTTCGGTAGCCATCCGGCGCGCGACCATTATGTTGCTCTCCGGGTCGTTCCACGCTGCTTCCGTGGGTGTCCTCACGATCTCTGCGCCGAGAGCTTTCAGAGTATTCACTTTCTCGTCTGACATTTTCTCTGGTAACACTATAATGCATCTATATCCTGTTTTTGAAGAAACAATTATTGAAATATTTTTATATATAGGAAAAAATATCTGTAGTCAGATGGGTAGTCAGAGTACAATCGTATTTTAATTTGCCGCGTTTTAGTGATATTGGAGATTCGGTAGTCGATCAGATCATTTGTCCAATTAAAGTAAACACGTCAAATTCAACAGTACGTTATAAAAATATTTGACCGGAAATTTCGAATTTTCGCATTGAAAATCTTTTTTGATGTAGCAGAAAAAACAAGTTTCATTTAAACATTTCTTTACCATGCAATCTAGTAAGCAGTAAACTTATAAAAATACCTGTAAAAATAGATTTCTTAAATAAGAACAGAAAACTTAAAAGTTTAAGCTCTACTTTCATTAAAAAAATGTTCAATTTTAATGTTTGTTGTGAGTTGAGATGGACCACCGTCCATCTCAACTCACCAACGGAATCGCAGCTGACATTCACTAAACTTCATAATACAATATAGTAACCCTTTTAGAAGTTTACGGGCGAGAGGAAATTGTTGACGAAATTAGGCTCTGGTTCACGGACTATGGTTCTAAACGCATAAATACAGAACAAACAACAAGAACATACTAGAGAAATGCAGGCGATCGAGTCAGTAATATGTTATATGTGCCATAGACAAGGTAAATATTTAATTAATGTGGTAGACTTTTTTAACTAATTGCATGGTAAAAAGTTGACGGGTAATGGTCAGCGGTAGCCGACCCCTATAAACATCAGTACTATGGAAATCTAGTTATCAAATGACATGCTTTACGAAGACGACTTTTTAGTTTACCAATGGTAAATAAAATAGTGGTAATGAATAATTCTATCTATCTATTATTCTATTAGTATACAAGAAATGAGATTTTATTATTTATCTTAATATTTTTAACTATCCTATATCGTAATATAGGTCATAATCGTTTTTTTTTTTTTCAGTAAATGAACAGTAATTTGCATTTGTTATCAATTGATAAGGTCTGGGTTCATAATTATTACTGGTGTATATTGATAACCCATGTGGGTAATATCAATTATGTTATCACACTACTTAATATCAATGCATTGTAATGTGTAATGTATTCGTAATAGCATTTTATGTCCTACTATAATTTAGTTTTCAAAATTAATCAGTATAACATACGTTGATGATTGATGAGTTATTCTTCACATAATCCATATTTGATATTATGCAAAGGATCGACAATTTTTAATTAAAATATCTAAATAATATCCTAGAATATAGAAAGATCATATAATTATAATTTTAATTCTTAGAAGTCTATTTTATTATATAGACATCTGTAAAGATAAGGTGGGTACCTTAGCTACAAGTGTCTAGCGTTAGTGACAGAGATCGTATAACTGCATATAAGTATATTACATTATTAACTACACTAATTAAGAAATCTGATGTCAAAAAAGAAAGAACTACTAAAACAGAAACCATATAATAGGAAAGAACTAACTAAATTAAGTAAAGAAATAAATAAAACAATAAGGAAACACAGGGAAAAAACAAAAATAGAAAAGCTAAAACACTATATTGAACAATCAGGAGGAATAAGAAAAGCCCTAAAAAAACTTCGAGAGTATACTGCTTGGATACCGCAAATGACCAAGTATAGCACTAACACAAATCACAGACCTAATATCAATAAAATAGCAACCAATTTTTACAAATACCTATATAATGATGAAGACAGTCCAAACACAAACTTAGATGACAACAATATAGAAGACAAAATCCCTCATATCTTAAACAGAGAAATTGAACATGCAATCCTATGCGCAAAGAATAATAAAGCTCCAGGGAATGATGATATATCAAATAAACTATTAAAAGTTACTGTACTACCAACAACCAATACACTCACCAAACTCTTCAATAAAATTCTGAAAGAAGAAAGGATACCAAACCAATGTTCTAAATCAACTTTAATATTAACTCACAAAAAAAGGTGACCGCAACGAAATTAACAACTACAGACCAATAAGTCTTATGCCTGGTATTTATAAACTTTTCTCGCAAATATTATTAAAACGTATAACACAAACAAAACCAACCAAAAGAACAAGCGGGATTCCGTAGTGATTACTCTACCATAGATCATATCTTTGTAATTAAACAAATAGTAGAAAAATTTAATGAATATGAAAGACCACTATATCTGTGCTTTATTGACTACAACAAAGCTTTTGACTCAAGAAAGCATAGCAAACTATGGGAAGCACTACTATCACAAGGAGTTCAAAAGAAATACATATGTATTATCAGAGAAATTTACAGGAGATGTTCTGGAAGAATACAATTAGAATCTATTGGATCAGAGTTTAACATAAAACGAGGCATCAGACAAGGAGATCCTCCGTCGCCAAAACTTTTTCTAGTCATATTAGAAAATTTTTAAGTTTTTTGGAACTTTGACTGGGATGGATATGGAATAAAAATATATGGTCAACTACTCGATCACCTCAGATTTGCTGATGATATAATACTCCTATCTCATGACCCAGATACCATGAAATCTATGCTAGAACAGCTCATTATGGAAAGCGAAAAAGTAGGGTTAATTCTTAACACCACCAAAACCAAAGTAATGTCAAACTGCCAACTTTAAAATAAAAGATAACATCATTGAGTATGTTAACAACTACACATACTTAGGACAAACTATCTCAATAACAAATCAGACTGACAAAGAAATTGAAAAAAGGATCTGTAACGCCTGGAAAAACTACTGGTCCATGAAAGATATAATGAAAAAGAACATCCCGATAAAACATAAGAAAAAAATATATGACTCCTGTATTCTTCCCTGTCTAACATATGGCTGCCAAACATGGGATTGCACAACAAAAAATATTAGTAAAATAAAGGTATGTGAAAAAAACATGGAACGAAGCATTCTAAACATCAAACTTAGAGACAAAATCAAACTCACTAATATAAGAAAAAAAACAAACAAACTGACAGATGCAGTGAAAACCATTAAGAAATTAAAATAAAAGTGGACAGAACATGCAATAAGAAGTAAGAAAGAGAAATGGACTAAGGATGTTATAGATTGGAATCCAAGAGAACAAAAAAGAAAATGAGGACGACAGAAAAAGAGGTGGGAGGATGATATAAGGGCAGTGGCGGGACCAACGTGGAGAAGGAAGGCATTGGACAGAGGAGCCTGGAGTCTTTTGGAGGAGGCCTATGTCTTGGGACATGCTGATGATTGTCAGCACAAAGGCTATAAAATAAATAAATAAATGTTATTCTATATCTATTTATATCGAAATTAACAAAATTGTGCTTTGTACTTTTTATCTTAATGCTATACTCAGTTTTATTAAGATACCTTTAACAGCAGCAGCTAGAGCCAACCCAATGCCAGTGTTGCCTGATGTTGGTTCTATAATAACAGACTTCCCAGGTATCAATATACCTTGTTGTTCAGCATCTATCACCATCCGGTATGCAATGCGATCCTTTACAGAACCACCAGGATTCAAGAATTCACATTTAGCATCTAAAATATTTAATTTAATTATCATTAATTGAAAGGAATATTTCTAATTCTATTGTGGATTACTATAATTGCCTAAGATTAGTAAAATTGTAATTGTAAGTTAGTAATATAAACTGTTGTTATCCCGAAATAAATAAATAAAAATAAAAATAAAGGAAATTATATGTAATGCCTTTTACATATAATTTAACTTTTTAATTAAATTTATTTATTTAAAAAAATTATTTATTAAATCCTGCAGCAGGGCTATGTCACGCTTGTGCCATATGACTATAGAACACAAAAATTTGCAAACTACAAACTCTGGATAAAGTCTTAGAGCTTAGAATTTAGTAAATAGTATTCATATTAACACATTAACTGTATTATATGATATACTAGCTGCGCCCTTGACTTCGTCCACCTGGATTTTAACTTTATTCTTCTAAAATAAAAGTTGCCTAAGTTACTCCTTATTACATCAGCGAACTGCCAAAATAAGTCTCGTTAAAATCAGTCCAGCCATTTCAGAGATAAGCCGGAACAAACAGACAGACAAAAATTGTAAAACATGTTATTTGGGTGTATGTACCATATTTATATTCATATGCATGTAGTAAAAACGGTTATTTCAATGTTACAAATAGTATACTCCAATTTTATTTATATGTATAGTTAAGTCATACAAATTCATTCTATCCTACATACTTTAACAGTTATTTTTACAGATTAGTTTACTAACTTTACAAACTTATACTCATAAAATATTTAATGCAATAATTTCTATTGGAAATTAAAATATACGAAAAATAATAAGTATATTTATACTCACATATATCACAGAGAATACCTTCATCGTTAGGTATTTTTGTAAGTTTCACTAATGGAGTATTTCCAATCACATGGAGAATATCAGGCTGTATTTTTTGATTTCTATCTCTGTAAAATTATATAATAAACTTGTAAGTACTTTCACATTTATGTTTGAATACAAAAAATAAATGTTATGTTTTAAGAGAAAAGTGATTATTATAGCTTTATTGATTCTAAAATTTCATATCACCCATCATAAACATATGGCAAGTTTATGTATAGTTTACTCTCCATACTTACAGCGCCTTTACTATGTGGGGCATTTCTTGAAGATTGAAAAATTTCCCAACGCCGTTCGATGATCCATTTTTTGTTTCTACGTAATTGGAAGTAGTCATTTTGTATATTTTTAAGCAACTGTAACTAATATGCTAAGCGAGCTTCACGAGACGTGATTTCTTTTATTAGATTAATTAAAGTTTAAACAGTTATACTATGCGTTGAAATGTGAATAAAAATCAACTTATAAGAATAAATCTAATTCAAGATAACCGCACGGTTGAAGTGATGAAATATAAACTAAAAAAATATCAGCTAACACACGTGTTATGTAGAATTACAGACGTTGACTAAAATGTGTATGTGTGAATATCGAAATGTAAACAGTACTAATATCTTAGCACACACTCGACATTTACACTTGTATGTATGAATGACAGTACTGACGTGATAGTTGACAACTAACTGACAACAATAACAAACTGCAATTTACTAAAATAAGCAAAAACGGAGAGCTTGTGTTATGAGTGCTAGGCAACTGTTACAAATACTTATTTTTATTGTCAATACATATATAATATACATAGAAAACACTCAAACGGAAACACAATAATATTCATGACGTTTGCCGTCATAATCTTGCCCATATTAGTTAGCGACTCATAAATCACAGAACACTACAATCTGGTCTCGTGCTGGTCAATCAAGTTAGCCAGTCTCCTTCAAATTTATTCGTTTGTTCCGAGTTAGGGTAAGTCAGATTTCTGGCCGGAATTATTTTGATTCTGAGGCTTCAAGTATAGGTACCTACCATCAATTTTCTTAATTTAAAATCAATGAATTTTATATTAAATATTTTTTTTTAACAAACTGAAATTGTATTTGAAAGGATTAAGAGGATTAATAATAATAGAAGATAAATAAGAGAAGAAGATAAATAAGAGATAATTAAAAAACCACTTATAAAAATATTCTTTTTCCAGAGTTATTATTATTTATCCCTACAAATGTTAAGAATTTTTATAATATTTCGCAAGTTATATAGCATACCTTTTGCAAGTGATAGGTACGAAGTAGATAATAACTGCAATAGTAGATATACTTACCCTCTCCCTTTCTTCTTAAAAATAACAAAGTTCAATCAATTAAAACAAATTTTTTTTTTATTACCAGAGAATTATAATATATCTATTTTATAACGATAAAACATTAAAATATGTTATATTAAAAAAAATTCCTTATCCCAGTTATATTTTGCATGTTAAGTTTAAGTTGGCAGATTAGGTATTTAAAATTCTCAATAATTTAACACTATTCATATTATAATATACATAGATAGGTACATTTAAATTATAAACTATTATATATGCTATATTATTTCGCGTTATTATTTTGAGTGTTCATATATGTAGTTTAAGACGTCGTTTCCAGTAACGACGAATTCCGGACGAAAATTTTCTGCAAAAAAACAAATTATTTAGAAAAAATATCCTCACTATTCCTCACACATACCATTAAAATACAAGGTTATGAACATATAGGTACAATTGTTTTATTCTTCTTTTGAGTGCCAGATTTCCCTGGTCACAAGAGTATAGTACCTACCTAGCAGATGCTACGGGCCCGTACACTCACTGCTACGCAGGTATATACGAATGAATATAATAAATAGATACAACATAAAAAGTTATTCCTAATTTTAATTTTTTTTACACTGTATAAAGTCTAAGTCAAGTAAAATAGTTGTTAGTTTTTGAAGAAAAATAAACAAATTATGGGTTACTTGAAAAATAAAATGCTGCGTGTTCCGAATTGGCTTGAATCTGCCATTGGTTGTTTACTATTCATGGGTTAATTTTCTTATTATTTTATTTCAATACAATATTTTTTTCACCTTCCTCTGCAGATTTTTCAGTAGTTCCAACAATCACGAATGGTGTTATGTCGAGTATCCGCGAAATAAGTCCAATGGTCGGTATTCCTTTCTTTCCGTTCTTTGTCAACGTGTAACAGTTTTTTATTAAGTGATCTGTCACTGGATCTTGAAAGTTGAAATCTTCGGAGTCCTCTTGTGGTAGTTTAGTTGGATTGGTTGCATTGTGGCGGAAGGAGTCTTTGGAAACGGCACCCACTAACCAACTAAAAAATGATTAAAGTTAGAATGTTGCTTGAGCTTATGCCTTCTGCTTGTAATAAATAACTGATAGAAATACTCATAATTTTGTCAATACATGGGCAATACATACATATATATATATATATATATATATATATATATATATATATATATAAATATATATATATATATATATATATATATAATAGGGGTTGAAAAAAAACATACTAGGTTTCCCCAAGAAAAAATGAAAAAGTCGGACGTATGTTTAAGAACGAAATAAATTGCTATTCAAATTTATTTTATTCGTCCAGACTCCTGACAATTACTTAAGTTTAAAATTAAGAAAATAAAAAATAATTTGTTAAGTAAATTGATGGTTAGTTTTGATGCGGTTAATTTATAATTATTATATTTACGTACAATTGTGGTATTTAGGTCGGTAGGTATACCCCATATACTCACCCTTTGTCATTCACCACAATAGCTACATCACCGTCGTTGGCACTAACCATTGTCAATAATGCATCTTCACAAGTAGAATTCGTATTAATATTTGGATAATTATTGTACACTACCAGATTCGTAATTGGATCCTTCCACCACCTAAAAATTATTAGATGTATCATAAAATATAAAACAATGTTGCTGTTTTGTCTGTCTTTTTCTCTATCTTTCCTTTTCTTTCATATTTTAAACCATAGATCGGATTTTAATACGTTTTCTATATAATTTTGATAATTTATTCTCATACAATTTATATGAGCACTGAACCATTCGTGAAAAGCCGAGGTGTTTAAATGTAATTTTTTATATGAGGTAATTATATTTACGTAGGTAGGTAGGTACTTAGGACTACTAGGTATATCAGATTAACCTCCAACGTTTCGCCGTAAAAACTATTAGGGTTAATTCGTCATAATGGGCTGATTGACCTCCTCAATCCTTTTTTCTATAGAGAGTTTCCCCGCCCGGCAGAGCATATTATACGGGGTATTTAAAAAAATAACTATAAAAAGCAGTCTTAACAAAATTAATAGGTAGACTTCGTTAAAACTCCTGGAATCGTCATTCTATCTTTATCAACAAAAATAATGTATGAATATAAATTCATGCGTGAATATAAAGTCACACCAATAGTTTTAAGAAATTATTACACCATAGTATGCTGTGGTGGTTCTTTAAAAAGATGCGCTTCCATCCATTGGTCGCTGACAAATTTACTCATGTAGTTGCGGATTCCATCAGGCATAATAACGACTATACGTTTTCCAAGACCGAAATTGTGTTTCTTTGCAGCTTTTATTGCGGCTACCATTGCTGTGCCGCTGCTACCGCCTGGAAGAAAGACATCGGTATATAATTGTTTACAGCGGGTAGGTACCAACACGTAAAATACTTAGTAATTATCCACCACACAGTTCGGGCAGAAAGTATCTAGTAATTATATATATAAAAAAAACTGAAAGTACATTACTGACTTTGGTATTTTAGATAAAAAAAACGATTATAGATAACCACTCTATGTACGTAATTATACTCTGACTACATTTGGGAAATTACAGGTGTTAGTTTTTATTATATACTCTATTTACTTATATGTACCTAGTTAGAATATATTACGTTTGTCTAGCTAGACAATATGAATGATTACGGGGTTGTTTGCTAAGTAACTACTATTCGATTTTCTCTGAAGCGCGGCTATTCTTGTTTGCCTTGCAGAAAAAAATGTATAAAAGGTATTTTTCTGTATGTCATTGAGTTATATTCACCCTACGGAAGGAAATTAAAAATAAATAAAATGTATATATTTTCCAATAAAAATAAAAATTTCTATTGATATTATTCTATTCATATATTAATTATTATATTATTTTCCCTAAGCGACTAAATAAACATCGGGAATAAAGTTTTAGGTATAAACACTGTTGCTGACGTACTGGCCACATACTTTTATAGTTCATATAGGGGAGGTGGTGGCAAGATGGGTACTTAAGCTTTAAAGGTCTGTAATATGAAAAATTACATAGTGAAACAATCATATTTATTTTTTAAATAACGACTAATTATTATTATTCTAATATTTCGTGTCATTAGGAACTTTAGGTAACACATTTGAGAGAAAAAAAAAAAAATAAAAAAAAGGTGTTTTACCCCGTCTTGCCCCATGGTGCTGGTAAGATGAGGTACCCCCCTGAGGTAAGATGGGGTGATGAGAATGATCCTATGATCTCTGTAGAAAGATGATTATTAGAGCTGGCAGAACACGCAGACATGTAAGGCTTCATCATCATCATTATCATCTTATTCCTACGCAGCTATTATGAGTCCATCTTCCACTTAATGAGCATGATATCCACCATTCAATGGAAACGGAATAAACTTCCTCACAATACATACATGGTGTGTTCCCACATCTTCACTTTCATCTTCAGATGTTGAAACTCTTCATTGTTTTGCTGCTTTCGGTGATCGGCTATTCTTCTTTAATTATTTAAGTTGGTCTTTTGTAGTAGTTTTCTTCTGTTTTTTTTTATATTATATCTTTTCTCTTTTTTGTTTCTATTTTCTATAGTTTTTCTGTTCAGCTCTGTTTTTTTGTTTTTTGTAGGAGGCGACGTGATAATTGCTGTGTGTCCACGCTTTTTAGCAACACGAGAGGATTTCCTTAGGAAGCCTTAACTTTTCTCTCGATAACTCTTCGCTTCTCGCATGCATTCTTCGGACCACGACCGACGACGTTAGTCGTAGAACCATTCTAAAAAGACAAACTCACAAAAACAAACTCATTTTTCGGAAAACAAACCAGAACAGAATAAGTTACCCCATCTCGCCTGCAGAGCCCTTTTATATAAAAAAATAAATAAAAACAAAACAGTCAATAATATTTAAGGAACACAATGCCTACTTTTTTCAGATTAGTTTAAGCATCAATCACAACAACACCTCACCAGCTAACGTTATTTAACAAACCACAGTCACGTGTCAAGCCAGAAGAAAATGTGATAAACAACTTGCAGTAAAACACTTATTTTGCATTTTTTTCGACACTGTGCACTTGTGAACCACTAAACACCCGGCGATTGATAAGTCTCATGGAGGCGCGTCGCACGATGATTGAAAGAGCGTGATTGATCAATTTGAACTGTAAATTTTGGTGGGTCTTACCCGCTACCCCATCTTACCTCCATCTCTCCTACCAATTATATTTTCTAAAGAATTTTGTTATATATTTTTATATACAGAACATTTTAATCGAATAAACATTGTGACAGACAATAACAAACATATTCTTTAGAAAACATGAATTAGTAATTACATACAATCAAATGGAAAGTACAAAAGAATGTTATGGATTAGACAATCAGTGAAAACTATGGTATTAACAAATTATTTAACATACCACACAATATTCCTTCTAATTTGACGAGCTCTCTAGCCATCAAAAAGGTTTCTTCGTCGGTGACAACTTCAACTTCGTCTAATAGAGACTTATCCAATGTAATGGGTATCCTAGAGCCGCCTATTCCTTCTACCTAATGGGCGTTAACAAAATTAAACCATTTTTTTTACTTATGTAGGTAACTGACTTGAGAGATAAGCTGATTGCTTATGGAAAATGGTAATTGCTGCTCATAGTAACACAAACATGGCAAAAAAATCAAAAACCAGGTAACTAACAATACTAACCAAAAATGGATGTGATGGTCCTTGAACGTTAAACATAGTGGAACCGTCTGGGTCCGCACCCACTATGACGCATTTAGAGTTTACGGATTTAATTTTTGCTGAAATACCGCTAAACGTGCCTCCAGTCCCAGCTCCCATGGCAACCATGTCGATTTTCGGTAACGCTGATAATATTTCTTCGGCCGTGTGCTCGTAATGAGTTTTTGGATTGATGTCATTGTCAAACTAGAAAAATTCGGTGAACATTTAAATTGCCTTTGAATAATGCTAATATAAATATGTAAAACATTTTACAGAGATAGACTTTCTATTAAGTAGTCTGCATAGGTAACTCTGTCTAGCTTATTTTTCAATAAAGCAACGAGCAGCATATTCTATAAACTGTGTTTTTGATTGAAGCGACAACTTCGATTATTGGAACTGCAGTAGATATTAATCGATTAATTAGTGTAACTTAAATTCTCACCTGACTGACCATAACGACAGTATCTGGATTAGCATCCTTAATTTGCCGAGCTATAGCTGTTGGAGATTTCGTTGTTTTTAATGAAATCACTTCTGACCCCAGCAGACGCATAGTATTCGCTTTCTCGTCAGAACTCTTATCTGTTGTTACTATTGTACATTTATTTCCTAGTAAATAACAAGAAAGATTTGAATTTTGTTTTACACTGACGGATTATTTTATCATTTTGCGTATAAAAATGTTACATAAAGCAAATCTTGAAAGATTACATATTTTAGGTTGAATTGCGTCGTGAAATTCAGACTATACAGACGGAGGAGTATAGTGCTAATATTTCTTTAAAATAACGAATAAATCATACATTACATCAGTAAAAAATATTACACACACTATCAAGTATTTGAAACAGTGCTAGTGATTGAGATGAGATTGTATTCATCAAACTTATAATTTAAATTAATTATGGTCGAATTTCGACCATTGGGCGACCGTTCCGTATTCGTTTATTTAAAACTAAGATCGAATTGACAGCTTGCTCCTAGTAGGAGTTTGACAGTCAGTTAAAAGTTGAAAGCACAACAATAGTTTTCTTCAGTAAGTAGGTAAGTATTTTCATTTATTATAGAAATAAGACAATTAATAAGCAGTATAAATATAACTTACCCATAATAGCAGCTTTTAAGGCAATACCTATACCAGTATTTCCAGATGTTGATTCAACAAACTCAGTAGTATCGTTTACAACTCCATTTTTCACAGCATCATCAATCAAACTTAATGCAATTCTATCCTTTATAGAACCAGAAGGATTCATAAACTCACATTTAACATCTAAAATTTCAATAATTTTTTTTTTTATATATTTTATTTATACATAGAGCGCCATCTAGATCCAAGTTAAGCTAGATAAAACTTATGTTATGGGTAGGTATTATATAATACAAAACATAGATCCGTTAGTTAAATATAGGATATAAATATTTATATTAAGTATAATTAATTAATAAATAGATATATTAGATATAAATGTAAGTCCTTAGCGATATTGCGTAAGCCGGTATATAAGACGACACTCGTGTTATGTATTATATCTATACATTTGGTAGACTATATATATAACAATTAATTATATATTAGATACTATTGCTAAATACTTAGAAATGTTAAAAAAACAAAAATCACGGCTTCGTTTGATCACAAGGATATAGTGGTCTCAAAATGAAATAAAAATAGGTGTCTACCTACACCACCAATACCTACTAGAAAACTCAATATAATTAATATGTGACAGGCTACCTCGCCACTATTGATATAAACTCTTAATTTAGCCCTTATATTAAGTGTCTTAAATCTTTTATATAAAAGATATATATTTTCATATGGAGAAAACCAGCACTGACACGATGATGGTAATGATGATGAGTATCTACTTATTAACTATACTCACAAATTTCACACTCCAGGCCGTGTTTTATTGGTATTTTATTCAATTTTACAAGGGGTGTGTTGCCGACAACGTCCAAAATGCTTTCGTACACTTTGCTACAACAGTGGTATCTGTAATGATTGTTGTAAATGGTACTAATTGTATTTTAAATATAAGTATTGTTATTGTATCAATTTTCAAAATTATTGGGTAGATGAGAGCGACGCCGCGCCGTTTGTATAAAATCTGGGTAGTAAAAAAATAGGCGATGCGACAGGGACTAGTTCTTTAGGTAGTACCCGGACGTACCTGTAGATCTCAAAAGACTTAAATATGAATCTTATCGACAACACAAATTTTAAATACTGTTTTTATAAAAAAGAATGACTCTTGTGAGGGAAAACATCGATAACAAACCAAATAATCCTAGAGACGGCCGATGTCCGCTGCCTGTCACTTAGCATTAAAATATTCTGTACTAATATATGTAGGTCGTCTTGTTCAGTCAGAATTAGGAGCAACTCAGTATGAAACGTAGTAATACTATTTAAAAAAGATTTTAATTGAACTCTTTTCACAGAGATCATATCTTACATATAGCTATCTAACTATCTACTTACCGATATTTTTTCACATAACTTTTTTGTAATGAAGTTTGCATTTTTTATTTAATATATTGTAAATGTTAGAAATAATAACACAAAAACTATATCAAGCTAATTTTATGGAATAAAATAATGGTGTGTGGATAAAACAACTATCTTGCTTTTATATGAAACTGTTTACATTATATATCTACTTACCTATGCCTATATAATGTACCTGACATCGCTCTGAAAAGTGCATATACTTAGGTATATCAAATAATATAAAATGTATAAATAAATATATATACTCATTTGAAGCTCTATTTATATACACTTTACCTACTATTGTAGATATAAGGTTATAATAGTCATTTAAACTTGAAAATTATATATTTTTTGCATTAATGTAGGTTTATAAACCAACAAAGTTTTGTTTTGATATACACATATTCTTCGGTACCTACTTCTTTACCTATTTTCTAATTTTATTAAGAATGATTGCCGGAACTGGAAACTAGTTTTATGACCATAAACCCATTAGAACAATAGTTTATTTTGAGGCAATATGACTTTGATAAAAACTATTTGATATTGTGTCTAGGGACTAATACCGATTTAGTATAACCTACTTACGATAAAGATCAGACATATCTAGTAAGTACCGAATTAGGGACTGTGAAGTATGTTTTATTAAACAACAAAACCCATATCTATACCCATACGTTTGTCACGCATATGATAAACAAACTGGAGAGTAAATCTCTCAAATTCATTCAGTTTTCACCACAATATTGCATAAAAATCATACAAAAACAACTATGAATTTAATTTCGGAAATTGTTAAAAAAGTGTAGGTCTAGTATCTTGGCCTGAGTTGATACTTACTTATTATATAAGGTAGGTAAGTGTAGATAGACTAAAAACAACAGTATTAATTTTTGCCCTTATTCAGCTCTTTAATGGTATCTACTTTAATTTGTAACAAGTATAGACATTAATCTTTATTTAAACTAGTATTGTAAATATTCTAAACAGTATTAGGTATATGTATGTACTTTTATATAATTTACAAAGTATCTACATGCTTATCTATTGAATTTATATACATATTTTATTTGGCTATAAATAGATATCTAATTAATTCCAGAATAGATTCGTGTACATTCTTAATTTGTATACTTATTCAAGATTTTTTACATAACAAAAATCTTAAAATATTGCGAGAAAATAAACAGAATTTCTTATCTTCGCAAATTCAAAATTTGCGAATCCGAGTTTGAGTTTTACAAGAAAAGTAGTTTTATAATCTTATACCTATAGCATAATAGTACAATAGTATAGCTAATACTTCTTATGTAGTAGATAAGCAGATGCATACACATTTAGTATTTTACTTTTTGATACGTAGGTAAAAATATTTTACTTATGTTTTGATAGGTTACTTTTCTTACAAAAAAACTTATTTCGTTCGTTTCGTTATTAACGAAGACAATTTTCATTTAAAAAAGAATGATTAAATACGAAATATAATAAAGTTGAAATAAAATCCTTTTTTTATATTCGTTGAATAATCTATAGGAAAGTACTTACTTTAAATTACTTTTCGTATTGCATGTATTTGGCTTAGCTCTTATCTATTATAGTGAGTTGATACATTACTAATAGATATACAGATAGGGTCGTCGTATATTCTGAGCATTATACTGGTAGTGTAAATATTACTAAAACGTACGTACACTACATAAAACATGAATAAAAATATTTTTGGGATAAATGTCAATTGAGACAATTGACTTTATAGATATTATCTTCAAAATTCTCTTTAAACACTTAGTACAAACCTATTACAGTTTATTTACAGTAAAATGTTGACTGTCATTCGCACTATGTTACATAAGTGTGCGGGCTGTATACGGGACGGTGCATGAAAATAATCGGTTTGGCCCTTAGCTACTATTAGCAGTTTTTAAATAAGTATAATGCTAATAAAAATGGGATCAGTAAAAGTCAGTCCATAGTCTGACATTCACATAAACTATATAATTTTGTACCATAGTTCTGGTATCTTTGCGAATTAAACATTATTATCTAGGTACTAATGGGTACACACTTGGAACTTTATAATGCGGCTATGAACTGAGATCCAGTTTATACTTTTCACACAATTAGATATAGCACAAACGTGTTCACTTATTTTCCACTAAATACACTATACTTGTTCATCACCGACATTCATAAGTCATTAACCAATTCCAGTGATCTGTTATTTTCACGGCTTTGCGTAATTTTCATAGAGCCAGTTCCAAAAACGTACTCTTGTAGATTCTGGGTCTTTCTCTAAAGTGAAATTTCTATTAATATTGAGGTAATTAACGTGGGATGTATCATTCACAGGAAGCCATTTGAAGTCCACCACAGATTCGTAGTCTACCGGCGGTGTAGGGTTCCTAAAACAAAATTAATTTAAGGGAAACAAGTCTCTCAAATACTGCAAGTGTACTCATAGTCTTTTAGAAGACTAATATATTACCAAAGAGTGATAATATGTTACTTAACAATTTATTTTGATTGGCATATCAAGATATTGTATCTACTATGCAAAGTACGATAAAAACGTGGTTTAATCTGTTTTAAATAGAATGCACATAAGTATAACAGATATTAATTTATATTGTTTAATACTAACAGTTAATATTAGAAATAAATGTAAATTGTGGAATATGCTATACTACAGTACACAAATATCATACGGGTGAATACTCGATGTATCTCTATATCGTTATCAGCGTATTAAAAAACTTATTTGTTTACGTACCGTGTATCAAAAAATTGTCACTTACCCGGTCTTAGCAAAATTAGTCCACAGCTGAACCATTCGCTTGGAAACAGCCAACTCTGGAGAATCTTCATCGAGTCGGTAGTTCAACCTTGAGAAGTAAAACAGATATCCCATTTCGTCTCCATGACAGGCACCAGGGTGAGTTATGCCTAACATTCGTTTGAAGAGTCCAAGCGCTCCGTCGAAATCAAATCGATATACATACGTGGGACTAGTTCTATTTGTTTCAGCCTGTAGTCGTATAGTTTCTAATATAGGACGAAGGAACATTATGTCTGTGAAAAGCTGTAAAATTAAATTATTCATTTGAATGTATTATGAAACAATATAAAATAATGGTACAAATATATATTAATCTTGATTACAGTTTAGTTAATTAACTAAAAGTTTTTAGTTTTTATCTTTAATTATATTATTTAGAATTATTGTATAATTCCACTTTTTTTTTTAAATTTTATAGAGACCTTACGACATAGGGTGTATATCTAGGTGATATTAGAATATTTTTAATTTAAGATGTATTTTTGAAGTTTATATACATAAAAAATTTGTTGGCACTACTAACATCAATAAGGCTGTTTATATTACGCATATCAACAGGCCGCTGCTGGAAGTAAGTAGCCCTGATAACGTCAGCTATCTTCTTGACAGTCTTCTCATCATGGGAACTGAGCTCTGGTGGAACCACGCGCTCAAATTCGCGGTCCAACTCACTTAACAGCTTCGGATCTCGTTGCAGCCCTGAAAATTTCATTGATTTGAAAATATTTTAACTTTTTTTTAACTTTTGTCAAAAGTTAGGATTATCTGTGAGATAATAGTGTTACTTTTATTACGTAAAAATTTACGCTTTAGATAAAGCGCTTTGTTATGATATTTTTACCTAGGGTACAAAATCAAGTTGTTAAGTTTAGCAGTCAAATCAATAAAGTCAACAATAATAAAAAATCAAAAAGACAAATAAATGTTTACAATATTAATAAATACAAAAGCGCGATTAAAAATAAATTGGATTTGCTGTTACAATCTAGTAATAATCCTGATTATCTTTACACCAAGCTAATCAATATTTTATCAGTAGAATATTAACAATTTTTCAAGAAAAAAGAAGTTCATGTTAAATCTAAATTCACGGAATGGGCAACAGTAGGAATACTTAAAAGTAAAAATATTTTGTTTGATTTATACGATCAAAAAAATATCGATTTGATGACAAATTCACCACTTATATGAAAAATTATTCTAAAATTTTTAAAAAAGCTAAATCTAATTATATTAATAAACAAATTAAGCAGTCTTCTGACAAAATTAAAACCATCTGGAGCATTATAAATAAAGAAACTGGAAGATCTAAAATAGCCTGTAATCAATTTACATGAAATTATGATAATAAATTAATAACAACAACAAAAGATATAATATTTTTGAAGATTTTTTTGCTAATATTCCGATTGACATTACAATTTCTCTGGACTCATCTCCATCTCGAGCAAAAACATTACTAGAGACTAATATCGGTTGTTGTTCTTTAAGATTTAAATTTTCACATATTAGCCCCTTTCATATCATAAAAATATTCCAACAGCTAAATTTAAAAAATACGGAAGACCTTTGGGGCATGTTGTAAAAGTAGTTAGTTCTTTCATTGTTGCTCCATATCTAGCCACTATTTTTAATAAATGTATTGATAATGGCGTTTTTCCACAATTAATGAAATTTAGCATATTAATCCCACTATTTAAATCAGGGGATAAATTTGAGGCAGGGAACTATAGACCTATATCTATTTTGCCAGTTCTTAAGTAAGGTGTTTGAAAAGATAATGTTAAATCAAATGTTACAACACTTCAGGGTTAACGGACTGCTTCACAGTCAGCTATATAGTTTCACCGCCGGCAAGTTCCCACTGACGCAGGTGTAGCGCTAATAACACATATTTTCGAATCATGGGAGAAGTCACAGGATGCACTCGGAGTTTTTTGTGACCTATCAAAGGCATTTGATTGCGTGGATCATAAAACGCTTTTGTACAAGCTCGAACATTATGAGATAATGATCTAAAATTAATGAGAACTTATTTAGAGGACAGGGTTCAAACTGTAAATATTTACGGTGTAAAATCTAAGGGAGCTAATATTAAGATGGGCGTTCGACAAGGGTCAATCTTAGGCCCCTTTCTCTTTTTTCTCCCTTTATGGTAGAGAAAATTGCAGATATAGTGCTGTTTGCGGATGATACTTCGTTAGTGCTTAAAATTGGACGTCAAAGTAATCAATTAGACGATGTAAATTGTGCTATGTCTGCAATATTAAATTGGTTTACATGTAATAACCTAGTATTAAATTCCAGCAAAACAAACTGTATAAAAATTACACTTCCTAATGTAAGACTAATAAATACACAGTTATTGCTTAATGACGAAATAGTAAATTTTGTTAATGATACAGTTTTTTTAGGTATAACAGTGGACTCGAAATAACAATGGGGGACCCATATTCCAAAATTAGCCAGTAGACTCAGTTCTGCTGCATATGCAATTAGAAGAATTAGGCAATTAACAGACGTGGCGACGGCTAAACTTGTATATTTTAGTTATTTCCATAGCATAATGTCATATGGCATACTGCTGTGGGGTAAAACAGCCGATATAAATCATATATTTATTTTACAAAAGAGAGCCATACGTTCTATTTATGGTATGGGTTCAAGATAGTCATTACGTCAGTGCTTTAAAGAATCAAATATCCTCACCGTTACTTCACAATACATTTATGAGAATATCATGTATACACGGAAGAACTTAGAGAGTTTAAAAAAACTCTCTAAGTTTATACAAGTAGAAACTTACGCAATAAAAATAAGCTAATTTTACCTAAATGCCGTCTGCACAAAATCAGTAATTCATTCTACGGTAATTGCGTAAGATTTTATAATAAACTGCCAGAATCTGCACTAAATCTGACAGAGAGGCAATTCAAATTTTATATTAAACAATTTTTGTGTAAGAAAGTCTATTACAGGATAGACGAATACATAGATGACAACATATCAAGTAAATAATTAGTTTATTAGCATACAACGTTATAGTTTATTTTCTCATTGCTTTCTTGATTTAATTATTTTAGAAATATGAAAGCGTAGCGGTTATTTGTATTGATTGTCGCATGCATTCTTATGTAAAATGTGAATACTATAACTATCAGATGGCAATTGTAAGTAGGTTTGACGTGGTCTGGTGTTTTGAGTAGTCATGCTCACTAAAATGTCCAGACTTGTGGCGACGTGGTGGGCCGGGTCATTGAGCTCACTAAAATATGGTCGAGCGCAGTGATGGGTGGTTCTTCCGTCATACTCGTGAACGGGTGCTGCTTGTAGGGACTGGTCTGCTCTAATCACTATGACTGATTTCCTCTTATTAATTGTTTAACCAGTTGGTTATATATGCAATATTTTTTCTATTTGAGTATTTAATTGAATTAGTGCTAATTGGTGGTTCGTATTCACACACTTAAACTTAAAAATGTAAAGAAATAATAAAATTATTTAAAAGAGCAACACGCAAGTTCTTTGTCGTTCTTCTTGTGATGAGACAGCTTTCCGAATGAGCGGTAGATTAAAAAAAGTAATGACTATTCAAAAGTGCTTCAATGTAAGTTTATTTGAATAAATTATTTTCTATTCTATTCTATTCTAATGTCATTTTGTGATCCTCCATCATCACTCCAATAGAAAAATAAATAAATAATTATTTGAAAATAATCTTAATTTGTATTTTGTGGTATCAAATTGTGCCGTCTACCTCATTAGGTATACCTCTCTTCATCTCACTGCACATTACTATTTAGGTACTTTCAACTAATAAAATTCATTGACAGTTAGTATTGCGATTATGTTTGCTATGCTCAAGACGACCTTGTAAATATAGTAACATATTTAATAATGTCATGGTTTAATGAACTGTTTGCCCTCGCCTAAGGTTAAATAAAATATTAAACTAATAGTTACATAAGTTATGGAATCTAACATTGAGACAGAAAAGGTAAAGTGCCAAATACTAGAAAGTAGCACAAACATGACATAATCTCATATGTTACTATTATGTAAATGGGGCATCAACTTCACAGTATGGCTCACTAGTCCGGTTGTGATCACACACCCGTCGTCTGTCTGTAGCGAATATCATATAGTCAGTTATATTGGTTAACGATGCTGATGTAACTTGTATATTAAAATTGTTGGTAAACAATTCGTATATTAGAAATAACTAATAATACCTTTTATATTATTCAATTCAATATGTTGTATAATAATGCATTATGATGTTACCAATTGTTATGAACTTTAGCTGTGTCATCATAATATCATATAAGTACATACGTTTTAGCGTTAGTCATGAGAAATTTTGCCTATACTTGTTACGCTTAGCAGATGAAGTAGCGTTCGTAGTATGACATCAATAGAACGTTCCGGTAATGATATTCCTTTAATGTTCTGTAACAAATATTTGTGCAATAATTTATATCACAAAAATATTTATTAAAAATGTTCTACATTCTGTATCCCATCGACTCGAGTTATAGATGGATAGACAAATATTGAAATTATACAAAGAATCTTTTGATATAATTAATTTTAATATTTGTAAAACATACCCAACATTTTACAACTATTCTTGTCTCTTTAACAAAAGAAAATTTCTTTCTTTTTCATTCACAATTTTAAAATATGTTATTGTATTTAAAATAATTATAGGATTGGCCATTTGAAGGCATTTTTACGCAATGCTATTCTTTTGTTTGTAAGCAGGCTTTAATGTTCGTGTATTCAATTAAACAAGACAATTTTAAGTAATGGGCGGATTGATTAAGAATTTCGTAAAAAATCTTATCAAAGGTTGACTTTTGACAAACATTTGAACTTTAGAGATCGAAAATCGGCGATTGAGTAATTGTACACTTGTGATTCACACAACACAACCATAAATTACTTAATATTTTAACATGTACTGTGGACGTGAAACGGTCAGATTACGCATTTTATTACCGAGTCCAACCTAATGGCTGTGTCATGGACGGAGACATCCGTAAATGCCCTATTATTACAAACGTATAGTGCAATTTCAGTTCCACAACAGTTATCTAAGCTGTTACGTCGCGTCGCGTCGGAAAGGAATGTTGACGTCGCGTGATTTCTTGGTTCATGCATGACCACTACGAAACTGACTTTGTATACAGATTTGTATCATGAGAATAATAGAGAAAATATGTATTATTCTCATACTTAAGTATCATCATGTCAAGCGCTAATTGCTGAATTTTACATTTCGATACTTCTGTATAGACATACCATGGCAGCGATTCGGTTTACTACTAATGAATCATTTATTTAATAATGCAATAGCATATACTGGTGCTCACTACATTCTCCCTGATTTAATTTAAACATAAATCTGTTTTTTTGTAATCATGTACAAGCTCAGTTGAAAAGAATAAGTGCTCAGTTTCTTGTCAGTTCTTTTTAGCTGGAAAACACTCCGAATTGACAATAGATTTGATATATCATAAAAAGTCTGTAATAGACCAACATGAATAGAGATATTTTGATTTGATTTTATTTGAAAGTGACTATAAAAGTCTGAGTACTTTACTTATTAATCTTCAAGTCTTCAATATACCTACTAATAAGTAAGTGGTACACTGGATTGGAAGTCGCTCTTATGTGTGGGTAGGTGCTACAGCCATGAACGTCATGTTTTGCATTGTGACGTCAATAGCACTCCTCTATTGACATTTGTAGTGACATTGGTTTTACTTAGAATTGAAATACGACTATACCTTGTACCTTGTGTACAAAAAGAAGTTACTTTTTATAATATTGTAATAATGAGAACGATGATGATGTGTGTAGGTCCAGCAGCCTTTACCAGACTTGTCTTAAATAATCAGTAATGATCGGGTAATTAATCTATCAACTTAAGTTGTACTTCTAGTAATTATAATAGAAGTACCAATAACGACAATGAAATGGCTATATAAGTTAACAACGTCTGCATGGGTACCTCGATTTCCAGCATCTTGCTTTGATCTGTGTTCCGGTTTAAATGATGAGATATCGTAGTGAAATTACAGGTTAAGAAAATATCGTCATGTCTCCTTACCCGATTATTTAAGTATCCATTTGTATGCAATTTGACCTCATAAAAAACAATGCGCGGACATGTGACGTAATGATGAGACTATTTGATTCAGACTGTATATAGGTGACTGTAGCTACTTTCCATCACGTAGCTCGTTAACTTGGCTGTTTCAGTTTCATAAAAGAAACTAGATATATGTAGAGTACCTATTACAATATTTAGCGATAGTAATGAACTTAGTTACGTATATTTACATATGCACAATGCCATATTCTGATATTGTTATGAATTAGCGACGAGGGTACAAGGCCTTGCTCCTTATGAATAGTTTATTCCACATAAAACGTCAAGTTTATGTTATCAAATAAGGCCCATATTAGCAGACGTTATGCAAATTGAGATAAAGTACCTAGTATTTGAACTGTATGTTCAACTAAGTATTTATGCCAAGGACTCAGGACTGTCACCGTCACAGAGTTCGCGTCCGCAGTAGCGCCGAGTTCCGCCCGTTTGTGAAATCTTTCTAGGGATTTCCGTCCATTTTTGCTGCAGGTGGCCGGGTCACTGGAAAATCACTAAGCCGCACCCAAATAGCAATGTACACGACGTTCTACTAATGTTAAAAATAAGTGCACTTTTAGTAGATTATAAATACCTATATTTACCTGTTCGTTTTACAACACCATTGTCACTATCTCACTTGAACTCAATTCAATGACTTAAACGTATATTAGATTTATTCCAATTGGATTAAAAAAAATAACCCTGCGTAAGTTCAATTAATTAAATCGAAATTATTTCCATATATATTTATCAAGTTATATGATTATATTTGACTTATGAAATGAAAACTCACGTCTAAACAATATGATTCCTTCTTGTGCATTGTAGCCTGTGAGCAGCGGAACATCAACTCCTGGGAGGCTTTGTTTCGGATATGTTGTAAGAAATGCATCAGGCACGTCAGGTTCCACCACGGGAAGGAAAGGTAACGCCACCGTACTCTGCAAGTCCGCATTTTTCCCTATGGCACCGGTAAGTCGAGCTCCAGCTTTTATTATAAGTTCACTTGGCGTCGCTCGGAGGTAACCTATAATAAGTAATTATAGAATATATAGAAATGAAGATAAAGATCTATGCATACAATTATTAAATAGTAACATCATTATCAAGTACATCTTTGAATATACAAAGAGCTAATCATTTATAAAAATTAAATACTGCTATAACTACTTTGTTAAAGACCGACTCTGACAACGGATTTGTTACATATTCTATGTTTCCTGGAGGGTTGAAAATTATTTTCTATTTTCAGTGAACTTTTGGGATAAGTTGTTTAGTTTCATTTATGTTTGCGATTTTCTCCTTATTAAATATATACCTACTTTAAGAAGTGTATGGATAAAAAAAATATATTCTCACCAAGCAATTCAGCTGTGTTGTTTGTGTCTATGCCCAACTCTCGTCCAAGTTCGAATGCGCGAGCTTGAGGGTCCTTCGCCAATGCCCAAGGAGACAATGCCAAACCACTTTGTGCAATGGCGCCATGGAAGAGACCCTGATGCACATAAATATTGGTCTTTTATTAGTATACTGTCGATACACGTTACCACCTAATGTTATAAATATAAAAAGAAAAGAAGAAGAAGGTTTTTGCAAACAAAAAACCTGGAATGAAAATGTGACATGGAAATCGAATGTCGTACGAATTCGTCTGTCCGAGCCGTCCGACTACTTTTCGCAGCATAATACTTAAGAAACTACTAACGCAACTTTTGAAGTATTTTAAACATGGGCATTGGACATTGGAATTATTCCAAATTTTGGTAGTCGAAATTGTAAAATAATTGAATTAAATGGATATATCATATGAAAACAGATTTGTACATTATTTGGCGTATTAATTATTCATTTTTTTATATGCTTGGTATGCTGTTGTATTTTATAGAACAAATGGCACTACGTAACTAAAAAAAGTCACAGTCGCAATTATCTTTAAAATCAAACCTCATAAAATCTTTGTCTGGTATTTATTTCTAGCAAATACTAGTATTATATGGTTGTGTGTAAATGAGTTATGTCACGTTTAGTAAATAATTATCATATAAAGAGAATAAAACTTGTTTAAATTGTTTGTTCTGATTCCTTGGTATGCGAGTTTGACTTGCACTTAAGTTGTTTACTCTTACTTGGAATAGCATTGTATACCTAATATGATGTGTTATTTATTTATATAGGCAATTATAATATGATAATATATTTGTGCAAAAACCTTAATATTAATACTTGAATTTAGTTAAAAAGTACATTTGTCGTACTGAACTCTTTACAGCGCGGCGGCGATATCTAACATCAAAACTGCTGCAGAAAAATTAGTGGCGTTGCAATGAAAGTAATATAAAAGAGTCACAACAATCCATAAATATTGAGATTTTGATGTTTCAGAGTACGTATCACTAATTTCTTTAATGAAAGTTACATGAATAATGATATCAAAATATATAGGTACACGTCAACGTACCTATCTTATAAAAAGCCAGTCAAGTCAGTTTTTAGACATTACATAAAAGTAAGTATATTATGTTATTTACCTGTGACGAATTAGAAAGCATATGTAGATGTACTGATGCCGCTCCGGCGGACTCTCCGAAAATGGTAACTCGATTCGGGTCACCACCGAAATTTTCAATGTTATCTCGCACCCATTTCATAGCCATCACTTGATCCTGGACGACAAAAACAAAAAAATAGAATAAATGTATGTGTATATAGCTAGTTTTATTAGATAAAATCACTATGCCAAAATATTTTAGAGAAATATTATAAATTCAAAAAATAACTATATAGATAAGGAGTATCACAATGATCATCATTATATTACCTTAAGACCCATATTGCCAGGTACCTCCTCGGTTTCAAGACTTAAGAACCCGAGTGCTCCCAGCCTGTAGTTGAGTGTAACGAGCACCACACCAGCCCCCACAAGGTGATCGGGCCCGTACAGGAATGCATTGCCAGAGCCCACAGCAAAAGCACCTCCATGTATCCATACCATAACAGCCAACTTTGGATTGTATCTGAAAATATATAATAATAATAACTCAAGAGAATCCACACAGCGGCATGTAGTCCCAAACTAAGCTTATGTTATAGGTATTAGACAACTGATGGATATACTTCAATTTTTTTGAAATATATACATACGATACACCAAGACCAATACGTTTGTATCATACCCACAAAACAATTATCAACTGTTGAAATATCAATTATTTACTTTTTATACCCTTTATCATTTTTGTCAGTTAATTAGTGTTAGCTTTGCTTAGATATATAATAGTACCTGTATGTAGGTAAATAACGTAATCAGGACTATTCAAACTCGGCTACTAATTTCATAATATTTTGAATATTTTTTCTACAATATATTATTAGAGCAGCATGATGTTACGTGGCAATAACATTAAATGTTATCTAAGTATAGTCATGTTGATGAATCAGACTGAGTTTTGTTCTTAGGAAAATCCCAAACTCCGTATTTCCGTCACTATTTATTATAGTTAGCTAGGTAATGTGTCAGAAATATATACATCCGACGCCACAGCATGAATAAATATTATAAATCAATAAACGGAGTGTTAAAATAAACAATTATCTCACCCTGTTAGCTTATCAGGTAAGGCTGGTGTGTATACATTAAGGAATAGACAATCTTCGTCGCCTTTGTAGGTGTCGAAGAGCATGAACCTGTGGGGGCACACAGCGCCTTCCTCTAATGCGTCTCGGACACCTGACCACGGCTCCAGAGGAACAGGTGGCCGGAATCGAAGGGAACCGCGTGGTGGTTGCGCGTACCTGATGAAAATATACTGATATAACAAAGTGTTATTACCATAATTGTAATAGGTATGTAGACGAATTTGATCAGTATTCCAGCGTAAGTATCTCCAGCATAAACCGTTATTGGAAGGGGGTGCACAATTCCGTTATCATCCATTAAAGAAAAATATACCAGTAACAGCGAAGTTAAATCCAGAACTACTTATATATTATTAAAATTAAATTCAAATTCAAATTCAAAAATCATTTATTCATGTAGGACATTTTAGCCGTTTATGAGCGACAAGTTTTTACATTATAATTTTTTCCCTACCGTTCAGTTCGGTATATAGATCCAATTGAGAAGAACTGGCAAGAAACTCAATTAAATAACTTTTTTTTTAAAGTCCAGTTTATTTACAATGCATAGGTGTCTATGTCTAACATTAAATGAAAATCCCGAACACGAAAACTATTGCCATGCACGCTCGTCATTCAAGTAATCGTTTAGTGAGTAATAGGCCTTGCTCAGTAAATATGATTTTGAATTTATGTAAGGGTAATTCCAATAGGAATATAATATCTATATATTTATCCTTTGGTATCTTATTGTAAAATTTTATACCTATTCCCATAAAAGACCTATTGACTTTTTCTAAACGATACTTGGGGACAGCAAGTTTGTCTTTAAATCTAGTATTAATATTATGAACATATAGGATATTTGAATATATAAATTGAGAAGCAACGGTGAGAATATTTGCCTCTTTGAATTTCTCTCTTAATGAGTCACGACTCTTCATACAGTAGATCGCTCGAATGGCACGTTTTTGTAATATGAATATATTTTTAATATCTGCCGCTTTTCCCCATAATAAAATTCCTTAAGAGAGTAAACTATGAAAATAACTGAAATAGACCAATCTAGCAGTATCAGTATCAGTGTACTGTCTAACCTTACGCACGACAAAAGCTGCTGAACTCAGTTTCGCTGCAAGACTGAATTTGTGCATCCCATTGTATTTTATTATCTAATGTGATTCCTAGAAAGACAGTAGATTCTATAAATTCGAGAGATTCGTCATTTAATTTTATGTTGCAATTAGTATTAAAACTTTTAGACAGAGAAAAATTAACACATTTTGTTTTTTTTAGCGTTTAACATAGGATTGTTAGTTGTAAACCAGTGCAAAAGACGCCGCAAAGCACTATTTACACCGTCATAATTATTAGTCATTCTCAGTCAGTCAGTCATTAACTTTAGAAATCAATGAAGTATCATCTGCAAATAACACTATCCCGCATCTATCCTGCATGGCATATGGGAGATCATTTATGTATACTATGAATAAAAATGGACCGAGAATAGATCCTTGAGGTACACCCATTTGCACAAGTGACCCGTCAGACGTAGCGCTGCTAACCTTTACTTTCTGTATTATATCAGATAGATAAGATTTTATTAAATTTAAAGCGTTGTCTTTGACGCCATAAAAAGCAAGTTTTGATCAACGCAATCAAAAGCCTTAGAAAGGTCACAAAAAACACCTATCGCATCTATTTTATTTTCACATGCAGCAAATACGTGTCTGAGCAACTCTGCATCTGCGTCTGTAGTTGAACGACCTTTGGAAAAACCGAATTGACTATGGTGAATTAAATGATTTAAATTGAAATAACTAACAAGTTGCTTAAGAATTATTTTTTCAAAGATTTTACTGAGCGCTGGGAGTAGGGATATAGGTCTATAATTTATTGGGTCAGTCCTGACTCCAGATTTAAAAAGTGGTATGATTTTACTAATTTTCATTATATTAGGAAATTTACTATCATCTGTACATTTATTAAAAATAAAAGCAAGAGACGGCGCAATAATTTCCATTATACTATCCAGTATTTCAACAGATATACCCCATAGATCCTCTGTTTTTTTATAGCTGTTTAAATATTTTCATTATTTCTACTGATGTTGTATGTCTAAAGTTAAATACAGCTGATGACTTGCTAACATTGTCTGTTAGTAAAGTTTCAGCAGCAGACGGGGAAGATTTTAGAGCCTATGTCGTAATTAATGGAATATTAGTAAAATAAGATTCCAAATTTACCAATTTGTTATTAATATATAAAGCTATTTTGCTATTTTGAACATTAACTTTTCCAGTTTCGCTATTTATTACTTTCCAGGTGGCTTTTATTTTATCTTTAGTTTGAGTTATTATTTTACCCAAATAGAGAGACTTAGCTGTCTGACAAACCCTTTTAAATATTTTCGAATAAGATTTTACATATTCATGAAATAGGGGATCGGATATATAGCTTTGTTTTTCGTAAAGTTCGTAAAGATTAGCCCTAGATTTATAAATACCACACGTGGCCCAGTCACAAAACTTTGATTTTACATTAGTTGAAAATGTTTTTGTTTTAAATACATTGCTAGCTTCTTGCTCAATTAAATTAAAAATATGTTCACATACAATGTCCGGGTCATATTGAGGTATTACGAGACTACATATTTTATGTTCAATTGTATTTTTAAAACGTGCCAAATTCTTTTGTGTTATTTGTCTTCGTGTAATTGTTTGAGTCCCTTTGGACCTCTTATTTTCAATTATAACTTTTTGTCCATAATGATCAGAGCCAAGACAGTCGAAATTCATTTTCACCTTTACTTCACAATTACAGAAAACATTATCTATACAAGTGGCAGAATTTCCTGCAACCCTAGTGGGTTCTAAAAAAAGATTGTGCAAATCAAATGATTTAAATAAGTTAATCAATCTTAGCCTTATTGAGCATCCCGATAATAAATCAACAATAAAATCGCCATATACAAATAATGTTTTCTTCCTCCGCGCGACTCGTCTCAATGCTTCCTCCATAGCCAGTTCAAAAGAATCAAAATAAGCCAATGGCGGACGATAAACACAAATTATTATACAAGTAACTAATTCTATGCATGATAGTTCAATTGTTTGCTCAATGGAAATATTTACAATGTCTTGAAGGTTTTTAAATTCTACATCATTTTTTAAAAACATAATTGAACCGCCATGAGTAGCATTGTTCCTAGCAAAAAAACTAGCTATACTGTAATGTTCAAAAGGACAAATTATTTCATATTGTTTAAGCCAATGTTCTGTCAGACATAACACCCGTACATTGTTAGATTCTAAGAAAAGACTTAATTCTAATTCTTTGCTGGAGAAACCACGAATATTTTGATGAATAATGGCCATATCCTGTGGCTTAACCAATGTCGTAGGTGTTAGTTTAAATTAACACATATCACATTATTAGTATAATTACTAATATTAGAATTTAAATCCATTATACTACTTATAATGAGATCATAAATGTTATACGCTAGTAAACTAGCAATAGTCTTTTTTTGTTTTTGAGGAAGATAAAAATAACTTCCAGTCATAACATAAAATCAACTATAGAGCAAATAAATACTACTATGCGCGTGCAGTTTTTTTTATAAAGAAAGTGTTGTTGTTGCTTCCTCAGGTGGAAACAGTGATATTGAATTATTTACCTGACTCCTTTAAAACTGTAGTAAGAAGTTTGCGCCGTAGTTCTAGCGACAAGTTTTCTTCCTCTTAATGTTCCAAGCTGCGTGGACACTATAGGCCCGCCACCAACTCGCATGCGGTCCACTAGCGCGTGCACGAGGCGGGCTGCGCGAGCTGGTACAGCCTGCAACCGTCTTAGTGCATGCTTCAATCCTACAGATTCGCTTACGGTGCTCGAAAGCCTGCGCCATGCTCCTGTGACCTACCGAAGAATAGAATTAAAAATTATTAATTAGTCCAAACGATCAGCAAACAAATAGCTCTGTACACGCGTTACTGCAATCTATATTAAGTAGGAACTATAATAGTAGTAATTACATATAATAAATAAACATAATATAAGGTTTTGTTATGAATATTTACTTCAAGTAGTTACTTAAGTTAAAATACAACGCAATAAACCTTTTTTGTGTATGTCAATTTAGATCGTTCTATTTTGAATGAATTTTTAATATTCGATTACTAACGTTTTTTTTTATTTAGGATACTAATTGGCTCATTTTATGATATTATTATTGCTTGAATGCAAAGTTTTCGCAGGATATTAAAAAATCCACTTTACCGGAATTTTTAAAGAAAATAAAATAATCTTTTTCGCTAGAATGATAGGTCGACATTTATTTAGTAACAAAACAAATCTCAATATTCTTTTAATGTTATTTTTTCAATAACAGTTTATTGTCTCCATTATATTAGCACTAAAGTCAAGATTCAAAATTTTACCAGAAATGGCAGATAGTGGTCTAAATATGCTGGAGGATTTGAGATGTTTGAGGCTAAGTGGAATTAAATAAAAGTTAACTAAAATACTGTCTTCATGAAAATTATGTATACAAATTATCAGTAAAATAAGTAGGTAATCGGTGCTACACCACAATAATTGTATACTTGCATGCAGTTAATAATAATAATTAAAATACAATTTGCGAGAAGTAGTGACACTCAATAAATTGTGGGGACCACACGCGATACCAGATGATATAATATTATGTCTTTGTCCCAGTTTAAATAAGTACTGTACCTATTGTTAATTATACTAGCTACATTATTTAATATAACAAATTCGGAATTAAAACTCTATACATCAATACTATTATTAGGTGATAGGGATTGTTAGTATTGTTTAGGAATAATAATACCATGTCAGGTTGACCTCCAAGCGGTTCCCCTGGAAACCATCGTTTAAGTTCCTGGTGAATTTGCCACGATGGACTAACTGGCCTCATGCACATTTTATCATCCTCCATTAGTATTTCCAGCGTAAACCGTTATCGCAAGAGGGTGCACAATTCCGTCATCATCCATTAAAAAATATACCAGTATCAGAGAAGTTAAATACGGAATATTTGATAAAATATTGTTTAAAAAAATGCATTAAAATTGCAATATAAATTCAACTATAGAGCAATTAAATCCTAATACGTGCGTGCAGGGTTTTTTAAGAAAGGACAAGTTTGCCGTTGCTTTCTCAGGTGGAAACAATGATGTTGAAAAAATGACAAAACTAAGTTGGCCTGATACCGTACAGAGAGATCGTGTAATATCGGTAGTCTACCAAAAGCAGCAAGTCAAAGGCATTGCCAACATCATCGTGGACACAACATTGACATGGGACGAGCATACCCACGTCTCTTGATTAATTTACATTTGTTCTCAATTTTTCCTTCACCGGATATTATTTATATTCACAGATATTTTAAATACGTAAGGATAAAAAAAATATGTAAGAATTTATCTCGGTGTCTCTATAATTCGGAATCAACACAACAGCGGGCTGAGGTCACCTCTACGCTATCCAACGCATTAAGTACGGCAACGCTCCAGATATTTTGTAAACTATGTGAGACTCGAGTGTACACAGGTAAATAAGTGACGTTACATCATTTTGAGCGTACCGTCGCGTGGTACATTCATTTGAATTTCACGTGTATTTTTCAATATAATTTAAGCGATTAATTATCATTATTTACAACAGTGAGATGAGTAATGTTGACCTCATTGAACATTTAATCAGCCTTCTTTCAGCGATAAAGGTCATTCAGAATGTTGGGCAATATTCTCAAAGAGTTTACAACATAAACCGCTATTGATTGCAACGACGACAAAGGATGTTCACTTATATTTCTCAAGTTTCAAAGTCAATAGCTGCCATATGCACTCATAAATAAGTGTAAAAGTTTTGTAACCTGCTTCTTTGTATATAAATACATTAGCATGTTTTTTAAGATTTCATTTACATCCATTACCATGCTTTTATCTCATAGACACAATCACAAAAAATATACCTACTGTCTCTTCATAAACTGATTCTGTAAAAAAAATATTATTTGTAATAATAGTGATTGATGATTATATCGATATATCTCATATACCTATACCACTCTCAGTGTTTGTGGCAGTTATCATGTTTGATATTAATAGCTAACGAAAACAAAATTGTGACTCTTCATAGACTGCATACTACGTGAGTGTCTATGTTTAGGTATATCCAACTAAATCTACCTAATAATTTTCAAGTTGTAAATTATTAATTTCATATTTATTGCATGCTTTATAGATACGAGTTGAGTTGACCTTCTATAAAAGGGAAACTTTAAAATATTGAAATTATTAATAAGGATTTTGTAATGGCTTTCTGTATACGCCTGAGTCTTGAGTGTTTATCGGCTTTTGTATAATAATAATTCATTAACCATCAATAATATTTAAGACGTAATAAAGAGCTGGCACGATACGTAGGTACCTATCTAATTGATAATCTTCAATGCATTTGTGAACAAATCAGTGTATTCTGACATATACAACGTTTGACAAAAACTCATAACCAAATATTCGTTACATAGTAGGTACATATTTCGTAGAAACGTTTAATACTGTGTTTTAAATGTTACATGTCTACAAATAAAATTACAGAAAACGCTATGAATTTTTTTAGGCCTATATATCTAGCTTCTTCACAATATCTCGATTGATCGACATTGAAGTTTGTCTTTTTTATGTTTTCATAAACTGCAATTGTAGGTAAATCAGCAAGGGTAGATAAAGTCCAAGAGATTTAGTTTCATATTTCGAGGTCATTGAATGAACTAATCGCTATTATTTGCAATTGAATATTCGGTTTACTCTTGATTGCATTTCAAAATAATGGTACAGCACTAACGTAGATAGAAATCGATACTCAAATTAGACTTTTACCATTACCTAAATACTTGTGCTAAAATTATGTCTAATGGGGTTTCTAAAATGCTAAATTTTATGACTATTTTATTAAGATAAGTTCATTAAAGTTTCTAAAATAAAATATGTATCATAAATTTTATATATATTATATTTGTTTATAATAAACCTTCAATATAATTACTTTTTTAGCATTTTAATCTAAATCAAGGAGTTGCACAATCGGTAAACATAACATTTTTGCACGTTATGCAAACATGCTAATGCTATACCCAATCATAATATTAATTCATTAAACCTGCGGTGACCCAAATAAAATACGTTAAAAAAACATTATTCATTCATCTACTACACACCACATTAATATTATATGTTAACAGTTTTAGGTCATAGGTAATATATGTAATCTTTTGTGTTACAAAGATTTTAACTACGTGACCGACATGGCATGTAATTAACTGACAAGTATAATTTATTATCTATGGGTGTACTGAAGATCCTTTAATTTATTTGAGAATATTTGCTCAGCAGAGATAAATGTGTATGTAGAGTAATATATGAAATGTAACTACTTCCGACCCACAAGTCACAATTTATGTAATGAGTCATATAGGTATACAAAACTATCTGAAAGTAGCTAACGGTACAATTGTTTTATTAGGTTTAGATATTGAATTATATATTTAATCCTATTCTTTAGAACTCAATTTGATAATCAGTGTCAAGTCAAGAGAATGAGCTGTACCAAGACTGTATAGACTGTATAGACAATTTTATGTACCTATTTACTACATAAAATTGCAGGGCATACGTATATCTAATTTAATTTTCAAGGAGACAACAGATTTCAAATATATGTGTGTTTTTATGAATACAACCACAAGAGTATATTTGAAAGACTTTTATTTTATATGACTGACACCAGGGAATAAACAACTGACTTCGTAGTAAAATTAAATTACTAAAATTATATATTGAAAACATAATAAACTACATGTTACAACTACGAACTGTTACTCGTAAGTTACTACACTAACTAACTAATCTAGTATTTATTATTTTAGTAGTTATTTCTAATTTCAATTGAAATAATTATTTACATTATTTTAGGCTACTCGTTAACGTAATCTGGTATGTGCCAAGTGAACGTGCCTTCCTAAAAATTCGTCTCATACAAGACTTTTTGTTCTCTAACGTTTATTTACGTAATAAATGTGCCGTTTAATGTGCGTATGAATGCAGCGCACTGCTCGTTGCATAATTCTTGCCCGATATTGCTGTTTAGGATACCTTCCCTGGATAATAGCGCAAGGCAACGTTATGTAACATGCATAATTTTACAATAACATGTTATTTCATTTCCATACAACGTCAAGTTTGTTGTTGGGTGTGAGTTCTTCTTCTTCTTTTTTCTTCGTTCTTGCTTATGTGTTATTCTGTATACCTACTCGGGTGTTGACACTACTAAACAAATTGATTACTTAACAAATCATATAGTTCCCTCTTACTTTTCATTGGGCAAATAATTGTTCTAGTAATAAGGCCTTATTATATTTATACAGATTAATGTTTGAATGTAATATAATTTGTAATTACTGTATAATGCAAATAAAGCATATTCTATCTATCAATAGATTTACATAAATTAAAAAGGATATAAACACTCACTTTCATAGAATTCAGGCTGGTAGCAGCATTGGCGACCACATCTCCAAGGGTGGCCGGTGGTAACGCGTCACTTCGCAGAACCAATGCGCACGCGCACAATAACACACCCCGCCACCATCGCACACGCATGTTTAGATGATAAAGTTCCACACTATTTCTAACACTTCACTCGATTACACTGTTTAAATACATCGCATTCAAATTGTTGTATTGAGTAACAATGTTTATATTTATTTTATTTCTATTTTCACCACTGATCGCACTTTACGTATATGCAGGTAACAAGACAGTTGAGATTGCAGTGGCACCTGAATATTAGATTATTAATGAAGAATTTACTCCTTTGGCCCCGTCTCCCAATATATTTGGTTTTCATTATTTAGTTTTTGTTAGTAAGTATATGAAATTATTCACTATGTCATTCTGATATATAAATATACCTATTTTAGCTTTGAGGAAAATAATAGTACTATAATAATAATAATAATCTCAGGACAATTTACACAGCGCCATCTAGACCCAAGTTAAGCTAGTTAAAGCTTGTGTTATGTATATTAGATCCCATCAAAAACATAAATGTGAAATGATAGCCGAGTTTAATATTATGATATATACCTTGATTGTTGACTTCTACGACAAAAGAGATGAGATCTAAATGGGTGCCAAGTTCAATGGTCTGTCCTGAAATGTATTTATAACAATATAAAATATCATTTCTTCTTATAACTTAGGATAATATACTGTAGCCTAAGTTCTAACTTGGCCAGTTTTCATATACCAATTATTACTTTCGTTACTACTAATATTAAAATAGGAACCGACAAGTAACATGTTTAGAACTTGCGAAGGCTACAGTATATTTCGTATATGAAAACTAGCCAAGTTAGACCTTAGGCTACAGTTACAATTAGGGGTATCATTACTTTTTGTACATAAATTATACGAGGTACTTATTTATAACTAAATTAATACCAAATTATTTTTGATAAATTACTGTATTTTCGTATATTTACGGGGTATAATTGTCTTTTTTTTTGTGTTATTTTCTATATTTTCTTGTAACTTTTAAATGTTCAAGTGTAATGCCAATTCAGTATCAGGAATTTTTGGGCAAATCGGAGCGGTATAACGTCCACAGATGGTTGTACTCTACAATAGAGCTAATCTTGGATCTAAATTGTTAAGACGTACTCCATCTAAGGTTTTAACTCTGGAGAGTCCAACGTAAGCCTGCCCTTTATTAAATATAAAGGAGCCTATGTTGAGAAGAGGACTGCCAAAACTAAGGCTTTGTGATTTGTGGATAGTAATAGCATATGTTAAGCAAATACGGAATTGTTCTCTTTCAACATATACATTATTTAATATCTGAAACTTCGTATTGACACGTTATAGTTCGTAAAAACGATTATGTAACAAATTGACTGTTATCTATTGAATTCTCAAGAAAACAATTTGTTACCAATGAGTTCTCATTCTCGAGTTAACTATACATTAGGAATGTATAGTACTTATAACTATACTAAAATTGTTATTAATTTTTGGTTTAAACTATTGTCTATACCATACGTATTTACTAAAATAATGTAATAATAATATAACCACAAATATATAAGTATAATTTAAGAAAGCTATGAATTTCGTAGCATAAATCGCAACCTTATAGGTTAGATATCGAGAAACAAAACATTGAGTTTTATCGCACCGCTCCCACACGGCGCGGCGCCGCGGCGCCAATACCGAAATGCCTGTTATTTAATAATTATTTATAAAAATAATGATTTTACACTATCGATGTACGCTAAATATTAAAACAATAATTAATACAAAAATCTCAGTTAATAACATAATAAATACGAAATTCGACTATACTCCTAGTTATATGTACGAGTATATTTTAGACAGAATCTAAATTATAGCAACTAGTGTTTACCGCTCAATGCAATATTTGAAGTTTGCTAGTTATCGACACTGATGTGAAGGGGTCAACGTAAATTGGTAATGATCGACGTTTTCATACAATATTACTTTCCGCCCAGTACAAGATGAGATATTTTCGCCAGGGATCAATGTCAATTGGTGGCTATAGACGTTTTCATAGAATTTTAGTATTCGTCCAGTATAAGTTGAAATAGAATCAATTAAAGTGAAAAATTGTAGTAAAATGATAACAATAACATAATAACATAACAACATTATTATATAATATATAAGAGTAGTCTGATAATCAAAATAAACCCTATATCAATAAGGTTAAACTTGATGGGGTTGTATACGATTTGCAATTTCTGCACTCAAAAGTAACTCCAAATGTTGGCCCCTGGCCTGACATTGCCTGACATGACGGCGCGCCGGCTCGCGTCGCTGCTCGCTGTCTTAATATTATTCAACATACACTTTCACCGACCTAACTCAGGCCGGTCACTTACTGTACTATAAGTATACCTAGTTACTACAGGTACTATGTTATTTCAATAAATGAAATATTTAAAATTCGAATTCAAAAAGACATAATATTTTCTTATAAAGTATTATTTGTACATAGTACAAAACAAAGTCAACGCTTCTAAATTACGCAATGTATCATGTAATACAATTTTCATCAATAGACAGAGAGATTCAAGAAGAAAGTTTATAATGTACAATACATACATACATATAGGTACAATACATACATTCTTACAGAAAAATTGAGAAATTCGAATAATTGTCCGCGTGAAATAAATTCAACTTCCTTTTCATATGGTGATTATGTAAGATATTTTATGATTTTTTTGTCAAACATTTCTCAGATTTTGCAACATTAACACTTGCAATACCAATCTACGGAAATTATTTTTCTTCGCTGGAGTCTTTTGCCCAACAGCTGTGTTTATTTTTATGTAAAGCTGCTATTATATTAATTTATTCCGACTACGTAAACCTCCAACTGCAACCTCACAAATGACATCATCGTAATGAGTCGGCAATAAACAAGAGTATCTGGGTATACAACAATATAATTATTAAAATAGCTTAATCATTTTAATTAATTTATTACACCTGTAACATTTACCGTCGCCTAAAATAAAATTGACCAGTTCATAACCAGACAATTATACTAAAATATAGAAATATCTATCTATCTCGTGATTGAGCGTCGTTTTCTGGTATCAAAAACTTTATAAATCAATTTATATTTGTGACTGACTTTCCGGGGAAGGAAACACTGAATATAGTGACATTTATTTTAGAGATATAAGATAACTTAATAAGTTAATGTACAATAGTTTAATAACATTGATTAGTTTTTTTTTATATTGATCTAATCCATTCTTGCGCCATTTAGGTATCACTTTCTGTTTTCTCTCTTGTACCCAAAGGTTGTCTGGAAGAGATTGTTTTACTTTCTTTACGATAAGACTACGTTTTGTACCTTATTTCTTTTTACATTCTTTATAATTTACTTATGGTGTTATAAAGAAATAATTAATAATTTACAGAAAGCAGACAATATTTGGAGGCTATAACTATACTATAATCAGCCTCAAATTCAAGTTAATTAATTTAGTTTCCCAATTGCATAGTAAACTTATGTTTTTGTAATCAAGAATATTTATGAATCGTTTGTACGAAATTCGCATTGAAACAATGTTAAATGGATTAGCTAACTATACCTACACCATTATAATCGACTTTTTTAGAAGGGCATACACCCAATTTATTGGCATATATGTAACTAAAACATATTACGAATCTATTATTAACGACAAATAATCTTGGATTTTTAAAGTTATTGTTGTTATATGTATATTATATTATCTGTGATGTTACTATTTTTGATTCTTAACATAGTGTTTACATAGGGGCCATTCCATTACTAGAAACGATAACATTATGGGATTGTGTATTCCTCAATTGTAAATAAGAAAGAGAAATATTTTTTTTTAAATGTCTTAAATTTATTAACTTTTATTATTATGACTTTATATAAAAAATAGATTTCAAAATCGATTTAAATGTTATGTTATAAAGTTTTCAAACATCTAATATGAATCAATTATTTTTAACATTCACAATTGGTTCATATTAAAGTTTAAATTTCACATTTCAAATAATCGAAAGCAAATTAATAATTGAATGATTAAACTGATGCAAAAAATTAAAAGGTCTAGAAACATGAAATTTTCCAGTGGTTCAAATATATTATCTTAATAATATTAGAAACGCGAAAAATTGTAAGTATGGATGTTTGTTACTCTTTCACATAAAAACTACTGAACGGATTTTGATGAAACTTTACAGTAATGTAGCTTATGCATTAGAATACTAATATAACACATAGGCTATATTTTTTATTGAAATGAAAGAATTGCTAGTTAATCACATCACAAATTTATGTAATACATTAAGTTTTAATCCTCCTAACACTAACACAACACGTAATTATATGACGCAGTCAACGGATACAGTAATAATTCCATTTTTATAATGACTGTACGACAGATGCAAGTTTAAATTTTATTTTTACGTACTCTGTGTTTATAACACTTTCGACGAGGCAGCGTCTCATTACGTTACGTAAAAAAAGTATTATTTGGTATGTTGACCAAATTGTAACTGATTTAACGACCGCGGCCCTTACAAATTTTATCAAATCACTAGCACTGCATTACATACGTTTTCTGCAATTTTATACAAGTTACTCGCACATTAACTTCAGTATTCATTTCATAATAATAAGTACAGATACAGAGCCTCTATACCTACACACAATCACTGAATAATCATCGGCAATGAAAATGCTATGTGGACACAGCATCATTGTGCAAATTAATCGGTTATACATAATTGCAGTCAGTTGACAGTTTTCTTAACGTCAAATTTAGTATACTTATTCGATAAATATAGATACCATAACAAAAATATTTCCAATCTTTTTTCTGTTTTTCTTTTCTTTAATCTTCATGTCTCATTCATCATCTCTAATATCATTATTCACATTCACAGAATTCTAACCTTGTGTATTCCTTTAAGTATAATGAGTAACAGTAGAGTTCTTAGCCCATTCATCTCGTCTATGTTTTGAGTTAAATAGAGAAAGAGAGACAAGAAAGAAAAAACTGTTATTTAGGATACCACAAGAAAATTACATTTTTATATTACATTGGAGACATTAAACACTTTGTACTACACAAATAGTAGATATGTATCGACTGCATCGGATAGTAAAATCGCTTGCATAATGTAAATTAAATGTCTGGAACGTATTACATAAATGGTAGACGCAGTTTTGTTATGTCACCGTTAATTCCTGGGGGCAGTGATAGTGATCGCTGCCGGGAATACTCCTACGTTGTCGTAATCACGACGTGGACTTCCGTACAGCTCGCTATCATATTCTTCCGTGGTAGGTAACAACTATTTTGTCAAACAAATCAACAAGGCGCGTCTGCGTCTGTGTTGCTTCATGACATGCTAAACTCCACTTCTTTTTGTTTCGATTTTTTCCTTCATTGAGATACATCCATGACTAATTCGGCAGTGGCAAAATTGTGCTTTAGACATTTTTGACAATACCTACGTACATTGATTGTTTAAACATTCAGGTCTAGTCATTACTTTCGATATACACGCTAAGTCAATCGCGTATAATTTTGCAGAATATAAAATCTACACTAGTCACTAATATTATTAAATATAGTACAATAGACTTTCACTAATCTAAAACTCACGGACACAAATAACAGTTTCAATAACAATTTCAATTTCTCTTTAATTGATAATTCTCGGCTGTATTTGTATAATTTTATACAAGTACACTTTATCTTAAGCTAAATATCAAGTTTGTTTATGCCAAGGCAACGATTTCTCCATGGGCACAATACTTTAGATTAAGGTAAATTATGCAATATCTTTTTGCAGTTTTAAGGTTACACAAAACTGTATTGTATTAATTGGTTGATTAAATCTGTCTATTTGTTACTGTTTGTAACAAATAGACATGTTACTATATAATAGAGACTATTAATTTATTTTATTAAACTTCCCTATTTAGCCATCTATATTTTATTTACCACAATGATAAGAGTAACCGGTAATAAAGTAACTCAATCTTCTCCTTTAACAAAATGAATTATTTTCAACTTATCCGAGTGCAGTCTCAAAACATATTTTTTCATTCTTCGCAATAATAGATTGATGTAGGTATTTTACATAACCTCTATCATACAGAATATACAGAATACGTATGTATACATTTTACTTTATACCAATTAAATGTGAAAAAAGAAAAATAACTCACAACCATCGAAAAATACATAATCCAAACAATTCCTGCACTCAAACGAGTCTCAGCTCATAAAAACTGATCATTAAAATTAAATTTAGTAGGTAATTACCTATTATATCTATTATTTACAAAAGAAATAATGGTTAGTACCTATACTAATACAGATTCATACGAACTTAAATTTAAGTTTGTAATACTAGGAGATATTATTACATTAATGCAAAAAACACAAACATTCAGTAACCTGCCAAAAAAGTCCCGTAAAAATCGGTCCAGCCATTTCAGGATTAGCCGGAACAAACAGCCAGACAGATAAAAATTGTAATATGCATGTAGTAAAAAACGACTATTTCAATATTACAAACAGACACTCCAATTTTATTTATGTGTATAGATTTGTATACCTAAATAAAAATGGGAAATTATGACAGCCTTCGTTTACGACACTGCTTCACTTCCGACGGTCGCGGGTTTGATTCCTGGCACGGTACAAACATTTGTATTGTCATGAGTATGATTGTTTGTATGAGTCTAGGTGTTTTCTTTCTATATAGATATTATTATGTATTTATTTACAAAAAAATATATCGAAATATTTATCACTTGTCACCCATAACACGAGCTCTACTTTTTCTAGGGATTAGATGATGTTGTATGAATTGTCGAGGGATATTATTATTGTTATTATTAAGAAATCATTTTGGCGAAACAAGATTAATAATCAATCGATTATTATGTTTAATGCTAAGCTTAAATATGTTGGTATTTAAAGAGTTTTTGTGTATATTCATTTGTGAATTATCTTAAACTCACCCCGGCTTCGCACGGGTGTGTATTATATATATATAAACCTTCCTCTAGAATCGCTCTATCGCTCTATTTATTCAAGAAAAAAGCTTCAAAATCAGAAGACAGACAGCGACTGCGACTTTATTTTATACTATGTAATGATTATGATGACTATTTCACAAACTATATTTTTAATAGACATGTGATGAGACAGAGACATCTCTAGTCTTAGAGGTCCAATATAATAATTTGCTATCATTGGCGTATATTTAAAACGAGGTAGTCATTAGGCCACCACGTTTATATTTTTGTTTTCAATCATTTCATCAATACCTAATGGTATGCAGTATTTATATATAAATTTCTTCCTTATATTTGGATAAAAATATTATCCTTGTCTTAGCATGTAACTTGCGAGTCGAAATAGGCAGATACCTTTTTCGACTCGCAAGTTACATGCTAGTGTTGCATGCATACCTATTAGAATTTTAAAAATGTGACTACGTACGAAATCTTGGATTGCCTTCAATATACATATTACGACTTACTGCGACACTAAGTAATGTAGGTAAGTTTATTTAAAATCGTTGATTAATAATGAGCAAACACTTCAATGTAATGTCAACAAAAGTAAAAAGTAAATACCTATCCACCCATTCGAAGAAAAAAACACTAAACAATCGCTACCTTTTGACAATGAAATATCAGAATGTTGTGTCCCAAATGAATCCACATACGATATTATTTTCTATATACCTACATTGCTAATAAATAATATTTGTACCTACAAATAGACATTCCAAAAGTATTCAGAGCAGGTAATTAACTGTCAAGACTTCATACGAATATTTTGTTGTTTCGTATTTTAAAGATTACCTGTTACTATGGACGTTATATATAATAACAATAAGTTTAAAAGTAATAAAATAAAGCATGTAATTTACGTATTATATAGTACTATGTTTCTATAACGGCAACGCGAGAGAATATCGCGTACGCGCGCGTTTCCTTGTGGCGTTCACTTCACTAGCGACAACCACCACCGCACCGAGCCACAGACCAGTGACATAGCTGTTACCCAATATCCACCACTACAAACCAGATTGTTATTTAACAATCCAAATCATAGAATGAGCACTTTATATCTGTACTAACTTTGTAAAAAGAGAGATTACAAATTCGATCAATAGAGAGTAGGCAGGTAGTACCTAATTGTTAAAACCTATTTCTAACAGCTATATTCTTTCAGTTGATCATAAGCTATATATATTTTTTAATAAATGATAATGGAATGGTGCTGAGGGACCACTACCCGATGCAGGGTCCCTAGGCAGTTGCCTACTCTGCCGAATAGTTAACCCGCCACTGGGTCGCCAATGATATTAATGAAACAACATTTCCTAAAAAGCAAAATGAAAACCCAAAACAATTAAGGACAGCAAACTTATTAGGAATAGTAGACTTTTCTTACCGTAAATTCTACTATTCCTAATATGTTTGCTGTAAAGTAACCACCCTCAATATATGTCCTATAAAAAGGATAACGCGGAGGTAGACTAGTAGACCATTCATAGACATAATACATTGTTAACAATGAGTTCAATAATCTCTATTACTAACAAGCCATCCATTTCATCAAGTTCTAGTTGAGACAACTGGCAAAGAATTCGACTAATGTTGCTTTTTATAATCAGTTGGTTGACATAATACGTTATTACATAGTAAGGAATTGTTAGTATGGGGGTCCAGTGACGCAATAGCATAAATGTCAGCTTTTTCTAGTTCGTATGTTTACCCATATGTAACAACTATACTGTGACAATTGAGTCCTATTCTAATACCTCTAAAAGTTTTTACGTGAAAACTAAACATACAATAGATAGTTTTTATTTTATTATTAAATTATAATAATATATAAAGGCAAAATATAGTAATAATAACTGTATGACTAATTAACATAATTACATAGAACTGCGTAGAACTCTGTGGCACAGGACAGCTCTGTGGTATCACTGACATCAGAAATGACATCAGTCACAAATTTTATTGTTATCAATCATGCATCAGTAATCATTATTATCAATTGAGCACTGCAAAAACATATACTTTTTATTACATCAGTTTTACAAGTTTTGAGATAATACGTCCTCGATATCGGAACTTCCTATTCATTATTTGTCTATTTACTTTGCCATACTAAGTGTATTACATTGATTCATGAAGTATTTTTAACTGCTTTTGTTTTTATTGTAATCGGTTACAATAAGAGAGCAATGGCGTCTAACCAGGGTCCTGGACCCTCAGCGCCTGAGGATCTACCACCGCCATATTCTGCTGTCGTGGGAAATCCACAATATGGTTTTGTGGCTCCGTCTGGCGAACCATTTCAAGCTCCGGGAGACGTATACTTACATCAGCAACCCAAGCAATTTACGGCTACGGGAGTGTATCCGCATCCAGTTAATATAGTCACCAACACCCAGCCTCATCCAGGGAGTGTACCGCCACCACCCCCGGGCGTACCTGTAAGCATAGTAGTGCCTCCAGCCGTGGGTACTGAACCGGCTACCATAAATTGTTTCAATTGTGGTAAAGTGGTTACAACTAGAGTTACGTATACAACAGCCTGGCACACACATTTAGTGGCTGGTTCCATCTGCGTAATTACTATGTAAGTTTTGGTTAACTAAATTTAGAATTATTTGTCATGTAAAACATGTTAAATGGTCATTTATAAAATTATAAGTTAGCAGTATAATATCAACCATTAAATTTTAATTTAACTTTGTCATGTACATTTCAATATGATAAAATTATATAAAAAGTGATGGTCTAATTACATTATGATGGTTCTGGGTTTGATTCTTACTACTGTACAAACATTTATATTAATGGGTATTATTATTTGTATTTTTGTATGGTCTGTATGTTTTCTATGTATATAAAATGTTTGTGTCTGCAAAAAATGTATTTGTATAATTTGTTTAGTATCCATAACACAAGCTCCAAAAGCTCAGTTTAACATGGAATTATATAGTGTCTGAATTGTTCAAACTTATTATTATTATTATTAGAATCATGTTCCAATTATTTAAGTTTGGTGCACTAATATAACAGTAGTTTTTGTAGAACACTATTTGAATTCATCAATTCAAATAGATGAGTTATGATGACGTGAAATACTGTGTTTTAGTATTTCCAATTTGCTGTGGCACCCTATTTTAATGTTAAAGATTACTTAATGTTAAATTTAAATAGATTAAAGTAAGCAAAAATTGGAAAAAATATATAAATATAAAAATGTATTTCTTTTTCTGTTGAGTGGTGAATAAAGAGCTTTTTTCTGTTAAATGATTCATATATGTATAATAATTTTAATAATTTGTTTAAAATATACTCATGACTGTTATGAATAATAATAAATTAGTCTCTGATACTGAATAAGATATACCTGCCCTAATATAATATTTTAAATGCAAAAGCTACATATACCTTTTCACACATGACTTGCTCAACCTGCTGAATTTTATAAACTTATGCATACATACTTGGTATGGTAATAAATATGCTACTTTATATATACTTGTTATATTACACTAGATTGTATTAATGTACATTAAAATTTTGCTTCCAGGATGTGTTCTTTATGCTGCTTGGGTCTAGTCCCCTATTGCTTTGACACATTTAAAGATGCTGAGCACTACTGCCCCAATTGCAACACTTTTATTGGAAAGAGCAACAAATGTTAAACATCAAAATATGAAGTAAATCATCCATAACAATGTGACAAATAAGGCTTAAACAGATATGTATAAGTATGTTATTTAATGCCATTATATATTTTGATTCTATTTATTTTTTAGCCTTAGGGAAACATTCCATGAATCTAACTAGAATGTGTTCCCAAGAAGTGTCTTAAAAAATCCTTTTTAAAACTTATTCACACAGTCTTGTTTGAGGAGCCAGATACCAATCTTAAAGTGGCATCCCAAAAAGTTCACATTCTATTAAAACTAATAGTGTTAACTTAGGTTTTTATAGTTCATTAGCATGAGCCTTTTTTTTTTTCAACAAATTAGCAGATATCCATCCCATATATAAATGTATAAATTTTATTTGTATAAGTAAAATAAATAAACACAGATGTTTATACGATATTATAGGTATAAAGTGAAAAAAATTAAGATTTAAAAATTGCCTGATATAAACTATATTATAGAAATTTGTGTTGTTCTTTTCTTTATTCTATACTTGATTAGAGGACAAGGAGTAATATTTGTTTATGTATAAACAAATATTACTCCATGTAATTTTAAAGTAGACAGGACTTTCTTATTATTTTATTTGTATTTTAATAAATTAAATTCATTTAAATATGAAATAAAATTATTAGTCCTGGCTGTAAACATTATTTTACCAAATTATGAAAAGGAAATTATTACCATATGCATATTAACTAAATTAATTAAGTGTATTGAAATAATACTTATTAACATGCAGAAATATAGACCTGTAAATTAAATAAACTTATCTAAGTTACAAATTAATATCACCTTTTTAATTAGTTAATATTTAGAAAATATACTAAATAACTGATATTTACCTCTACACACATTGTGTGCTCCAACATAATTACTCTTTAAAATTATGGATATCTTGTACAGGCATTGAGATATTATGTACAAAAATGCTATAGTACACAAGCTTTAATCAGCTATTTGATAATTTTGCTATAAACGTATTAGAAATGTAGCCACAGTTTCACACAGATTTATATTTAAATAAATAAATGAAAAATAAAGTGGGATAGTGCTAAGAAAAATAAGATGTTTAATTTAAAAATTTGAGAAAAATACAATTTTAACATTAATCTTCCAATGAATATATTGTGTGTGATTTTGTATACAGTTCTCTACTCACTTTGGCGCATAATAACTCAATGTAATTGTTAGGATTATTATAAATCACAAAGATATGAAGAGATCACGTGTGTTTAATATAAAACCATAGGCGTACCCAGGGTCGGAATAATCATAAAGCTAAGTACGCTATTGCACAGGGCTCGCATCGAATAGAGGCCCTGCGCGGCCACAAAGAAGTTAAAAATGTTTGTAGATTGTACATTTTATTGGAAAAATTTTATCTTCTATAATATATATACCTCTTTTTAAAACTTTTGTTATAAGAATTCGAAGACGACCTAATGCTTAATCCGGCTTTGGTTGTATCCAAGTGCGATGGTCAGTGATGGCCAGCTGCTCTCCCCTTGAAATTGTATGTGTTATATTACACATTGAAAAGACCGGCATCAAAAAAATCTGACTTGCGGTCAAATAATAATAACAATAACCCTGACTCAGAAGCAAACCGTTCATGGCCCTTCTGGGTCAGAAGCTACGTATGCCCAGGATCTTTCTTTCACCAAAAAATAAATAAATAATCTATATCTTACTTTGTATTGAGGTAGCTAGTATATTTATAATTTGATATTAAACTTGCCATAATATATATGTTAACTTTCTATTGAAATTTGTTAGACTGAATTTAATTACTATTATTTGGTTATAACTAAGTACCTGCTGTATTTGGTTTATTGAGTTAAAAATTTTTAATTACAAAATAAAAAAACAGATCAAAATAACGTCTATATAAAGAAGTACCTACCTACCTGGTTAATTCGTCCTTCTGGTGCTAGAAGTTCTTTTGATATGGTCTATATTTAGATTTTTGTATTTTATTTAAAAAAGTATATTGAATCGTGAAATGATACATAGGTAGGAACTTACATTACCTCCTAAACTAAACTTTCTTTTTTCTAATAGAAACATGTACATATAACCATATTTTATTTATTTAAAAAATAAATGCTCCTATATTGGCTAAAATGCTTTTTTTTTCTGTCGTAATAATTGTGGAGGGTAGTGGCAAACGAAGTGTGAATTTTTTTTTTCCAACTACCTACTCGCCCCGGCTTCTCACGGGTGTACATGTATCATATATATAAACCTTCCTCATGAATCACTCTATCTATTAAAAAAATACCGCTTCAAAATACGTTGTGTAGTTTTAAAGATTTAAGCATACATAGGGACAGACAGCGACAGCGACTTTGTGTTATACTATGTAACTGGCTACTCGCTCCGGCTTCGCACGGGTGTACATGTATTATAATATATATAAACCTTCCTCTTGAATCACTCTATCTATTAAAAAAAACGCTTCAAATCCGTTGCGTAGTTTTAAAGATTTAATCATACATATGGACAGACAGCCACAGCGACTTTGTTTTATACTATGTAATGATGATGATAATTCATCCATAGTATTTATTAGATAACTGTCTTATGTTTTCGTACTTTTCATTACTGTCTTTGATGGATCGTTAGATCAAAAAATGCCTGATATTGCCATATATGTAGGTGTGATATCGCTAACATGTCCATTCAAGAAGTGATACTATTTAGTACATAGTATAAAATGAAGTCCCTTGTGCTGTCTGTTCGCTTAGATCTTTTAAACTACGCAACAGATTTTAATGCAGTTTTTAGCAGTAGATAGAGTTATTCAAGAGGAAGGTTTATATGTAGGTAGTATAAAGGATTCTAAAGTAAATAATGTAGTTAATAGTTTTTAATGATCCGAATCAAAAAGCCGTATAAAGGGACTTTTTCCTTTGATCTATCACAGTTATATAAGATTTTTTCTTGTCTCTTCTTATAATTTATTGGATACCCTACATAAATATGTTCTTCGTTCGAACGGCGAACAAATAATCCTGGAATCTTCTAATACATAAGTGAAGCATCGATCGATTTATTATTGGATTTATCGTTCATATTCGCACATAATATTTCTGCGGCTACTAGTCGTAGAGAAAATGTAAATGAACATTCCACTTTATCACTTTTGATAAGATAATCATATGAATGTTGAACAGATAAGTTCTCCTATTTTTACTCTTGATATGTAAGTGGTATATAGTATATAATATAAAATAGCAACGTGAATAAATATATTTTCAATGGATTCAAGTAATGTTGAGAATCAAAGTAACATACCAGCGACAGTCCTGAGGGTAGAAAGGGAAACTGCTTTCTACCACGAAGAACCACCACCACCGTACACTGCTACGAACACAAGGGTGACAGGACAGCCTATCATTCACCAAACAATAATAATACAAGCTCCGCTAAAGGAAAATCCTATGTTATATGAATGTTCTACTTGTAGAGAAACAGTGTTTACAAAAGTGCGTTATGTTAATTCTCAAAGGACTCATTTAATAGCTGGTTTTATATGTGGTTTAACAGTGTAAGTAGTGTTATTATTAACATTAGATATTAGCTACCTTTCTACTTATATTGTACACGTTAAAGTTTAGTAAATGAGTTGGTATATTTATTTAATGTTGCTAAAATTGTTGCACAAATTTGTATTGTATTTTTGGTACTTAGACTTCTTTTTCGGACTACTCTAATGCGGAAAGCTCGCGGAAGGACTTATGGAGCGGCTGAAAGCCTACTCCTGGGTGACGGACGCGACTTTAGTCTGAGGGCATCTCTGGGATTTCGAACCTCGGCTCAGGCCGTCATAATTTTGGGTTGGTACGTAAACGCAGTGTTAAACTTTGTTTGCAATATATTCTTAGTATCACACTCGGGATAAACTTATCAATGGTCTAGCGGTTTAACACAACGTCTTATTGCCAAAAGTTGCGAGTTTGATTCTCGCACGATACAAATACTCATCAGTGTGATTATGTGTATTGGTCGGCGTGGTTTTCTATGTATATCAGTTGTATTAGAACCCATTATAAAAGCTCTACTTAGTTTAGAACTATGTGGCGTTATGTGAAAAAAAAAGAAAGTGACGAAATACTAATATAAATATGAAAGTAACTCTGACTGTTACCTTTAAAATAGAAGGGAAGTAATTTATATGTGTCAAACCATAAATATATATAGTTGCGGGCCTTAATTTTACAACACTTACTAGATAGGTATTGTCGTCATTAAACTCTCAATTAAACGTGATTTTATCGCTTCCAGGTGGTGTATGCTTTGTTGCCTCGCTGCTATACCTTATATTATGCCTTCATTTAAAAAGGCTGAACACTATTGTCCAATTTGCAACCGATATCTTGGTTGTTACACAAAAATCTGAATGAGTAGCCTGTGACAAACTACGATTTAAAATAAATCGGTGATAATTAATTGCCTACATATTTGAACATCCAAGACTTGATTTACCAATATTGAAAGTTGTATTTATACATTGCTTCTACATGACTAGCTAATTTCAACATTATGACAACAGATGAGAAATCATTTGATTTATTTGATCTTGTTTAACAAGATAAGGACAAAACTATAATATTATAATGAACTACAACTAAATTAAAACAAAATTAGATTCCACTGGAATATTATAAATAAAATAATTAAGTCTTTCACCTTATTAATTATATTATAGATTAGAAGATAATCCGAAGTAATAGTTGTAGAGTAAGGCAGTTTATGCATATTGCACAGGAACCATCACCCGGACGAGTTATGGCAACTGGATTACAGATTTACTTTATGTTAACATATGTGTCAATACACAAATTGCACAGAAAAATTAAAGAATGATAATAAATTATTAAATATTATATATTTTACTAATAATGAACTTTTATTTATAAGAAACTGATTGCAAAAAAGTAATTACAATTTGTTTGAACTATGAAACCTTTGCAAGTGTTGTATTGTATAATCATACCTCTGTGTCCATTTGATAATTGCAGATTCAAAGTAAATTGTATGAATCATAATAGTCACACTCATCTTTTTATATATGTGTGTCTCTACTAAAGTATAATTATACCATATCAAAATCTTATACAAGAAAAATGCATGTTTACGACTTGCAATTTATTTGTTGATGACTTGAATTCTGATTGATATATTTTTAATACAGAATTATTACTGTGTGTAAATGTGCAGCTACTTATTGTTGCTATATGGGCAACAATTAGTTTATTACTTACACTATTTTAATTTCAAACAATAAACTATTGAGATTAACTTTGTACAAAGTTATCTGCTTGGATACTTCTATCTCACATATTTCAGTTGTCAAGCAGCTTGCTTTATAAAATGTATGTAGAAAGGTGAGTGTCTGGGAAGGAGAAAATTACACATATGTGCATTATACATTACAACTCAGTGTTATTACTATGACTCAAAATGTATAAAATAAGATAAATAGTTAAATAAACTAGAGTTAAAACTCCTCCATAACAAAACAATGAATGTAACTTAACATAAGAAGACCCAAATATCATGGCTCTGTCAAGGTATAATTTAATTATTAAACTATTCATATTAAATACAAAGAATACTTTTAATCCCACAATATTATTTTAAACAATACTTACAGTCAGATTGCAAATAGTGTTATAAACTTTTAATAGAAATAAAATGCATTACAATAATCTTATAATTAACCTGATTTCTAAGTTACATACTACAATAAATTTTGCTTACCACTCTTGAATTAGACCACTACCTTGAAAACATGAATTGGATTTTTATAAAATTCTTCCAAATTACAGTTTAATAGAATAAAAGATATTCGCTGGTGACCGTCTAGTTTATTTTGAAGTTGAAACTAATAGTACAAATTAATTATAAACATTTTACATTAAGAGAATGTTTACATGGATGAGTAGTAAGAATAATCCTGACACTTCATTAACTACTATAGGGCACTTGTAGTCTGAAGCAATCTGTTGCAATCTTCCATTTTCCATCAACTGCTACGATTAAGAATGTTTGTTGAAATGGTTTCTTGATATTGTCATTTTGATAGGTCACATCTCCACATGCCTGGATCAGGTATGTTATTTTATTTGATATACTCTCATATAATGGTTGAGCATCTAATGTCCTAATAACATGGTTGCTTGCAGGCAAGTCCATGAGGAATTTCTGTATTTTATCGCTGCCATTAATACCATTGCCATTCCAGACCAGTAGACCAGTATCCAGATATAATTTTGAGGTTAAGCGTCGACTGCTGTCCACTTCTTTGTAAAAAATACGAGTGAACTCCTCGGCAGTCTCGCAAGCATTATCAACATTTTTGGCAGTAACTTCTGCCATGGTCAAATTGTTTGTCGAGTTATTAAATTAGATTAACAAAGAACAATTTCTTCTTGTTGTAGATATTTTCCTTTCCAGTTTATAACTTTTAAAACTTATAAAAAATTGAAAACACTCACAGTTACTTTACTCAAATAACAAATTAATAATAAAATTATATTGCATTTAATAACAAATTTTTACCACATTTTTGACCAACATTACAAAGAATACTGACTGATTGCCCAAAACTGACATAAGGTCGACTGACAGATCGGACTTTTTTTCTTTTACAATGGCTCGGAACGTTGTTGCATTTGCCAAAATCAAAGTTTGGTAAACTATAATATAATTTTGAGATTAAACTTGCTTTTGGACAGGACAGCAAATAAGGGCTGTAAACGTAATGACACGCGAATACCAACGTACGGGTATTCGAGTGGCGTACGGTACTCCCGTGCCGGTTGGTCAGTAAATCAATTGATAGTAGTTACTATATACATTGTCTTTTTTATTAATATGACAGCAACATTTTTTTAGGCTACAGTTACTTCTTCTTACCTCTATTGTAATTTTAATTTTTGGACGCAACAGATTCTACTCATTATAGTGGAATCGCCTCGATTTGCTCCACTAGTGCAATCTCCAGCGGAGGATGTACCAGTGGAGCAACAAGCACAATTCTGTTTTTTTACAAGGTTTTTTTTTTATAACACATTTTTTAGGGACAAACGAGCATGCGGCTCACCTGATGGTAAGTGATTACCGCCGCCCATGAGCACCTGCGACACCAGGGGTATTGCAAGTACGTTGTCGGCCTTTTAAAAAGGAATAAGCTCTTTTCTTGAAGGTTTCAATATCGTATCGGTTCGGAAATACCATTGTTGAAAAGTGATTCCACAATGTGGTTGTGCGAGGCAAAAAGTTTCTAGAAAACCGCACTGTGGAAGACCGCCATTCATCCAGATGATCAGGATTGTATTTCAGTTTCTGGCGGGTGGGACGGTGGTGAAACTCAGCAGCTGGTATTAATCCAAACAATTCCTCAGAACACTCCCTGTATTTTCTTTTCCTAAAACGAGCCGTCCACACTCCCCGTGATATATGTGGTAGAAAATGCACAGAGATGCAATATCACACCACAAAGCCAATGGGTTGAATCTGTCACATAGACGTTGATTACCAATGATTCTGGCTGCTCGGTTCTGAAAGCGGTCAAATGGAAGTAGCTGGTATTGTGGTGCTCCAGCCTAGAGATGAGAACAGTATTCCATGTGCGGCCGTATCTGCGCCTTGTATAATTGCAAGCGATGGGCCGCCGTGAAATACCGTCTCACTCTACTGAGCACACCAAGCTTTTTTGAAGCTATTTTAGCCTTGTCCTTTAAATGACCGCAAAACTGAACGTCACTGGATATATCAACGCCAAGGACCTCGAGATTTGGCTTCACATCAAGGAGAGAGTCTTGAAACTGAGGAGATACGATAAATGGATTCTTTTTAGCGGTAAACGCGCAAACTTGTGTCTTCTTGGGGTTGAATTGAACACACCCCTTTTCCTGACCCCAAACCGAAACTTGATGGAGTGAAGTTTCGATTTCGGACACAAGTTTGTTTCGGTATAACTTTTGCCTCTCTATAACTTTTGCCTGCTACATATTAGCATGGCCGCTGTACAAGGCATCTCCGGTACTGTCATCCGCATAGCAATGAATGTTGTTGATTTGTAACATGTCATTGATATGCAGAAGGAACAGAGTCGGAGTCAAAGCATACAGCCTTGTAGAACACTAGCATTCACAGAGTGTGGGTCGGAGCAAGCACCATCGACAACGATCTTGATGCTCCGATCAGCGAGAAAGCTGGCGATCCATTTGCATAACTTCGCAGGCAACCCGAAGGATGGTAGCTTTGAAAGAGAGCTTTGTGCCAAACCAAAGGCCTTCGCAATATCCATACTAACAGATAGGGCCTCCCCCTTACTCTCAATAGCCTCTGCCCATCGATGTGTCAAATACACTAGAAGATCACCAGCTGAGCGACCCTGGCGAAAGCCATACTGACAATCAGAAATCAACTGGTTCACTTCTAGGTATCGTAGAAGTTGACGGTTGACAATCGACTCCATGGTCTTTGAGAATAAGGAGGTAATGGCTATGGGCCTATAGTTAGCTGGATCTGAGCGATCTCCCTTCTTAGGGATCGGATGAACCAAAGCCGTCTTCCAAAGTTTCGGGACTACACCTGTAGAGTAGCAGTACTGGAAAAGACGCGTTAGTACTGGAGCCAACACAGGTGCACACGTCCTGAGCACAATAGCAGGAATACTGTCAGGCCCACTCGACTTGTGGATATCCAGGGAGAAAAGAGACTTACGTACCAGCTTTTCGGTAAATTTTATCCAGGGTAGGTCAGGTATGAAATTTCGTCGGGACAGGATATTTGCGTCTCCGTAAGGAAGAGCAAATCCGGACTCGCCGTCTCTAGGTGGTGGTGGACGTCGTTGAGATTGGAATGAGTTCCCCTGATGTTGCAAAAACTGATTCTGAACAAGGGAAATGCCGATGGAGATTTGCTCGGATTCCTGTTGGCCAAATTGAGCGGAGTATTGCTCACTAGGGGTGGATTCTCCAGTAACACGGTTACTGGTACCACCCTGGGGTAAAAAATCTCTTATATTCCGCTGCCATGGTATGTAAGAAAGGGGTGGGTAGGGAAAGGAAGTAGGAAAGGGATAGGGGGAGGGGGAGGGGCATCCGGAACCTACAGCTCACCGTGCAAAACGCGATAACGCTTAACGCCGGTTTTCTGCCGAGGTGTGGGCATTTTCTGGTTCGAGCGGCCCAATCGAGCTGAACAACCACGTGTTCGTACAGCTTGCTCTACCACTTAAAAAATGGTTGGAGGTATGGATTGGACGGTATGTATTTTTGAAATTTATAAAAAAAATTAATCAGCAGGGGCGGTGAATTTCTGGTGACCCCAGGAGGTTGGTTAGTAGATTTGTTGGAAATTAAAAACGAAATAATGATTAAGAAATATTTTATTTGATAATGTCTTTATCTAATATATTAATTTATCATACAGAGTGGCTTAATTATTATACAATTATATTCCATATTACTACAACTATTTTCTTTTCAGGACATTTGACACAATGATTTACTAAATTATATGTGTCCACAATATGAAAAACAAAATAAACACTAAAATAATCACCTATACTATGAAGCTTTGATTTAATTATTACTACAAATAAACAGTCAGTTTTAATTAATTCAAATCTTACCCTAAGGCACTGACAGAAATGATTATGCATTAGATACAAAAAAAATTTTTTTAATAAATAATATAAATGTAAAGAGTAAATAACATTCTTTAAAATCGTTAAGAATACTTAAATTCATAATTCGGTAGCTGCAAAATATAAAAATTGCCCATAATTCAGCAATGGCAGCTATACATGCACTAATGGCCACTTAAATAGGATCTGTTCAGGCCTAACGATACTACTACTTTTTAATATCATAGTTTTCCTGAATCAATAGTAATCATACGAGCTCAATCATATAATCATAATTACTACTACAGCAAAAAGGATCAACATTTATTAGTACTAAATAAAGAATTACGAAATAATAAAATTTATTGCAACATTTCAATTTATATATGTTATATTTTCCAGTCATTATTCAATAAATTTAGAAATAAAATTATATTTTATTTTATATATTAATATGAATTAGAAATTATTGGAAGCAACAATTAACTAATTTATATTCAAAATAATTGCCAAAATGATCACAAACATTCAACACAGACGATAATACAACAATCAAATAACAGTCCAAATTAAAATATAGTCCTCAAAAAATTCATTTTCTTATGTTCATTATATTATAAAATAATTTACACGGATTACTATGCCGGGATGGGCGCAATTTATGCTTATTTAAAATAAAATATATATCTTATCACGCTCCAATTACGGACTCTGTCGCCAGAAACAATGCATCCTGTCTCTAAAGTAAACGCGTTGTCTTTTAAACAGAAATTATAATTATAAGCAATTTAAAAATTATTTATTCTAAAATAAAGACGATTTGTTAACACTAACTTGAGCATCTTATTGTGTCGATAAGTGAATGTGGATAAGTTTATTGCAATTATACGGATACTCAGACATAGTGGCATAATATATCTATCGTTAGTCTGATAAAAATTACTGCTATTTTTTCCATACAAGTATAAAGTTAATATTTCGTATTCTATGACGGAGTTATTACTAAATTGAACTTCTTGGTTGCGCTTATCGTTGAATATCGGCAACGCAAGCAGCATGTACACTAGCGTTACCTGTGCCTTGCTACGGTTGCCAAGTAGGAATGACACCCAGATACTGCTTTAAACAATCTTGTCTTATTTAATTGTTATTTTTCTTCTAACCCCACCTGTCAATATATTACACATTAATGTTACAAAACTACAATTATTAGACAAGTAAATCTAACTATTGATGGTAGATGTATCTTGAGACGCTGTCTGCATAAATTACAGCCCGTGTTACTCCCTAACAATGTGGTTAACATTATACCTTTATACAAATACCTAACCGATTTTAAAAATACATGTAAAATTTACATGTATTTTTAAAATCGGTCAAGTATTTTTTAAGTTTATCAATCAAAATCAAACACAATCTAATATTAAATTTTTATAATATTATTTATTAGTTTGGATTTGATACTAGTTTTTTTTAATAATATACTGTCATAATGCATGTTATACAGTTACCTGTAACGGTCCATTGCACACTTCGATGCCACATTTATCTGACAAGCCAGCCAATAACCGTTCCTGTAGGTTAATAAGATATATCATATATAAAGAAGGAATATAAGTGAAACTCAATCGTATTTAAATTCTGAGAATTTGTATACCTCCGCGTGTCGTTCAGAGTCTGCAAAACTGTGATTGTAGTTAGCAGATCGCGCCTGCTGTAGTTCCGCTTGCAAAGAATCAATTTTTTCCTGCATCTGTTCAGAATAAAGTATATATTTATTACCATCTTTGTTTATTATTTAATTACCGTCACCAATGAACAACATATGAATGGACATATATGGGACATAAGGATAAAAAACAGAGAGAAGTGATCTGCAACCTAGTAGGTACTAAATAAACGGACTAATATAGATAGATATAACATTAAGAATAAGCAAAAGCATAAGAGACATGAAATAATTTTATATTAAATATAAGAAACTTTCATATTCTATCATGAATAATATGACAGCCAACCTATATGAGTACAAGTACCAGGACTAATAATTACTAAAAAATATCTATAGGCGCTTTTTCGATTCTACCATACGCTATACGGTAATGTTGTGCGATATTACAGTGGACTACCACTATCGTGGCAATAGTAGTACACGGCACGTAAATAGCCGTTAACAGATTGTTTCTGAATACTACTTCTTTTGCGTCCCAATTATATCGTGACGGTAAAATCAAACGTAATGCTGCCATTAAATGAACATATAATTGATCTCACGACCGTTACCTCTCTTCGCGCCATGGAAAAATCAAACTAGGGTATATAGGGAATGCCGCTCGTCTCTTCATATCGTACTTATTCAACATTCATATCTTGCCTTATAAATTCACAACGGCTTTAGATAACTTCCGAATCTCTTACGTACTATTCAAGACTACTACTCAACACTGCAATATATGTTAATAAATAATATATAGTTTATACTATCATTTAAATCGTTGTAGATTGGAAAATATCATCTCCATTATATAATGTGCTTTATTATTTATACACTAAAACCTTCCAAAGTTCAACAGAAACTCAAGTTATTACCGCACTAACATATGACGTGGTGCGCTCATTCCACTCATTTACTCTTTCTTACATTCCCAAGTCCCATCCATACAGCATAAAACCCAGAAATTTTTTCGGCTTACAATTATATCTGCTAGTCCGTATACGATTATGTCAAATACCTTTACCAAACCCACATTATTACATTCTAGGTAGACAGTAATAAAGCCTGTAATAAGAAAAAGTTTCACGTCGAAGATGTGGTACACAAAAGCACACACAGTGCCATATGACAGAATATACCTCTGCTGTGATGGCAGGCAATGTTTTTTCTATGCAGGAGTATGCGAAGACCAGAGGTTCCTATATAAAAAAAATGTGTTTATACAGATTCTATCATTGATAAAATGATAAAACCGGATATTATAAATCCTTATTTATTAATTAATTTCAATACTATTCAGTAGTCACTACCTTAAATTTTGATGCACACACTTGATTAAACATTTATAATAAAGCTATTTTATACACAATCAACAATGTCATAGTCTAAACACTACTTGCGAGCAGTATTGAAATAAATTATCATCTGATAGTGGTTTCCGTATAGATGTAAACAATCTGTGATCAAAGATTTTACAAATACCTGCATAACTGTCCTCTGTCGTAGGTCATCCAGTTCGCGTTGTTTTTCAGCCAGTTGCTCCGCCCACCTTCCTTCTTCTGTCGTCACATTATGTTGTAATTGGCTGAGAACGCCCTCCTATGGTATAATAAGTATAAATAATTTATTACTATTAAGGTAATTTAATCATGAATATATCGATATTTTTATTCAACTCATATATTGTTGTATAGCTATAACGTAAACATAATAAATAGAATATAAGTTTTAAACTAACCAAAAAAATATTAGGTCTCTCCAGTTATGGAAACACCACAAATAAGCTCAGCAAACTATAGACTTCTTGCGATAAAAATAAAGGTGAAGATATTTAAAGGTAAAAATGTCTAAATATGTCTAATGTTACCGTGTCATCAATAATTTTCTTGTATTTGTCCACGAGACTCTGTAATTGTTCATTCTTAGTGGTCAGTTCAGTAACGCGAGTGTCTGTCGTCGGTGTTGCGGTGGTTTTTTTCTCCAAAAGCTGCTCTGTTTCCTTCTTCTTTAACTCTGTCTTAAGATTATTCGCAAATGTCAAAAGCCAGTCGCGATCGGCCACTGAGCTCGGCGCTGCAGCCGGGCACACAGCACGTAATACATTTGCTACTTCAATATACTGTGCTTCCTGTGCCTTGGATATTTCATCCTATGAACAAAAATAAAGTTAATATCCAACCTGCCTCTTTCCAATTTTACAATGATAAATAATTTGTAACTAGTAAAATAGTTTTCAAATTACTAGAAATGGCAAAGTAGGTGGCATTTACATTTATATTTAAGAACATTGTTAATGGTTGCTTATAGGCGGCTTAAACACGACACAAAAATCAGGAATAGTAGTGGGGAGACCCATGAATTGGGACTGAGTGCACAATGTTCCCGCCAACCATTGTGAATTTAGCACCGATTCATATGAGGTGACAACACGTCCTAGATGATAATTATCCCTAACAATACGCCTACACATTATGGACAATTTAGAAAGCGACTCATAGCATATATACATACATAACTTATATTGCAGTAAGTGTTTAAAACAAATATTCTTGGTGCGAAGCAATGACGTGTGGGTTTATATTAGGTTTATATAGTTATTCAATGTAGCGCGGGGCCGGTGAGTCACAAGCGTGGGGTAGGTACATGTATTAATTGAATAGTATAGACCCACAAATATATTACCATTATTAATTTCCTAAAAAATATAAAATATTTCAGCATTTCACTTTAACTTCATCTTCATATCATTTTAACATTTCAGTGCAGAGCACACCACATAAGGGAAGCCTATGACTATACTTGGCTTGGTGTAGGATTTCATTAAATTTACTTACATTTATATACTTTGTTTCGTTTATACAGCAATAATGTGTTTTATGCTAATATTACAGAAAAGCGAAGCCGGCCAGAGTTGCCGCAGTATATTAACATTTATACTGAAAACGGTAAAAAGAGACACTTACGCGCAACGAGTCTTGTGCCGGCAACGCACGGGTTGTTTTTGACTGCAGAGATTTTTCAGCAGATTGTAAGGCTTCCATTACTTTCCAGTTTTTAATTCGCAACTCCTATGCGAAGGCAGTTACATAAAACGGTTAAGATTATTAAAAAAAAGGTGTAAAAACCATTTAATGTAAGTATAACTATATGCCGATTTATATTTCACTTTTGTTTTAATTGATATATTAACATACTATAAATATAACAATTTTATAACTGTCATAATATACATTATAAAATAACCTTGCATCTAGACCTAAACCAAGCAGAATTTGTATTATGGGAACTAAATAAATGATATATATAATATAAATATATTAATCGCTAAATGGTAAAATTGTGTTCTTTGTTGATATTTGCATTTGAATATTTGTAAGAGTGAGACAACACATTAGTAATTTTGCAAATTCTAGTGTGGTTAGCAGAGAAATTAAACAAATAAACAACTTTAAATCTAATGGCACATTCCAATCATGAAAAGTATTTGCAAGGTACATTAGTAAAAATTATGAACGTTTTGGATTTGCTCATTGGGTATGAATAAGATCACAATGGTAAAGGAATACCGGTGATGTTGAATTTAAATTTAAGTCACTGACCTCTCAATATATTTCATGAATTTCATTACTTACATTGTTCTTTTCCTGGTACTGAGAGAGTTGCTCCTGCAATCGTAACAGTTGCTCGCGTTGCTCCTTGCTCGCAGTTTGTGCATTCGCTAGTTCACTACGAAGAGATTCCACCACATTCTCGATCTTGGCAAGATCTGCAGCCTGATGATAATATTATAACATACAAATTAAGTATATATCATCTCTTCGTTTTCGTCATACCAAAGTTAAACAAAACCAACCAAACCAAAGTCTATACCAGATTTAGCTTATTACAACAAACGTAACCGTCAGTTATAGACCCGTGTATTAAGTACGTAGTAATCGTGTATTAAGATAAGAACAAAAATAAATAAGAATCAGTAAGCAATCAAGGGAAATGTTATTAGTTAGTCACTTTTACTAGACTCGACTGAAGATTGATAAAAGGCTGTGATAATATTAATAATAACCCTGGATATTTCACACTGCACCGTCTAATAACCGAGTGCCACAATGTCATGGAAAAAATTACAACGCACAAAGATGTAATTATCAGTAGATAAAGGGGCACAGTGGATCATATGGCAATGACGCCGCGGACGAGCTGGCGAGATAAGGATCTGGTGGTGATCAGGCCCCCTCCCGCTTTTACCAATACCCTTCTCACAATTTCGCACCTGGATACGCCAGAGATCCACCGAGATACAAAACCAGAGATGGAATCTAACCACTGATTGCAAACAATCAAAAGTGGCAATTCCAAAAACAAACCATCGACTAACAAAACGCCTACTGTACCTAGATAGGCATAACCTTCACAACACTAACATTTACGGTGATAATGCAGAGCTGTAGTTTTGTCTTATTTGAAATTCTAATTGTTACTTTCTTTATGTTTTATATTTTTTTAGAATTTAGATGTAAGCTAGAATTATGTGCTATGTCAATATAATGCGACTTTAATTTTACCTTATGTTGATCACTCGCATTCGAGGGAGGTAATCCATTTTGCGCAGGCACTTTCAATTGTTTCAATTCCGCCAATTCCGACTCGCGTGCAGTCAACTGCTCCTTCAGGGATGAGAGTTCGTTTGACAACTGAACAAAATAAAATGTATAATCAGTGAAATAATAATTGACTGGGCATTACATATATGACCAAAGATTTTTTTTTTGTATAAGTACATAATCATTAATTGTTTACCTGCTGCTTTTGTTTCTCAGTTTCTTCCTTAAGTTTTTCGTGATTATTCTCTGCTGTCTGTGCTCGCGCTGTTAGCCGCTGAATATCAGCCTGCAGATCGGCTGTGGCTATAAGTAAATAATATATAAATATAAAAAAGATGAATATATTAAAATTCAAATAGTAAGAAATAAATTTATTTTTAGAAAGATATTCATTTTTTTAGAAACTGAATCAGAAAATTTACAAATGGCTTGCTGAAAAAATTTTACTGTTGTTTTTCTTATATAATATACCAATATACAATTTACAATTAATTGAAAATTGAGGCTTTTAAAAATAATTGCTCAACAAAATTACTTCTTGTCATGTCATAATTTGTACTGATGAATCATGTTCAAGATTGAAATCTAACATTATTTTTATTCTAATCCGCACAAGAAACACTGCCGAGTACCGTAAGTAAGAAATTAATACATTTCAAATGTTATGTGGTGTTTATAGAATAATTTAGTTACCATTGTGTCTCTCTTGTGAAAACTTCAACTGCTCTGCATATTCGCCACACAGGCGATTTGCGTCCTGTATATTAAAATTAGCATTTTAATAAGAATATGACTTCCACGATCTCGTCGATATCGTCTTTCATAATTTCTGTTGTATAATCTAAATATACATATATTGTAACGGATACATACATATATTCACAGTACTGATAAGATGTATACATATGATATGATAAAGATTTTTATGTACTAAAATTGCTTTAAGTGATAAGGCCACCTTTTGTTTTGTTAATGTTTTTTTTTATACAACTTAGGTGGCAAACAAGCATACGGCCCATCTGATGGTAAACGGTTACCGTAGCCTATGGACGCCTGAAACACCAGGGGTGACACACTTTTTTATTTGTGCACAAAAAAAAGTTATATTATTATTTTATCTATAAATGCAAATATTGCGTTTTGTGTCAATTGAGTCTTTTGGAACAGCCATCCATAAAAGCAATAATGTAGCACTACTAACGAACTAATTATTGTTCTGGTTTTTGACGTGTTACAATTGAGCAGGGCGTCAGGAGTCAGTGCGTCACCTGAAGCTGCTGCGCGAGTTCTGCGTGGTGCTGCTGCGCCAGCATCAAGTCCACGGCCCGCGCGGCGCGATCCGCCTGCAGCGCGCCTAAGTCCGTCTGCAGCGCGTTTATCTGCGTCACCAGCTGCCCCTCGTTCTGTAATCCACACCACACCACACCACACCACTACAGTTCACCATCACCACACTTGGCACACTTGCCTAATAAACTTTTGCACTTTGTTATTTTTTAATTAAAAATGGTTTACAGCTGACTAACGGTTTACAGCGTCAGTTAGCCCATTGTGGCAAATTCACCATGAATTTATCACAATAATTTGCAAGGAAAACCGCGTGAAGTTTAAACTAACATTGCTAGCAATGGAATCATTTGTCCAAATAAGTAACATTCGCCTTCCCTCCATTAAGATATTTTATTCGTTTTTTATTCTTTTTTATGGCTTGGCACTTCTGTGCATTAGCCAATATAAAAAATTTGGGAAATAGTTGTTGATTAAGAAAATTTGGATGATAGGTTTAAATGATCTGGTAAGTTGACAACAGGAAATTGGTTAAACATATGGATTAAAATAAGGTACACATATAAATGCAGTATTAATTATATAATATTTTAATTGAAAAATACAAATTAATTGGCACTTGATATTGACATTTAAAATAGCAAGCAAGCTATGGTTTATGTAAAAAAAAGCCGTCGTTTTCAGAATACTTTTTATATGAAATATTCCATCTTTCGACTCACTAATTGCCAAAAAAATATTTCAGAAAACAGGACATTTACTTTTACATCTCTTTAACTTTTTCTAATTACCTATTAAAATAGATACTCACCTCTGTCAGTCTTTGAATGTGCATCTCCATTTGAACTCGTTGCGCTTGGGCTTCGCCTTCAGAATTCAATTTCGATTGAAGCTGTAAACATTATATTACAATTACAACATATATCTTCTATACTGACTAAATGGAATATATATTTAAACTAAAATCTACATATAGTAATCAGTTTGCATATAAGTATGTAGGCGTGCGATTTGTTGCAGTAACCTTTTACCTCCTTTTCGTTCTGACCAATAGCGTCGCGTTTTAAACATTTGAAATTACCGCAGGATTTTAGTATTTCTGACGACAAGGGCTGATACTTGCTGGAAATTGGTAGTCGTCGCCTTTTTTTTTTATAACACAGGGGACAAACGAGCATGCGGCCCACCTGATGGTAAGTGATTACCGCCGCCCATGAGCACCCACAACACCAGGGGAATTGCAAGTACGTTGTCGGCCTTTTAAAAAGGAATAAGCTCTTTTCTTGAATGTTTCAATATCGTATCGGTTCGGAAATACCATTGCTGGAAGGTGATTCCTCAATGTGGTTGTGCGGGGCAAAAAGTTTCTAGAAAACCGTACTGTGGAAGACCGCCATTCATCAAGATGATCAGAATGGTATTTCAGTTTCTAGCGGGTGGTACGGTGTTGAAACTCAGCAGCTGGTATTAATCCGAACAATTCCTCAGAACACTCCCCGTGATATATGCGGTAGAAAATGCACAGAGATGCAATATCTCGCCGCAAAGCCAATGGGTCGAGTCTGTCACATAGACGTTGATTACCAATGATTCTGGCTGCTCGGTTCTGAATGCGGTCAAATAGAAGTAGCTGGTATTGTGGTGCTCCCGCCCAGAGATGAGAACAGTATTCCATATGCGGCCGGATCTGCGCCTTGTATAATTGCAAGCGATGGGCCGCCGTGAAATACCGTCTCACTCTACTGAGCACACCAAGCTTTTTTGAGGCTATTTTAGCCTTGTCCTCCAAATGAAAGAAGAAAGAAAGAAAAACATTTATTGTCAACCATTTTTACATATACATATATACATACATACATACACACTTAGGACAATTACAATAATAATTTATCTTATTTCTAAATATGGTTGACAACATGACTGACACTCAGCATATGCCGTGACAGCTAACTGTCACGGCGCTGGTATTCTGTGCCTGCCATTAATGACCGCAAAACTGAACGTCACGGGATATATCAACGCCAAGGACCTCGAGATTTGGCTTCACATCAAGGAGAGCCTGGAGAGTGTGCAGCTCGGCCGCGGTGTACGCGAGTGCGAGACACTTACGAGGAGCTTGTCTTGCTGCAGGGCGCGGTTGTCGTCGTGCAGTCGCTGTAGCCGCGCCTGCAGCGTGTGCAGCTCGGCCGCGGTGTACGCAAGTGCGAGACACTTACGAGGAGCTTGTCTTCCTGCAGGGCGCGGTTGTCGTCGTGCAGTCGCTGTAGCCGCGCCTGCAGCGTGTGCAGCTCGGCCGCGGTGTACGCAAGTGCGAGACACTTACGAGGAGCTTGTCTTGCTGCAGGGCGCGGTTGTCGTCGTGCAGTCGCTGTAGCCGCGCCTGCAGCGTGTGCAGCTCGGCCGCGGTGTACGCGAGTGCGAGACACTTACGAGGAGCTTGTCTTGCTGCAGGGCGCGGTTGTCGTCGTGCAGTCGCTGTAGCCGCGCCTGCAGCGTGTGCAGCTCGGCCGCGGTGTACGCGAGTGCGAGACACTTACGAGGAGCTTGTCTTGCTGCAGGGCGCGGTTGTCGTCGTGCAGTCGCTGTAGCCGCGCCTGCAGCGTGTGCAGCTCGGCCGCGGTGTACGCGAGTGCGAGACACTTACGAGGAGCTTGTCTTGCTGCAGGGCGCGGTTGTCGTCGTGCAGTCGCTGTAGCCGCGCCTGCAGCGTGTGCAGCTCGGCCGCGGTGTACGCGAGTGCGAGACACTTACGAGGAGCTTGTCTTGCTGCAGGGCGCGGTTGTCGTCGTGCAGTCGCTGTAGCCGCGCCTGCAGCGTGTGCAGCTCGGCCGCGGTGTACGCGAGTGCGAGACACTTACGAGGAGCTTGTCTTGCTGCAGGGCGCGGTTGTCGTCGTGCAGTCGCTGTAGCCGCGCCTGCAGCGTGTGCAGCTCGGCCGCGGTGTACGCGAGTGCGAGACACTTACGAGGAGCTTGTCTTGCTGCAGGGCGCGGTTGTCGTCGTGCAGTCGCTGTAGCCGCGCCTGCAGCGTGTGCAGCTCGGCCGCGGTGTACGCGAGTGCGAGACACTTACGAGGAGCTTGTCTTGCTGCAGGGCGCGGTTGTCGTCGTGCAGTCGCTGTAGCCGCGCCTGCAGCGTGTGCAGCTCGGCCGCGGTGTACGCGAGTGCGAGACACTTACGAGGAGCTTGTCTTGCTGCAGGGCGCGGTTGTCGTCGTGCAGTCGCTGTAGCCGCGCCTGCAGCGTGTGCAGCTCGGCCGCGGTGTACGCGAGTGCGAGACACTTACGAGGAGCTTGTCTTGCTGCAGGGCGCGGTTGTCGTCGTGCAGTCGCTGTAGCCGCGCCTGCAGCGTGTGCAGCTCGGCCGCGGTGTACGCGAGTGCGAGACACTTACGAGGAGCTTGTCTTGCTGCAGGGCGCGGTTGTCGTCGTGCAGTCGCTGTAGCCGCGCCTGCAGCGTGTGCAGCTCGGCCGCGGTGTACGCGAGTGCGAGACACTTACGAGGAGCTTGTCTTGCTGCAGGGCGCGGTTGTCGTCGTGCAGTCGCTGTAGCCGCGCCTGCAGCGTGTGCAGCTCGGCCGCGGTGTACGCGAGTGCGAGACACTTACGAGGAGCTTGTCTTGCTGCAGGGCGCGGTTGTCGTCGTGCAGTCGCTGTAGCCGCGCCTGCAGCGTGTGCAGCTCGGCCGCGGTGTACGCGAGTGCGAGACACTTACGAGGAGCTTGTCTTGCTGCAGGGCGCGGTTGTCGTCGTGCAGTCGCTGTAGCCGCGCCTGCAGCGTGTGCAGCTCGGCCGCGGTGTACGCGAGTGCGAGACTCTTACGAGGAGCTTGTCTTGCTGCAGGGCGCGGTTGTCGTCGTGCAGTCGCTGTAGCCGCGCCTGCAGCGTGTGCAGCTCGGCCGCGGTGTACGCGAGTGCGAGACACTTACGAGGAGCTTGTCTTGCTGCAGGGCGCGGTTGTCGTCGTGCAGTCGCTGTAGCCGCGCCTGCAGCGTGTGCAGCTCGGCCGCGGTGTACGCGAGTGCGAGACACTTACGAGGAGCTTGTCTTGCTGCAGGGCGCGGTTGTCGTCGTGCAGTCGCTGTAGCCGCGCCTGCAGCGTGTGCAGCTCGGCCGCGGTGTACGCGAGTGCGAGACACTTACGAGGAGCTTGTCTTGCTGCAGGGCGCGGTTGTCGTCGTGCAGTCGCTGTAGCCGCGCCTGCAGCGTGTGCAGCTCGGCCGCGGTGTACGCGAGTGCGAGACACTTACGAGGAGCTTGTCTTGCTGCAGGGCGCGGTTGTCGTCGTGCAGTCGCTGTAGCCGCGCCTGCAGCGTGTGCAGCTCGGCCGCGGTGTACGCGAGTGCGAGACACTTACGAGGAGCTTGTCTTGCTGCAGGGCGCGGTTGTCGTCGTGCAGTCGCTGTAGCCGCGCCTGCAGCGTGTGCAGCTCGGCCGCGGTGTACGCGAGTGCGAGACACTTACGAGGAGCTTGTCTTGCTGCAGGGCGCGGTTGTCGTCGTGCAGTCGCTGTAGCCGCGCCTGCAGCGTGTGCAGCTCGGCCGCGGTGTACGCGAGTGCGAGACACTTACGAGGAGCTTGTCTTGCTGCAGGGCGCGGTTGTCGTCGTGCAGTCGCTGTAGCCGCGCCTGCAGCGTGTGCAGCTCGGCCGCGGTGTACGCGAGTGCGAGACACTTACGAGGAGCTTGTCTTGCTGCAGGGCGCGGTTGTCGTCGTGCAGTCGCTGTAGCCGCGCCTGCAGCGTGTGCAGCTCGGCCGCGGTGTACGCGAGTGCGAGACACTTACGAGGAGCTTGTCTTGCTGCAGGGCGCGGTTGTCGTCGTGCAGTCGCTGTAGCCGCGCCTGCAGCGTGTGCAGCTCGGCCGCGGTGTACGCGAGTGCGAGACACTTACGAGGAGCTTGTCTTGCTGCAGGGCGCGGTTGTCGTCGTGCAGTCGCTGTAGCCGCGCCTGCAGCGTGTGCAGCTCGGCCGCGGTGTACGCGAGTGCGAGACACTTACGAGGAGCTTGTCTTGCTGCAGGGCGCGGTTGTCGTCGTGCAGTCGCTGTAGCCGCGCCTGCAGCGTGTGCAGCTCGGCCGCGGTGTACGCGAGTGCGAGACACTTACGAGGAGCTTGTCTTGCTGCAGGGCGCGGTTGTCGTCGTGCAGTCGCTGTAGCCGCGCCTGCAGCGTGTGCAGCTCGGCCGCGGTGTACGCGAGTGCGAGACACTTACGAGGAGCTTGTCTTGCTGCAGGGCGCGGTTGTCGTCGTGCAGTCGCTGTAGCCGCGCCTGCAGCGTGTGCAGCTCGGCCGCGGTGTACGCGAGTGCGAGACACTTACGAGGAGCTTGTCTTGCTGCAGGGCGCGGTTGTCGTCGTGCAGTCGCTGTAGCCGCGCCTGCAGCGTGTGCAGCTCGGCCGCGGTGTACGCGAGTGCGAGACACTTACGAGGAGCTTGTCTTGCTGCAGGGCGCGGTTGTCGTCGTGCAGTCGCTGTAGCCGCGCCTGCAGCGTGTGCAGCTCGGCCGCGGTGTACGCGAGTGCGAGACACTTACGAGGAGCTTGTCTTGCTGCAGGGCGCGGTTGTCGTCGTGCAGTCGCTGTAGCCGCGCCTGCAGCGTGTACAGCTCGGCCGCGGTGTACGCGAGTGCGAGACACTTACGAGGAGCTTGTCTTGCTGCAGGGCGCGGTTGTCGTCGTGCAGTCGCTGTAGCCGCGCCTGCAGCGTGTGCAGCTCGGCCGCGGTGTACGCGAGTGCGAGACACTTACGAGGAGCTTGTCTTGCTGCAGGGCGCGGTTGTCGTCGTGCAGTCGCTGTAGCCGCGCCTGCAGCGTGTGCAGCTCGGCCGCGGTGTACGCGAGTGCGAGACACTTACGAGGAGCTTGTCTTGCTGCAGGGCGCGGTTGTCGTCGTGCAGTCGCTGTAGCCGCGCCTGCAGCGTGTGCAGCTCGGCCGCGGTGTACGCGAGTGCGAGACACTTACGAGGAGCTTGTCTTGCTGCAGGGCGCGGTTGTCGTCGTGCAGTCGCTGTAGCCGCGCCTGCAGCGTGTGCAGCTCGGCCGCGGTGTACGCGAGTGCGAGACACTTACGAGGAGCTTGTCTTGCTGCAGGGCGCGGTTGTCGTCGTGCAGTCGCTGTAGCCGCGCCTGCAGCGTGTGCAGCTCGGCCGCGGTGTACGCGAGTGCGAGACACTTACGAGGAGCTTGTCTTGCTGCAGGGCGCGGTTGTCGTCGTGCAGTCGCTGTAGCCGCGCCTGCAGCGTGTGCAGCTCGGCCGCGGTGTACGCGAGTGCGAGACACTTACGAGGAGCTTGTCTTGCTGCAGGGCGCGGTTGTCGTCGTGCAGTCGCTGTAGCCGCGCCTGCAGCGTGTGCAGCTCGGCCGCGGTGTACGCGAGTGCGAGACACTTACGAGGAGCTTGTCTTGCTGCAGGGCGCGGTTGTCGTCGTGCAGTCGCTGTAGCCGCGCCTGCAGCGTGTGCAGCTCGGCCGCGGTGTACGCGAGTGCGAGACACTTACGAGGAGCTTGTCTTGCTGCAGGGCGCGGTTGTCGTCGTGCAGTCGCTGTAGCCGCGCCTGCAGCGTGTGCAGCTCGGCCGCGGTGTACGCGAGTGCGAGACACTTACGAGGAGCTTGTCTTGCTGCAGGGCGCGGTTGTCGTCGTGCAGTCGCTGTAGCCGCGCCTGCAGCGTGTGCAGCTCGGCCGCGGTGTACGCGAGTGCGAGACACTTACGAGGAGCTTGTCTTGCTGCAGGGCGCGGTTGTCGTCGTGCAGTCGCTGTAGCCGCGCCTGCAGCGTGTGCAGCTCGGCCGCGCGAGCCGCCGCTGTCTGCTCAGCCGCACGAGTCGTCGCCGCTGAACGCCCTCGCTCCGTATTCAGCGATGACCTGGACGCACACACACCATGCGATAAGCGTAAAGTCTGCCATACATAATTCGAAAACGACAGCAAATTCTAATATTGATTCAAAATACCAGTCGTACAATTAACACTTTACCAAAAAGTTATTATATCACGTATTATAAACCTTTTTGATACAATATTTTTAAAAAATGGGCCCATGATGTTGAAGATAAAATGAAATAATTTTTTTAACGAATGTCGACTGTACAGCAAACTTGCTTTGAAAGCTGTGTTTCATTTTGAACAATAAACTATGGCAGAAAAATTATAGAGAATTCAGTCGTGAGAATCCTAGTACTAATCCTAATACTAGGAATGGCAACACATGGGGGGGGGGGGGGGGGGGATTCCACAGTCGTACAAGACTACGAGATGTCTAAACAAGACAAGACAACGACAACAGTAGACCCGGTAGACAACGGTAGCCACATACCATTACGGAGCCGTTGCTTGATTCCCATTTCAGAGACAAAAAACATTTAATTTTTTAGTCAAAATCCAAAACTAATAATGTTCGTACATCAAATTAGTCAAAAACCAACAGTTACTTTATATTTGCTTATTTGTTCTTGGCAAATATAAAATAATATATCTAAAAATGTTTACCTCAACTCCTTTAATTTTGCATGAAGAGCTTGCGATGCTTCCATCTCATCAGCCAGTGCTTTCTCTTTATCGGCTAATTGTTTTTTCAACTTCTGAATAGGATCATTGGGTCCCTACAACAAATATATTATACTTACACAAATTTATCAACATGAGTCCAACTAATTTCCTATTTTAAGATAAGATAGAAAAGAATACACCATAATGTTAAAAAATATAAAAATAACTAAACTACAAATATGTATTGCTACTACTATAAAGTTTTCTTTGAATCTCCCAATATTTAGGAGCCTGGTCACCCACCAGGGAAGGAAATCCACATAGGGAAGCCCACCAACCTAACCAAACTGAAAACTAGAACTCACAAAAAAAATAAATGACCAGAACTCATCGTTGGTAGCGTACCTCGGTCCACTCTGAGTGCTCCGGTAGCGGGTCGTGATGCTTGTTGAGCAGTGCGTCGGTGAGAATCTGTATTTCGGTGCGCGATAGAGGTGCCTCGCGGACCACGCGCACCAGTTCGCCCACATTCACGCCCACACCGCCATCACCAGCTGCCGGCAATAGTTACACTATCAAAACACTCGTTACACTATTAAATCTCCTACATAAAAACATAGCTTAACCACTGATTCATACCCACCGCCCACCCCCAGATAGTGTAGCGAGCACCACACTCTCACTCATACCCACCGCCCACCCCAGGTAGTGTAGCGAGCACCACACTCTCACTCATACCCACCGCCCAACCCAGGTAGTGTTGCGAGCACCACGCTCTCACTCATACCCACCGCCCAACCCCAGGTAGTGTAGGGAGTACCACTCTCACTCATATCGCACATCACGCACTATGCTCAACATGTGGTCGCGGACTTTTTTGTACTTTAAATTACGTCATACATATTTTTTTATTAAGAGGCCTTTCACATTTTTTGGCCTAAAAGCAGGGTCTTTGGGGTTCTGGTTCTAAGAAATTAAGAGTCGGATATACATTTTGATTCCTGAATTATATAGATAGATATCTAATCTTAAAAACAACATCTTTGAAATGTTAATTTTCTCTTTGTTAGTCTTCCTAATTTCTAAAATAGTTTATTCAAAAACGCTAAGAGACAAAAGTTTGGGATCGTCGTTCATTAATAAACAAACATAAATTGATATGATATCTGTACTAAAACTTGATAATTACTTTATAAATTGAGACAGCATCGTCCTTTTTTTCATTTTCAACTTAAATATCTAAAAAATTGATCATAATTAAACCCGAAATTTCAACAAAACTTTGCCATAATCATTTCTAATTTTCTCATAAATACAACGAAATTTTGGCATAAAAAACATAATAATAAAGGTAATATACTTATAAATTAGAAATATAAAAAAAAATATAAGTTTCTAAGAAAAAAATAAACAATAATAATAATTTAAAGTTGTATAAATTCCGTTGCGCCAAAAGTAAATTCTCAGTGCTGCGCTAGCGCTCGTCGAGGTAGGACCTATGCTATTTTTTACAACACCGCTACGATAAGACATTCGTAAACATTTGTCAGTGAACATTAGTATAGTGCGACTAAACAATTTTGATAATTTAATTAATTTTGCTAATATATACTGTTAGATTATAATAGTTACGATAATAAATATACAGAGCTGTATAGCAGATATATTTATAATAATTGAATGTTGACATGATCTTATATGCCGATTAATAATGAATTGTTTAATTATAAATAGAAGTAACGTTATTGATATCGACCGAGTTAGTTTCATAATTTTTATAAAAATAGTGAGGGTACAAAACTGATCTGTAAACGATATTTAGAGATAATTATTCATTCTTGTCTTGGCCACAGTTGTGTTAAGACGTACAAATAAAGTATTAGAATATAAAATACGTTTTCATTTCTGGTAATAGCTAGAAAAAACCCATTTAGCTATTATCAGAAGTGGGATCACCGCACATATTTCACTAAAAAACATGGGTAGAAAGCGATCAACAAATACACACGCCCATAGTGCAAAGAAACGAAGTCGACGACGTAAAGATTATTCATCTGACGGATCGTCTAATAGTTCTACACATCGACGAAAAGTATCCAGAGATAAATCTTCGAGGAACAGTAAGAAAAAAACACGATCATACACGCCGGAGGTAGTAGGAAATCGTTCAAGAAATGAAGAAAGACATACAAAAAGCCGTGGACGGTCCACACGCTCAAGTATTACTGCGACTGGACGTGAGAGGGAGCCGCCTCTGTCAACATCGGAAGCGCGAAGGGTTCCAGAGGAGCAGCCGGCGAGTCAGTATCCAGTGGAGCCTGCTGGTCATTCCGAACCTATGAATGTAGCAGCCTCCTCGGTACCCCCCGCGGCTGTCACACCAGAAGCAGGAACGTCTTGTGAGTACAGTTCTAATATTACTCCTAATGTTTTGGTAAATATTAATGAATTTTCTAGATTACTACAGTCTTTTGTTCGGCCTAATCCACCATCATCAATTAATTATAATGCTAATATGATACCCGAATTTGACCCGTCGATAAAAAATCACCGTATTGATCAGTGGATAGCTAAGGTTAACGAATGTGCTCAAATATATGGATGGGACAATATGCAAATTATGCATTACTCTTTACCCAAACTTACGGGTAATGCGAAAAAATGGTATCAAGGACAGACAACTATTTTGCATACTTGGGAACAATGGCAGGTCCTCCTACGTAAGGCTTTTCCTACAGAAACGAATTATGGGGTTCTTTTAATGGAAATGTTAGAACGGAGACTTCAATTTGGAGAAAATTTAGATGAATATTATTATGATAAAATTATGTTATTGAATGCATGTAACATCTCTGGTAGGCAGGCTGTAGATTGCGTTATTCATGGAATTAATGATAGAACCATACGGGCAGGCGCGTCTTCTGCCCGTTTTACCACTACTGAGGATCTTTTTAAATACTTGAAGGATGTATGTAAAGAGCAGAAGGATATATCTCGTACCGCACAATTGAATAAAAATAGGGTTATTAACAATATAGTATGCAATAAATGTGACGAAATCGGACACAAGGCTGCTCAGTGTCGCATAGTCAACCCCCAAGGCAGTCTGAAATTTAATCCACCAGCGGTTTGTTTTAATTGTAAAGATAAAGGCCACAGGGTACATCAATGCCCTAAACCATTAATAAAATGTGACTTGTGTAGACGATTTGGTCACCTTAGCAATAACTGTTTTCAAAAAAATGAATCTAAAAACAATGAGAAACGGGTATTATTTGTTAATGGCGCAACTAGTCATAATTTAAAGTATCATAAACAAGCTTTCATTAATAAACACCGAGAAATTGAATGTTTTGTTGATTTGGGGAGTGACTGCACGCTTATTACACATGGAACAGTTATCGAGTTAGGGTTGCACATTTTTAAAGATAATCTACCCTCGATACGCGGTGTCGCTAATGTTAACATACCCTTGTTAGGAAAAACATCCTTCCAGTTACGTATCGATTCTGTAGAAGCTGAGGTTGTTGCATATGTTATTGGCGATAACCACCTTCACATACCCTTATTAGTGGGTCAGAATTTTACGGAATTGCCAGAAGTAGTAATCACTAAAACCAAAAATTACCTAAGCATCGTGTCTCGTACGATTGATTCGGAATTACTTAACATCAAATTGAACAATGATACAAATAATAAATGCAAGTTGTATGTCCAATCTGACTCTGAAATTCAAAATATAGACTTATTAAAATGTTACTGTCACGATTACAAAAATGCCGATATTTATATAAAAGGAAGTTATCGTAATATTGAAGGTAAAGAATACTGTATACAGGAAGGCATATATAAAATAATAAAAGGAGAGTGTAAAATTTTACTTATAAAAGTTAATGACCTCGATAAACCCCTTTATTTTGTAAAAGACTATTTGATTGTGCGCGCACAACTCATCCGTTTAGATGATGCTCTCTTAGATACAACGTCCCAGAAGTCACTTACTTGTTTAAAGACCCATTTATTAGAACCTATTAATAGAAGTGAAGTAAACATTAACCACGGCCTTAATGAACAACAAAAAACTAAAGTATTTGATTTAATTGATAAATATAGAGATTGTTTCGCGCTTAATTTATCTGAAATAGGTTGTACAAGTATTTCCGAGTTAGACATAAAATTGTCAGATGACACACCAGTAGTTTACCGTCCTTATCGTTTAAGTCATACTGAAAAAAATATCGTGCGAGATATGGTTAAGGAACTACAAGATAATGACATAATAGAGGAATCAGATTCGGCATACGCGAGCCCTGTACTTTTAGTTTCAAAGAAAACAGGAGGCTATAGACTCTGTATTGATTATAGGGCGTTGAATAGAAAAACAATTAAAGACCTTTATCCATTACCCCGTATTGATGACCAGCTTGACCTTCTCAGTGGAAACGTTTATTTCATTTCACTGGATATGTCTAGTGGATACTATCAAATTCCTGTTAAAGATAGCTGTAAACACTTAACAGCCTTTATTACTCCTGATGGGTTATACCAATTTAAACGAGCTCCATTCGGTTAGCTAATTGTCCAGCAGTTTTTCAACGTACCGTCAATAAAATGCTAAATAAAGGTAATAAAAAGTGCGCAATAGCTTACATGGATGACTTATTAATTGCGGGAACTAGTTTTGATGACTGTGTAGAAAAATTAGAACAGACCTTTTTACTTTTAAAAGATGCAGGATTGACCTTAAACTTAAACAAATGTCGTTTTTTTGACACCACAATAAATTATTTAGGGTTTGAAATATCGGCTGAGGGAGTGAAACCTGGTAATGGAAAAATTGAGGCCGTGAAATCATTTCCTGAACCCAAAAATGTTCACGAGGTTCGACAATTTATTGGTCTCGCCAGTTATTTTAGAAAGTTTATTCAGGATTTTGCGGTTATAGCACGACCGTTAACTGATCTCACTCGTCAAAATATTCCATGGGTGTGGGGAAATCATCAGAAAGACGCATTTACAAATTTGAAAGATAAATTAGTACAACGTCCAATATTAGCTTTATATAACCCTAATTACATAACGGAGTTGCATTGCGATGCATCAAAAATTGGTTTGGGTGGTATTTTATTACAAAAAGAATTTATTTCTTCTAAATTACAACCAGTAGCATTCTTTAGTCGTAAAACAACAATAGATGAAGAGAAATTACATGCGTATGAGTTAGAAACACTAGCAGTCGTTTCATCTTTAAACCGATTTAGAGTTTACCTGTTAGGAAAACATTTTACAATTGTAACTGATTGTAGTGCATTGCGATCAACTTTTACAAAAAGAGATTTGATACCCAGGGTAGCACGGTGGTGGATAGCATTACAAGAGTATGATTGCTCAATTGAATATAGACCTGGTAATTCTATGCAGCATGTAGATGCCCTCAGTAGAAATCCCATTTCCTGTAATGACGATAGTGACAAATTAGCACATTTTTCTCGAGTAATGCATATTACACAGGATGACTGGCTTCTTAGTTTACAGTTGACAGATGAAAAAATTC